TCTGGCACACGATGACAGCAGGTCTGAGCGCGCCCCCGATCATAACCGGTAACAGAATCTTCGAGACACAGCTAGACAAGGCGAACGCACTGCGAAGGGCCACGCTGGAGCGAAACAACGGGGAAAACGACATTCCCAATCCTTGGTCAGTTCCAGTGCGACAGCGGACACCCATCCCCTTCAAAAAGCACGTATCGCTAGAGGGGGCCGAGGCGTGCACGGTCGGGGTTAGCAGCACCTCGCCTGGGGTGGATGGTCTTACCTTGAAGATACTCAAGGCATGTTGGCCTATCATTGGGAAGCATGTAACGGACCTCTTTCAAAGGTACTTGATGGTCGGGTACCACCCGAAGCCGTTCAAGGTAGCCGACGTGGTCATGATCCCCAAGCTAGGGAAGAAGGACTACTCTGACCCTAGGACCTATCGGCCCATCTCGCTCCTATCATGTCTTGGGAAAGGGCTTGAAAGACTAGTTGGCAAAAGGCTAGCATGGACAGTTTTTGAACGCGGCATCTTGGCACCACAACACTTCGGGGCCTTGCCGAAGCGTGCAGCGACCGATCTAGTAGCAGCACTCGTCCATGATATTGAACAAGCTCTCGGCCAAGGCTTAGTTGCCACACTAGTAACAGCGGACGTCAAAGTGCCTTCGATGCAGCCCTCGTGGGTCGACTGGTTGTGCGGATGAGGGAGCAGGGTTGGCCCCACTTTCTGATCAGATGGACAGAGTCGTTTATGACAGAGCGTTCTGCCAGGGTGCGGTTTGAGGATACCCTGACCGAGGTCGAACCGCTCCACTGCGGTCTGCCACAAGGCTCACCAACGTCTCCCATACCCATACTGTACATGCTCTACACGGAACCCATCTGCGGAAAACTGGGTACAAGGCGGCGGCGATTTGGATATGCAGACGACATCGGGATCCTCAACGTCGGGACGACACTCCAAGAAACAGCCGCCGAGGCGACAGAACAATTGATAGAGCTCGTCGACTGGGGACAAGATAATGGCGTGGAATTTGACCCTGCCAAGACCGAGATTATGCACTTTTCCAGGAAAAGAGACACCAACAACCCTATCGTCACCCATGGCACCACCCGAAAGATGGCAGAGCCTTCGATGCGCTGGCTTGGAGTATTCCTCGACAGGAAACTGACTTTCAGAGACCATGTCAAGCACTGGACGGGCAAGGCAAGCCGAGTGGCGAACCACATCCGCAGTCTATGCAACACCGTCAGAGGTCTTCCGGTAGCGTCGACAAGGAAAGCGGTCACGTCCTGTGTGATCCCGGTTCTCACACACGGCCTTGAGGTCCGGTACCCAGGACGGGAAAGGACGAGGCAGGATAACACGACTTCGTCATGCCGTGTCAAGAAACAGCTCCAGCAGATGCAGTCCGTTCTACGAACGGCAACGAGAGCCATTCTGCCTGTGTGGAGAACGCACCCAAGCCATATTCTGCATTTCGAGTCGCAGATTCCGCCGGCTGAGATACTGGCAGAGTCCATCCACCGACGCCACGGTTTCCGGCTTGGGCGGGTCGACAAGAGCATCCACTAGTGCGGCGCTGCCACTACAGGCGCGAAAGGACCCCACAAGACTCCAGAGATGCCATCAGCTAGTCCCCATATTTTCGAGCCCAGGATTGGGCCGGCCATCTTTCAAGAAACCACCACAGCGGGGAGGCAAGGATGGATAAGCTAAGCTGTTCAAAGAATGGCTCCAGGAGAGAAATGAAGAAGAAGAGCTGATCGTGTACTCGGACGGCTCGCAGTTACAGGAAAAGGGACACAAGCGCACAGGCTGGGGGTTCACCATTAGGAAAGGCGGTACCACCCAAGAAGTGTACCGAAACCGAGGCAGGCTGCACCGGGCAGAAGTCTTCGACGCCGAAGTGCACGGAGCGTTGCAGGGACTCGTAGCGGCGAGAACGATCGGGCCGAATAAACGACTGTTTATCTGTCTGGACAACACATCCGTGGTGGATGGGCTAAATGGATCACCACCGGAATCGTCGCAAGCCATCTTTCTGCGTTTTCAGGAGCTTGCATCAGCGCACAGTCCTGGGGTGACGGTCAAGTGGATCCCGGGACATCAAGACATCAAAGGAAACGAAGCTGCTGATAAACTTGCCAAGGAAGGCGCAATGCTAGAAACGAAGATAGATAGCCTGCCCACGGTCGCATGGGTATGGCGGGATCTGAAGGGAAAGAGAAAAGACGATTTTGCCCGCTGGTGGGAGGCGCAAGACGAAGCCAGGTACAGAGATGTGCATTCATATGCGGCGGTGTCAAAGAACCTCGTCTCATTCAAAAGGGCTACGCTGCACAGGCTCCTGGCGGCAAGATCTGGCCACGGCGACTTTGCAGCATATCATGAACGATTCGGGCATACGGACTCGAATAACCACTGCAGTTGCGGAGAGAGAAAGACACCAGAGCATATTTTCTTCTGTAGGAAATTGCAAAGACACCGACTGCTCCCGAGGCAAACGCCAAGGGCGGCTTATACACAATATTTGGGGGAGAAGAGTGCGCAGTGGGCGCGTTTTGTAGAGAGGAGTAACTTTTTCACAAGGACATGCCGGAGATGAAGGGCCGTTTGAATTGACGGACTGAGTGAGTGTTCTCACTCAGGTCCTGCAATAGCGTGGACTGGCACGTGCGCTGGTTGGAATGTATGTAGATACTGATACCTCCAAAACCCTGCGATGTATGGCTCTGGGAGGCGTGGTTTGCCCTAGTAAGGGACGGTCCCCACGTTAAATACAATCAATCAATCAATCAATCATTTCTCCATCTCTACCCTGCTTGACTGCCCCACTGTATCTGACTGTCTGTCAGGAGTATGTAAGTAAATACAGTACAGTCCTGGTCGGTCATGGCAGCTTGGTTATCTCTGTGCCGTTTCTGGTTTCGTCGCTGTCGCTGTCGCTGTTGTGTTGGCGACAAATCAGGGTCTTGTCACTGTCAGGCACGGAAACGAGAATCTCAGACAAACCTGTCAGATTGTGGAGACAGCTAGGGTGGCCGATTTCGTGGTCCTGCAAGCACCGTGGATCAAGTGTGGAGACATTGCACCAATACTATACATAGCTGGTTCTGCTTCCACGAAATCAGAATGAAAGCAAGCCAAAAAAGAGCGAAGGACGTCCATTGATCAAATCTGATTCTGGTTCTGGTCAGACCCCACCATGACGCTTTTGAACGTCGGTGCAGTCCTGCTTCAAGCTTTGTTTGCGCATTTGCATACCACTTTGGAGGCGTATGGATTTGTCGCACTGTCCTCAATCAGTTATAGCGTTGACCACTGTTTGGTCGCGCCAAAGTGGGCGGGCGTCGCGTAGCCATTTTCCCCCACAACAAGCCGACCGATGCGCCTCTTCCGTACTCCCTGTCGAAAATGGGACGGCCCGAAAGAAGCCACCGACGAAAGCACGATTCAAAACCAGGCCTGTCCAGCCCCCGAAACGATCGCGACAAATTGCGTCAGCACATTTCCGGCCTGACGAGAAGCAGACACGACTCGTTCCCGACCGAGTGTACAGAAATGGTGCGCGACCCCCCGAGGTTTCGTGTCATGACTGGACATGATTCAGGACCAGCCTGTTTCTAGCATGTTCAGGCAACCTGAGATGCAAATCTGGGCCCCCTCTCTCCACAGCCTGGGTTGCGATGTTCAGCTGGAACTGTCCATAAGCTGTAGGCCGGGTACGAATGTGCTCCTCTACCGAATGCGTCCCTCGATGGACTGCATCATTCATATCGTAACGTTGCAATACTGTCTGTACAGTAACAATACCGTACCGAAAGACGACACATTCAGTCGCAGGCAGGATCCAAAGATCCTGGGCAGGACTCACTGATACAGTAGCAGATTACACATCAGTCTTGTCCTGGTCACAGACACGGAGACGTTACGAAGTGAGAATGACGAACTAGACAAACTAGACAAGCCTATATGGCAACGACGCAACATGGGGCTGTGCATATTCTCTGTACTCAAGTACTGTAGTGGAATCTCTGTATTTGGAATCTGTGTCGAATGATACGTCTCTTGTATTCACTACTCGACTATCTACTGCGTCTCTGCATTGGCTGTCATCCTGTCAAGACTACCAAACAGAGTCTCGGCCAGGATTAACAGGTTCGTAGGCAGCACCACGGACAGGTTGCAGAGGCCGTCTTCGCTGGCCGATACACAGGAGTGGACATCTGCGACCCCCGTCAAGGTTCCTGCACGCATCACTAGCGAAAGACAACATGTCTCCAAGAAGTCAGGACATTTTTCGACTGTACTCTCTCTGCTTGGGTTCGGGCTCGGGCTGGGAAATGCGCAAAACGATAACGAGCCACGCCTCGCAATCGCCCACTCGTGTCGCCGCGCATTCCTGGGATCCGAAAGAACAAAAGACAGAGAGAGACTGAGAAAGTCAGTTAGACCAGCTGGATGACAGGGTCTCCTCGGCCTTGGAGCGTGCAAGCTCGACGGGTCTCCTGCCGGAGTGGACATCGGTCTTAGGGGCATCCTGCCGGTATGGACATCAGATTTTCAGGGTATTTTTCCTGCCGGAGTGGTCATCGGTCTTAGGGGCATCCTGCCGGTGTGGACATCGGATTCAGGGTAATACAACCTGGAGGCCTTAAGCTTCTTCACAGGCGGACGACACGGGCGTGAAGAAGAAAAGAAAGAAAGAAAAGGGAAATAGTGGGACGAGCGATGCCCTTATATATGTCCCATAGTGGGTCCGTCATCTCACTAGTGGCCCTTGCGCCCTTTCATCCCAGAACGGGCAACTGCCAATGACGGTTGCGCGGCCCGACCTCCTTGGAAACTGCAAAGCAGGAACGATGGATGAAGCACTTGACCGGTTCTAGCCAGCCATCGGGCATTGCCATGAGAACCGATCCGAGGCTACACTACTATGCCAGCCGGGGACTCATACATAGGAGTCACCGTGCTCCAACAGCCATGGAGGACTCGGTCTTCGCTGTTCCCAAGACAAGGGCCCTACTCGGGCTATTGCTTCTCCTGCGAGTTCTTGCTTCTCTCACGCGTTCTTACTTGGCATTGGCTCACTCCAGTCGCAGGTGACTCGTTCAAGAATAGGCTCCCACTGGTATTCCTGATGCCGTCATGTAAGTTACATTACCTCGGTCCCGGGGCTTGGATCAATGTCCCACATGACTTCCCTGTTGCAAACCCTGTCCATTATCTGTCATCTCCGTCATCTCCGTCCTATCCGTTATTTATCCGTCCTATCCGTCATCTCTTGTTTGCTCGCCTGACTGACTTGGTACCCTTGCCATTGAAGTGACTGGTATATTTGATGTGACCTATCAAGGGACGGTAATGGTGACGCCAAAAATCTGTTCCGAGATGTTCTCGTTCTTGACTCCAAACAGGTCAACCTGAAACTCGGAAATGCCATGGCATGGATCGATACTGGAATAGAGCGATGATGTTCGTCCGGATCCCCAATGTGGCTTGGATCTACCTCAATCGTGCATGGCTATGACACTGGCCGCACGAGTGGATACCAGCAGGAGTAGTGGGCCGAATACTGGCAACACCTTGACAGTCTTGCACAGTCTTGTGTCGACCGGTCTAATCCCGCCAAGGAAGCGAGAAGACAGGCTGGGAATGACGGCACTCGTCATGGATTCCGATGCCGATGCACTTATCATCAATCTGCCCTTTTGCGCCCGTCAAACCCTGCTCGACACCCCTGATGTTCGTAGCTGGGGTTCCTTAATGCTCTTATGTGCCGACTTCTCCCTTTCCACCCAAGAACAACATCGACCATCCGGCGTTGTTGGTAGTGTATGTAGCATGTAACGTTCTACAACGTTCAGCTGTAAAATGGGAATAGTCGGTGGGCGGCCTGGTCGTCCGTTTGTTGTTCTCATCGCCTGTTGTGACCCAACAGTCTGGTAAGCTAAGTGGACGAATGCCAGGGCAGCGAGCTTCTTTTATGCCAATCCAGAGCACTGCCTCGTAATCAGTGGAGACCACAGGGGATGTTTGCGTGGCTGGTCATGTCATTGGTGGCAATAACACACAACTCCGCAATCAATTGATTGCAGGACCGCCTGCACTACTCCACGAAGCCGTCTGAACCAAGCCTCTGATGTTGCACGTTACCCTAAGGAGAATGGCAGCCATTTGGGACACAGTAGCGATCAAGAATATGTAGATGAGGAAACCCGGGGTAGACTTGGTAAAAGAAGACGTGTCATGTCTCATAAGCCTTGGAGTCCTCGACAGGAGGAGACTCTAAGAGCAGGTATGGAACAAGAGCAGAGTTGGGAAGCTATAGCCAGGAGGCTGGGTCGAACGCCGGCAGGGGTGAGGCAGCATTGGTGGATGATGGAGCGCAGGTTCAGTCCAAGGAAACATCAAGTCCAGAGCCCATCAGACTGATACGTCTACACTTAACGGAATATGAAGAATCAGTGGCCGCGACGCCCATGAGTCGAGCCAGGTGCTGCGAGAGGGTATCGGCAGTAGAGCAATTGAGGCAGCAAATAAGGCTGCAGCGGCTGCAAAGGTGTGGTAGTCCATACTCAGTAGTGTATACAATTGTTACAGCTTTATAAATTAGAACCAGCGAAAAAAACGTCAACAAGCCAGATCTGTAAGGAGAAACTGGTTTCCTAGACTACGGTACGATAGGAGAAGAAGTACTTGTAGTGACATGTAAATACCGGGTTGGCCCACTTTACACAGACTCTGCACTAGTTTCCACCATACCCCCAGATCAAGATTACAGAAGTGACCTTTTACGGGGGCTACATTTTGTCTCGAATGATCAAAAGCATCTTCGATAACCGTGGGTTGCCACAACTGCAGACATATGTCTTTGGTCATGTGTTGGATAATATTCCAGTCTTGTCAGTACAGTAATCTAACAGTCAATCGGGTTCTATCTAGGTTCGAATCATCCGGTTGTGAAATGACAAAATATTATTCGGGTACAGACATGATCAAAATTAGCTTCCTCTTTTCCTCTCTTTCTTCTATTCTTTTAGCACGGACGATCCTATTATGGCTCCCGCCCTAAGTTATAGTACAAGTACTCTTTCGGACTATACCAGTCCTCAACTCATGCTCGTTATTTGTAATTAAGCCCTTCTGGCGTTATTATACTCCATATATCATATAATGAGTCGGCGTCATTAAAAGTGGACGATGAGCGCTGTATGTAGACTTTTATAGCTAGAAACAGGATATCTTCAGCCATCACGGTACTCCAAAGGTTCGAAAGTGTCCTTCCGACTGGGAGCCAGAACTGGACTGTCCGTGTTCAAAGAGAAGAGAAGAGAGAGGAAAAGAGGAAGCCGAATTTGATTCTGTCGTACAGCACCAAAAGATGACTTCGGGTTTACTGATTGCTACACATTGCCGGCTATTTTGATCTTTTGTACTCTATACAGTTCACAAACGGATTTCATTTGGCCCTATTGGTTCTGTCACCGTCGTGGGCACCAGCAAGGTTGCAGTAGGCTGTAGTGCGGGGTAAGATCACTGGCTCGACCGTAACTCATAGGTCGCACGAGAGGATTCATTCATGCATGCTGATTGCCTACTGTACAGCCAGGTGTTCTTCTCATTCCCCTTAATGTTGCTGCCCGCTGTTACAATTTTCCTGCTTCCCGCCCGACACCGAGAAGCGCCTTATAGTATCGGCATAGCACAATAGGCTCAATGTCGGTCCCGACAGGCCGCTGAAGCAACCACTAGCGCAGGCAGAATAATTATAGCGCGTTAACGCTAACTTCAGCGTCTCGTTGGGTTGTTATTTTTAGTCCGTATTGTGCTTCCATGGAAGTGCTACATGCCGAGCCTAAGAACTTAAGAGCATAATTTTAACTATAGGTTCAAATTATTAATCATCAAGTTGTCTTTATCGTTCAAAAAATGACTGCCCAATCCAAACTCCCTAGCACCTTCGTCAAATTCCGTCGACTTTCACTTGGAACTACGCCTAAAGGTCTGGGAAGTGAACCCAAAAATATGCACATTATATTCCCCGAGAATTAGCATCGCTGTACCTTTCACTGGTGCTGCAGTCGATTGGGGCAGTATCAAATCACTTTTTGGGGCCAACTTAATCATGGAATTACGAATTAACTATTTTAATTAGAATTGAAGTCAAATTTTCCGAGAGAAAAGCCAAATTACGGTTATGGCCTAATGTTTCAAAAGGTATGGGACTGTCGACGATCAATGTTTATCTGTGTTTGCCTGTCCCAATATAATGTCTTCCGTTCATTACTGGAAAAAGTCCCCTCAAAGAGGTGAGTGGCTTACCTACCAGTGTCTTGGCCTTGTAAATACTTCCAATACTCACACCGGTATGTGTATCGCTTCCAAAGTAATATATCGTATTCTAGTGCCACCGAGCCTACAGATGGACCCCACCTGGGAGTGCCTTCGTGCCAGCCGGTGAAGTTCCTTGTGGCTGCCCCTCGGGCAGCCAGCGAGCGGAAGCCGTTTGCAAGTGCCTCGAGCCTACGAACGATGCCACCTGGAAGTGCCTCGAGCCTACAGCTGATGCCGTCTGCAAGTGCCTCGAGCCTAGAGATGATGCCATCTGGAAGTGCCTCGAGCCTAGAGATGATGCCATCTGGAAGTGCTTCGAGCCTACAGCTGATGGATTACTCCTTTCCCGCAGGCGTCCTATCTCCTTAGTTCCTGCGGGGGTCGCAGATGTCCATTCCTGTGTACCGGCCAGCGAAGACGGCCTCTGCAACCTGTCCGTGGTGCTGGCTACGAACCTGTTCTTCCTGACTGAGATCTTCGGTCGAGATTGAGCAGAGCCAATGCAGAGACGCGACTGTACCTAGTTTATCTGTCGTATAGACCATTATCTGGTTGAATGAACAAATTCATCACTTGACATAAATTGCATGAACAAATCCATACCGTCACGTAAACTGCAAATGAAGCAAATATACAGCGACAAATGATAAGCGATGGTTTTTTGCGCGAATTACCTATTAGGAATGTATTCTTTCTGGCTGCTCAAGTCAGGCCGAGCTGTCGTTGAACGCTTGCGTTCGCGCTAAGAAAACGTGCTTGCTTGCTCCGAATCAGCCAAGAAAGATCAAGAGTGGGAAAGGGAAACCGGACTTGCTGAAAATCTCGTGTCTATGCGTCTCCATGATGAAAGAACAGTGGTCTCGTAAGTACAGCACGAGAAAAGTAGGCCCAGAAACAAAACTCATGCCATGCCGCGCTATTTTAAGTGAGGCGATCTATCCTGCATCTGGCCAAGAGGGTGCGGAAACAGCACGTTCGTGATCGAGACAAAAGTCGACCCTGGAGCTTGATCATGGATTGGACTGGACACCAGCACCAGTCCCCAGCTGGCAGGTCCTGAAGTGAACAAGCCGCCGCGATGAGGTCCCTTGTGCTAAAAAAGGACGTACCCGTTTCGTGACTCTCATCGGCAGCCTTCGTCCACGAGGCCATTTCCTGTCTTGTTTCTTTCTCGCTCTGTCGTGAGTGAGCGCATGTTTGTCAACGAATGAATGGCACCGACTTGCAGAAGCGGCTTCAGTCTCAGCCACATGAAAGGACACACAAACGTATGTAGCGCAACTGGACAATCGAGTACACACAAATGGTTGCAAATGGATGAATACTGACCGTAGTCGATTCTGATGGCGTGGATGTCCTAGGATCAATTTGGGCTCCTGTTCGGACAATGGTTCGGTTTGGTGCCCGCTCCAGATGTCGACCAGAACAGCAAGCGGCTCTTCCACTTTCCACGCTAGCAGGCTTTGAAGAGCACAACCCAAAGTGGATTTTGGCCCCAACAACTAGAGACAGCCAGCCTCATTGAAGTGTGCTGGCACACGCAGGTCATCCTGTAACGTAATGCTATCTGGACAATTGACAATCGAGGGTGGACAACTGGTTGCGAATGGATCAATGGCCCGTAGTAGTCGTGTTTGTCGTGTTTGTCGTGTTTGTCGCGTTTGGGGCCAGTCTTGTTCCTCGATAGTGTAGATCGAATGGGGACTCTTGTTTAGACAAGGGTGTTCGTTTAGTTCCCGCGTCCAAAAAGATAGATTTTGGGCACTTAATAATGCTTTCAGGGCTGAAAAAGGCATATCTCAAAGTTCCATGGTACGACAAGAGGCTCAAGTGTACTTCCGAGTGGGAGCCAGAAGTGGACTGTCCGTGCTTAAAGAGAAGAGAAGAGAGACAAGAAGAGGAAGCCGATTTTGATTCTGTCTATAAGATTCCTGAATAATCTGTGTTATATCTGATATTCATCATTCATCAGCATATCTCGAGCTATCATTTTCAATCATGGAGCAGCACCGCAACAGACATCGAGCCAACTGCGATGAGCCTCATATAGTACGACTGTTCTATTCACAACCCAATATACTCAGTACTTTCGTATCTACCACCAGACCATCATTGCCTGATAGCTCGGAGCAGCAACCCAATCTTGCCCACCAAGTGTCTCATGTGTCAGAGCCAACGGTACCTCAGAGTGGAAAGGCTCTGATCCTAGCGCTGGATTCATCCGAGAAACACCTTACATTCCCAAGCCCATTCTGCGAAATAAGAAGATCGGATAGCAAAGAGAACCTCAATGCAGAATGAAGTATTACTTAACCATCAAGGGCTTGTTGTGGTTTATCCCTTGAAATCCCACAGGCCAAGGTGTTGACCATATACTACACAAACGCCATGTGGGTTGTTTTCATGGGCATTGCTGACTAAGGTCACATTTAAACAAAACAATTAATTAGCATTGCACACCATTCGCGGCCGAAATCGATTGTGTTCATAGATATCAGTGTGAAGAAAAAGGAGAGGGATGGGAGTAGGTTTGAGAAGTCCCCATGTTAAACGCCAACAAACAAACAAACAAACAAATAGCGGTTAGTACTGTAATTGTCCTGTGCTATTGCTCATTACAGCCATTTTTGTCGCATGCTAGGGCCAATAGCATGGGATGCTGTAGGATCTGTTCGAGCTCCCATCCGAAAATGGATTTGGTCCTTGTCCTCCACTTGTCGCGGCTCTTTCAGTCTCAACGCCAGTGCGTACTAGGTCTGAAGGTCAATTCTATGCGCGACACAAAAGTGGCCTTTGGGATTTTATCCTGCAACGCAGACGAACTTGGGAGCTCATAGTGGACATTGCACACCATTGGCTGCGACCGGACTAATGATGACTGTAGTCTTATTTGTCGTCTTTCTTGCATTTGTCACCTTTTGAGTCTCAGGCCAGATATTGGTCCTCCAGCTTGTGGACGAGGCACGGTTCAGTTCCTAAGCCCCATTGCCTATCACCCCAGCAGGAAGGGGACTACAATGGGCTGCTCTTTTTAGGTCTTCTCCACCAGCAAGTGGCTGCAGGTCAATTCAGTCCTCGACCTGAACAGTTCCCAGCCGAAGTGAGGGCTTTTAAGTGGTCTATCCTAAAACTGACCATACCTGTTACGCTAACTGTGCATGCGACTGTATGTATGTAGATACAGGACTAGTTCACTAGGGTGCAGTAATACGCCCAAATCGTATCGTGGTGACGCGGATCGTGTTCCGTTCAAGTCCACTTCATTGTCCCACCCTGACGACAGACAGCTTTCGTGTCCACAGATATCCACCAGGTTGATGGAAGAACTGTGCAATCAAGCCATCGCGAAGTGTGTAGTACTGTACTGATGTGATGTACAAGTGTTGGAATCTTCGTGTACACATTTGGAGCAGTGATAGAAGCTGGTGAAAAGCGGTCAAGGATATGGGCACATACGAACAAGGGATCCCCGAAGGTGAGCAAAAGCGGCTCATGGATAACCGCAACAGTATCTACTTTACGAGCCTCTGCAGCGGTCTAACTATCCATCCGAAAAGTGGACCTATTGTTATCAAAGTGTCTTTCGTGGCTATGCCCTGAGGCGGACTAGAAGTCATCCGGCTGCGGGAGCCCTATGTGATAAGATAAGTGGGTATATATAGGGACAGTGAACTCCCCGATCACTTGGCGAGAGTACAGCCAGAGACATTCCTCGAATCGATTTATGATGACTCTGGCCTCACTCAATATGTCTACCACAAAGACACTCGACATGAAAGAATTGTCAGATCCAAAGAAACAAGTAATCCACAACACATCACTTATCACCACCCTCGAAAAGATTGTACCAATAGCGCGCGTCGATTTTCCGTTCGGGGCGCTCATGAAATGCTGCTTTACAAAGCAGACATTGCTTCAGCCCACCGTCGAAAACTGGTTCGCCCACATCCAAAATTACTGCGAAGATGAAATATTACACTCTATCGCAAGACTCGTTGTTGGTATAACAGCCATGCGTGAGCGTGGCCATTTCGGCGGTTCATACAACGATTCTATGGGTGTCTCGTTCCTCTGGAAGCTGGTATATGACGCGCTCACAACAGACCATTTCCATTTCCCCACATCATCGAGCGCACAGGGCTTCTTGACTGTGACGATCTGCCGGCATATCGTCGAAGGAAAATTGCAGGAACTATGGCGCTTACATGTCTGGTTGCCCGGCGGAGATCCTGGCCACGAAGGATTCTCCATCCACAAACATAATGCGTTTGGACAGAGTCGGTTCGTAGCCGGCCAAGGCACAAACCACGTATGGTCGATCGAAGAAGACGCAAAAGCGGAGCAAAAAGAAGACACACAGAAGGGTGACCTGATACCGTTATCGAAATATCGGCTTGAATGGACCGATACAAATGGGTCTAGCACGGCTTATAAAACCAATCAGACGTCGTCTACGGTCATCAATACTGGAAAGCTCGTCGTGGCAAGGCGACTCGAGTCAACTAGTCACTCGAGTGGCATGTGTTATACTATCGGCGAGGATGAATACCACAGCTCTGCAGTATCGAAAGATAGAATTAGTGCCACCCTCTTCGTCTTCAATTCAAGTCGGGGCCACAACAACGACGAGGAAACCATCATCGGCCCTAGGGATCAGGAAAAGTCAACATTTGTTCGTTGCGTAGCAGACAAAACTGCAAAAGAGCTTTGTATCTTGGTGGAAAAAGCCATCGACCAAGAACGTTGCGAACCGGTCATGAATAAATGGTAGTATCATATCTGTTCAGGTAAGACGTGGCCAAACAGAGCTCGGGAATAGGCATGAATAGGTTTGGGATGTTAGTAGTAGCGCCATTGAGCGATTTCTCAATACATTTTTCGTTCTTTCGGCCTCTTCACACCCGTGAATTCAAGACTCATATACCGCTTCTCTAGCGGGTGCAAGCTGTGAATCTTTACATGATAGAATGCTTACGGCCTGGCACCGTCAGCGTTGAAAATTCCAGCAGTGCAGGGATTATCACGACGTGTTACATTGTGTGCATCTCGACTGGTCAAGTGAATTTAGCGCACACGGTCCACAGAAGGCAGAGCTTCTTCGGGAACAAAATGGTAGCATGTGCAGAGACCAAAAGCTAAGATCGGATACATTGCGTATAATCAGACTAGGCATTCGCTTGACTTGTTGGAAGCGGGGACTGTACGGTCTATAGGAGAGCCAACACTTGACGCCACGGAACGTCGATTTCGAAGAGATCGGGGATATTATTCCCCAGATGATCAAGTCAAAATTGACGAATGGTTTCAACAGCCTGAAGGAGAAGGTGGAGCGGAAGTGGACAGTATACGAGAAGGACTTCTGGAATCGCGACATAACATGGAGGAGTCTAAGGACTTGATTGTTAAAGCCGTACAAGAGAGAACCATACTCTGAATACCGCTCGGAGGTACGAGAAGGCCAGGTACCGAGACTGACAGCCGCTAGATGATGTCGTAATTTACTTGGACAGTCGAGAGATAGAATTGACATCCTCGAAAACATAAATAATTACTTGACCAAAACATCGCAAGTGAAGACAGATGGACGCAAGTGCAGGTAAAGTTGGGATTTGCTTTGCTAGTTGGGTTCTAATTACCCCTTCCTACAATCTCGATTTGACTTTGCCGCCCGTACCGTAAAAGGTCAACACTCAGCCTTGAAACCTCCTCTACGATACTTAAGTGCTTACTGATGAGCAGTGCATTCGATCTCGACATCAGTATTAAATGGTAGTCGATACACAGCCACGCACGTCCTGACAGGCTTTGGCTCCTTGTTGAAGAATTTGTCATAAGCACTGTTCATGGCTCCAAAGTTCTCCATGTTGGTAAGGAAGACGTTGACCTTAACGACATTATCGACGGACGAGCCGGCTGCATCAAGGATTGCTGAGAAATTTCTTGAGGGCTTGTTCCTGCCACCTGTGAGTATTACCAGGATCGCAGGATTTAATACCAGAATTGGACTTCAAGTTTGGGAACAGTGAATAATCTCTTACAGTACGATCAGCAACGCTCCCTTCAACGAGTTTCCCTGTTAAATCCACCCCAATACTTCCTGAGCAGTAGACCATATCCTGACATTTGACAGCCTGGGAGAAAAAAGACATTGACGGAGGTGCTTTATCGGGTCTTACCGATTCCTTTTGAACCATGATGACAACTTTGTTGGATTGTTGAGGGGTACAGGTAACGTTATCTTGGTCTTCTTGTGGTAGAGCTTGGCGTAGGTGGCTCGAACTATATATAGGAAGGGATATATGAATCTCAGTACTCCGGCATCGCAGTTGTTTGTAATCACACCATCAAAGCGATAAAGCATAATTCCCTTTTGTACAAGGAATGCGGTAACTACACTTCTCCGCTAATTGGTGTGGATCACATGGCACTGCGATACCAGAGTGGCGAGATTCATTATTTCTCAATATATCTGGTCGGCGGAATGATGACATCCCTTGACTGGCGCACATCTGACTGGCAAATATTACAATTTTGTGAGTGACAAAGCTACCCTTTTAGATGTCAAAGCACAGTTTTGCATTAGACACTTTACCTTGTCTATTGAGATCCATTGCCTTCTCTACGCTTTCCACTGATAACTTCCCGAGGCTTTGAACTGGCCGTGGGTGAATAATACCTGAAGCCAGAAGATTCGGAAGCAAAGAATAAAGTTCAGCGCTAAGTGTATGGTTTTCTGGATGCATCTGATAATAATTAGCCTGTGTGGATTAGAGCACAGAATGACATGTCAGGATCAACCTACAGGCCAGAAAGCAGCATTTCTATAGCTGTGCTCCTTTAAAAATGCAGTAAAGACAAACACGTCCGAAACTTCCACGTTCTTTGCGATATGGCTGGTATTTGCCTTCCCAGGTCGCACAGTACACAATTTGCCTTTAGAGGCCGCAATGCAAGAGCTCGCTGTAGCCGATGAGGTAGCATTTCCAACGGTGTCAAAGACGTGCGTTATGTTTGGGTGAGTCTCACGAATGTATGACGTAATGTCAGGGTCACGGTAGTCAAATACCTGCGATGCGCCAAGCTTCCTCACCGAGTCGGCGTTCGCTGGGCTGCAGGTTGCGATTACATCAATCCCAAAATGCTTCGCCAGTTCGATGGCATAAGAACCTACAGCCGCTGCGCAAGCGTTAGTAAGAGACGTGATGGATCGATCTGTTGACATACTGCTTCCTCCCCATACGAGCAGTGTAGCTTCTAGGCAAGTCCGACTGAGATGTAAGCAGTCGGATGAGAAGAGCGCTAGCCACGCTGTATTTATTGCCAAGGGAAGCGTGGCAGCAGCCGGGAAGGAAATTCCGTTAGGAATATGGTAAGATATTTTTTCGTCGGCTATACAATAGGAACTTCAAACGGAGCAAAAGTCAGTTCATCATTTCCTGGCGACGAACCTGCGGCGAAATGCTCACGAGTACGCGCCCAGTCCGGCAATCTCGCCTGACATCCACCAGTTAGCGAATTCGCATTCCTGCTAAGCATCTCCATGGGTTCTTACCTCCCCATATCAAGGCACCAATCCTGTCCCCAGTCTTCCAAGTCGACACCTTGGCTCCAACAGCTTCAACGGTCCCAGCAAAATCACACCCAAGTACGGCACCATTGCCAAAAGCGTTTACATCGATAGCAAGTCCTGTATGAAGAAGATTCGTCAACATATATTTTTTCTGTGTGAAGGAGGAACTCAACGAACTGTCGGTTGGATTAAAAGCTGCAGCATTGATCTTAACAAGAACTTTATCATCTTCCAGGGGAGGCAAGGCGATTGTGTCTTCAACTAACTTCCCGTCACGTATCACGATTGCTCTGCAGGTGGGTGGTGACATCTTAACGCGGGAAAATATTTTACTGAACACTCGATTGCGCATTGGGAATCAAAGCTGACAGTTATGGGTCGATGTCCCACCGAGCCTTAAAAGAACCAATCGTGGATGCGATTAGGTGATGATGCTGAATGTAGATTACCAACCAGTGCGATGATGATGAGGTAGATGGGCGGAGGAAGTGATCTGCGACCCTCTAGTAGCGTCAGAGGGAAGCGCTGGAGGAGAAAAATTGCGATGCGCTTGCGGAGATGTGAAAGTCAAAGAATGAGGGCTGGAAACAACGTCCACTGCGACTTCGGCAAGGATCAAATGCAGGTCACGCGGGGACAGTCACCATGACAGTTTTGATCACAGCACGCAGTGGCAATTTGTCCGTCCGGTCTCGGCTGACCTGTGCTGGCTTGTGTTGTGCATTGCTCCAGTCGACGCTTCGTGACTTGGCGATGCATCTTGGGTTCTGCGAACGACTGGAATGTGTGCCGAAATAAGCGTGATTGCCAATGTAACACGTTGTGGAGCTGAGCCTCGCGTCAGCCACCATCCAAAAACACTAGAGCAGTGACGTGCTTGGCTGATTACATAAGCGAAACTTCGGGATCATTGCACAGGTGCGGGCCTGTTTCGTAGTGCACCAACAACTGGTAACATTGTGTCGGGCACAGCCTCACGCTAGTGGCGTTTCCGCATCCACCGACTACTATGGTATGCAGCCGTATGGTCGGTTTTCGGAAAGACCACTAAAACACCTCGCTCAGGCTGGTGACTATTCAGGTTGAGGACTGAACTGACCTTCAGACACTTGCTGGTGGAAAAGACCGAAAAAGAGCAGCCCCATAGTGCCTTTCTGCTAGTCTAGGGTGATCTCTTGTGGGGCTTGGGAACCGAAGCGTGCCTTCCTTGTCCACATACTGGAGGCCCAATACCGGCCTGAGTATGAAAAGACGACAAACAAGACTACGGGCATAATCGATCAAGTCACAGCCACTTTGTGCAATGGCCACTATGGGCTCCTGAGTCAGTCTACAATCCAGCACGAAATCCCAAAGGGCACTTTTGGTGTCGCGCATCGAATTGAACTTCAGGCTGCACGTCTAGCCGGTCTCGAAGCCATCACAATAAGCTCCGGTTTGCAGATATCTGTTTGGCTGATGGGTGACGACATGGTTATGGAGAGTCGGCCCTTACAATGCCAGCGCGTTGCTGTCGCTCTAGCGGTCGCTACCCTAGCAATGCGGGGTACTGGTTTGACGGCGTACACTACTTTTAGCGTACAAGCTCACAAACTCACAAAACTCCCCCGTGGGTGTGGTCGTCGGACATATTCCGGCGGCAGGTCCTTGGCACTGAAGACAGCTTTGCGCCAGGCTGCAATCAGCGATGTGTGCCATACCAGCTTTGAACGGGCGCGGAGGATTCTTGACACCCTCAGATGCTATAAGGCGTCCAATAACTTAATAGCTTGGACAAGTTGTACAAATTACACAGTCTGGACAACGAATGGGCCAGCATGTGCTCCTTGCATGAACGCAAACGAATCTACACTTCATGACGGCAACAACTAGCGGGCCCTGGGACTGCCATGTGCATGTCTTCGATCCCGTGCGCTTTCCCTTTCGAAGTACCCGGGCTTACACACCCAGTCCAGCCTCAGTAGACGATCTGCTGAATGACACACAATCCACCGGCATTGTCCTGGCCCAAGCTAGCCCTGAAGACGGGCATCATGGACTCACCAGACAGCTCGAGGAGGCTAAGTCAAGATATCCCGGCATGATCTTCCGCGCCGAGATCATGACTACCCAAGAACCACCAGAGCTCGACGTTGCGAGGCTTCCATCCGACACAATAGATACCTTGCACGGCCTCGGAGTACGCTCCATACGCATCCAAGGAGGCTACAATAGCTTTACTTCCAGCCCAGGCCTACTGAAAGGATATATCTCGGCCCTGGCGCACTCTTACCTTGTTAATAGGTGTGGCTGGTCCATTGCCATGCAGATGGACCTGGGAGTCTGCCGCGCTATGCGCGATGTACTGGGGTTGGGGACGGCGTGATCCCCGACATCGTCGGTCTGGTAGCAGAGCATGGAGCATGTGCGCGACCGAGCGATTTCGGCAGCCCTGATTTCGAGTCTTTTGTTGCTCCGTTGCGCACCGGACGTGTCTACGTCGAGATATCGGCCCTGTATCGACGTGCGCCGGAGAACTTCCGCCTCATGCGAGACGTTGTCCTAGCCTACGCGCAGGCAGCCCCAGACAGGATCCTGTGGGGTCCGGACTGGCCACATGTGGACGCCTCGAGGGGCGGACTGGACCCGACACCCCCTGATGCTCGTGCGAACTGGAGAGAAGAGTTAGACGCTGTGAGGGAGTGGATCACGGAGGAACAATTCACGAAGATGCTCCCTAATAATCAGGCCAAGCTGTACTCTTGACTTTTGGATACGCGTGCGACGCGGGGAACTGCCCCACCCCATACCATAACCCACACATACCCCAGGTTCTTGGCTGTCCATGCAGAGCACATAAACAGAGACCAACAATATTATTCTGCCTATAAAAGATTGTATGTCAATCATCTCATCCTTCATGCTATCAAATTGGGGATACAGGCCCTCTAGACCGACCCATCTGCTATCAGTTGGTCATCCAGTCTGAAGTTAATCGCAGAGGAATGACTGTTAACATGTCGACCACGACAACTGTCCAAACAGTTGAGCCCATTCCTCCTCAGATCAATGGGTTGAGGAACCGAGTAAACCCCAGACGGTCATCGAGAGATATCGCACATATGATTCGGGGCACGCAGCCTAAATGGAGAGACAGCTGGTTCACAAAATTGACCTCAGGATCCTCCCTTTCGTTCTCGTCATCTACATCTGCAACTATCTGGACCGCAACTCGATTACCCAAGCCCGTCTATACGGCATGCAGACTGACACTCGGACCGATGGGGCGCTGTGGAACACGGCCATATCCATATTTTCGGGGGGCTGTATCGCCATGCAGCTTCCATCACCCTTGATCATGGCGAAGCTGCCTCCGTCAATATTCCTGGTAAGTACTATTGTGAGCCCCTATCTAGACCACTCCGCTTACCTCGGTCTCCGTCTCGAATAGCCCTGTTGCATGTTACTCTGGGCAGTGGTGTCGGGTTGCACAGCCGCAACGAACAGTCCAGGGAGCTTGTTTGCCGTGCGCTTCTTTCTTGGCATCGTCGAGGCTCCATTCTTCCCGGGCGCCATATACTTTGTCATGTTGGTATACCAGACGAGAAATCGGTATTCGCATAGCCCTCCTGGTAAGCGACATCGTCCTCTCCAATGCCTTTGCTGGCCTGCTTTCGGCAGGTATCTTGTCGGGTATGCATGGAAAAACGTCGCTCGCGAGCTGGCGATGGTTGTTCATTATCGAAGGGCCCATGCCATTGCCGTCGCCCTCCTGGCTATGTTGTCTCTGCCCAACTACCCTGCCACCAGCAAGTGGCTGAACGAAGATGAAAAGACCATCGCCCAAGCCCGCCTGATCAAGGATATGGGTGCTGAAGACTCCACCGAGGACGAGGATACCTCTGTACTCTGCACCCTAGTTGCACCAGTCAAAGATTACCGGGTCTGGATATTCGCTTGCATGCAGATGGCTACTACCGCGAGCATATCCTATTCCCATTTCTTCCTGACGCTGATCAAGGAGCTCGGTTTCTCGGACAACCTGCTTGTGCTTCTTCTGACCTCGCCTCCGTATCTGTTCGCCTTCTTCTGGAGCATCGGCTTCAGCTGGCATGCCGACAGATCCCAGAAGCGATCGCCATACGCCTCCATCTCCATCTTGACGGCCATGGGGTCCACTATCGTCCTTATTGCCGTGCCATACCACTACCAATGGGTGCGGTACGCGTTCACATTCCCACTCACAGCAGGTATTTTTGGGGTGTACTCAACCACCTACGCCTGGCTGCCGTCCACCATCCTGATGCCGCGAACCAAGAGAGCTGCTTCTATTGGTCTCACCAATCTATGCGCCAACATCGCGTCACTGTTTGGTAACTACTTCTGGCTTGACCAGTACGAGCCTACTTTCCAGGTATCTTGGGGCATCCTGCTCGCATTTCAGTTCTTGTGCTTTTCGTGTATCATGAGCTTGCGGTATATCCTGAAAAGATCGAATCGGAAGTTTGAGGAACTAGGTAGCAGGTTCTCGGAGAGCGATACAGCGGATTTGACGGGGCTGCGTCCTATTGAGAGGAATGCGGTTATAGGCGGATTCCGCTACATTACATAGTCGGGCACAGTGTTTGAGACTACTTGTTATGTTCAAACTCCTTAGACCACGAATTAATTATCCACATAATGTTTGCGATCGTGAAATTTTGACCTTAATACAACAAGATTTCAACCGTTTCTCGTGAGACTTTGTTGTGTGTCTCAGTACGGTTTTTCTCGGATCCAGTGACCTCGCAAGTCGGATGAAGATGGGTAGACATCTTGTACGGATGTTTCAGTGGGATCTGTCACTTTTATATTCGTTCATAGACCAGATGACTGGATCAAAAATATTGATGCTGCATAGGCTGAGCTTCAGCTTATATCCATGTTGCAAATAGAGTCCATAGAGCTCTGCCCAAGCCACTCAAAACTGAGCGAGTCACCAGCGATGAAGGGTTGCAGCGATGGATTTGGAGGCAACAACAACCAAGGCTCATATATCGCCTTGTGAGCCAGCCAGTACCATGGAATCCAGGCTTTGTAGGTTCGGCTCAAAGTCTACTTGCCAATCAACGTCGAGCTGCACAGCGTCCTGACCTGACTGTTCGATGCTCGAGTTTCGGGCGCATGGCAAAGAATGGCGGTCTGGTCGCGGGGGTGAATTTCACCTTCAGCTTAGCTACATAGGTGTTAAGAGCGCTGCGTAGCGAGGACCGAGGTGTAGATCGTCGGGCCTGCACGTCCGGAGCGCGGCGTTTGCGCGGGAAAGAAGACCCAGAGACTCCGTCAGCCTTCTCGTGCTGGTGCCGACGCCGAGAGCTTTGAGCAAGAAGATGAAGGCAGCTGTTGAGCGCAGGATAGACGCACAGGGGCGAAGTACAGCTGGTTTTCTCCCCAACTCTGATCACTGTTTTCAATGTCGCTAGGCGGGCACCTAGTACTTTCTGGACGAAATGATAATCAGACGAGCTTTGGTCGAACTGTTAGGCTGAAGGGCCTCCCTCGGGGTCCGCTGTTGTTCGTTCCGCAACTGCCTGCAGCCCGAGAGAGTTTGTATATATCTTGGAGCTCTGATAGTCTACGAATCGAATATCTTATAGTGGTGTCAAAGGTTCTGTGTATCTCGTCAGCATTGAACCAAGCTACAAATAGATCACAGTTCACTCGTTCAAAGGGTCTGATGCAATTCATTGCATACCTGTATCAGCCAAATACTAATCTTTCCAATTATCAAGAAGCGGACGAAAATGGTTGATCATGTTTACGTATGGATCAGTATCGAGCAGGTGTCTTGTGACGACTGAGGACGCGAAACTAACGCCGGCAATAGACCGCTCGAGCTTGACTAGATCAATCCATGCGGTCATGAACTTATTCCAGTCTTCGTGTCCCTTGTGGATCCCGAGGCCCGATGGTTTCATGGATGTTTTCGTGTGTGTTGTACCCTCAGGCAGGACGGGTTTGCAATCCAATCGCAAGGACATGTGTTTCTGGAAGAAGAAAAGCAGTCTGGCCAAGGGAAGCCGTCTCGCAATTCTTCTTCCATAGTTTCCCAGACTTTGATCCTCATCTTTTCCGTCTTGATTGAGAAGCCCTAGCTCAATTGCGAGAGCTATGTGTAGGTGCACATAGCCGCAGACGATGCCACCTGGAAAGTGCCATGAGCCTAGCAGATGATGCCATCTGGAAAGTGCTTTGACCCTAGCAGGTGATGGAATATCCCCTCTCTCACGGCATCTTATCTCTTAGGTGGCTGCGACGCCGCAGATGTCCTTCCCTGCGTGCCAGATAGTGAACATGCTACTGCCGCCCGTCTGCGGTGCTGGCTACGGATCTGTGTATTTTTGATAATGAAGGCTGGGAGAGAGCAGAACCTAGTAGATAGTCTGTTCGTGGGGGTTTATTTATTTGGTTACATCAATATATATATCTCCCCAAATTACCTTATCCATGAACAAATGACAAACCATATCTTGGCTGCTGATGCATGTTTGATTTTCGTGCGGATGAGCAGCGGTTGTGAATGTGGAGCTTCCATCGGCGGATACCGTTCTGCCGATGATGACACGCGCAAGGTCGTGCCAACAAGTGATACACGTCCATGCGATCTTGGTCAATTCAGACGGAAAGTGGAGAAGAAACATACGCTCAAAATTGATGTTGGTGCATCTTGGTGTGGAGATTGTGCTTCGTAAAACTAGCTGTAGAAGGAGTAGAGGCAGGGACACCTTTGAGACTGACTTAACCGTACTATCGTTCCAATCCTGATTCTGGTCGTGGCCAGGACAAGGGCAAGGAACAGCTCTGTCGCAGTTAGGACAAAAGCATACCATGCAGCTCCCGACCGGATATTGACCATCAGCCACTCGTCACCAGCTGGCGGGTACGGAATGAATGTTAAGCTTGTTGCGACGAGGATCCAGCTTGTCCTGTCGAGCCATTTCCTTTCCTGCCCTGTCTGTTTCCGTCTTTCTGCGGCGTGCATCCTGTGTGTATCCTGCAGAAGAAGAGAACAGTTTGGCACGCACAGCTACGATGTTCAGAATCTGTCCTACAGACATGCTGTGACACAATGATGGGCCCGTTGATGAGGATCAATACTGATTACAGCCACTTTTGTCGCATGCTAGGGCCAAGGGCGTGGGGATGCTGCAGGATCTATTTGAGCTCTCATCCGAAAAAGGATGTGGTCCTTGTCCGCAGGACAACAGTGGTTCTTTTTGTCCCCCACTAGTCTAGTCAGCGTTAGCGTTCGGACTGAAAGAGCCGTGCTGTCGCTGGGTTGAGGACCCCACAAGTTTTCACAATGGAGCTTCGGCAGCACAGACGCAAGCCAACTACTGCACGCAGTACCTCTCGACATGCTAGATTTGGGTTAACCGGAGATCTGATAGTAATTTCGTTTCTCAACTACTGTATTGTCTATTGATAGATACTGTGCAAGATGCAGTTACGTGGCTAATGTTAGGCTCACTGCAACTGGCAGATCTTTCATTTCATGCCTCTTAATTACCGTCTATAAGGATGAAAAAATCACGTTATTGCAGTAGAATGGTCAGACTCATAGTTCACCACAAAAACACTCCAACCCAGTTTTCCTATCCTGTCATCTCAATCAGACCCGTCGGCGTTATACCAGAAATCAACATGGCCAAGATCATTCGACCACTCGATCTAGAGGCCGGTTGGCGATGGCCTCGTCAACTCAACATCCACACGGCTGACACCAAACAGGGGTGCCTCGACTGGATGGCTAGTTTTAGGACGTTTTCTGGCCATCTACCCAGAAATAGCGGTCCCTGGCGGAATCTAGCCTTTGTGAGGCGTGGCTTGTCATCGTTTTGCGTCCTCCCGCCCGAGTCAGAACTCAAGCACAGAGCTCGACTTGGAACTGGTATGTTATTCGCCACATGTCCGATGGCCAGATTTTGGCAAGCGCTGACGACCATGCAGCATGTCATGTGCGAGAAGCCCATCTCAGTTGACTTGATCACCACCGAAGAGGTCGTAGCCAAGTCCGTGTCTAAGCCTCACCTCAAGTTCTTGCTTCCGTTCTCGCGGCGCTGTGAGTGCTACACCAACGAATCTTGACGCCGTCCTAACCAAGCTAATACGTGCTAGATGACGAATCTTACCGTGCTACAAAAAGAATGGCCGAGAACGGCCAATTAGGGGAGATTCATGGAGTCGAGGCTTCCTGTCTTCATTCTCAGGACAAGAATGGTAACCGCTATCAAAGACAAACAACTTTTACGGAAAATCAGACTGACACCCTCACAGCTTTTTATGGTCAGATTCTCTGAGCAATCGGGCGGGATTTTGTCGATGCTGGTATCCACCGTGTCATAAAACCGTCGGAAAACATTTGGGCTTTGACTTTGTCCCTTTTTTCTTGTTCTTTTTTTTTTTTTTTTTTTGCTGACCTTATCAAAGATCAATGTAGGCCGGTACTTTCTCGACGTCGAAAAGAAAATCCCGAACACCAAGAAGCAAGTCAACCGTGTGGTTGCATTCGGCCAACAAGCTGTTTACAGCGAACTTGCCAAGTTTGGCGATGCAGATAACGCCTGGGGGCTGGTCGAGTTCGCCAATGACAAGATTCTCCAAACTACCTTGAGCCGCACCATCACCAACGGCTTCGAAGCCTTCACACGCGTTTGCGGGACCAGGGGACACTCGGTCATCAACGGCAACTCGACACTGAACTGGGTCGAGATCCGCGACGAGTACGGTGTCCGGACGACCTCGACTGCCGATGCTTTCGCTCTCTACGACAGAACGTTTATCAACGACATCGCAGAGTTCGCCACAGCTGTCCTTGAGGACCTGCCTCCGTCATGCTCACCTCAATATGCCCATGAGGCAGGCAAGATTGCGTGCGCCTTGCAACACTCTTTCGCTAGGAGAGCCTGTCTATTTCGATGAAGCTGGCCAGCCTATCTTGAAGTTGCTGGTTTCCAACTAGAGAGCATGAGTTTCATAACAGTATCTAGCCTACAACGAACATTGATAACATCGCGATTATGTTGAGTATTTAATCACATTCGGATTTGATGTAGAAAAGGTCATCCGCAATTGGGCCCTGATACCTTACTTATCGGGCCTTATTCAGGTGTTCTGTTATTTGTTCTACTGAGGTATAAACTTTGTGCAACACCTTACCAGCTTCAACAACATGGATTTTGATCAGCCGAGTAAAACCAAAATTGGATCGGCGAAAAAACCTACAAAATAGACTACAACTTCCAGCACCATTCCCCCCTCATTGTAAGCGTGTGTATTGATGCATCTGCAGAGCGTGGCTAATTAGAAGGCTTGGAACATTAAACGGGCGCGAAAGAGCTGGCTAGACCTGGAAATCCGGGACAATGGTCGGAAATCTTGTCTAGACCCGGAAAGCTGGGGATAATCGTCGGAGATCTTGCCTAGACCTGGAAATTTGGGATGGTGCTCGGAAATTTTGCCTCTCCTATCCACTTATAGGTGGATTGTAGCGATGGGGGCCTGAACCGATACGGCAGGGTTGCATCATTACATGCGGATGTAGCAAGAATTGTAGTATATACATTCATAGGAGCTTGCCTGAGAAAAGGAGGTACTGCCTACTAGCTACGCGTCTATCAGCATATCTAGTGCAGAGAAGGCTTTACCACGCTATACTGTGGGGGCGCCTCCGCGAGTCACACTAATCATCCCCATGGGTTTCCGTACTCGAACCTTGCAGTCACTAACTAAGCTACCGACTGGGTATGGCTCAATATCCTCCAGCGCGCCAATGGTTACTACGTCCGTTCCCTGCACGAGAGGGGCATTGGGGTAAGGTTTGGGGAAAACCCAAGGACGCGTGCGGTAATGACTCAAGACATCACAGTCCAGGCGGAGGACTTGCCCACATGCGGGCTGGTCGAATTGTGCATATCTATATTTTCCCCATGCCGGGAGGCCCCACCTCTCCCCCACGGGGAGGACTGCACTATGTTGCTTTGCGTAGCGCCGTGGGAAAAGAATACAAATGTACAAACGCCGCGATCAAATGTATATAAGAGTGGGTGTCGAAGCGTATCGATCTTGATTCAACTCCTACCACCGCAGAGCAGGAACAGTCTTCCTCCTACGTGATCAAGAATCTCTTTGCATACTACACAACAGCCCGCCGACCGTCAATCGACATGGACGGCGCAATGGAAAAACCCCAGGCTGGCGGCGAAGTCGAACACCACGAGACGGGCGTCATGGAGAAAACGTTCAACGACGTGGAGCTGATTGCGCAAAACATCCCGTACGGACCGAGTGGTGTGAGGGGGATATTATCATCCGGGCCCTACATCCTCTCGGCTGCGTTCTTGGCCTCCATGGGTGGCTTCTCCTTCGGCTACGATCAGGGCGTCATGGGCGTCGTCAACGTGCTCCCACAATTTCACGCGGTCATTCCGCGAACGGAGACGGCATTCGGCAAGGGGCTCATGACGGGCATGCTCCTCCTCGGCGCCTTTGTCGGCTGCTGGTTTTACCCGTACATCTCGGATCGCTGGTCGAGGAAGAAGGCCCTCCTTTTAAGCTCCATCATCTTCATCATTGGTGCCATCATCCAGACGGCATCGTACAACTATGCTACACTCGTTATCGGACGGACGATCGGAGGTATTGGTACCGGAACACTTGCTCTGGGTGCCCCGGTGGTAAGTTCCATCATACCTCTTATTTTTTCTTTTTCTTTTTCTCAGCGCGTTGCTGACACAAGTGTAGTATATCTCCGAAATTTCTCCGCCTCATCTTCGTGGAACTCTCCTTGTCTTGGAATCCGTCTCCATCGTCTCCGGCGTCACGATCGCATTCTGGATCGCTTACGCATGCAAAGACATCCCTAGCGACGCCTCGTGGCGCGTGCCTTTCGCGCTCCAAATAATATCCGCTCTCCTCCTCGGTATTATGATCCAATTCTTTCCCTACTCGCCACGCTGGCTCGCAATGCAGGACAGACATGAAGCATGTTTGAATAGCCTATGCAAGCTACGGAAGCTTCCGGCCTCGGATGAGCGTGTCCAGGCTGAGTACGAGGGCATTCTCACCGAAGTTAAGTTCCAGGCAGCTATGTTGGAGCGCCACCATCCCGGTGTTCGCGGGGTCAAATTAGAAATCGTACAGTGGCTAGACCTCTTCACCATCAAGCGGTGGAGGCGCACTGCAGTCGGCGCGGGAGTTGCCTTCTTCCAACAATTCCAAGGTGTTAACGTGAGCAATATACCACTCTGAGTACTCAATGGGAAATAACTACTGACGTGATTCTCATGGATAAAGGCATTCATCTATTACGCTCCGACACTCTTCAGAAGCATTGGTCAATCAGACGAAATGTCGCTCGTCCTTTCCGGGATCTTCAATGCGCTGCAAATCGTCGGTGTGTGCATTGCATTTGTACTTATTGACAAAATCGGCCGGAGACCGCTCGCTATTAGCGGTGGTTTCGGCAACATGACTTGTTTCATTGTTATCGCCGCGCTTGTAGGCAAATATGAAGGCATCTGGATGCAGAACACAAGCGCAGGCTGGGCCTGTGTAGCCATGGCCTTCTTGTTCATCATCGTCTTCGGCGCCTCGTACTCTTGTCTCGGATGGGCTCTCCCGGCTGAAGTATTTCCCATCGGTATTCGCTCCAAGGGTGTCGCATTCGCGGTTTCCATCAATTGGATCTCAAACTTCATAGTGTAAAGCACCGCATTACCACATGAGAAGACTGAAACCATCAACTGACAAACGATTGCAGGGGCGTCGTAACACCACCCATGATTGAGAGTCTCGGGTATGGCACCTACATCTTCTTTGCCTGCTTCTGCGGCTTGGCGACTATTTGGGCGTACTTCCTCGTCCCAGAGGTAATTCTCAACATCATCACACACACGAAGATCTTAGTGCTGATACTATCTCACAGACTATGAATAAGAGCCTTGAGGAAATGGATCAAGAGTTTGGAGATGTTAGTGGGCGTGAAGAGCAAGAGGTCATGAGACAGATCAGGGCAACTAACCCATCCTTGGAAAGTTGAATACAGAGGGAACTCTCATTAAAGCGTCATCTTTGTGTCACTTCTGCCAGCAATGCCAATGGTCTAGATACACACTTGTCAGACACATCCGTAGCATCCGTACTACAGACTAGATTGGCGCGACATTCCAATAAGAGAAGAGTCAGCTTTGGGGAGAATGTAGCGGAGTTAATGAACCAATATCACATGTCTCATGATCACCTGCCAGACCCTTATGTGATACAAAGACTATATGTAATCGAATTTTATGAAAGCGATACCAATCCTGCGCCCTGACAGCGCAATCGGAGGACGTCGAAGGACTGCCTTAGCCATGGACACTGCTACTCATTATTCGAAGTGATACATTTTGTGTTGGCCTGGTAAATCCCTTCCCTCTCCTCCAGAGATGATAAAGAAACATATCCATATTATTGCGTAAAAAAAGTCCGAGCTTTGGAAATCTTAAAAGCGATTTCCTGGTTTTTTTTTCCATTTTCTCTTCTCTCCAAGCATAAGCGGACTAATTTGGACCGCGAATAGGAAATACCTTTTTGAACATTTGGAGTAAGATACCATAATGGCCTAAATGTGTACAACCCTGACACTGTACAGGACCAGCCTACTAGTGTGCAGTAATGCGCCAAAATCGTTTCGTGGTGACGCGGATTGTGCCCCATTCAGTTGCACTTCATCTCAGTTCATTTTCTCACTCAAGCATAGGTCAGCTTTCGTGTTCACATGTATCCACCAGACTGATCCAAGACGAGTTCACCAAATACGCCTTTTCGCTGCCTTATTTTGCGACGGCGCTGTCGCATGACGTAACGAGCGACGCGACATAACATGTCGATGGGCGCTATGTAGTAGTAAGCTGTACGCAGGATGCCGTAAGAACAACATACACAAGTCAGCTCAGTTGTATCCATGTTTCGGCTGTCTCGAGGTACAACGGCAAACTATCAGATTGATATCATCTCCGGCACTCTTACAGATAGCGAGAGGAACAAAAATAGTAAAGTTATTTGCGGATTACTTTATTAATGTCTGACTGCATATCGGAAATAGGTTCGGAGCTGGAACCGGTTTTGTTGATTGCCGCAGTGGAACTCGGTTCAGTCCACAACCACGGCTGTGCTGTGTGAAGAAAGGACGCTCCAATAATCATCTGGAACCATTAATCGAGGTTTAATTAGCATCCAAAGCGTGAACATACAAGGGAGCAGAAGGTCGGGTACTCTCCTAGAAGCGCGATCCACGATAGATGCCACAGTGCGACAATGAGACATCTCCAACAATCCACATAATACAGACCCGGCGAACTCATTGTCCCCATCGTTTGCCAGATCGTGTGAGTACATACAACTATAGTTTGATACCAACTATCGTAACGGACAGGAACTCGACAATAGAGCCCACTAGGCTAACGGACAATACGCAAACGTGATATGCCAGCGGCTGCCATGACTGTACCAGCTGATGAGACATGAGGAAGCATTAGAATATCGCATTCTGTTTAACAAGAGTACATAAACTTACTTGAAGCGATACATTGAACGCGGCCATTGAAAAGAATATTTCTTCAAGTGTTCCATGACCACACCACTTTGTGTCCCTCAGGTGGGTCAACATCAAGGCACAGAATAAGGTTCCTAGCCACCAATCGACGTCTCCACCTTTGTTGTTGTTGTTTTGTGGGGGGGGGGGGGGCCGGGGGGGGGATGCACAGAACGAAGACCTAGTGATGGATCTTGAGAGAACAACTCTTTATAGGGGAGCGACGGATCCTGTCATTAGAATCATTTATGAAGCATGGATCATGATTATGGTATACCCCACGCAGTCTACGGGTCTCGATGTTTATCGGATTGACGTTCCATCATGCGCTTTTATAACCGATTTCGTTTTCAATTTTCTCTGTTCTTCTCTTGACGTTGCTCATTAGGACGAATCAGGGTCACTTATTGCTTTCCTTCCAAGTTGCAAGCGCCATTGAACGGGCTATAGCCGACCTGGGTAAAATAGCTGCGTGCCACGCCTCCGCCCAGCGGGCACTCTATATTCTAGAAGCCGTTGCAAAGAAGGAGAACCTCTTGATTGATACCCAGCGGCTCCTGGGTCAGCAATTATCGGATTATCTATTTGCCGCGAGTACTTTTGGCACACTTCTAATGGCCTTGGGGAGGATGCTCTAAGTACTTGGGACAGAAATCTGGGCAGATTTGTTTGTAGTTCGCAGTGGCTTGCAGCTGGGTTGCAGGAGCTTCAAAAGCCGCCCTTCTGGCTGATTAAGGTGCACGACCAGACATGCTTTCCAAGTCAAGCGCTTATAGAAGCCGCTGGGTTTGCCTCTATTTAAGCAAGGCTGCTACGAGTGTACTTTTGTTAAAATGCCCAGGGTCTGAGCCATGGCGAGGAAGGACAAAGAGTTGAATATGTCGGGCTCTGCCTGCGGCCCGTGCACCTCGGCACCTGATGCGGGGCGGCTAATAGGCCCACGGGTACCCGTGGCTGCAAAATCCCACGGACCCGTGGCGACAACCAATTAAGCTTAGCGCCATTGGATTTTCTATGCCAACCCGCACAGAATCAACCTCGAAGTGCCTCGTGCCTTGGTCCTGTCCGTTCTCACAATTAATAGAGCGATCAAAGGCCCGGGTGGTCTAAGGGTTTGAGACAAAGGGTAGAGCGTTAATAAAACCTATAATCAGGCCTTGCTCAGTGGTACTAAGCTATGGTTTAACTACAATACAACTCCTTTCTTCCTCAGCCGAATGTATGGCTTGCTGTTCCTCAATATCCTGTTGTGCTCTTGTCCAAAGTTCACCCGTACCCCTTCTATCGGGGACGATACGGCCATTATCAGTCTCTTGAGCGACTATTTCCTCGATACGATCAGTCTCTTTCTTCTCCCAGTCTAGATATGCCATCATCTCTTCCCTTGTCCAATCTCTTGAGCCTGTTGTAGTAGTACAGCGTTTACCCATCTGCTTGAAATCAAGACACCATTGGTAACTTGCTTTCTTGATTCGCACTGGTAAACCCATTGCCCTTCGATAGTCCCTATTACCTAAGAACTTTCCAGGGGGTTGGGCTTTATACCAGGCGTCCCTTGCGGCAACATATCTCTGGTAAATCGCCCGTGGATCATTATATCTCAAAGGTGGGCTAGAGACTGCGACCGGCGAGGTTACTATAGACCTAACTGGTGTCGTTGGCTTAGGTGATGTCACCGGACTGGATGTAGACTTGGTAGGCGATCGGATACCTGATTCAGCGGCGTTTCCTATCCTTGCAGCTAGCTCTGAGTCAGTAGTTAGCTGTAACACAATCTGTTCTTCGACCGTATCAAGCTCCGCCGGAAGGACGTCTTTACCCTTTGATGTCGTTGTTGGCTGATCTTGTTCTAATTCGACGTTTATGACTGGCCGGGCTATTAGTTCTGAATACCTTAGTGGGCAGTCCTTTGACGCTTTCGTATGCCCTAATACATGGCATTTACTGTAAAGGGGTGGTGCTTTTGATGGCGTAGTAGCTTGTTGCACAATTTTAAATCTATTTAGCTCTCGCCTAACACTTGATAGCGGTAAAGACGAAGAAGCAGCAATCGGACTGATACGTTGGCGAGGCTCCAACAGCAATCGAGGAGTATCTTCACGAGCTAAACGCCAGTGTGGATGGAAGTCTTCAAGTTGTAAGGCCTTATCGTATGCCAATAAGCCTTCTAGCCTATGGGCACAAGGTAGCCCTTAAGATCGGGTAAAGGAACCAGTACAGATAGTTGAAAGAGGTGGATTGCTTTCGAACAATCTTTTCCGCTGTGCTTCGACCTTTCGAAGGGCTTCATGTGATACCCAACCACGTACTGTGCTATATAGTACTCCCGAGAGTTCAAGAGGGGTTCGAATCTGTTGTTTAGCTTGGTTATCCCGTAGCTCTATGAGCTGGTTTTGTAATGCGTGCTTAATAGCTCTCCAAGCGTCAAAGAGATCTAAGGTAGACACCTTTAGGTAACTCTTTAGGAGCCAATGGATACCTTTAACTCGTGAAGAAACAACGTTGTCGAAGTGAGGGTGCTGATTAACCCAAGCTTTCACAAGCTTCTCTTTGTAAGGATCAAGCCAGGTTTTCTTTATATATCCAACTTCGTCAAGATGCGTGGGAAGATATTTCTTTTCGAGCTGGAGCAGACGTTCATTAAACCTCTCTTCATCCGGCGACCCAATAATTGCATGCCAATGTTTGAAAAACTCGTTCCATTCTTCGTTCTCCGCAAAGGCAGTGATCGGAATGGTCTGGTATAGTCTGGTATGGGGGGTCGAACCAAACCATACTAGGAGCTTACATAATAACCGGTATGGTATTACCGGTAAGACCAATAATACCATTGATGGTGCTAAGACTTTTTGAGAATGAGCGGAGAAAAGTGTGTTATATTACTAGCTAGCGACCCAATCGTTGTCGTTCCCATAGTCCTTACCATTATTATTCTCCTCGACCTGGGGCTTTCTATACCAAGCCCGGAGACACTTACACGCCTTTATAATGTCCGCCTTTAGCCTACCACGGCGATCAACTATAGTGAGCTTTGCACTGCTGAAAAGACGTTCACACTTATCCGACATGGGCGAGATTGCAAACAGGTCCAGAGCGAAACGAGCAAGATCTCTTTGGGAATCGTAACGGGATAGCTAGTACGTAACGGCCTCGTCGTAGCCTGCCTCGTCGTCATGGAGCCGGTCGGTGGAGATGTATTGTTCATACAAATCAGCGGCAGAGACCGGAGCGTCTATCCGAATACGTTTGTGTTCCCTCTGGCGATCGAATGCTAGGTCTGGATATCTCTCTTTTCTGACTGGTGGCGGTAGCATCTTAACGGGGTATCTTCCTTTATACTCTGTCTCCTAGAGCTGCTTTACTACAGATTATGCGTTGTCAAACCACCTCTGTCTTTCTTTTCCGGCTTCGAGGACCCATTCTTGCTTGAACCATGCCCACTTTCGATATGGGTTAAGTATCTGGGCTGCATAGTACGCTGGCGGAAGGTCAGGATCTTCGGGGAATCGATTTTGCTAATTCAGCTGCTGGTTGTTGTAGTACTCCTCACACTTCGACTACGCAACATCTACGCACCATTAAAGGTACTTCTATGTAAAGTTATTATCGTCTTCGGTATCGATTGTATCGTAGTGCCCTTTTGTTTTATCTATTTCTCGGAAAAGGCAGTCCAAGGTTGAAAACCAGTTTGCGAGCGATGTCCCTTTCCCTTTAGAGAGCAAAGTTGCCGCATAAAAGTCCTTTAGAGCAAGCTTAATGTTTTCAAGCTCGAACTAGTGTTGTCCGTCAAGTTTGAAGTTCGAAATCCCGTAGGAGCCTTTCCCAGGTACATGACGAGCTGAAAATATTTCCAGCCGTTCACGAACGTTTAACGCCCGCGTAATCGAATGATACCAAGAATTCCAGCGTGTCGAGTTGTTCTGAATGAGCTCGAGCCTATCGAATTCGGCGAGATCTCCGCCTATAATTATTGCGGCAAACTCCTTACGGCGTTGCGGGGTAAGCCTGATGTATCGTACGAGGTTGTAAAGCCGACCTAAGCACCTAAACTTTTTCCAGAGCTCTTCCACCTTCGCATAGTCTCCGCGTTGATGGTGTTTCTCGAGCTTTGCTAGGTACTTTTCACAGTCCCGGCCTATAAGGAATGCCTGGTAACAGAGATTGATGATATGGCCCAAGCAACGTAGCCGGCGATGGCGGCGCTGCTTGGGCGTTATCCATAGGCAGAGCTCCTTGAGTATGAACTTAACGGCGGTATTGTTCGACGAAGCATTATCTAGCATGAAGTATCCGATCTGGTCTCCGCCAACATCATATTCTCTAAGTAACTCGAGAACCACCGACCTAACGTTCTCGCCAGTGTGTTCGCCGTGCACGCGCCGTATACCCAGAACAGTAGTTTGTCGCTTGCCGGCCGTATCGATCCACATGGCGACAACCCCAAGAATAGCGTAAGAATTTGGTGAAGTCCAAAGATCAAAGGAAATGGAGATTCTACTCTTAGCTTGCCAGAGGTCCTCTTTAAGCCGTTACTTTTTCGATTGGAAGGCATCCATAACCCAGCTTCGGATAGTTTTCGCTGCTTTTGGAAGATGACTGAGGAGTGCCGGATTTAGAAAGAATAGTAGCTCTCGGAAATACTGGTTTTCTAATTAAAAGAAAGCAATGTGGTAATATATGATTTAACGAACTAGAAGCTCTTTGAACTTTTTAATCGAGTCTTTCTAAAAGAAGGTATTGGTAGCAGCCGCGCTCTTTTGTTGCTCGAGGACAGACTTCTGTGTCCGACTACGCTTTTTGATACCACTTTGGGGGTCGATCTGGTATTTCTGTTCAAGATGGTTTCTTACTCTAGACGTGCTATTGATGACAAAAAGCTCTTGCTTTTGTTTTCCGGCTGCATACTCGTGACAGTAATACACCTCTTTTTTATCACTGTCTCGGATGTAGCGAAGGCCATACTTCCATACATGTGATAAGCCAAGACGGGCTGCTTTATTTGTGGTCTTTTCGCGGTTTAGGTACGTGATATTGTCTTGCGCAAATTCATTTGGAGGTTCGGGATACTGAAGGGGAGCAGGTGATGGCGTCGAGAGAGGTAGTGTGGGAGCAGGCGACAGTGTAGGAGTCTTAAAGGGTGACGGTGTTAAGCCTGTAGCCGAAGAGGACGGCGAGCTTGGAGCTGGAGATTCCATAGGTTATACCCCAATACCGCCAACGGGCCAACTACGCGTCGTAGAATTGTAAGGTCAAAGGCGAGAAAATTCTTGACCTTAAGGCGCTAGCCATTTTGGTCTAGAACCTAGCCGCCTAGCACCATTAGCTTATCCTATTTTTAGCCCATTTAGCCTAACTGGTATGCCATGGTATACCGGTAAAACCATGGTATTGAGAATTCTCCAAACCATACTAAGTCTTGGCGGTATTTACCATACTAATACTAATTCATACCAGACCATTCCGATCACTGCGCAAAGGTGGGCTTACAGTACCGAAGAACAGCCTTATTTGCATGCTAAACGCATAATAACGAGTTTGCGGTTGGGAAGCAAGTACCAATAGCATTCATACATGCTATACAGCGGTCCGTTAGTATAACGGAGGGCGTCCGGGCATTACACAGTTGGTAAAGTGACTTGAGGCGGTTTAGGGCCCAAAAGAAATCCGACTCAGCTTCGCCATCGAGAAAAGCAAATGCAATGTAGAATGATCGTTGACAGGCGTTAACTCTAATAATGTCCAGGAGTGGCATTCTATATCTGTTCGTCTTATATGTATAGTCTAAGATCAGAATATCTGGATAAGTTTGAAGATATCCTAATGATTGCGGGTGGGCGAATAGAACTGCTATAACTCGGCCATCTGAATTTGTCTGGAATTGACTCCAGAAGCCTTCTTTGAATAGCTGGTCCGCAAGTGCATGAATAGTGCTTTGACCTTCGCAAAGATCCCGCTTAGCGTTAGCGATACGATTATAGATATCTTGCTGCGTTGCAATTGAGCTTGTATTCTGGCGCATATACGTTCTGATGTCTCTGGGAGCTATTCCAGCATTCCTGAGGTTTTGGATTTGCGTTATATCCGGTGTAGAGAGTGCTCGGTGGGTTGGATGTGTAGATGGACGTTGACTGGGTCGGTGGTTATGAACGGAGAATCGTTTATCAGGACGATGCCGAATGGTCCAGGTCCCGTTCTGAGCTTCCTTTGCTAGTATCGAGAATGGGCAACCGGTTGTTCTGCTAGTGGTTTTGCGCTGCCGTTCCTTGGACGATTTTGGGGGATGATAGAAACGATCACAGGCGTATGTGACAGTATATCTACCCGTCTTCTCTTTGGTTGATCTTTTAGTTACGAATGCGTAACCCTTTGTAGATGCCCAAGTGTTGATCGCCTGGACTAAGCTCTCTCGACTATTGTAGTCGCCTTCTGGAGGAAGACAGTCGTTGGGGAATGAAGCTGCCTGTTGGCTTTGGACGGTATTCATCTTGGTTATAGTGTAAGTCACGGTTCAAAATGTCTCATAGTAGAAGATATGATTTGGATGTTACTACGTTCAGACGCGACGCGTTAGGTGATTTAAAAAAGCAAATTCGTGTAAGAGATAGCTTCATATCTAATGGCTACGAATTAACAATAGGCAAAAGGGCTAGCCGCTCCAAATCAAGACCCCAGGACGCCAAATAGCTACAATAATCAAAGGATGTTGTTTCTAAAGGCGATCAATTTTGTAACACAAAGGAAATGTCGAAACGTACACGGCACTTCAAGGTTGATTCTGTGCGGGTTGGCATAGAAAATCCAATGGCGCTAAGCTTAATTGGTTGTCGCCACGGGTCCGTGGGATTTTGCAGCCACGGGTACCCGTGGGCCTATTAGCCGCCCTCACACAGCTTGCATAATTTGGGAAAGGGTGGTGTGATCTACGAGAGCTACGGGAATCTCGGCTAAAGCCCAAGTGGATCTAGCTGAAAGCCTATGCCGATTAGTCGGACTAATCGTCCATTGAAACCATGTCTCCTGTATGGTAGTTATCTTTTTGTTTGGTTGAATCAATTCTAATCCGTTCCAAGTGACATAGGTTCGAGAGCCAAAACCACCGAAGCAGTGCAAGCACACACATCTCCATGTTTTACAATTTACTGTATCATCCCACAAAGAGACCACGCCAGGTCGCCAGAGCGGTCCGACGTTTATACTCGCACACGGGTGCGCAAAATGAGGCACGCGTGGCAGTGTTGCATCAAGCACTAAAACCTCCAATTGTGAACGGTGTGCACAAGCCCATGAAACCCGGCGGTTACAAAGATTCGGGGGCCGATATCGCCTGGACTTTGCGCAACTCGGGAACGAAAGTTGTTACGCCCTCGCCGAAACCGAACCCCGGGTCGGAGGAGGGCTGGTGCTTTCCGGACACAGAGGAAGGCATACTGGAAGCTGTGGACAAGAGAGTTACCCATTTCTGGGCTAATACTATACTCTTTAGCGATCATCCCCTCCAGACATCAGCACGTCTAATTCCATACGAGGACAGGATCAGAGTCGTTAGTCAACCTCCGCGGTTTGTACAGGCCTACGACGATAAAAACTTGGTCAACGAGATCCTGCGCACGAAAAACTTTACTTTACCCAAGGCGTCTCTAGTATCAAGTCTGGATGCACTTCGTAAGGCCGTAGCCCCCGAAGGCGCTTTATCATTCCCGGTCGTAGGAAAACCAGTGCGCGGACGGGGCAGTTACGGCGTCACTGTTTGTTACACAGTAGAGGAACTCACGGTTCATGCGGGCAAGTTATTTGACGAATCACCATCAATCATTTTGGAGGAATACCTGGCCGGCCAAGAGGGCACAGTCACGGTCATGCCACCTTCGCCGGAGCGACCAGACCATTGGGCCATGCCGGTTGTCGTACGCTTCAATCACATTGACGGTATAGCGCCGTATAATGGCGACGTCGCGGTGACGGCCAACTCGCGCGTGGTAAGCGAGGAGCAAGCGGCAAAGGATACTGCCTATGGGAGTATAGCCGAACAATGTGTGCAGGTAGCACGCTTGCTGAGATGCACCGCGCCGATCCGAATTGACGTTCGCAGATTCAAAGAACAAGGCGATTTTGCACTGTTCGATGTCAACATGAAACCTGTAAGATGCTCTCTCTATGTCATTGAAACCTCACTTGATATGCTGACGTAGTGAAGAATATGACGGGTCCGGGAAGGCCAGGGCGGGAGGATCAGGCAAGCCTGACTGCAATAGCAGCTGCTGGGTTGGGCTGGAATTATCCTGAGCTACTTCAACAAATTCTTGGCTCAGCTCAAAGTTTACATACACTTCGGACTATTAAGCTGCCAAAAGACTTGTTCCCGTAAGAATGTAGCAAGTAGACCTCGTAGTCTGGCTAGAACTAGAGTACGCAAGCGTGATACACAAGACCAAACAAATGGTGGATACAGCTCAAAATAGAGATGATTACTCTGGTACATCTAGCGGATCGTCAATTATAGAGGATTGTATTGTAGTTCAAGAATAAACATGTGGTGGTTTGAAATTGCTAGTGGTGTGGTGTTGTGGGTCCTTGAACCGTGTCCCAGATTAGATGGTGTCCCAGATTGGTGTGCCGTACGTTACCGATTCAGGCGGACACCTCTCCCGGGCTCGTTACTCTTGCAACATAATTCGATAAAACGCCCACCGGATTTACTGGGATAGAAACCAACTGTGAAGACCAGTCAAGACGCCCCCCGGAAAGACCAGCCAAGACGCCCACCGGAAAGATCAGCCAAGACGCCCACCGGGACGCAACATTTCTCCGACTTTGGAAATGTGGCCGAAAACCCGTCGGACAGTGGAAAGCGAGTGAAGGCCAGTTGCGGCCGGCATTTTCCGCACTAGCGGTTGCACGAAGCCGTCCCAGAAGCCACCTCAGACCTATTCCCCACGGGCCCATGGAGGACCGTCGCGAGTACATGACATGGGGAAATGCTTGTCATTTTTCAAAGCTTAACATTATAAAACATGAAGGGGAAATGTGTCGACACTACATCATAAACAAACTATACAGAGCAGAATTAGGCACAATGCAGACTTTCGTCTTTAATCTCCTTGCGGCTGCTGTGATGGCCTCGTCACTTGACACTAGGCAGTCGGCCACTCCGGCTGTGCTTGATTTGGCTATCACACAGGGCACTCCTCAACAGTTGGCCAGCGGGATTCTTTACGGCGTTCCTGATGTGGAGGATCAGATTCCAGACGTGTACTACACGGGCCCAAAACTCAACAAATTCCGAGCCGGCGGCGCCCAACTGTTCGATGTTGGCCAACGTGGATGGCACTGGAATGAGTACTCGGTTCGGTTCCAGTCTACATTGAGCAACTATCGCACTGCTCGCAAGTATGGCGGCGTATTCCAATTGCTCCCACATGATATCTGGGGCACGGATACTGTCAATAGCACAACTGCCTGGCCAGGTGATAATGACGACTGGACGAGTTGGGACGCGTTTATTGACCAGCTCATTGCCGACGTTAAGATATATAACATGACTCCGGGTTTGCAGATTGACATTTGGAACGAGCCCGATAATGCTCCCTTCTGGACCAGAACCATTCCTCAGTATCTGGAACTCTGGAGGAGAACCTACATCAAGTTTCGGTAGGTTGAAGAGGCAAGCCCTCCCGCAGTTTTATTCATCTTACTGAACAGCTTTATAGGGTAGACCCAGTGCTCAGCACCCTTCCACTCGTGGGTCCCTCCCTTGCCGCCCCGGTGACTCGCAGCCACGCGTGGTGGTCCGCATTCTTCCCCTATGTCATCGAGCAAGATGTCATTCCCGACGAGTACACATTCCACCTCCTGAGGAACATTGCCGACGTCAGCAACGATCTGGCCTACACTCAGGCCGCCATGAACTCGTACTACAAAAACGTCGGCGTCCCTGTTCGACCTTGGTGTGTCAACGAGTATATCAATGCAAATACTGAGCGCCACAATTCTGCCACTGCTTGGCACATGGCACGACTTGAACGCTACAACGCGACTGGGCTGCGAGCGAATTGGCTCTCGACATCAGGACTGCACGACTACCTGGCCGAGTTGGTCTACCGTCCCAACTCCAACTCGGAGTACTACCCTAACGGTGCGTGGCACATGTACCGTTACTATGCCCAGAACATGACCGGAACCAGGCTTGCCTCGATGACCTCGGGGGACGGTAAACTCGATATATTCGGGACTCTGGGTAACGACGGCGTTGTCCGCATTTTGACGGGTGTGCGTGCGTCCACGGGAACCTGGACCATCCAAGTCAACAACCTGGAAAGCCTGGGCTTCCCGGCCAGTGGCAGTCTCACAATACAAACCTGGGGTTTCGACTACTTGAACGCTCAGACTGCATCGATCGGACCCAGCGACCGTGGCAGATATACCCACATATACTCCAATGGGACCTTGACTTTTCCCATCCATCAAACTACTGCGGATCTGCAGACGGCGTGGTCCTTTGAGTTTGCCTTTCTATGATTAGTTTTTTCTACAGTGCATCCACGGGCCCATAGATTGGTTGATTGATTGATTGTATGTCTGTCTTGAAACCTTCTTCCTAAAAGTGCGATTCACCAGAACGACTTGTTTTGTATTGTGTTGTGTTGTATTGGGTTCGTCAGTCCACTTCGTAATTACAGCAGATCTATCACTAGGTGAGACTCGCCTGCACTGTTTTGGGATGACGCCTTCGTAGGACATTACGCGACATGCAATTGCGTGGTGGCAGACTGCAAGCAAACGAAACGGCAAGAGCAGCAACTACACAAGTTGACAGTTCCAAGCACGATTACAAGGTCAAAGTCATCGAATTCAAAGATAATCAATCTACATGTCTAGCTCGTTTCTAGCTCGTCCCAGCACCACGTACAGGTTGCAAAGGCCGTCTTCGCTGGCCGCACCGCCACTAGAAGGGTGCAGGACTGCCACGTATCAGGGTACAGAGAGACCGCGAACAGCAGGGTGCAGACAGCTCGGTGAAGAGTGTGAAGAAGAAAGGAAAGAAAGGGAGTGAAAAGTCGAAGCAGAAGAAAGATTTATATATTTGTTCAGGCAGGATGATCCCACGTGGTCATGGTGGAGTTGCATGGCCATTAGCACTACTTCCAGCGTCGGTTCGTATGGACATACAATTTTATTGCGGTGGACTTGGACCACATCTGAACATGCATAATTTTAGCTATAGACATGGTCAATTGGTTTCCCCTCTTTGTCTCTCTTCTATTTCTCTTTATGCAGAGACAGTCCACTTGTGGGTCTCACCTAGAAGTATACTTTCGAACCCTCTGGAGTCCCGTGATGGCTGAGGACATATCTTTTCCCGGATAAAAGCATACTTGTAGCGCTTATCATCCACTCTTGATGATACAGTATTGACTCATTATATGATACTTGGATCATAAATTAATCCAAAAGAGCTTGGTTACAGTACATCTCATGATCCTGAGTTCGGAACTGGCATAATCCGAAAGAGTACTCGTGGTAGATTTCCAGGTGGGAGCTAAAATTGGATCTTCTGTGCTTAAAGAGAAGAGAAGAGAGAGACGAAAAGTGGAAGCCATTTCTGGACATGTCTGTACTGTACCTTACTCCGCAAAGTTTTTTCGGGATTCAAGTCTCCACAATCAGATGCTTCTTTGTTTCTTGTATTGCTGCTTTCCGACTCGTCTGCTTTCCATTTTGTCCCACTTTCTCCTTGTTCTTCCCCTCTTCCCGTTATTATTTCTTTTACCTTCCTTCTCTGCTCGCTTCTTACTTTCTTACTTCTCCTCTTCTTTACAATACCTTCTAATCGCTTCCATCTTCTTATCCACTCTTGCACACATCCCGTCTCTTTCTACCAGTCTATATTCCCGAAGCCACATCCCAGAGGCTACTCGTATGTCGGTCTCGTGATACATACAAAACAATTCACCAGAAAGCATTCGCTACCACGGGCAAGCGGACCGCCCTCCCCATAGGGTTCACCATGTCAATTCCGCATATGGTAGAAATGGATCACACACTGTCACCGCGGACACGACCACTTGAAGATTGGACTGGGAACCGAAAGGGTACTTTGGTGAGTTTACACTCCGATCGTCGGCGTGTGACAAGCGGCAGCTGGTCACTGACTTTGGCCCAGTCGCAACGACGAAATCGGCGGCGGCAGAGAAACAATTTCCAGATAGAACTCAATTACTGTGCAACGCGGGTGGATGATCTACTGGAAGGGTGAGTTGCCACCTCAAATCAGCAGAAGGTACACCCATGACTGACCTGCCCTACTTCATCAGAACCGAGTACCTGTGAGTCCGCCCTGTTCCATTCAACAGCTTCCAGCTAACGTCTAGCTCACCCTCCAGGATGCAACAAGTACAAGAGTAAATGCTCCCCGGAAGAACTCGATGACATGAACTAGTCACTGACTCCCGTGTTGCAGATTGAGACGTATGTAAGTGTTTGGGCTGTGTATATATGGCGAGCAACTTTCTCTGACATGCATACGCTCTATTAGGATCAGTGAGGGACAAGAGAAGTAAAGCCCTCTACGGCGACCACGATCCAACATATTGACGAAAGAAGCAGATTCAGGAACAAGGCTGTGAAATTACAAGAAGCCATATCATCCCTCCACACATCACATACAACGTCGAATCTGGCAGACGCGGACCAGTTTCAGCCACAGGGTTTCGTGTAGGCAATAGGGATATACTTGGAAATAACAATAGGTCATTAGGGCATTGATGGACGGGGCATAGAACAATCGTCCATTCTCGGACTCATGATGGCCGATTACATCTTGGTTTTCGTCATCTACAAGCCCCTCACGTCATGCCACATAGTCGGCCAGATTGAGAGTAGGAATACAACTTTATCGTAATGGGTCAGAAGATCGACTAGGTAGCCAAGAGTTCTGTGATGGTGTTCAATGACTAAGTGTGCGGTGGAACAACAAAAAACAGAGGCGGTCATGGTATCGCGGAGTCAAAGAAGTACTTGCAACTATGGCGCTGCGACTTTCTTGACATTCTCGGAGCCAGTATCTTTTCAATTTTATTCTCTATCGCCTTGTTATTCAATCGTCTGTAGCCTCCTGTGATGCATATAGGATGACGACTGGACGTCGGAGCCTGCAGGTCGCAGTCTCCTGATGCGGGGTTGTGCGACCGGTGACTGCGCCGCCTTCAGCCGCACGAGGCTCCCGACGTGTCCTAGACGAGGACGAGGACAACGACAACGACACGACATGAACTGCCCGATTGAACGACGCGACCCACCGAAGCCAGTATTGGTATTATTCACTCAGAGCCATCGAATACGCCACGACTCCTGATCGCGAATTGAGCGCAACACAGAAAGACTACAAGAGATGGACAGGCACCCTCGACCCGAAAGCCTGCACAGTGGCTTTGCATTGCCTCTGTCGAGATCGAAGCCCAAGCGGCCCTGCATATGCTAGACGAGCGACATCCCGGCGGTTCGTCATGGGCCGAGGTGACGACTATGTGTTCCACGCAGGTCGCAGACTATACCGGCAACAACCCCGATCCCTATATAAGCGCCTACTATGAGATGCCGCCGCGTCAGCAACCCACCATATCAGTTCGACCACCGTCAGACATCCATCCAGCGTTACGAGATGTTGACCCACAAGAAAGCCACCCGGAGTCGACGGGCCAACATGCAGGCGAGTGGGGTAAACCGCCTCAGCCGCCCCCTCGGGCTCGTTAAGAACGAAGAGTGTCAGCAATGTCCCAAAAACCGAATGAATCAGTATGACTATAAATGGTAAGGTTATGATCTGTGGACGGTCGTGAGAAATTCTAGTGGCCTGAATTGCGGATGAGGCTAACCGATTAGACAGAAAAGGTGCGGCGTATATGGGATTCTAATCTGTTCGGTCGTTCTCTACAGTTCATTTTGCTGCTATCCAATGATTGTGTTAAAGAGGCTATTCGCATTTATCATCATTTGAAGGCTTTCCATTGCATGTGTTACATAGCGATCCTGAAATGATACACAACTCTGATATCTCTACAATTTCATCTTGATCTTCACTTGCTCCATGTTGTCGTTATTGTTGTTGTAGAAGACGATACAGTGGTGATTAATCAAGAAGTGATTAAACATGGGTCATGAAGTTAGACAAGCCGACATGGAGTTCGATGGAGTATAGTCCGCCATTGCCGTACCGGCCGGAGCCGCCGTGGATGATACTGCACAAAGCGCAGTGATGGCAAGTCCACAGCGTCGACGGTCGGTGCAAAGGCCGGCATTTTGCGTGGAGTATATATCAGCATGATCGACTTCGAGTTAGACGGCCATTAGACTACGCCTGTTTGATTGCTTATTCAAGTCATCGAGCTAGGCGAGAACATTCGAGCACTCGACCGAGTTCTGACGCTACGTACTATGGAAATAACGTATGTTGTCGTTGATGCAGGTCGATGGATCGTGGTAGTAGGGGAGATGAGCATTCCACGATTGCGTTTCTTGGTACATTCGGGGGCTTGTGACCATTCTGGTCGCTCCCCATTTGATGTCTGATCTAGTGTTAGATGTCGGCTGCGAGTTTGTCTCTATGTCAAAAAAGACTCCTTACCAGGCTTGATCTTTTCATACGACGTCTCCACACTGACATATGGAGGAACCGGTAAGTTCATACTTAGAATTGAGCCTGGACTGTCCAGTGCTGAAAGTGCATCTGTACATGAATATGTACCTCCAGGAATGCTAGCCGGCTTGGGGAGGCAACCCGAAAGAACTATTGAGGCTACCGCTTGTGGGTCGGCTGATGGCCGTTCGCACCCTATATTGATCGGTTATTACGAGTGCCCATTTCCATCTTAAGATATTCTCAGGTGTTGGCCTGATGCAGGCGGCAACAGAGTGAAGACCGGTGAGCTGCATCATTCCAAGTCACTTACATCCACTCGTACAGGCCCAGGGCAGGGTACTTTGAGGTTGATGGCAGGTTTGTGGTCCGCTTGTAGAAATTCCCATGATCGTTCAATCTGTTGAGCTCTTCCTTAAGGGATTTATTCTTTCTCAGCATGTTCTCTTTACTTTCGGGCTGATTTCGTAGTATACGAAGCTGGCTAATCTCTTGTTCTAAGTTCTTGATGTGCTGTTTTGTGCGGGTCCTAATACTGCGCTGCGCTTCGCGATCCTTTGCCCGCTTTCGGGAACGCTGGGCGGGAGTCAAGGAAGAGACGGTTCCAGGTTCTGAAGTTGTTGTGATTAACAGGCCCATGTTTTTCAACTTAGTTTTATCACAACCACTCTTGCTCATGGTTGCCTGGGAATGGTTCATGGTAATGACAATTGCGTTGTTTGTTAATGTACTGGAGGTTGATGAACTCGTGACCAGAATACCAGTCATGCCTAGGTGCAAGCCAACGCTGGTTTAAATAATCAAGGGACTCCTGCCGTCATCCTGAGGCATGCAAAATGTGCGCCTAGGAACTAACGTTGTTCAGCAGAATGAAAGTAAAACCCTCACCCTTTTGTCTCTGTCGTGTCACTGCCGTGCTAAACGGTACGATCAAGTAAGGCGGCGGTGATATCGTAGGATCAGTCAGCAACGATAGATATCACAGGAGGTACATTAAATTTGCAATGTTGCCAAGTACTGCGAAGTCAGCTAAACTAATTGAAGGCAGCTTCAGAGGCTTTGATTGTCAATTGATTGTTCATCTGGTGTCCAGACCTTTGTGCGCGCTGCTTCCTATAGGCTTAGTCGGCTTGGCAGTACTTGAAAGATGAAAATTTAATGCCACCTACTATATAACTTAGAGCTTTAATGTTCGGAAGAGTACCGATGCTACCCAAAGATGTGATGCGGAGACACGTCAGCTTGCCTACAAAGCTCAGACCGACCTATTTGAGATAAGGCAAGTGAGAGTCAGAGACCGACATTAATTGGGATAACGGAGCGAGAGATATTGGTCGAATGACTTGACCGATCGATATAGGAGAAGGAAACAGGGCTACCAAGTATTATCTCCACTTAATTCGCCGAACTTGTCAGGCTATGGCGGTAGTGGAATCCAAAGCAAGACTATCAGACGCAACTCTAGCATCCGGCTAAGGTACTATGGGGCTCCAGCACTTCATTGACAATTCCACTTCCCACGCATAGAAACTGAATTGCAGAACCGGACTGGCCGAAAAGATAGTTTCGAAATCGACAACTTGCACTTGTGGGGTTCCTTAACCCTGACCATCCGTTCGCGTTCCATCCCATTATATTTACTCGGGGGTGGGGGGCTCCTTTCTATTTGACAATGAAAGTGACAGAGTAAATCACCATTTATTGTTTCTTTTCATAAGCTGTCACACAAAGCTGATTCAGGGTAGCTGCCCAAAGCAATTCGATAGGGCTCCGAATAAGACAGTCCATGAACAACACAACTACACAGTGCTAATCTAAAGGTTGCCTTGAGTCAGGGACCTGTCGATAGTGGCTCTACTTAGTATTTTAGCGGTGCAATCTGGGACGACAGCAAGAATCAATGCCGCTCTTTTCTGGCCGGCCCAAGGCAACCCGTCACACAGTAAAGAAATGGCCTGATGACTAGCCACTGGGGAAAATCAGACTCGTCACTAACATAGCGCTGTTCCACTAGAGCCGTCTGGGGAACCTGGGGTTTCCCAGGAATGTGGAGATGTGACGCTAAGGACTTCAGCTTCGGGGGACGCACCGGCAAGATGTCATCGGAGAATGCCCCGACGAAGCTCTGCACATGACCCACCTTGAGAGAGCCTAGCGCTTCACCGGCTCTACTATAGTAGTGTGCCTAAGAAAAAGGGCACGTAGGACAGCTATTGCACTACACCTGGATATGGTGTAGTACGGTGGGTCCCCACTAAATGATGGATATCATTATCGACACGTCAAAACACGAATATCAGATCAATTACAACAAGACTTATTGCGTTTCTAAGCTTGTTTCGAAATTGACGGTCCATTTGACTTTCGAATAGCAAATAATGCCGCCGAACACTCCGATTCGATATCGGTATAAAGATCGAAGAGATACTCGATAACGCTAGTACGGGGCCCACATCCCCCTTTTTTACCCCATCATACAATGATTTAGGTTTTATCCCCATAGTTGTTCGAGTATGGCATGTTATTCAAGCTAACTATAATTTGGTTGAGTGTCTGTAAGATACGGAAACTTTCTGCAAGACAGTATCGTAGTATTGACAATCACGCATTCCAAGGATGGAATCAGATTCTCTCACTCAGTTACGGGCCTGTGGGACCGTCCTGATCGCCGACACCGCAGATTTTGATAGTTCGAATACCATTCTATACCTTTTTCGTCGAGATTGCGGGTGAACAATACTGGCAGAAATTACCAAATTCAAGGCTTCAGAGGGAACAACAAATCCTTCACTGCTTTACGCTGCGGCGACGAACCCCTCGTACGAACCGCTCATCAGAAGCACAATTGCGCACGTCGCCTCGCTTCCGCCCACGATAACTGCCGAGGATCGCCTGAGGATCGCAGTCGATTTTCTAGCAGTCCAGTTCGGAAAAGAGATCTACAAGTTGACAGGCAGAATTAGCACGGAAGTTGACGTGTCTCTGTCATTCGACACTCTGGGGACGGTAGCTGCAGCTTTACGTGTCATTGACTTCTACGCGAAGGAAGGCGTGCCAAAAGAAGATATCCGCATCAAAATCAGTGCAACCATGAACTCTCAGTCCCGCATCGTCGCACATTGTGAATTCGACAGTTTTCAGTGTACCGTGACCATCCGGGTGTATCGCTGCGACTGGTGGTCTCGTGATAACCTGTCGCTCAACCATAGTGACGTTATTGTGCCAACCTCTCAAAACGTGATGGTTGACGTCTTCCACCCCGTCCCAAATTCCTTCAGCTGACTTGAGGCTCTGTATATGTAGCATTTCCATGCTACCCATTCCGAGACTTGATCTTGCAGGCCAAGATGTCGAGGCTACGATAGTGTCAGCGCCTTTCGTGTTGCAATGCTTAATAGCAAGTGGCCTACTATATCATGATTGGAAATAAACACTCCAGCGTATATACGAAGCGATCGACCTGTCCGGCAGTCGTCACGGCTTGCGGCAGAGATTGATTGAAGACGTAAGCAACAGCCCTCGAGATACCGACAAGGGCCAGCGAAGCGACCCGTGTCTCAATGCCTCGCATGAGATGCTGCAATAAGCCTCCTGTCAACGCCGCACCTCTTGATGCTTTCCGGGCCGAGGCAAACTCTCGAAGAAGGAAGAATGCGCTTATGCACTCCAGTAAAGCGATGAGCGCGAAGTAGCCGACATGCAGGTAGTTGATGACTTTCTGGAAATTGGGATGGAGGCTGAGAATCATCTTGATTCGGCCGACAAGGATGAACATCCGTATGATGGCGATGGCACAGAGGATGACCCAGAATAATATTATAAATGTGGTTCGGCTGCGACGGGATAACAGGCGGTGTAGGATGGCGCAGCCGTAGAATGATATCCCGGCTTATTGTATCTCTACTATGTCAGACTATGGTTCCACTTAATGGCCATTAAAATGGTGACGAACCAGCCAGAAGAAGTCCGCAAATCCAGATGCGACAGCTGCATGTGCTGTGGGAGAGTCGGCGTAGAATGCACAGTAACACAATCCATTGGCAATAGCGCACGCTGCGTTGACGACGATCGAGACTAGAATAACTGGAGATATGCTAGTAATGCTGATGACGGTCAAGCCGTAGAGTATATTTGCGATCCCAATCGTGCTTAGTATAGCCTAGCATTGCTCAAAATAGAGCGTCATGTTGGACTACATTGGGGGCGCCGATCTGAAGTTGCTTTTCTCTACGGAGAAGGCATTGCATAGACAGAAGGAAACATGGTCAACAATATGGGAGTTGCATGGACGTGATAAAAGATATTTCTCCCCTTGAAACCCCCTTGACATCCTAGACCCGATACTGCGGTTCAGCCAATTTCCTGAATGCAAGGGTACAGTTTGCTTGACGGTTTGTCCTTGAATTGCCCCATGCTTTTAGATGTTGGAGACGCAAGCATCAGGGATAAACCAGAAATACGAACCGACCGGGAGTCGCAAAGAGGCTGGACGCAGTACATCGCTGTAATGGGTGCGCGCTCCCACCACATCCAGAAGGAAGCCCCGCAGGTCAGATTTTAGGCGAACCTATTTCAGCCGTTGGGCGAAACTGAATCCCGCCCAAGCGAAAACCAGAAATGTGTGTACTAGTCATTTAGCTGAGGTAGAGCCTCGCCGACTTCCCTTCATGTCTGAGCTTGACTGGTCCAGGGTTCCACGGGTAATCTGCAAGGACCACTAATTTATTCCCCGTGATGGGGACAAGAGCGTGAGTACCACCCCACTTCCCGGAAAATATCACAATCATGCCTTACATAATAGAACCTTAATTTTCAGGGGTCGTACCCCCGGGCCCGGTTCCAAGCCAGGTGTACGCCAAGAATGCAAGGTAGTTGTTTGAAACCCTGCAGTTGTGACAGAGTTTAGTGCACTCCAAATTGCAAGTCCACGCAGATCCACTCTATCTTAACCCACTACACTCAAAGCTATATGGATCTACTACATAGACGACAAATAAAGATCCTAGCGTCCCATTCCATTTAGTACTTAGCGGATTACTTGGATATGGCTTCGGTACGCGGGTCTCACTCGAAGGCAGTCATCCAAAGCCGCTAGCGCAATTGATACAAACCGTACACATTCTCTTTACCCTCTCTATGGAGCGCCATGAGTGCACCTTCTTGGAAATATGCCAGTGTCTGCCTTGATCAATGTCTTCATATGATTGGAAAGCTTGTTGGCACTAGTCTCTCATTTCGATTCGATACATGGTCTTGGTTCCTTGTCATCATATTTCATGTCCTTTAGACGATTTTCTAGCGTCTTGACCGAAACAGAACCACCATCGCTTCCTCTCAACCCTGGAAGGCCTTCTGCTATCTGGTTTCTAAAAGACCCTGCGTTATTTTGGATTTTAAATTTTCTTCCAAGTCTGTGTCATCGGTGGCCATTCTACCCATATATGATATTGGGTTTTCAATTGTATGCGGGCTGCCCGAGACTGTTGGTCTTTACTCATGCCTGCAGGCTATTCCAACTCTCCCACTTTGGTCCCGCTCTATGACGAGTCCATGTCTCATCAAATTCAATCCGACAAGAGCCCCTGGCGACCGACTACATTACCTAGCCAGTCGCTCACCATTATCGACAAGTCAAGACCTCTCCGCATCTCTGTATTTGGCAAGCCAGGTATTGGAAAGGCGGCTTGGATTCGGCGAGCGCTTGAACTGGCCCCATTTCCAGAACAGGTACGTTTTAGACTTGTGCCATGTTTCGAGACGATGACTTACCGGCATTATCACAGTATCTGCCTATAGTACATCACAGCCACGTATGTAACTCAAACTGCGATAGGCATGACGGTTGTTTCGAGATTGCGGACGCGGGTGACTTAGCGACCACTGTCCCCACAACACTCCAACGATGGGCACAAGAAACGGAGGGGCATATCTTACCGTTCACACCTATGTGCCGCGAATCATTGCAAATATTTCATCAATTAGTAGCCATGAAGATCCTTCACGGACCGGTAATGATGATAGAACTAGAAGAGACAACCGAGGACACGTGGCATGTCAGCGTTGAAGCTTTCAAGATGGCTAAGACTAAAGGTTGGATATTTTTGAGTGCTAAAGACTACCCAAAACCCACAGAGCAGTTGCAGCGAATAGCCGAGGTGATCATGTCCAAGAAGAGGTCCTAGTAGATTTGACATATGTGATCCTTGGATTGCTGGATCTCATCCTTTTGTACTCACCTACAAGACTCTTCTTCATACTTTATCTCCTTCTCCCCGAGTCGCGAGGTCACCGATACTTATTCGAGTCATTCCTGCGGCCATCCCTTGATGCTCACGAAGGCAGCATTGAGAGTCTCGTTCATTTGGCTGATCAAGGAATTCAAGCTGTGGGATCAATTTGCTTGAAGCAGATTATGACATCGGTTGCAGCTCACTGGTCAACCATGAGGCCAAAGAGGAAGGAATAAGGAACACGTAATGTAAGGATTTGCACCACAAACTTAGGAAACGGCAGCCTGGTTCTGTGAGAAGGTTATGTAGTCAGAGCGAAAACATTTCAGCAGAAGCTCACTCGAGTCGGCCATACTTTTCTGTTATTTCTTTTTCTTTTTTACAGAATCTTAAAAAATGAAAACATCACGCGGAAAGAATGTGCTCGAGAAAACACACGCCATAGAAACAGGGTGTGCCGTACGTCAAGCCTCAATTAGAACTCCTAATAATCCTATTTTCTATTGCAATATTCCAATGTGTAATTTCGTGCATGGTACTTAGGAATCAACGTCGTTGCACAAGCTATTTTCTCGTCACCATCAAATCTCAGGGGCTAAGTGAAGTTACCAAGGATGATCCAACTCCCTCTCTATTCAACACGATATTCGCAATTCGCCAACCCTTCAACCTCCGACTCCTCATTATCTTTGCACTGCGGAGTCTAGGGAAGATGAACGTCATTGATTGGTGCGAAGCACTGATCTAACAGAGTCTTGATTGAGCCCGTCCATGAGTCAAGTTTCACAAGGAGTTTCTGGTTCCTAGAAGCAAATTATTTTCTGCCCATAGCAAGAAAGCCCGTGGTTGACTTACGCTTGGGTCGTTTCCTGATGACTGGAGAAAGAGGACATTAGTATAGTTTTCAGTATGATCGAATGGGATCACCCAACATACTGACTCTCTATCCCGTTGCATCTGATTAGCGAACGATTTTATCCGACCCTTCGGCTATGGGAAGCAGCTTACGTGGATGTCAAAGTTCCAAGGCGAGCTTCCAATTCCTCGATCCTCTGTCTTAGATGGGCTTCTAGGTCTTCCATCGATCTGAGAACAATATCTAACCTAGTCTAGATTAGCGCTGCGTATAGGAGAGAAAGTTCGTTTACCTGACCCTTCATCTTCGGCGTCGGTGAGTTGCACTTTGGGTCGAGCGCGCTGTAAACCTCGAGGCTGTGAGACCGCTGCAAAGCTGGAGCTCGGGGAACAATCACTATGCAAAGATGACTGCCTCCCAGAATAAATGTGTCGGTGGCGATGGGCGCCATGTGCCCTAACAGAAGACATCATCACGAGCTGCGTGAAGGGCCAACTGTTGCAAATTGTAAAGCTTATATGACAATAATTTCGTGGCAGATGCAGGTAGGATATGTCTTACTTAAGTAGTGGCTTTAACCATTGCGCCCACCTATCGTGCAAGTTCCTGCTTCTAAGGAAGCCAAGTCTCTTGAACATGTACGATGATCCGTGTTTTTTGATAGTCTGTCTGATACCTTGTGTACACTCAGAAAGATGCTTGTTATGTCCTGCCCCGGCAGCGCCCGTTGACTAATTGGAGCTAAGCACAATTGGCAAGAAGAACGTCAATCATGGGGGATCCTTGGCATTCCACCTCATTCCTAAAGCTTGCTCAATCATTGATGCTTGTTCACCTGCTAGCCTGCATGCGTTCCACAGGCAAGTCGAGATCCAGCACACGGATCCGCGCAATTCACACATACTCCACTGTGGTGGACGCTGTAGCATCTGGTGCATCAGATGATGTATCGTGAGTGATTTGTTCTGATCGGCATACCACAGTCTTGAGCAGGACTTCTCCCGCGATATGGAGCACACGAGAACCAGGAAATTGAGTTCATAACGGATCCGGCCGGATTACCTTCCGTGGAAGTGCTGGTCATTCTTGTCAGCCTGCGCAGACTACGCTGTACAGTACAATCTCGTAATATATTGCTTTACCCTGCCTGCTTCGCATTTTCCATTCCAGCTCAGACAGAAATAAGACTTCTTTCTTTCAAATTCGGACAGGATTCATCTTTCAGCTAGCCAGAAGAATAGAAAATGGCGGACCTTCCGGGCCGCAATCGCAATTGATTTATGGCACCGTGATCATAGCGAACCTCTTCCATCTTATCCAACTTTGGCCCATGCATCGCGATTACAGATGTCTCAACTGGTCGGTTCTTATATTTGTCACTATCAGTATGTCTCTGGTCGTACCTTTTGCAGTCCTCAATTCTGGCAACCAAAATGGAGACGGGAAACAGATCATTGGCACGGCCCTGAAAACTGTTATCCATGGTGCATGGTATATTCGTCGAGGTCTGTGTACACCTGATAATCACAGTGCCTAGCTAATGCAAAACAGTATCTGACAGGTATCTGGCGATAAGCTGCCTCTAACCAACTACGGGCGTGGGCCATCGCAGGCATCGTGCTTCAAGGCGCTTTTCTTGCATCTGTGAGAGGCGCAGTCAATATATGTTTCAATTGACTATCCTGTTGACGAGCATCTAAAGCTTGAAAAGAAGAGAATCACAATCTTTCATCCATATGATGGCACAATTTGTAGTTGCAGATTCGCCACTTCGCCAGTCCGTCGAAACCTTATGTGCGCGCCGGCAGCCATGCCTATAAGCTAGTCGGGTTTGAGCTTCATGGTCGCGCTCATGGTTGAAGGCTTTAGCTGACAACTGATACACGGCCCATAGCCCGTAATATCCTTGGCCTCTTCTATATTCCTGGGGCACTTCGCTCGATTTTAGCCTCAGCCATAGGCGGTCCATTGACCGATTACATTATGAAACGTGAAGCTCGAGATGCTGGAAGACGCTCCGCTGATGGTGAGTTGCAGTTTCGACCCTCAGATCGCATGTGTTAGAACGTGGGCTTGCTGTAGCCCTATGTCCCGCAGCACTCCTCACCTTTGGTTGGATGACCAGCCAGCGCGTCGTTTGGATGGTTCTGGTGAGTCTTCTACGCAAAAACAATCTGGGTTCAGCTGCAATGCTAATAGGCCACCTAAAGTGTGCGATATGCTTTTGCTTTGGTTTTGGAAATAGTATGGCATTTTAACATTTCAACAACCATCCTGACAGAGATCCTACCGGGAAGAGCGATCCACGGGGTTGCTCTGAATAATTTGATGAGGAATACCTAGTCATGCGTGGCCGCGATAGCGACTCAACCGCTGATTAATGCCATCGGGAATAACTCGCTTCTTACTGGGTTGGCAATCATTTGCTGGACCAGCTCCATTGTCATTTTAATAATTAAGCGAAACAGTGAACCATAGACAGAGCAAATCGCACGAGATCTGCCGCCATTATGATTAGAAAGCATTGAGATTCATTTGAGCATTGGTTTTATTAGCGCATCCCGAAGGCTTCTGATTAATTGATTGATTGATTGATTGTGGCAAACCACGCCTTCCACAGCCATATATTGCAAGGTTTATAAGGTATTAGTATCTACAAAAGTTTCAGCCTACGTACACGCCCGTCCATGCTGTTGCAGGGCCTAAGTTCGAAAACTCACTCATTCCCTCAGTCAACGCGACCTTCATCTCGGACATATCCTTGTGAAGAAACCACTAGCCTCGATAAATCCCGCCCACTGCGCGCTCATCTCCCCGAAATATTGGAAATAAGCCGCGCTCGTCGTGCACCTCGGGAGCATTCTATGTTTTTGCAAATTTCTACAAAAGAAAACATGCTCTGGTGCCTTCTCCTTTCCGCCACTGCGACGACGGGGTTGACGAGGTTCCTGATTCTCGGGCCAGTCAGTCACAAGTCAAGGAATAAGGGTAGGTCAAGGGCTAGGCAAAAGCCGAAACCGAGACAGATATCTATACCAGCTGCAACAGCGGCTGGGTGGACCAAGATGAGCTGGATCTGTATCTATCTGAACCAGTTATTATACGTATGGCGGCAGATCCGTTTACGATACCTTTATCAACAGCAGAGACTGAGCACCAGTTTAACAGCGCTGGCAAGATGATAAGCTCTACTAGAAACCACTTGAGTAGAGTGTTTAACGGGCAAGCGCAACCCGGGAATTTTTGGACCAAGATGAGCATATATAAGCCAGGGTTACCAATCCGTCTGCTGCAGAATCATGACTCTTAACGATAGTCTTGTGGCTTATGTGCACGCAACACCGCTTCCTGATGAATTAAGCTTATTAGTGAAGTGAAGGTAACCTTAAATATACCTTGGCAGTGGCTAGCAGCCACTGCTCAATTCGAGCGTTTCGATATATTCGAGCAGCAAGGCGCTGGAATCGATTATATTCGAACAGCAAAGAGCTCGAATGCATCGAGTATATTGATATGCTGATATGATGGGTAATTCACCATATTGTGCGTCGGCCATTAATGTATGTAAGTTCATCTTTATTACTTCCAATCTACCCCACAAGAGAGGCCTATTTCTTCCTTTGAATTGGCATTCTAAACGGACTACGGCGTGGCTAAGACTTCTTTCAGCTTCTTTCCAGAATATAGAGAGATAAGTCGTTGCAGTGCTTCGCCAGTACATATATTTTCAGAGCCCGCGCCGTATTTCCCAGTAAAATTGTGAAACTCCAAGCAAGCGCGCAGCGGGTGTCCTTGGAATTGGTAAGATAAATAAAGAAAGTATAAAAGGATGGTGCTAATTCAATCCGTGGCTTGGAAATGTGATGTCGTTGATCATATGGAGGCTTGGCTTAATGCAATGGATAAACAATACCACACCCCACTCCACCCGAACGCAAACGTGCCACCTTTCTTTTAAGGTTGATGCAGTGACTCGAGAAACTGTATTTCTCGGGTTTCTTGAAACGTGCCCAAAGTCTGGATAGTTGCCCCCAAAAGCGCTTAAGTCTTATGACCTTCGTGTGCACACTTCGTCACCAGTTATAGACATTGTATGGAGCTGGATAATGGGTTTCGCTCAATCAGCCAAAAGAAAGAAAAATGGAAAAGAAGACGCTAGAGTTGTAGTACTCTTTATAGGGAAGACCTACTTTATGGTCGACTGCGAATACAGCTGCTCACGCCTAAGTTGGATGAGTACAATAGAGTGACGAAACCAATACGAATAGGAAGTCTGTTGTGTCTCGCGCGGATGATAAAGTTTATGATTAAAGGCTTTCTCCTTTGACATCGCGAACATTCGAATGGTGACATCAGAGGCCTGGAGAGTTGGATTCGGCGGGCTGCCCTGGTAGATTAGATTTTGTGCTAGCGCAAAACTCTCAACTGACCAGCGACTGGAGTGCAGTGTGTGTTTAAGAAGCCTGCTTTCAGGCCATGCCAAAAGCTTCAGAGCTGGTGCTTCTGCTTATAAAGGTCAAGCATAGCATTGGCAAGTCCGACTCCTTTCACCTCCGCGACATACCTCAGGGTGGCTGCGATTTGTGCCTTTTGTTGCTCGCTGGAGAATGGGGAGGTGAGTGCTCCAAAGAGGGGGATAACAAGATGCGGCAACATATAATCATTAGGTTGGTGTTCTGGGGAACTCGCCAGGTGATAAGAAATCTCCCCTATCCAGCCGAACACGAACGGTATACTACCCACAATCAGATCTACTACTTCTCGAGCCTGCTTTGCCATGATTCGATACTCCGCTGTGCACTCAAAATCGGCCACCACCATGAGCCGGCCAGTAAAGTTTGCAGCCACATTGCAAGCATAGAGCCGTAAACAGCACAAACCCATGCCTAAACTAGCATGCTGCATGCTCTCCCAGCTGTAGGTCGGGAAGATGGGTGGGACTTCCTCTTTGTACTCTCCCGGTAGAGAAGTGGAGATAAACCTGACCATTGGCTCGAAATCTTTGGCCAGGTTACCAGGATCTCTAAGGCTAGAGAATGCGTTTCCAGAAGTTTTCAGATATCTAGTGAAAGACTGGGAAAACTCCTCCTGGCAAACCCCAATAAGTTGCTCTATCATTTCGTGGGTGAATGCGCTAGGTATCCCAAGGACGAGAAACGGCACATTCATGGATGGGTGCTCAATTAGCGTACTGCCAATCATCGCTTGTAAAGCAGCGTCGACGCCGTCCTTTTTGCCGGCAGCGACAAGAGACCGCGCTGTCTCAAGGAATGGATCGACGACCAACTGCCTCATGGAATAGATCGATTGATCATCCCATTGACCTGGGGGCTCAGCAAACCTCAGAACTGACGTTTTCAGCTATACAGTGTAAGCTAAAATGCCAATCCTTTAAGATTCACCTAAGAAGCACCGGAATGCAACCTACTAACCATTTTACCCCACTTATGCAAATCCCCCCCTTTTGCAACGCAATTTCCGAGAAGTCGAAGATTCCCTCTGAACTGTAACTACGTGATTCCTTCACCACCTTTTGTTCAATTGATACTATATTCACAATATGGGTAAAACAAAGGAACGCGACTTACAAGAAGCAATTAATTTGGTCGAAAACGGCGAAATACAGAGTCGCGCAGCCCGCGGCTTTGGAGTAGTGGCTTCCACTATATCACGAAGAAGGAAAGGATCGCAACCACATTCACGAGCCCACGAAGGCGATCAAATACTCTCAAATCTTCAAGAACAAGAGCTTACCGAATGGATATTACACGAAGAACGTTGCGGACGTGCTCCGGCTAAGAAAATCGTGCGAGATTTCGCTTGTGAGATCGCGTCAGGGCTCAGACCCGTTGACGAAGCTGTGAAGATTGGTCGTAATTGGGTACATAAGTTCTTGAATCGCCATCATAACCTCAAGACTAAAGTAGGACGTATTGTTAATGCTGATCGAATCGATGGTATTAATTCCAAGTCCATAAAACACTTTTATTTATACGTCGACCGTACTCGAACCTATTACGATATACAGCCCGAAGATACATACAATTGGGATGAAACTGGTGTTCAAGAAGGAGAGAATCGTAATGGAACAGTCGTAGGAACGTCGAGATCTCGTCGATCACGTATAAAGAAGTCACCACAAACTGGTTGGATGACCGCGCTACACTACGTAAGCGCGTTGGGTATTCATGGCACCGTGGTCTATATATTGAAAGGCACACATCTTCAAGCACAATGGCTACCACAAGATCTCGAAGAACATGAATACACAGCAAGTCCGAAAGGATGGACAAACACCACAATTGCTTGTGAATGGCTAGAGGATACATTCGGTCCTGAAACCAAACCTCGAGAGTCAAGTCGCCGTCCAAAACCGTGGCGGATGCTCATCCTCGATGGCCATAATACCCACGTATCCCCCCGTTTCATGTTGTTAGCGTATAGGATGCGTATCGCTCTTGTATACCTACCAGCTCATACTAGTGAAGCTTTACAACCACTCGATAAGTCGTGTTTCTCGTCCCTCAAATGGAGGTATCATCAACGACTGGCCAAATATCAAGGAATGCAAGCAACAGGACCTATTCAAAAGCAAAGAATGCTAGAAGCTTATGGCTTGGCTGTTCAAGATGCCTTTACAGAGGAGATCATACAATCAGGTTGGAAGAAGACTGGTATATGGCCCCCAGATCCTTCACAAGTACTTGAGGATACAGAGCTCTTCCCTCCTACCATTCCTTCAAGGCCTATCATACCACCACAACCGAAAGATCAAGTAAAAGTGATTCCATTTACACCACAAACCTCGAAAGAATATAGGGATCAAGTCTCTCACGTATTACGTCAATACCCAGGGCTACCAAGGGACGTGAGCATGCTACTCAAGAAAGGCGTCAAAACCATCGACTTGATGAGTGTTGAAATAGCAACAACACACCAAGATAACTTCATCCTCGATACTGAACTTGGTAAATACAAACCAGATAAACGTCAAACAGTCGAAAAAGATCCCAACAAGGTGTTCAGTAGCTTGCCAGATATTCGATCAGCGCAAGACAAGTTGGAAAAGAGGTTACGTGAAATGCCGCACGAAGATCAGCTTCCTATTGACTCTTTCGTCACAATGACACCATCTACACGTAAAAAGGCACGTAGAAGACGATAGGATTAATTATCATAATCGAGTTACTATTAAATTGCTTTGAAAACGTTATCCGAAGTTAGAAGTATAGTTTCGGGAACCCCGGAAATAGTGTTGCAAAAGGGGGGGGTTTGCATAAGTGGGGTAAAATGGGTTAGTTCTTTGCGCGCTAGAACGTACAACTTGGCACCGAATTGATGAAGCAACTTCCTGGGGCCCCTGGCTGTAATTATCATGATGGCTCCAGAAAGATGACTATAAAATCCAGTAAGATTATCTGATATAAGTTTCTGACACGTAGTGAGCCATTGCGACACTTCTTGCTCTGGAAGATGGGACGGACCTCCACGAGCGCCAGAAGAAAAAGCGACGCAAGGAGTTCATCGTCCACCACTGAATTCGGCTTTCCAAGAGTAGCGTCAATCGATTTCAATGCTGCTCCATATGTTGCTCGGGCCTTCATGGTGACTCTCCGGTAGCTGGGGAGCCTAGAGAGGGCAGCCAATGCCAACGTGGAAGTGCTGGTCGCGAGGCACTGGCAAGCGTTCTGTTGGTCAATAACTCGTTTCAAGACGCATAGATACCCTGGGTCGAGGGTTTGAAGCTAAATTTCTATATAGCTGTTCATGAGATAATGAAAAGCGAACTGCTCAAGTGAAATAGGTGAAAGCTGTCGTAGTGCATGCCCAGCAGAAGCGCCCAAAACCAGGATCCTATCTTTCAGTTCATTCGAACCCACAGCTCTCAACCGCCCGCGCGATATGGTCGTGCGTCTGCCACGAGGCATATGCCCGGCGGTATCGGGAGACTTGCAAGCTTGTCGTACTGCTATAGAAGTAGTACCATACTCATGTAGCAACGGAGCTGCTAAGGTAACATGACCACGATTGACATTGATTGGGGAAGCTCCAATCTCTCCACCACTATCCCCAAATCGCTTTATGGTGGTGGCTGTCATGTCCCGGATCCTGATAGTGGATGGATTCCTGTAGCCAGGGCATAGACGGCCCGACTTCTGGCATTTCTCGCATGCGGGTTTCGCTTCATCGCACTGCTTATCTATGAGACTTCCGATAATCGCTGATGTTGTACTGGAAACTTGCCTTGATACGTCGTTTGAGGCAGGACACACAGCCCTTGGACGGCCCCGTGTATACCATGGCAGTCCTTATGGCAGAGTGATATTTTGTAGATGGGAATATTGCCCGCTGCGTCGTGAATTAAATCGGAGTGATGAGCCGTTCGGCGGAATAACAGATTCTAGGGATGTAATCAGGCAAGTTACTTAAACGTGTTTTCAAGCGACTCAGACCGAGTCATCTAGCGATATTAGGCAGTTTTTCATCTTGACCATCAAAATGCTGCAACTAGTCTCCGAATGCATGGCCATTCAACGTTTGAACGATCAGCTGAAAAGAGCACGATCATCGAGTTAGTGCGTGTTGGGGCTGCTGATTTCCTGTGCGCCAGCTAGTTGTTGCTATTCTCATTGATCGCCGGCTAGTGGCATCTTTTGGGCCACTCAACAGGGGTCCTAAGTCGGAAAAACTAGTGCTATGTCGACAATTCAGGGTTGACGATTCCTGAGATAAGGTCCGCCCCCTACTGCAGAAGTTCTACTGCTTGTTTCACAAGTATCAGACGCCTACAATAACAACAACAATACCACAAATAATCACTATTGACACACAATTAATAAACATAGCAATGGGGTCAATTTCTTCTTAGACTAGCGTCACTTGGCATGTACATCAAGTTGAGCTTACAGTATGATGGATAAAAGTGCCAAAGTGCACGATAGCAAGTTGCAACAACAATGCGAACATCAATCAGCGGGATTGGGTACTTTGACGGCAATGATCCTGCAATAGTGGTCACAGACCCTCGGCTCTCGCTTCCGCATCCTGCTAGAGTGCCCAGTACAACACGCGATAAGCGCGACACGTAATCGCTCCAACGCTCATTATGACGATTGTTACTATTAAAACTTATGGTATCACCGATTCCTATCTGAACCCAATTCAGCGACCCGGCAATCGCCATTCTGCTGGACCATTAAGAGCCACTAGTTGGTATCCGCCGTTTCGCTCCCAGTGCCTACTTCTGTAGTGCTCAATCGCACGCGTCTTATTGCTGTTTCTAGGCCCACTACCATCGATGCTGTTTCTGGGCCTTGTGACCAGGATCAAGATTGGGCCATCTCAGTGGAAGCAGCCGATTATAACGTGAATCATGATTCTGATCCTACTATTACCGCAGACCAGTTTTCATCATCGAGGTGCATGGACCTTTGAATTCCCCCCCCCCCCCAAAAAAAAATCAAAATCAAAATTTTGTTGGGCTTTCACTCGTCCTCCTCGCGTCCCTTCTATATCTATTGAATTCAGGTAATCACTGAACAGGTAAGGGCTATTCTTAGCGTATTTTATTCATGTCAAGCGATGTCTAGCCATTTCAAAAAAAACTTGCGACCACTCGAACGTCTAATTTATTATGTGAAAAAGAATTAAAATTTAAAAAGCAATGCGTTTGGGATAGCTTCTCATTTTTGATTCTGATGCATGCATGAATGATATGTTGATTAGGTCAATTCAGAAAGATTTCTACCATGGAGAAACTATATACAGGTCGCGTCTCTGCATTAGCTCTACTCAGTCTTGAGAACAGGGAAGTGTCTGAAGGCGGGAAAGCGACGTTAATCCCCTATGTTTAAAGATATAATTTGTTCACCATCTTTTATGTTGAAATTACACCCAGAGTGCGTGTCGCGGTTTGGGGTGTGATTTTGGCAGCCTAAACCACCCCCGACAAGTACATTGCAGCGGGGTGTATGTACTATTTGAAGTTCACTGTACACTCAGAACACGTCCAACATCTTTCTCATTGGCGTGCGGCCCAGCTACAAGCCCTGCACTGCCAGGCGATGAGATGGAGCCATATCCCGGAAATAGAACAACCAGGAATTGGGGACCGAAATGCAGGACATGAGGTCTAAATCGGCCAGTCCTGCATCGACAAGTGCATGCATTGAATCCAGCTTCATGATAAAGTAGTGGAGCAGAATATAACTTAGAAGCAGATTCTGTGACTACGGGGCTCCTTAGACCTAGCTCAAAAAGCCGCATTCAAGCGCAGCTCAAAGAGGCGATTGCGATATATGAGCATGTGGTGGCAGTGCGGAGGGAGACGCTGGATGAGAAGGATCACTCTCGACTGGCATCAGAGCACCAGCTTGCCAGTGCATATCTTAAAGATGGGCTGGCTCAAGAGGCAGTCGACCTCCTGGAACATGTCATAGCAGTCGAAAGTCAGCTCTACGCTGAAAACGATCCTGACCGACAAATTTCAATAGAATTGCTCGCCAATGCGCGTAAACAACTGGAAGCGGAAATTCCATAGCCCTACCGATCCAAAAGAGCACTTCGCAAGCCAGGATCCAGAAAGGCCTTTTAGTGAAGAGTTACAGTATCTACGTTCGACCACACACACAAACACACACATGTTTATTACGCCCGGGTTATTCCCCTAGAGGGCAACTAACGCTAACTTATGATACAAAACCGCTTCTCATGTTTCTGTCATGACTCCGATTCGAGCCCATACTGCAAGACTATAATCAATCATCCAAAACCACTTATTGTCCTCGATATCCCTGTATGATACTGTTAGTTGTTAGTGCATGGCAGATCAACTTGAAGTTGACTTCTCCAAGTGTTCAGAGTCATATCCTCGGCGACTGAAGCGCGACCTGCTGGGTTAGTACATGTTTGGGATGTCCTTTGTGCATCATTTTGTCCTTCTACGCCTAGCTCCCGACTTCCTTCACTGTCTGTTGTAATCGTCCTGTGGCGATTGCGAATCCAATTGTTGCTCGAACTGCTTTGAGGTCTGGCGTCCATTTGTTGTCGTCACTATAGGTATTTCCAGCAGGTAGAACGAGATACTTCCCCTTCGGTCTTCCTTATACTGAAGCAGATCTTTACGATGTGCGGTCCATTTCGTGCAGCGCATGACAAAGTGTTCTACAGTCTCTCTTCCGTATCCGCAGGCGCAACCTGGTGCTGTTATTGCTCCAATTTGAGCTAGATAGTGGTTGAGCCTCGCCATTCCTGTCCGCAACTGGACTAGAATGCTACCTTCTTTCCATGACAATGTATCGTAAATCTGTCGAGTATGTCGTCCGGGTAAAGGGTATGTCAATCCGTTTGGAGAATGCGCCGACGTTGTCTGGCAATACTGGATGTCTGCTTTGTGTCTTTCTGGCATTGTTCAATGCCGTCGATTTGGCCCGAAATGGTGATATGCGCGGTGAACTACCGGGGAGGGCCGCTTTGCGAGCAGCTTCCTTGGTCAAGCGTGCTAGAGTAGAATTGCCATTGCTGTTGTTGTCACTGGTGCCATTGTCAACATTTTCGTCGCCGGTGTTCTCTTTCTGTTCCTGTGGCCTCCAGACAATAACGACCTTGGTACTCCGTTTTCGAAGCTGTGCCACACAAGCGTATAAGTTTGCAATCTCTTTCTGGCCGGACTGGTGCCACGGCCGTTTAAGACTCAAAGCAGCACCTTTATTGCTCGTGAACACTAGAACTACACGTTGTCGGACGTAGTGTGGCGTCTTCCGTAGTCCCTGGACTATTGCGGCCAACTCTGCTGTATATGGGTTCTGCTCTTCTCTTGTCCCGAGAATTACAGAGTGTAACATGAATCTGGTCTTTGCCCTCCAAAATCCGGAAGCCGTATAGCCACTCCAAACCCGACCAGGTCATTCTTGGCTGAGCTGCTAGTAGCGATGCGGATGCCCGTTGCCCGCTAGCTAGCTCAATGGCTCTTTCGCTCTGGTCGGTGATGACCTCGACTCGCTCGTTCCACGGCTCAGCAGCATACGCGTCAATCGTCTCAAATCTGCTTATCGGCATCTTTTCTCATGTCTTCTGCAAGTCGCTGCATCGGCGAGATGAAGCGCGTAAACATTCGAAACCTTGCTGTCCGAAGCGGGTTGCTACTTGGTAGTGTATGAATGTCTACCCAGAGCTTGATCGCTCGCTTGGCGAAACGACCCCTAGCTGGCAAGATGTGTGCTTCAGCTTCGGCAACTGTTGTGGCCACTTTGCTAAATGCGCTTACAATCGCTTGTGCGCCCACCTTCTGTACTCTATTGACAATATGCATCAATCGATCGCCACATGCGTATCTCCAGACGTTTGACGCGTATACCACAATGGGAGCCACCATGGCGGGGAACAGTTGTCGGGCCATCGCCGGTGGCAGACCCTTTAACCGTTTTGAGCCAATGGCTGCTTCCAGTGCTTTGCTCGATGATTGCTCGTATTCCTGCCTCGTTGGCTTTTGCAGTCGGTCCTGCCACCCATGCTGTGTAGTCGTCCACGAATGCGATGGATCCCTCCACCTGTCTTGTTGATGGAACGCTGCACGAGGTCTGCGTTGAAGAACAGGAAAAGAATTGGCGACAGCGGCGAGCCCTGTTGCAGCGCTGCTCGTCGAATCGTATATAGCGCACCAGAAGAGCCATATTCACTGAATCGTCAGTGTCACCAACACATACAGCACCCGAACTACAATCACTGTCAAACAGCAGTGACCCATCAGCACCAAAAGGCCACGCCCCCAACGAAGTTCATGGCTCTCAGACGTACGGCCGTTGATCTCGATTGTGGCGGTGCGATCAGAACAGAATGCATCAATCCATTTCGTCAAACTTGTCGGTATGCCTCGGGCTTTCATTCTCTGGACGAGCCGCTCTTTGCACACGCCATTGTAGGCGCATTTGACGTCGAAACTAATCAGACTCACTACTTGCCGTCGTCGCCACGCCTTATAGATGTACTCTTGCAACAGAAGCACTGCTTGTTCTTACTTCGTAGTCGTCCAATTTTCCATGTGCGTAATGGATTGTTGCTGTACCCTGTAGATCATCGGATCACCAACTCCAAGCATGACTTCAGGGGTGTGACAGTTGAGGATATGTGGCTTGATGGTACCAAACTCGGACTCGACTAGACCTTGACTGAGCATGGTATTTGCCATATTGGAATCCATCTGCTGCATAAAATTGTTGGGGAGTAACGCTCATTGGGTAGGCCGTGCCATTCTCCATACTGGAACGGCCGCCGGGTTGGTATTGGTTTGTACTGGAAACATCGCTGATGGATCCATTTCAGTGGGAACCGTGTTTGTATAGAAATCGTTATACGATGTGAAACTCTCTGGATAGTCTGGCTGCACGTTCTGGCTGCTCATCACTGTGTTCCGATAGTCTTGCTCGGAATCAGAATGATCAAGCTTAGACGAGCTTGCTCTCTCTGTGCGACTACATGCAGAATCTGTCTCCAACTTAATCGGTACCATGTTCGAATCATGTTGAGGTAGTTCCAATTCTGCGGCCAATTTGGCTAAGAGGACGATAGATCATCCAATGTATGCTAGGGATTCGAATATCGAAGGATCCAGTATTTATGGAGAAGTTCGCTTATAACTTAAGGATTATAAAGTAAAGGCCTTAAAGCAATATATACGGCTATGCTAATATTGGTCAAATGCACTTATGTGACGTGATATATAATGTGAATACTCTAAGTGGCAAAAGCTTATAAATTCCGGCCGTCCGGATCAGCGAGTGCCATAAGATGGGTCATACTCATGACGTCTATAAAAGACTATGGCATATATCTTCGAGTTATGACTGTTTATTGCTCTCCTTTCACCCGGAAGCTAAGAGTCGTTTAGTTTTGTAGTAGCAACTCATAATTGGCGGCGCTTGGTTCACAAATGCTGTTATGGGGAGCATGCTTAGGCAGTATGTCGCAAGGTATACTAGACGTGGCCAACTCCCCTTCGCGTCATTGACTCATCTCAGAAGTAGTGCGATCTTTGGAGCATTCAATACCTGCGTTATATCAATCTCGAAACTTATAAGAATTTCCCGTAGGTGATAAAAGGCAGTTTACAAAATCCGGCCGTCTACCTCTCGGATAAGACGCCATGTAAATAGGTCTCTTACCGGTCACCAGCCAGCCGCTTGCATCTCGGTACTGCATTGCCAATCGGCGCGATTGTTAATAGTCGGCCGCCATGGACGACTTAGCGCATCATCGACACTAGCTTCTCCCTTGATCTTGCGACCAAAGAGCAATGCCGACTATCATTCGAGGCAAATGAGAGTAAGGCAGGCTAGGGTTGTGTTTCAGCAGCCATTGATCAAGAGCCATTACAATAAAAGGTAGAGCAGGCAACGATATGGCCTTAATGCGTTGCGTTGGAGATGGCCGATGGACTATTTAGTGGTGCATATACAAACGGCTCGAAGCGGCGTCACTAAGCTGCAGGGTCTAAAGACCGCTAAGCCTATGAAAAACAATTACAAATCCTTTGGGGTTGTTCCTCCTACGGCTTCCGCGTTAAAATCTGCTGGTATCAGTATTTTCTATCTAATAATCCGCCAAGAACATCCCATTAAGTCGTTGGAAGATTCGATCAGCTCTGCATAGCATCATTACCATCTTGTACAGCTCTCTCCAACGAGCTCGGGATGTTCACCAAATCTTTGGCCTCATGGTGCAGCGGATTCAATGTTTTCTTGGGGGCTTTGTACCTTTGGACCGTTGCACATAAGGATTTTGATGACTGATTAACAGCTGTAGCAATATCTAGCGGAGAGGCTCCAATACTTGGGAGATTCCGCCAAGTTTCAATTAAAGTCTTGACGCAATACCATCTAGTGATGGCTAAACGAGCGATTGGAAATAATAGATCAGATCGACCATGCCCACTTAAAGTGTGTCGAGCGACAGGCACGTCAACGCCACAAACTAACTGGGTAGGTGCTGCTATGTGGCTCAAATAATTGGTCAGGCGTGCACGGCCGTGACGGGTGGGTTCGCGACGGTCCATACAATACGGGGCAAAAAGTTGGGACATTGCCAGCCGAAGAAAGTTTGGGCGCTTAGTTTGGTAGTTATAGATTAGCTGGGGACCCCGCATAAGCCTGAAGCTTGTCCGAGCACGCTGCCATCTGGAAATCCTCTCGTTCTCCAACCCGACCACCGTAGCATTCACTGCACCATATGGCAGATCCACTAAGCCTCTCTTCTGGCATCGTCGCTCTGGTGACCGTTGCCTTCAATGCAGCGTTATTCTTCATCAGACGATTCGCGAATTCCAAAGCCAAGATAAGAAGGCTCGGGCCTTGAAGAGCGAGCTAGGGGAGCACAGTGGCGTACTCGAGTCACTCCTCGAGACGGTTAACATTCCACATGGACGGGGAAATGCGCTAGGGTACAGGACCGCCACTATCAGGATACAGATAGACCGCCAACAGCAGGGTGCAAGGCCGCCACATAGCAGGGTACAGATAGACCGCCACATAGCAGGGTACAGATAGACGCCACTTGAAGGGTACAGATAAAGCCATCAGTGATCCTCCACGCTCCTACATATTTCCATCTTTGACTTATTCCATTGACCCTCACTCCTCCACCGCGCGTACACTCATTTCGACGTAGGCGATGCAATCATATTGGTTCCTAGTCTATGAAGTTTTGCCGCTACCACGGTAGCATAAGGTTTGCAGTGTCGTGGTGGATTTCAATTAGGATAAGAATCCGGATCAAATCACGATTAGAATCAGATCCGGAAAACTATATTCATTTCTCATACTAACCCGGTCGTTTTATGCTCCCAAAAGCGAGTGATTAGCAGTCTAGCTCCTTTGGTCAGCTGGCGCACATAGCCACAACAGCTAGAGCAGTCCTTCCAAGTGCCAGTCTCCCTATGCCTTTCGAATAGTTTACAATACTCGTTTGAAACGTCATCAAGCTCCCAAGTTTGGCTTGCTTCCTTCTTGTTCTTGTTTTTATCATTCTTCTTGACTTGTGGAACCAACTCAGCTTCAACTGCTGGTCGATCATCGCTCGCTTGAACTTCGCATGTTGCAAGGTCGGCTACTTGTACATTGACGAAAGTGTGTGTGCTGTCTCGGCCTAGCCATGTCTCCGTTGTAGGCGTAAATTCCCCCATCTTTGAGTCTTTGGTCTGAAGTATCGGTACATTCCGAGGTTGGAACTAAGCGCACAAATGCACTAGAATGCAACCAACTTTCAAGAGAAGCCTAACGCTTCCCGACCTCTACTCCCGCCCATAAATTTCAATGAGAGGATGAACGCCCTCTTGACCCGTCTCATCCGCAAATGTAAATTGCTTCGCAGTCGCTTGGCACTTTGCCTACTTTTCACCACAATTCACAAGTTCTTGGCATTTGCATGACATAGGAATGGAGTTCACGAATCAGTGCGCACTGGAAGCAATCACGAATTCGGCGCTATTACGGCCAGGCAGACGACTGTTGGAAATACCAGTCTTTTCCATATGGTCCTACGGCAAGAAGATCACGGCGCTTGCGCATTATGTAATAAAATCTCCGGACATGGACATTTCTTATCCAAGCACCCGGATGATGTGTGTATTAGGCTGCTGTGCAGTTGACTATAGGGCTTCGCAACTAATATACCCTTTGAACTACTCCAAAATTCTAAAAATAAAAAATCAGTCCGAAGCCATTTTAAATCTGTACATCCTTGGGCTCGCCTTGCGCTCGTGGATGATCATTAACGTGCCTATATTTCGTGTTCTAGGTCCCGAATGAAAGCAAATACCGTGCCCTTGGCGACGAAAGTGTAGCCGTAGGCCATCAGACTGATTTTGAACAGCACGCCGCGAGATCCGCCCACATCTAGACGACTGATCCCGTGGTCAAGAGATTCCTGCAGCTGCTGAAATAGGAGCCGGAGGAACTCGTCACGGTCGATCAGATGATCAGCAGCTGCAGCTTTAGCCTGCCGGTGCAAGAGAACGTTGGGACACTTTGCGTCAAGGCGACCTTTTCTGACCAGTCCTAGAAGACATCGCTGTGTGCAGTACTGTCGCTCTTGTGTGAAGCTTCCCCGCGCGGCGCTCGGCCCAGAATGCGCTGGCTGCGCCGTGGGCCTTGGCTCTGACTACTCGACCGCGGCTCAGACGGTGTCGGGGTGTCCGGCATCGGAGGCGAGCACTCATCCGACGAAGACTTGTGTCTCGGTCCCTGAATCTTGGCTGCACATCTGGACGGTCCTCTTCCTGAGCCCAGCGTTTGGGTCTTGCTCGAGGCACGCGCGGTGACCGGCTGATGCCTGCATAAGTCGTCGGCGCATACAGCGAGCCGGAGCTTGAGCCGCTCGGAGCGTATCGCTCGTCTCGGGGAATAGATCGCAATGTCGTCTCAAAGTCCTCTGCCCATCGCCTCAGCTCCAAGATCACACGCTGTCGCTCATCCTGCGATCGAACATTGGGTGGGTTCCCTGGCGGGCCGAGAGCCATCAGGCTGAATGCCAGGTACTGGCCAACTGCGGTGCAAGCGTGGTGTTCCTCCGCGCTGCCACCTCAAAAGCCGGTTCTGCTAGATGGTACAAGAGTGTGCCGCGTTCTCGCCCGTCTACCCGCAAGAATACAATGGTCTGGCCGGTAGTCAGCAACCCGTACTCGAGATCTCCCTCGATCATGTAGTTGTAGGTCTGTGTGATGGCCGCAGCGGTGAGCCTCTCGGCATAGTACTGGAATCGACCGTCGGGATCGGCCGCGGTAGGTATTGTTTTCCGATTGACCACATCTTTGAAGATATCCATGGGATGCAGACCGACGCGCAGAAGCGGAGCGGTCAGCTTGTGGGGGGCCTTGTATTCGGACACATACAGCATGGTACGCCGTGTGGAGAGCTCGTCGTCATACCGGTATACGCATATCTGGTTGGGGCGGATGCGTCCCGGATCTTTCCCTTGATCGGGCGTCTGTGGCGGTATCGAGGAGGCCTGCCGGCCGACAACCTCCTCCGCAACATCGCTGATCACATTGGGGTGGATCTCAAAGACAATGCCGTTACCGATCCAGGAAATATTCGAGCGTCTTTTCGCAAGATATCAGTCGCTTGGCAATTCGCTGGCCAAGGCCCGGTCAAAAAGCCCTGAGATTCGAAACGCAGATTAGAGACCGGGAAGGTGCCGTAGAAGGCCCCCTAGGATGGCTCGCTGCTGCTCGAGAAAGTCGGGCCATGGGCGTAGATTCTTTGGACACAGCTGGTTGCGCGGGTTTGTGATGGGGCCCTTCGAGGTGAGCTCCTTGTCGGTCTCGACTGCGAAGCGGCGGCTTACGAGGTCACGACTTGCGGCAATGTATTTCGTCCAAAGTTGTCCGTCGCATCAACAGTTCAGTCTCTTGTTGTCGGTTTTCGCCCTCTTGTTGTCGTTTCTCGGCTTCATCGGCACGTTGCTTCTCATCGTGCTATCGATTCTCGGCATCGCGTCATTTACGTTCGGCTTCATCAGCACGTCGCTTCTCATTTGTCGTGATACCAGCCGTCGTCCTTGTTGGAGGTCTCGCCCCGCTACGGTGCCGTGAAACTACGCGTTGTAATTTTGGTCTTCGACGCGATAAGAGTCAGGCGACCCCACCACGATCCCCGCTCTCACGCGGTTGGCCATTCTAGCTCCTGTAATTCGCGTCGGCTAGATCTCCAACCACAACTTTCAACAACAAAAGAAGTCCAACCAAGAAGTTTCCAATACTGTATTCACAGCTGTTTCTCTCTTACTGCTCGGTTAATACGGCAATACTTGTAGTATGGACGCGCTCTGAACAGCGTATCGCACTAAGCACAGCTAGTGTTGTGAACAGCCCCAGCCCGACTTCCCGGCGGTTATGTTCTCAGGAATGGCGCCTGGCCATTCTTGTTGCACTTCAAAGTGAGCAGCGTATACCCCGAACTGGACAAGGCTGTTCAAGCGGTGGTGCGCCGCTGGGCATCTTTGGAACAGTTGCCGTCAGAATTGCTGGGCATGATTGTTTTTGACCCAGACCTCTCCCCGCCTGACGTAAAATCTTTCCGGCTTGTTAGCAAAGTATGTAAGTCATAGCAGCGACCCGTTTGTTTCGTCGAGTTCGACTTTCTCGCCTGAATGCACATAAGGATGCGTTTATTCAGATCAGTTTGCATTCGAGTCTTGCGACTTAAGTTAAAGAATCAGTTTGGTATGAGCTGGACCTAGAGGCATGGATGCCAATTGCGGCCGAATTTCATGGCGAATTTTCTGATAACGCGGAAGCCCATAGTGTCGGCATTGAGTCCTTCACAGCGCTTATGATGGCGGCCGCATATGATTCTGAGCTGTTCTGGAACCCATGTCAGTCATCCACTAAGACCGCCGATGGCCTCAACGTGGCATAGGCAATGGCATCATCTCTGATAGAAACCTCTGCTGGCCTGCGGGGTCTCAAGGGTCATGTTCTGAACGCAAGAGCGACTTTCCTCGCCACATTGCGACGTCTGCCGAGTCTGGCCACCTTTCATAATTGCCGTATGCCGGGCAACCAAGTAATGGAGTACCTTGGATACGAACTTTGCGCAGACTTGTTCCACAACCAGCAAAATAATAGACTCCATCACAGTAACCAAGGCTTCTTTGCATTCCTACTACCAGCACTGAGGCAGTTAGGGACACAGATTCACAGTCTACATTATGCCGATGAATGGATGTATACTGGCCTCACGGGACTCACGGTCGGCGGTGTCAGAGCTTTTCAACACATTACTTCACTCGATCTATCCATCCCTGGTACACCTCATGATGCCCCTGATGAGAGCTCTAGCGGCCTCCTCAGCGCTTTAACAAACATTACTGGGCTAGGCCAATTGAGACTTCGCATTGGTTACCTACACGCTTCTATCCGCAAGTTGCTACAAAAAGCAAGATGGCCTCGACTAACTCTCTTTGAACTAGCTGAAACTGTGGCCTATTCCCATGATTCACAGCTCCTGTCTTTTTTGAAAGCACACGCAGCATCTCTTTGTCAACTTAGGCTCCTACACTGCAAAATGACCTGGGTCACATCATACAGATGAGAAGGCAGGTTGCTTCAAGCTTAAAGTCCATTTGTTATTCGTACGTACATCATGGAATCACAGCAACAAGCGGCCTCACATACGTTTTGATTACTGGAGGACTGGCAAGAAGGCTTTCTCGCAATTCTTGATACTGCTACAGGTACAACTATCGACCTTGGTAGATTTCGTACTCATTTGACGGCAAATTTCATGCTCAACTTACCTCGAGCACATGTATAGGGTTTATTCTGTAATGAGACAAGTTTGACCCTACGATGGAAGTGCTGCTGGCTTGACAGTGCAAAGATTCGACTTCAATCTTGGTTACAAAAGCTATGCCTCGGATAGGAGCTTGTCCTTCTAGCAAAATCCATTTCTTGACTCCTGCGGTGTCGAAAGAATATCCAATATATAAGATAGCTTCTCCTTTAGCATGAGGTATCATTGAAATTAGCTAGCGACCTTAGATACTTTATCAGTAGTTTTGCAATGAACGCAAAGCTAGGCCATCGAGCGTCAAGTAGCTGACACGAGTAAGCTGCTCCATGTCTACATGGATGCTCCCTGGTAAATTTGTCAACCCTGAACGGTTAACATTAGTCGTCGAACCCGTGTATGTCAAGGGACGGTATAGGACCTACATTGATTGTCTCCGATATTGTACTTGGAAGCCTGGGCCATGGTGCGCCTGAAAGCTTATGCGCTTGTTTGCCGCTTAAGTGTCGCGCAATTGTCCGCTGCACACTAAAGACATTCTTCTATGCTACACAGTGGTCCGGCACGGAAATCTTCCGCATAACGGTTGGCTTGAACACGGTGCCATCAGGGAGGTTGCTCAAGATCGCCTTGAACTCGGCGAGTTCCAACCGATTCTTTAAAGTCTCATTGGTTTCCCAGATAGCGTAGTTAACCAGGAAGTTTCCATCAAGCGATTTGTGTAGTTGAGTGGAGATGTATCCGGCTGCTTCTTCAATAAGTCCGCGCTCTTGCGCCATGTCTCAAGTAAGGCGTCATGCTCGGCACCATCCGGGATCGAGATGACGTTCATGAGAACAATGGGCCAACTGGGGGTTGCTGTTCTAGCTGTCCCGCAAATGTGATTCGCGCATCCAACTGTTGGTGGCTCACAGTAGGTGCCAATGCGAGGGTGCCATGCTGAAAATCGTCGAAGTAGTAAAAAACCGGTTTAGAGCAGGTGGATGATGGAGACTATTAGAGTCAAGGTGAATAGGTGAATAGAAGTATCGATGTAGATGCAAGTTGGGTTAGAACAATCTGAGCAGGTGGCGGTCGAGGGTTTTTACATATCTTCTGAATTTTAGTAACTATAGGATACGGAGAAGAGGCGGCGGACCTGTCAAGTGCCGACGGGCGAGGGGGTCGTGACTTAGCAGTAATCATGTAAGCTCGACTAGGTACTTGGTTAGGTACCTAATAAGTAGATTTTAATGCAATCAAAGTTGCATTAAGAACCTCCTCGGGGAAAAGTCAAAATAGCGAGACCGACAACTCGCCATTTTCTAAGTCTTATTGTCCGTGTTTGTTCGTCAAGTTTGGTGTTTAAAAATAGCAGCGTCCTCAGAGCACACATTCCTTAAGTGGGTCGAGGAGAACCTTGCGGGAACGTTCATTCCACTTCAAATATATTCTCGACAGCTATGGCTTCCGAAAAAGATACCCGAGGCCGAGAGCTTGACACTGTTGCTGTTTATGACTTGACTCAGCTTCAAGACGACTCTTCAAAAGCACTTGCTCATTTGATCAGCAGCAATCACACCAATTTTGCAGTCCTCCGAGATCCGAGGTTACTTTTCCACAACCACTTACCAGATGTAAAGTGTTGCCCTAATCCATATCGGCTCGTGCATAAACTAAATTTGTCTAGGCACTATGCTCACCATACCTGCTCGGTGCGCAGCGTGATAAGCTGGAGGACATATATGCTGCCGAAGCAAAAGACATTACGAACAACAAGGATTGTGAGATCCAAGATGGAGTTACGTACGAGAACTGGAGGCACTTCCCTGCCAACAAGAAGTACGATTTCTGACCCATGGAGAAACTTTTGACAGTCAAATTGACAATGGTTGTTAGATACACAGTGGCCTACACAGCGTTCTTTGACGCTGAAGTCGGGAACCGCGGGAGTGACTGGAAATCGGTTGTCATGGAATACCTCTTCTCGGGGGACAAGCCTTTAATCAATGGATTTTCTGGCGGCCGTAAGTTAACATCAAATTGTTCTCATGACCCATGCCTGCACCAAACTTAACAAACTGTGCTGATGGGTTTTGGTTCTCCTTGTCAGTTGGCCACCCGTTCATCCATCTCGCATACGCCTATGAATTTGGCAGCCTGGACATCGCCACGGAAACGCTCAGCATGGGATGCACGGAATACGCCAGCACGCAACAACTCAACTTATCTAACGGCGAGTTTGTAAGAAGTCTTGTTGAGAGTAAAGGCTGACAACCGGTTCGATGGGCTGTTCGAGGACCCCGGGTTCGTTAATATCCTGACCATCTTACAAGATAAAGAGACGGTCGTCCCCATGAGAGATGACATCGTTTCGGATATGCTCAATTCTAGGCTGGCGATTTCAAGCATCTAGGTGGAAGCTGAAACCAAGATGGTTGCAAGGTCTGATCCTTTTCTTGTACCATAGTGTAGACATTGAGTGCTCGAGAACGGTCACTGAGGAGCAGTGTTGAAATGACACATCTCCAAACTGTATTTGAACCACACCACTGTGTCCCTCAGGTGGGTCAACATCAAGGCACAGAATAAGGTTCCTGGCCAGCAATCGACGTCTCCACCTTTGTTGTTGGTGTTGCGGGGGTGGGGGGATGCACAGAACGAAGACCTAGTGATGGATCTTGAGAGAACTCCTTGTCTCGAAGACCGGTAACCGATTTTGGCGCTGTTCGTACATGTTTGTATCTCGTATAGGGCAGCGACGAATCTTGTCATTAGAATCATTTATGAAGCATGGATCATGATTATGGTATGGCCCGCACAGTCTACGGACTGACGTTTCATCATGCGATCTCATAACCGATTTAGTTTTCAATTCCCTTCTCTTGAGGCTAGGACGGGCTTCGGATCGTCAAGAAAAGTATCCATATTACTTTGTGAAGGCAACTTCACACCATCATCTTTTTTTATTCTCGTTGGATTATTTCCATCGTTGAGTGATGGGCAGGACCGCGCCTCTTGTGACGTAGGAGCGCGCGCAAAAATTCATGTTTAGCTTTTATGTGAAAGGAGGTAGGTGGTGAAAACAGGCACGCTCAGCAAGAGTCCAGTGTCTTCAGAAAGATTGTCAATAAAGAGGAAAAAAGTATACGAGACATGAGAGGGGAGATGCGAGCAACTTATACTACAATAAATGCCTGACATTTTATGAACAAGTCGACACTGCCACGCCACACAGATCCACTTCAGCTAATCGTTTTACTAACTTGACAGAATGTAATATATGATCATCCAGCTCTTCTATTAGCTAACAAGTCGGCCCGGCGACCTGTATATTTATTGGTGATGCCACACCAGCACGGATGTTAGTGTGCCATTATCCGGAAGTAGCTAGTAGCTGGGCGCCGAGTACCAATTGGTTCGCGGCCCAATACTGGGACTTTTGCCAAGAAGTCCCGTACGGCTTCCCTTTATTCACTTCACGCATATTGCTACATTATTGTGATACTTGCGGACGGAATGAAAGCAGGTTCAGGAGCAAGCATGATCAAGAGATTAGCACCAAGAGTCTGCATCAGTGGCAGAAAGAGGGGGATCCACTATACGCACTAATATGGTTTATCCTACGTAGACTCACCGATACAGTAGCAGACATCATTCTTGTCAGCGACACATAGGCTTCACGAAGTGAGTATGGCGCAGGACTCTGGTGGATGGAATCGACATAATTTTTTTGTCTATCGATAGTTAATATCCTCGGATTATAATATTCCCCAGGAGTTGTGCCGTTTTCAGACAAACTCCCCAACTTTACCATTACCCATACATAAATGCAAGTGGCCGTCATGTCGTTAATCGTGATTGGTCTGGATCAAAGTGCCAGAAGGTATGTGCCCACAACTTCGCTTCATTGTTGCGGTTGCCAGGGCGGTGACGAAATGTAACAAAAGAAATTAGTGTTTATAGTGGCGTGATTAGCAGACTCCGGCTGCAGTCACCTGTCTTGGCACTCGGGTGCTTACGGGTGTAGTCTTGTGGTTGTCGCGAGGGCTAAGTGAGTCGAGCGTGTCACGATACGCGCCCTGCTCTGGTGAACTATCAGACCTTCCATCATGTCGACGGGTCTCTATTTCCTTCCAAAAAACGTGTTCTTTCGCTTCAAGGTGTCAGGATCTATGGCCAGTACAGCAGCCATACGTTCCCTCTCCAGCTTCACATTTCTCCTGCGCTCCATTCGTCTCTCTTCGATGGTATCTTGGCTGATGTGACCAAATCGGTTTCGCCGTCTGAAGCAGGCCTCCATCATGGCATTGGCGTCAAGTAATTTTCTCGGGATGGTTTGCACCACCTGGAAGATCTCCATAGGGTCGCCAACGCTCTTGATCTCATTCTCCCCAGTTTGAAGATGGTCAACGCCATGCGGAACAAGGTTTTTTGAGCCCTCGTAGAAGAAACATCCCACACACGGAGGGTCGTCTCAATGGGAAGCGTGCCAATGAAGCAGCTCATGAACCAGGCCGTCATGCACAACGTCACGGGTGGAAGGCGGATGGGAATGGTGCCTTTGCTATATCTTCGACACTTGGGCTTCACCGCGTCTGTTCCGTCAAGCTCCCCTCCGATCTTGGCCCAGACAGCTGGCATGGTTCCTGGACCGATGTCATTAGCACCCCGAGATAGGAAATCCACGACATCGAGGAACAATGTGAGGGGCGCAGTCAATGTACGTTTCAATTGACTATCCCATTGACGAGCATCTAAAGCTTGAAAAAGAATAAAAACACAATTTTTAAACCATATGATGGCACAATTTGTAGTTGCAGGTTTGCCACCTCGCCAGTCCGTCGAAACCCTTATTGATTGGGGAAAGTGCACGCCGTCGGCCGTGCCTATAAGCTAGTCGGGTTGAGCTTCAAGGTCGCGCTCATGGTTGAAGGCTTTGGCTGACAACTGATACACGGCCCATAGCCCGTGACAAACAAGACTGACCCCATAGCGCGACAAAATTGACTACGGTCATTATTCATCCCATCGCAACCATTTGTGTGTACTCGATTGTCTAGATTACGATACGTTACAGGATGACGTATGTGTGTTCTTTTGTTCGTCTTCCGTCGGGGCCGCTGCGAGTCCTGAAGGACGCGCTACTTTCCCTATTGCCTTTCAGAGCGCCCTGGGTATTCAAAATCCCCATGCTGGGGTGGTAACAAAGGGCTGATGTATTTGCATGCCCCATCCGGTGAAAAGAAGGCCACCAATTTTAATTTGGGTCTTATTTAGATACTTTGCAATTCTCAAGCCATCACGGGACAGACTAGATGGGATTGAAGCCGACCATCCACCAGCGATTAGAGTTCAATGGACACGGAACCTCAATCACCCGCGTACCTAATACTTGAGGCCAGTCAATTTCGAATGTTCTGGCCACTACGAATCTCGGGGTGCGCCCTCCTGTACCGGAATTATTGTGGAGCATTATATCTGTTATGACATTTTTCTATCGCTGTTATTGCGCTGACCAACAATCTACTTTCATTTGCTGTGACTGTCGCCAGGCTCTACAGAATATTCGTGCACTCTAATACCATTGAATTCTTCATATATGATATTGTTCCTCCCTCAATGACTCCCTCCTGACGTCGAGGACGGCTGGAAGTATGAGAACACATGACAACTTCATTATTCTTCGGAATATAAAGATCAACTGCATAGATTCGATTTCATCTACCACGGAATTGTACCCGCACTATTTACGTAAGTACCTGTGGGACCATCCTTGCCGAGCGTGGCGAGATGACAAGCAATCTCGGCACCAGTCTCGGGTGCATTGGTACCACGGAAACCGTTGAGGTTTGTCGAACAAAATCCGGGACAGCATAAGTTGAACTTCCAATTTCGATCCTCTTCATATTCTACCGCATATTGCAGGGCCAAGGCGTTCAAGGCCGATTTACTGACGGCATACGCCGGAGCTTTGAATTTTCTGGTTTCACTTCCTAGAGTTGCCCATCTTGTCATGCTACCAGCGCCTGAGGAGACGAAGACGACTCTCTTGGTTTGTTGTGATTTTGCGAGCAAAGGCAAGAACTTTTCGGTGACAGACATAGTACCGACCACGTTAGTACCCAACAGCTGCTCGTACGTCACACGCGAGCTGCTAGGCGGAGGGCTGACTCGTGCAATACCCGCGTTGTTGACCAAAACGTCCAAATATCCAAATTTGCTATATAACAAGAACTTTAAGTAAGTAATCATGTACTGTAATAATAAGGGGAGATACGCTCGTATACCTCTGAACATATTCGACGGCTGCGTCAATAGACTTGTCCGACTCGAGATCCAGTATCAGAGGCTCAACATCCAATTTTTGCTCCAGAAGCTGCTCCACTGCCTCCGAAACCGCTTGCTCTCGTCTCCCCGCCATTATTACATGATAGCCATGGTCCCGTGAGAGTATCTTGGAAATAGCAAGACCAATTCCCTGATTGGCTCCAGTGACCAAAGCAATCGTCTTATTGTTAGTCATCATCCTGACTGTATTGAGAGCTACCACGTGAATAAGAATAGATCAGAACGAATGCTAATTCGAGATGAAATTATAGGTTCCAGAAGAGATAAACAGATGAAGGAAAACGTAATGTAGAGGAGAATGGGGTATATCTTTGAATATGGCGCGGATATATAACAGCCAGTCCCGCCATTCAATATATTCTGTACGGACGGACTTAACGGCTTTGCTTTCGTATGTCCGGCTGGAATCCCGTCCCAAAAATACTTCTCCGCTTGGAAGCTTGGCCAGCCTCGGCACATCTGCCCTAGTATCCACCTTCCAAGGTTTGGCACGCATAGGATGGAAGACTTAAATGTTTACAAGTGCCGGCATGAAGCCTATGTGTCACGTCGCACTAGTTTGGTTTGATGACTTGCTACCCACATGTGATCAGGACGTCAATGTTCTTGCCTTTCTTGCGCTAATATCCTTCCAGTTTGTGACTTGCATACACTCAACTATTTCTTAACAGAAGAAAGAAAAATGCGTCGACTTAGAGCACATTCTTGTATCGTAAATTGGATTATATACCACTCAGATAACATAGGACTGATGTTGACTCAACCTATCAGAGTAGCATACCTTGTCGTATTGACCTTGGTCAATTTTTTCTATAATATTATGCGTTTATGTATGTATTATTGCAATAGATACAGTGCATCGTGCAGCTTATTTGAAAGGAAGACGGTAGGTGCCAGTGCGTGTTTATCATATGATATCATAACCTTGCGGATACAGCAGCTTCTCCACACCGGATTTCGCGATACTGAACACCGCGTCGCGGCTTGTGAATCCCGGCCGGTGTAGCGCCAAACGAGAAATGAAAACAAAGCTCACGATTGTGTGCTAACGGACAGTACGTTGGCAAACCAAATACTTTGAAGCAGCAGCATAAATTCCGCTCTCGAAACGACTATATATGCTGGCTGGTCCTGCAAAAAGAAATTCAGTATCAGCCAAGTTGCTTCACAGACGACACAACCACATCTGATCGACATCATGTTTGCTAGTCTTCTCCCTCACCACGACGATGATGGGCTTGCGGCGGTTCGTCTAAACGCCGCTACCGCGGGTGCTTTAGCTCTTGTCACAGTGAGTTAAGTCTGTTATATGTTGCCGTATGAACTCAACACTGACATAGGAAAAAAAACTTCACTAGTTCCTCATTCTACGTCTGGGCCTGGTTGTATACAGATTCTTTTTCCATCCACTGCGTAAATTTCCGGGTCCCAAGCTCTGGGCTGCTTCAGACTTGCCATATACATACAGCATGCATCTTGCAGGAACCGGCATTCGCCAGGTAACCGAGTTTCACAAACGTTATGGACCAGTAATTCGGGTCGGCCCTAACCGTCTTGCACTTGATGGAAGTGTAGGATGGCCGCAAATATTCGCTCGGCGGCCGGGTGCGGAGCCCGAACATGAAAAGGCTCCCAAGTATTTCTCGCCAGGGGTAGAATATGCAATCATTGGGTCAGCACGGGAAACCCACCGCCGTCAACGGAAACAACTTGCCCATGCCTTCAGTGATGCGTCTATCCACGACCAGGAGAAGACTATAAGCGAGTATGTCCAACTTCTTGTACAGCGTATAGGAGAACATGCGCAGTCCGAGAAGACTCTCAACATCGTCCAGTGGTTGAATTTCGCGACTTTTGACATCATCGGTCAATTAACGTATGGAGAGTCGTTTGGCAGTCTCGCGAGCAGCGATTACCATCCCTGGGTTCTGGGCATCTTCCAGGGTATACAGGCAGACTCCTTTTTGCGAGCCTGTAGAGTTTACCCTGTGATGGGCACTATACTCACAAACCTGTTCCCTAGCAAGGGTATTAAGGGGGTAGAGAACAGAAAATTGGCGATGGCCAAGGGAAAGGCGCGGATGGAACTTGGTCTGCAGCCAAAAAAGCAGAAGGACTTTACAACCTATATGATGCAGCCAAATCGTGATGGCAAGCCAGGTCTATCCCAAACAGAGATCATGGCCAACTCCCCCATACTGGTCGTGGCTGGTAGTGAGACTACTGCGAGCGCCTTGTCCGCCTTCTTCTTTTATATCAATCAGACAACGCAAGCTAAGGCCATCTTGCTGGACGAGATCAGAACCAAATTCCAAGACGAGTCCGACATAACGCTAACTTCGACGAACCAACTGGAATATTTACATGCAGTAATTGAGGAGACACTTCGAATGTATCCACCAGCTCCAAACACACCCTCCCGTGTTTCTCCCGGAGGTGAAATTGATGGGAAATTTGTCCCCAAGGGTGTAAGCTAATTTTCACCTAAACGCGTGATTTACTGACTCGATTTCACAGACTGAAGTGTCGGTAACGATATGGTCGACTTTCCGAAATCCCGAGCACTTTTTCGATCCTAACTCTTTCCGTCCTGAACGCTGGCTTAAAGACACCCACCCACTTTATGATGCCAAGTTCGCGAATGACAATCATGCTGTGTTCAAGCCTTTCAGCTACGGCCCTCGGGATTGTATCGGGAAAAATTTGGCGTACTCGGAGATGCGGATGATAATAAGCCACCTGGTCTTCAAATTCAATTTTGAATTGCTGCCAGGACAAGACGACTGGCATTCGAAGCAGCTCGTACAATTCATCTGGGATAAGGGACCACTCTATGTGAAGTTCAGATTCAGAGATGTCAAACACTGATGTAGGAAGAAGCAGCAGGGAGGGATTGTAGGCTATAGGGTCATTGGGGATGGGCTTCTGTGTAATATTAGATCTCTTGTAGCAGAATGAAAATATTCGGTTTCTGATTTGTGCAAGGTATGCCGTCAGGATCGCGTGTTGTCATCATTTGAACCCTTTTTTAAATATAAATGAGTCCATCGAAAGGTGTCTTCCAAGAAGCAAAAAAATTGAGAGTTGCTGTGGTACATTGCCCTGAGATGCAAGGAGAGATAGTATCCAGCCATCGTTATGCTCAGAAGTGTGTTATTCGCATGCTTCGGGCTGATTGAAGTTGAGATCTTGAGCGGCCAAGTGGTTGTGTAATGGGTCTAGACCGGATGCTACACTCTGACGTCTATTATATCTATGAACAAGAGGACTTCTCTGAGGAGAGAAGTCCTCCAATCACTATCGTGTGAATGTCTACTCTCTCTTATGTACTCGTCCTTCTATACAACTTCTAGTAGCGTCTAGTAGGTTCTGTGGGTTCTACGATGGGGCCGTGGCCCCTGAGTTTTATCGCTAGGGGTTCATCCCATAACATACCATAATACATACTCTAGTAAGTACTTAATTTTTTTGGACCCGAGATTTCACACCCTTTAGGTATTCGTCGTGCATTGATGCCTCCTTAAACGCGCTCAAATTCGACGTGTCTGCATCTGGACATATCCAACTTGTCATCGTTCTAGTAAACTCGGTTGAACCTCCAAGGCTCTTCAAAGTGTAGGTTATGACGAACTCGAAGAATGGGTCGTGACTAAAGTCCAGTGGAAATTGAAACTGGAAGAACTGATTGGGAACCACACGCGTGACAACCCAGTGTGCATCAAATTCCGGTGAACTGCCATCATCGATGACCTCAATAAAGTGCAAACCAGGTTAGCAGAATTTTTGACGCCCTTTCTGATGATCCTTTTGCTGCCCGGGTGCAAGCCAGCCCAGTTTGCTGGACTGGGCAATGAAATTGAAGACCTCAACCGAAGGGCGGCTGATGGTAATAGTAGAAACAACGTTGTGAACCGGCATTTTCGGGAGCTGCTCTTGGTGTTGCGATCATCGGTAATTGTACATTATGACGTGTCGTGTTTAAACTTATACACAATCTAACTCTCTATCGATGGTTAATCCATATGTCGAAACCCTATAGGGCCAAGTTTGTTCGCTTACATGTAGCTCCTATAACGATCCGAACCGCGAAGTCCGTTCTAAAAGTCCGAAACGCGAGATCGAGCTAGCGAGGGCACATGCCAGTTACTAGCGAGTCACTGCTGTCTCGGCATATGGCGATAACCTCATTCTTCGTGAATTCTCCAAGATACCGATAATTCCGTCCCTCTAGAACTATTGATTTTCAAAAGATTTAGAGATTTCAACATCATTTGAATAGGCATCTTACTTTGCACTCCACGTTTCCACCCCGTCGAATTGCATATATTATGACGCAGTCTCCTCCCATGACTTCTTTATTATACTAAGGCTGATACATCGGCCATTGTATATTGCCTGAGTTGATGCATTTACGATCATGTCGCAAGCCAGGAAGGTTTCAAATACGAACCATCTCAACAACAGTTAGAGTGCTTTTCTGTCTTCAATGCACCATTACACATCTCAAATATGGCGATTGAATATTGAATACAAGCGGATGGCACAGTCCTTGACATGGTATCGCTTGAAAGCGGAGTGCTTCAGTCGCTGTCAAATGATGCTGTCTCTTACGACATTTTAACAGCACAGACTCCCGGGTTCCCCCCAGCTCGATCTGATGAGTCTTTAGCCACCAAGAACGAACCTGTACAATCCGCTGGTGTCACAAACCAACGTGGCAAGTCGAACACACACAAGATACGCATGGAACAACCATTGCTAGACGCATCTACTGATGACGGTCAGGAATACCCACTGTTATTGGGCAACATGTATTCACATAATGTAACGAGACCTCTTCTCGAGGAGAACGATAGCAATTGTCCAGAATGTCTTTCAATAATACTCGACTCTAAGATTTATTGCTGTAATCATATTCAACCCGTTCCGGCGGTCCCCCCTCTTTTGTAACTTGCACTTAATGGCTGGTGATGATTACCATGAAAGCGACGAAGTCTACCTAGGGTTATGGCATTGTTTTCAACAAGTAGACTTCTATACGCAAAAAACGGAGTGAAGTATTTTATCGCTCAGACCATATGTTGCCCGTGAACCATGATTATATGATGAATACCCTCCACGAGTTCAGAATATTCTCTCCAAACCCTCTCTGGAACAACCCTGCTATCCGGATGCTTGAAACGTTCATGAAACTAACCAGCAGCCAACGTGTTACATAACTTGGCCATGCAATAATGGAGACTAAATGAGGATGCTCGAGAAGAGCTCATATGCGCTTGGTAGTATGCATCATGGGATCGCATCCATAGTCTCTGGTCAAAGCATGATACTGATGGTAAATGCGGACCGGCCTAGACGGCGAGCTAGCACAATACGCGCCGTGTTTGGCCAAGCTTGGCCAAAAATGTTCATTTCTGAGGAATAATTGACGCGTCAGGTACAGCATACCTGGAAAGGTCTTCGATTCTTCTGGGATTCCAATTCCTGCAACTTTGCCAGGGGCACCGGGGAATACAGGGACCACATACCGGTTACATCATGTGACACAAGTTATAACTCTAGTGACGCCTACCACAACCGCTTCGAAATTCAGCAAGCCATGTAACACTACAGTTAGCCCAACACTAACGTCGGTGCGGGACTTCAGTTCTTCGAAGATCCCGACCACCTCAGGGATCACCTCGGGGCCTAGCACGGTCACCCTTACTGATATTGTGACATTGCCACCCACGACGACAACAAGCACGACAGTTGTCATCATCACCAGTACAAACACTTGGGACATAGTAAGTGGTCTTTCTATCACACTCTCCTTTTTCTTTTCTCTCCTTCCTCCGCTCCATTGTCAGATTTTTCCTGTTTCTCTTTGAGCTTCTCTTGTCGTGCTGTGCAAGTTAGCACTTCCTGGTCAATTTCGCCTGAGAATATGCTTTGGATCCTATCCCCTCGTCAGAAGCAATCTCTGACTCTAGTACTGCAGCCATATATGCTGTAAGAAGCGCAGTCAATGTATGTTTCAATTGACTATCCTATTGACGAGCATCTAAAGCTTGAAAAAGAAGAGAATCACAATCTTTCATCCATATGATGGCACAATTTGTAGTTGCAGATTCGCCACTTCGCCAGTCCGTCGAAACCTTATGTGCGCGCCGGCAGCCATGCCTATAAGCTAGTCGGGTTTGAGCTTCATGGTCGCGCTCATGGTTGAAGGCTTTAGCTGACAACTGATACACGGCCCATAGCCCGTAACAATACAGAGCTTTCTACTTCCATTAAACAATGGATCAGAATGAACGCATCCAAAAAGAGCCACGGGACATTGTTCAACAGATGATATACAGTATGCAATGGTTTCCCGATGTGCTCATTCTTGGGCGGTCGACGGCATGGACCGATAGTGGGCGTGTACTGTATATGACCTCAAGTATGACCTAATGGTGGCCCAAATGCGCTTTCTGGGAGGGTCATGTAGAGTACCGACATTCGAAAGTGCCGTTCATCTGCATCAGATCTGAAGCTTATATGGTTGGCGGACGAAAGCCGCTGCATTTCCATGCCCGTTTCGAGCTTCGTCCTGAGCAGATGTTACACCCGCCATTCTTCTGCCGCGTGGGGCTTGTCGCGGCATTTTCGGCTCATCCTATTCAGGTATAGTGGAGATCACTATCGGTCACGTCAGTGCTCGGAGTCGCGTACCAGTCACCACTTTTCTTGGATACTAGGAACAACAATCCGTATGTGAGCGGATGAGAAGAAGCGTATATAACTGATCGGACGAGTCTATAATAACGGCGCGCAACCCCTCGGTATTCATGTCATGACTGGGCACGATTCTCACCCTTGTCTCTGGCATGTCCAAAAGGCCGACCTCAGATGCCATTCTTGGTCCTCTTCACCATACAGTCTGCAGTTTTCATCGGACGAGTATTGTATTGGTGATGTCACACCAGCACGGATGTTGGTGTGCCATTGGCCGGTAGTATCCATTGGCCGGAAGTATCCATCAGCTGTGCGCCGAGTATGAATTTGGTTCGCAGCCCAATCCTGGGACTGCGCCAAGAAGTTCTGTACGACTTCCCTTTATTCCCTTGACTCATATTGCCACATTATCGTAGCGCTTCCGGATGGAATGAAGCACATTGAGGAGCAGGCGTGATCAAGGACTAGCACGAACAATTCTTGTCACAGACACAGAGACTTTACGAAGTGAGCATGGTGCAGCAAGCAGTCCTACGCAACAACGATATAAAATACGGTGTGCATAATCTTGGGATTGAGATCTCTGTATGAACAGACATGTCTTTTGTATTTACTAATTTGACTATCTATTGCGTCTCTGCATTGGCTCTGTTCATGCTGTCAAGACTATGGGTAGATAGTCTGGCAGGACAAACAGGTTCGTAGCCAGCACCACGGACAGGTTGCAGAGGCCGTCTTCGCTGACCGGTACACAGGGTTCCACATCTGCGACCCCTGCCGGATTCCACATCGGCAGGACACCCCGAAGGGTCACTCGTTGGATTCCACATCAACGAGGTAAAGCACCCGAAGGTCACCTGTTGGATTCCACATCAACAGGGTAAAGCACCCCGAAGGGTCACCCGTCGGATTCCACATCGACGGGGTAAAGATAAAACACCTCTAGGAGGTCACCTGTTGGATTCCACATGAACAAGGTAAAGCACCCAAAAGGGTCACTCGTTGGATTCCACATCAACGAGGTAAGGCACCCGAAGGTCACCTGTTGGATTCCTCATCAACAGGGTAAAAACACCCCGAAGGGTCACTCGTTGGATTCCACATCAACGAGGTAACACCCAACTGTTGGATTCCACATCAACAGAAGGATGGACGAAGCCAGAGGCAAGCGTGAAGAAAAAGGGAAAGAGAAAGACAAGTCGAAGGAGGATGGGAGACTTCTTTATATATATTTTCGAAGTGGATCTCCCCGCCCAGAACCTTGGCTTGATTGGAGCAGCCTAGCCTGCAGCACAACGAGGCGCTGCTTCAGGAACCCTTTCGCCTCTAGCGCTCTAGCACCCGTTCTCGGCCTCGGAGATCTTTCCTCCGCCCATTTTGGATCGGTCGCTTTCGATCACACTTTACAGGTAGCCTCAGAATCCTAGAAAGCAGTAGTATTGTATGAGTAGAGGTCTAGGGCCAGACCTTGCGACCACAGTGCTTCCTACCTCGAATCTGGCAGGACATGATACAAATACAGCTCCTCATACAAACAGTCGACATCAGCTTCCGCCTTTTGTGGCTGTTCCCTTTTCTTTGACCACAGACTGTCCAATTTTGGCTCTGACCCGGAAGTATCTTTTCGAACCTTGAGGTACAGTACCATGATGAAGTGATACTTCCCTTTTGGAGGTATGACGCCTTACTCCTGATTATGAACAAGCAAAGGATCCAGTAGTGGCCATGTGAGCAGGCTCAGCTATTGTTCACATGTATACTGTATAAGAAGCTCACTCTGAAAATTAAATCTCAATTCTTTCATCTTGCAAGCAGCGCACTACAATGAGCAAACTTGGCGGACCTAGTGCAAACATCACAAAGTCCGATAAGGCAGCTAAACCGGACCCGGCAACCCTCGCGCTAATAAAGAATGAGCTCAGTGCAACCGACCCTGATTATTACAATCTTTTCAAATTGAAGTTTTCACTAAATTCAGGGTCTTTAGACGAGAACACGCAAATTCGAGTCCAGCAAACTGCTGCAAAATATCTCGTAGCTGTGAAGCAAAGTGATCTGCCCAAGATCATCAAGAAGAAATATAATACTTGTAAGTCGGCTGTTCGCCGAGAAGCACTGCTTTCTAAATAATTTCATAGTCATAGAATCTGCTGACGACATATTGGTAGACTCCACCAAGAAAAGCGAATATGACACCCAACGCGCAAGCAGGGGTCTGGCTAATGGCAAGGGTATCGCAGAAACGACAGCACCCAAAGAGAGTGCTTCCAATATAAATGATCAGAGTGATACTCAGCAGCGTAGTGAAGAACCGGATCGGTTACAAGATACTTATGCCGTCTCCCAGAAGATCCTGACATTGATACAACAAGAGTTCCACTGCAATAATCCGAACTACTTTGGTCTTTTTGAAATACCTTCAACAACCTTTGATCAACCGCTCGATGTGGCAACTTTAAGCCAGCTGAGCGAGAAAGGAGAAATTTACCTAAAAACCCTGAATAAAGCTGATTTGGCAACGGAGCGAAAGAAAGAGTTGATACAATGTAAGCTGGACCAGATGTCTGTGATTCCAATATTCTTACAGGAGTTATAGTTGTACAGGAAGCAGCCAGTACCCTCTCAAACCAGGAGAGAAAGGAAGCATATGAAAAAGAACGCGTCAGGAAGAACAGAGAAGAAATGAATGGTGGAGGTGAAGACAAGCTGCCTGATGATGGCAACAGTGGTGTAGACAATGATGGCGATGGTCCCATGGATGGCAATGGTCCCATGGATGGTAATGGTCCCATGGATGGCAATGGTCCCATGAATGGCAATGGTCCCATGAATGGCAATGGTCCCATGAATGGTAATGGTCCCATGAATGGTAATGGTCCCATGAATGGCAATGGTCCCATGGATGGCAATGGTCCCATGGATGGCAATGGTCCCATGGATGGCAATGGTCCCATGGACGGCGATTCTTCGGACTCTGGGGACAACTCCAGTCAAAACGGTCCTTCAAGAGACGAGCCTGGCGAGGAGTTATTACTCACGCTCTATAATGGGGCAACCGATATTCTCCGACAATATCTTTCGAATGAAAGGCAGCAGAGCGACTTATTTGTTGTTGCTGATCCAGACCCGAAACCATACCAGCCTCTCGAAGAATACAACGACAAGATTATAAAGCGCATTGGTAAGAAACGCGGGAAAAAATACATCATTCGGTATATCTTGTTCAAAACCTACCTGCGCAATGTTAGCGACTTGGAATCCAAGATTGAGGCCACGAACAATCTACATAAGGCAACACATCGTAAGGAATTATCCGTACTTCACATCGGCGACATCTCAAAGGAAACAGAAAAGACGATTTTGCCCGCTGGTGGGCGGCGCAACACGAAGCCAGATATGAAGATGTGCATTCATATGCGGCGGTGTCAAAGAACCTCGTCTCATTCAAAAGGGCTACGCTGCACAGGATCCTGGCGGCAAGATCTGGCCACGGCGACTTTGCAGCATATCACGAACGATTCGGGCATACGGACTCCAATAACCACTGCACTTGCGGAGAGAGAAAGACACCAGAGCATATTTTCTTCTGTAGGAAATTGCAAGGACACCGACCGCTCCCGAGGCACATGCCAAGGGCGGCTTATACACAATATCTGGGGGAGAAGAGTGCGCAGTGGGCGCGTTTTGTAGAGAGGAGTAACATTTTCACAAGGACATGCCCGAGATGAAGGGCCGTTTGAATTGACGGACTGAGTGAGTGTTCTCACTCAGGTCCTGCAATAGCGTGGATTGGCACGTGCGCAGGCTGGAATGTATGTAGATACTGATACCTCCAAAACCCTGCGATGTATGGCTTTGGGAGGCGTGGTTTGCCCTAGTAAGGGACGGTCCCCACGTTAAATACAATCAATCAATCAACCTCCAAAACCCTGCGATGTATGGCTCTGGGAGGCGTGGTTTGCCCTAGTAAGGGACGGTCCCCACGTTAAATACAATCAATCAATCAATCAATCAATCCGTACTTCACAGGAAAATTCAACGTTATCTCGTAACCAATACCTTACCGAAAGCATGGGCTCAACTGCTGCATACCCCAGAACCAGCTGATACCTTGGGCGCACCTGCTAGTCTTGAATGGATGTCTCCGTTTCTTGCCTATCCTGAAAGTACGATCTTGAAGAGACGATATTTGTTTCCTGGCAGAAGGCGAGCAACCTGGGATCTCACAAGGTTTTCGTGATGACCGCTAATGGCCTGGGCTGTAAAAAACTCGGCGATGTTGGGTGTGAAGGCCAAGAATTCATGGAAACTCGTCTGGAGTGCCAGTACCTTCGAAACATTGAAGATTATAAGTCAAGAGGACTTGGCAGGTTTTTAGGCATCAAAGCTGCGTGGTCCAAAGGCGGAGGAAAGCCCGGAAGGTTCCCCTCGATCTATTACTTACTCCAGTTTGAGGGTAAGAATGTCTTTCGTGTCGCTTGTCGAAGCGTCAGCAAAGCGATAGCCCCTTGGATTGATGACGATGAAGGCATTGCTATGTGTAAAAGGCAAGGCATCAAATTCAAGAAAACATCTACTTCTGAAGAGGTCGAGGAGCAAGAGATCTTGAGAGCAAAGACGAAAGCTCAATCAGTCACCAACGATGATTTGCAACAGTTGGTATCTTTCATGAAAGAAGCTCTGAAGTTGAACGGGGTCAGATCCAACGTCATGGCCCAGTGATAGAAATCTATGCGATGCATACATGGAACTAGAGAAAGAATAGCGGATCAGGTTTATGATTCTTTCTATTCCCCTCTTTTCGTTTTACTTCTTTTCTTTTTCTTTTTCTTTTTCTTTTTCCACCCAAAATCATTCCTGCCTTCGTTTCATTGAATTAATCCATCAACTGTTACTTCGCAAAATTTATCCTAGCTTTTCCTTCTTGAATTGTTGACTTAATTTTCTCCTGTTATTTCCAGCCCTCGCCAATCCCTCTGCTTCTAGTTGATATATCGCTTGGTTTCACGACATCTATTCTCCGTCCCCTACGTGTCGACAAATCTGCGTTTGCACCAAAACAAGTACCAAAATGAAGGCTGGAGGCGGCTCAAGCTTTGATCAATCCTCGTCTTACCATCTTTACCACGAGGAATCAGCAAGAGTTAGCCATTGCATATAGTTTCGCCTATCAACCAAGCTGTCAGGGATAGCTCATCTACTGTTCTTCGAAGCAACCTGTACAACTTTCCGTGATCAAGAAAATTGTGCATTGTAAGGATATGGGCCAAACATAAAATGGAGGAGGCGGAGAATATTTGACAATGGAACATTGATAGCCTCTTCACACTTGAATATTTTCGATGAGTGTTTCAGCATCCGTATCCCTAAATGACGTGGTAATATCAGTGCCGCTACGATTCGACATGTCTTTCAATCCATCAGCGACAGCACCAACCCACAGAAGCCATTATTCTCCGCCCTAGGCTTGTTCAAAAGTGTCCTCGTTCAACAGCGCCGGGTCCATGAAGCCTTCTTGGTCATGCGCCATGTCCTCCTGCTCGAAGATCTCCTTCAATCTCATAACCCAGCCCCCCAGCTCATTGTTCTGACGATCGAATCTACGGAGATTGTTAGAAAGGGAGAAAAAAACAGAAAGAAAAAAATGATCACAGTAGCACACTCACCCTTGCTCCACCGTTTGTGTTCTATATCCAAGATACCTAGATCAGACCCACGTCACCACTTCACAGACAATATAGTCTATTCTGAACTCACAAATGATTAACCCAAGCAAGAAATGAAATTAGTAATTGTGATTTTGACGTTATGATCCCGGCACTTACTGTGCTAGAGCTTGGCTCATTTGATTCGAATATATGTCGAGTTTGGCAGAGACCTCCCCGATTTTATCCCACAAGTCTTGCGGGTTATCATGCGACCTTTGCTATATTAGCTTCCTCAACCCGAATGTCTTGTCAATGTCACTTCCGGATAGAACACAACATACTGCGGCAACGGCACTTGGGGTTGTCCTACTTGCGGCAGTTTCGGGTCTCTGGCGAACCTTGGAAGCTCTGGCATGGCTTTTCTCGTATTGCTCGGCGCATTGAGGCTTTGACCTAGTCCAGCAGCACGAGTATTCAGTTTTCTCTGGACTCGCCGAGGGTTTTGTGATGCGATGCGAGCCTGGGCGGTGGTTTGGGATTGCATGTTGAGGTTCAAGAGAACAATATAATGCTGGCAATTTGATTGTTTAGAAGGCCACCACGATCGTTGTGAGATGAAGATATAGGAGAAATTCCTGTCGGAATGGCGCATAGAGCAGATGATTATGCAGCCTACGTTCAATTTGTAGTACTACAATTCTCGGAGTCAGGAAGCAAAACTGAATGAAATCCAACACAAGAAAATTAAGGATCGGTTTTGGTCAGAAATATGGTTCTGGTTGCGAAGAAGCAGAACACTACATTGGAACATCATAGACATGTTTTGGCATACCAACATGGCCTATCGGACAACATCATGCCGTATTCACAAGAACGTGTGCAATTGGTGCCACCAGCGACCCGAACTATATCTCATGGATCGTGGTATACAGAAGTGGATAATTTTAGCGAGTGTTCGTTGCGAAATTGGAAGTGTCCATAGGTGCTGGTTGAGGCTTTTTTTTTTTTGCATATAATGGTCGTACAGTATAACACTGTACTGTACTGTATCATGGTCATGAAGATTGCCTATACTAGGTCAACAATGCTCAAAGTCAATTCTAGCCCTTTTGGTTTATGGTTCACTTCTGTGTCGTGCTGTAGTACAAAACAGTACTGTAGTGTTTAAACATTAGTGGTCAATGTGTGGGTCATAATTGCTACACGGCTCAGCAGCATACGCGTCAATCGTCTCAAGTCTGCTTATTGGCACTTCGCTCATGTCTTGTGCAAGTTGCTGCATCGGCGAGATGAAGCGCGTGAACATCTGGAATCCGGCCGTCCGAAGAGGGTTACTACTTGGTAGTGTATGGATGTCGACCCATAGCTTGTGGTACAAGAACGTGTAGCCAGTCTGTGCCGAGATCTCTTTGAATACATTCTTGTTGCTTTCTGCTACGGCATCTTTCTGGTCTCGTTTCAGTAAATGTCTGGTCGGTATGGACTGACATTGAGTTTCTGGCTGAATATGGCCCACAAACAGCGCTAAAAGCCTATAACATTTCTGACCCTTGGTCCTTACTTGTCACTTCATGACCGAACGATTTGAGGCCTCTCTTTGACGCCTCGCGACTAGGCTTTTCTGCTAACTTCTCGACAATCTTGTTCCATTCTTGAATGCGTATAAATGGATGCCCAGCCATCAGGTTTTGCCCACCGCCACAATATATACACCGTAACCGATGAGAGCACTCATAAATAACAATAAAAGAAGCACGAGAGAGTCATTCCCATTCGATGTCCTTGATTGATTACTCCAAGATGATTGCTCTGGAGGCTGGATTTTATTGCGAGCTGTTCTTGGTGATGTGGTTGTGATCGCTCCGTAGTTTCCATACTGCGGAAGGCTCATGAGCCAGTAGTGCTCATTACTCGAAGAGCCTGTTCGTGTTGGTTGGAAAACAATAGGTGCTGGTCGATGTAGATGCTGCGGTTGAAAACCCCCGGGTTGAGAATTCTGCGTAGTTCCCGACACGAAAGTTGTCGCTGCATTTTGCGATCTTCCAGGGAGCATGCTGATAGTAGACAATGCAGCACGAACGTTGGTCTGTGGCAAAACAAACTTTGCATACTCTACAAGTTGCAAATATGACGTCTTCGATAGCATATACTTGTTGTGTGTTTTGTCGTATGACCTCAATGTGTTGTACGCAATAGTGCGGTGCTCACTGGTGTTAATCCATGACCGTTTGCGCAAGGAAAGCGATGTATTTTCGAGAAACAACAGTATGTTGTTGTCGGGATGACGATTACAGGGCGAGATCGGCAAGTATCTTTCTCGAACAACTTTACGTTCATGTCTGGCTAAAAGGTCAACACCTCCGAATGATGTCAACTGTACTGATCAGTGGCCACACTTAAAAATACTGGACTTGCCATACACACAGTGAGAATCACCACTTTACCATCCTCCGAGTACGTTGTTTTGCCGCTGACACGTTTGCGCTCGCGCTAAGAGAGCGTGCTTGCATCAAAAGTGGGAGAAGAGAGGATGGACTTGCTCAAAATTTCATGTCTATGCGTCTCCATGATGAGAGAACAGTGGTCTCGTAAGTACAGCACGAGAAAAGTAGGATCAGAAACAGGCCTCATGCCATGCCGGGCTACTTGAAGTGAGGTGATCAATCCTGCATCTAGCCAAGAGGGTGCGGAAACAGCACGTTCGTGATCGAGACAAAAGTGGACCCTGGAGCTTGATCATGGATTGGACTGGACACCAGCACCAGTCCCCAGCTGGCAGGTCCTGAAGTGAACAAGTCGCCGCGATGAGGTCCATTGTGCTGAAAAAGGACGTACCCGTTTCATGACCCTCATCGGCAGCCTTCGTCCACGAGGCCATTTCCTGTCTTGTTTCTTTCTCGCTCTGTCGTGAGTGAGCGCATGTTGTCAACGAATGAAGGGCACCGACTTGCAGAAGTTCAGTCTCAGCCACATGAAAGGACACACATACGTCATCCTGTAACGTATGTAGCGCAATCTGGACAATCGAGTACACACAAATGGTTGCGAATGGATGAATACTGACCGTAGTCAATTCTGAGGGCGTGGATGTCCTGGATCAATTTGGGCTCCTGTTCGGACAAGGGTTCGGTTTGGTTCCCGCTCCAGATGTCGACCAGAGCAGCAAGCGGCTCTTCCACTTCCCACGCTAGCAGGCGTTGAAGAGCACAACCCAAAGTGGTTTTTGGCTCCAACAACTAGAAACAGCCAGCTTCATTGAAATGTGCTGGCACACGCACGTCATCCTGTAACGTAATGCTATCTGGACAATTGACAATCTAGGGTAGACAACTGGTTGCGAATGGATCAATGGCCGTAGTAGTCGTGTTTGTCGTGTTTGTCGCGTTTGGGGCCAGTCTTATTCCTCGATAGTGTAGATCGAATGAGGACTCTTGTTTAGACAAGGGTGTTCGTTTGGTTCCCGCCTCCAAATGCCGACCAGGGCACTAGTGGGTGGCTCTTTCAGTCCCCCCACTAGCACTGGGTCTGAGGGTCAATTCAGTGCACGATCAAAAAGGTGGTTTTCACAGGCTGTCCCAAACCGACCATGCCTAATACGGTTTTCTTTGCATAGCGTTGCATGTACCTGCATGACAAGGTCGCTAACTTGCAGTAGATTGCAAGAGCCCAGTCATCGTGACGCGGACCGCGCTCTGGTCAAGTGTCCTTCGTTCCCCACCAGAACGACTTGTCCTGTGTTGTGTTGTATTGGTTTCGGTCAGTCCACTTCGTACTCACAGCAGATCTATCACCAGGTGAGACTCGTCTGTACCGTTTTGGGATAACGCCTTCGTAGGACATTACGCGACATGCAATTGAGTGGTGGCAGACTGCAAGCTAACGAAACGGCAAGAGCAGCAACTACACAACAAGTTGACAGTTTCAAGCACGATTACAAAGGTCAAGGGTCATCGAATTCAAAGATAATCAATCTACATGTCTTGCTCGTTTCTAGCTCGTCCCTGCTCGTCTCTAGCTCGTCCCTGCTCGTCTCCAGCTCGTCTCTAGCTCGTCTCTAGCTCGTCCCTGCTGGTCTCCAGCTCGTCCCTGCTCGTCTCTAGCTCGTCTCTAGCTGGCCTATCCGCTCTTCCCCCCATACATCGCGTCTCTGCATTGGCTCTGCTCAGTCTCGACCGAAGATCTCAGTCAAGACGAACAGGTTCGTAGCCAGCACCACGTACAGGTTGCAGAGGCCGTCTTCGCTGGCCGGTACGCAGGGATGGACATCTGCAACCCCCGTCGAGACTCACGCACGCCACATTCAAGCGGAAGACAACATGTCTCCAAGAAGTCAGGACGACTCGACAGCACGCCCTCTGCTTGGGTTCGGTTCGGGCGGGAAAGCGCAAACGATAACAAGCCACGCCTCGCAATCGTCAGACTCGTGTCGCTGCGCCATCCCGGGGTCCGAACAAAAGACAGAGAGAGAGTGAGGAAGTCAGTCAGACCAGCTGGATGACAGGGTCTCCTCGGCCATTTGAGGGTGCAAGCTCGACGGGACTCCTGCCGGGCTGGACGTCGGTCTATCAGGGATGGATCACCTGCCGGGCTGGACATCGGTCTATCAGGGATGAAGCTCTTTCCTGCCGGTCTGGACATCGGTCTATCAGGAGTAAGTTACCTGCCGGGCTGGACGTCGGTCTATCAGGGATGGATCACCTGCCGGGCTGGACGTCGGTCTATCAGGGATGAAGCTCTTTCCTGCCGGGCTGGACGTCGGTCTATCAGGGATGGATCACCTGCCGGGCTGGACATCGGTCTATCAGGGATCAGACACCTGTAGGCTCTAAGCTTCTTACCAGGTGGACGACAAGCATGAAGAAGGAGAGAAAGAGAAGAAGACAAGCTGAGATGAGGCACTTCCTTTTATATTCCTTCCCAGTGGGTCACTTCATCCTGGATCCACAAGCTAGCGGATTGCTCATTGCCCCACTACACCGGCACTCTTCATGGACCTGCCATCTTTTGGTGGGGAAAAGACCAATATTGACAATCGTCCACAAACTAGATAACTACGGCACCAACTTTCGGTCCACCTTATCATTTTGCTTCCAGGCACAGAAACAGAGACCCTTTAGAACCATGTTTCGTTTCCAATCCCCCAACCACCCGACAAATTCTTTCAGTGTCACAACTGATTCCGTTAGCCCCTATTCGTCCAGTCATCTGTAAAGGTCGACATTCGCTCCCCCCAAGTCGTCATGGGCCCAGAATAGCTAAGTAGCCTGTTTCTGGCACAGATGTCGCGTATTTATATATAATAGTTTCACTCTTTTTGGGATATTGTTCTACATAAACCGTACATATTTTTAACCTCGCCTTCCTCGAGCCAGAGTTTTGCCCAATTTCCCTCCCCCACCACTGCATCAACATATACAATCCATATACTCTCCTACGAACTATTCTCATTGCCTATTGCCGTTCTACAGAACAGCATTCGCTTTCACGTCTCTACATCTCTCACCCCATGAGTCCTCCTCCCAGCCGCCGGTCTCGAAGTTTAGCTCTGCGCAAAGCGCAAAGTGTAGCCGACCACCAATCCCCAAAACACGATATATCCCAAGCCAACCGAGTGCCATTGGGAAGTCGTAAAAAAGCTACCAGACGCACGCATCATCCAGAGCCTGTCCTAATGACAACTCGACAGTTCCTAAGCCCATTATCAAGTTTGAACCAATCGACCCACCTCAGCAACCTACTGTGAGCCAACCGGAAGACCATCATGATGCCATACAAGGCTCTGGCGGTATCGAACCTCAGCCAAATATAGCGGTTCAACATCAAGAACAACAAAGGGTTGAAGCTCCAGTCAACAGCGTATATAATCAAGGCTCCAAACACGCAAATCCACGAAGAGATAGCGCAACAGCTGCCTTGCGCTCAGACACCCGGCCCAGTACTGGATTATCCCGAGCTGATGCCCGGCCAAGTGTACATCGGATGCATACCGGACCATTTCATAGGCCCAGATCTAGAGTTGAGCAGATCAAGCGGCACCTTTTGTCGAATAGTGCATCGCCATCAGTACTACATGGGCACACCGGCGTTCCAGGTGTGTTTCGTATTCCTGATCGCGTCATGAACGGAAGTCCTCGGTCTCATGCTCGCCAGTCCTTGCGTCCCCGATCAAGAGCTCCATTAGGCTTAAAAGTGCCGCCAACATTACGGTCAACTCCACTACCACCACCTCCAGCAAACCAACGTCGCTTTGAGCCCAACTTCACTCATGTCAATCTTGCAACGCCACATGGCCGGCTGAAAGTCCATTACCCCACGATTCTGACCCAACAGGTCTTTCAGAACACACAAATGTGGATAGACGTCTACCAGAACTGCGGCTACAGCTTTCAGGTGGAGGCGTTTGTCGACCGGGCTGGCCAGATCCCCACAGTAATCAAGTGTGGGACTTTCGCCACTCTGGATCAGGCCAACCGTGTGGTCCTCCAGGTCTTTTCAGAAGACAGCAAGTCGCTCATGGCCGAGCGATATGAGAAGATGGTCTTTCGAGAGACGAACGAAGTACCTAGTAGTGGTCACTGGACAGGGTATTGTTTCGGGGTCTACCATCCCGTTCTCCGGCTGTGGGCAAAGCAGGAGCAGCTATGGAGCTTTCGCGTCGAGGCTACGATTTCACCAAGGGATGTGTCAGTGTAGTTTGTGATATGTTAGATCTCAATTTGATTATAAGGCATGAGTTGCTGGCTGGAAACGCTATCCTCTAAGTATAAAATCCGATATGTCCATGTTCATGAGTGTGGGATTAAGCACAGCCTCTTGTTCTTCCATGACGTGCTCTCCCATAAACTGTCTAAGCCTCGAGACCCAGTCTTCCAGCTTCATATCGAAGCACTCGAAACTGCAGTCGGATATCAATGAGACTGTTCTGCCAGAATCGTGCCTGAGTACTCACCCTTTGTCGACTGTCTGGGTACTGAAGAGATCCGAAAAGTTACACAACAGCCAATGTATAGTCTACGTTTAGTTGTACTTATAGCATATCGATACTGAACAGTTTTAGTCAATTATATGGTTCTGAATACCTATATGATATGAAATCAAGTCTCTTACTCTCGTTGTAGTTGTGCTATTTGAGCTTCCTGCTTGTCCACCTTGGTCTGTAGCTGAGATACAACCTCGTCTGGGACTTTGGTGTCTGAAACCTTCGGCACCGGCTCTGCTGCACCGGTCTTTGGACATTCGTTGTTTAGTTGTCGTGGACTGTATTCGGGCACTGGTCCTGTCGTCTCCGGCTTATAGGGGGTATAATAGGCATATTTGGCCAGCGACGTCGCCGCTGAACGGGTTTATGAACAGAGTATCCACCAAAATCCATTGGTATGGTGTCGAATCTTTTTTTCCTTCGAGCGACAGCCATGATGGGTTGCGGGTGATGAATCAAAGAATGTAGAAAGAAAGAGAAGATGACAGCAAGTCTTCCGATGTGCTTTGATCTTTTTAAAGTTAGATACACCCAGTCCATAATGGGGTCATTGTAATAGCTTCTCGAATCGGACAAATCTATTTACAGGTCCAACTTAAGCATCCTTTTGTGGCTTTGCGATGCTCGCAATTCCAATTCTGATTTATGCTACTCTTAGAAGTCCAGAAATAGACATCGATACACGATAGTCGTATATGAAGCCTATTTCTGCAATAAGTCTCTCTGGGCCTCAAATATAGACACATGATAGCTCAAGCTCTTCATAGTCTCAAGGTCAGATAACTCACACAGTAGCCTCCCGTACAATATCACCCAAGTCTTTATTTGTTCCATATCATCAAACAAAGCCACACCATCTTGATAGAACATAATGACCTCCCAGCAAAAAGCTCGATTGTCTCCGCCGCCGATCCGACACTGGTCGACATTCAGATCCACAGTCTCGGCGATACTACTACTGTCTATGATACATCTCCAGACTTTGTACAATCTACAAAAGCTCCGACCAGTCTAGAATATCGAGTAGAGATTTCACGAGAGGATGGGAGATTACGACAAGAAGCTGCCTATTTCAGAGGACTTATCGAACAGATCACGCCAATGCTGCCTGCATTGCAATATCATGTGGAAGGCCTCATGACAACGGTCAGAGACTGTAGTGGCCATATAAACACAGCCAATGCTGCTTGGGAGAAAGAGGCCATTCCATGAATTGTCTATAGGAGCTTTTATTCTCTTATTTCATATGAACTATAGCGGTAAAGATCGAGAGAGCAGACGTAAACATAATGGGAATGTTGACAATAGGGCACCGCTTCTTTAGCCTACATCTAAAACTCTTAATCATCCTCTCCTTGCAGGTGTTCGCTGTTGATGCCCTTTATGCGTCTCTCCTGTTCGGCCAAGTCTGCCAGTAGCATCAATGAACTGGCACCCTCTTTTTCCCGGTGTACAAGCGGTATCGAGTTGCCCTCAGACCGTAGCCCTGTCCTCTTCTTCGAAGAACGCACATTCCACTTCTCTGACCTGAGCCTTCGGCTCTCCCAGATGTTGATGAGTTTCTGTTGTGTGTGCACGACTTGAGCCTGCAACATACAGGATTTTGTCGCAAATTGGAGATCTTTCGACAGATGGACAACTTGTTTTTGTAGCCGATCGTTTTCTTGGACGACTGCTGTCGCGAAAGCTTCTAGCTGTTCCTTAGTGTTGACAGTCTTTCATGACGGCGTAAGAGGTTTTGATATGGGCGGCAAAGAAGACCCTGGTTGGCGACAACATTCTCAGCATGGTCCATTTCCAGAGACTGAAAGTACGTCGCATTAGGCCGATGTATTTAAACGTAATACTTGTGTGATCTGACACAATTGATCAATACATGGTCGAGAGCCGTCGACAAACATGGACTGATTTAATTCATATTGACCAGATGGGAACGATAAGATGCAGTATGAACGAAGCAGGAAGTCTCTTCCCATAGACAACCACATAGACTAATCTAAGGTGTCAGTGATATCGCTGCTCTGTTCAGTTTCCATTCAGTCCGCCACTGAGCCGCAGGCACTCTTTGCGATGCCGTGATTTGTTATTCTTCGACAGAACCTTGCCACATCTCTTACATTTGTATCTTTTGGCCCTGGTATTGAGCGCTGGGAAACAATACCAGACTTGCCAGACGATTGCACAGGAGTCTTACAATCAGTCGATCGCACCGGCTCGAATGTCGGCGAGTTGGTGCGCGTCCGTAGATCGTCAATACGCATGCCCTGACTGGCTGCATCGTCAGGATGGAACGCATGAAATCTGGAAATATGGTCGGCAAGACCCTTTTCCGTGTTTGCGTGAATACAGTATCGGCAAATCCTCCCGGCGTGCGTTGACCGAAGGTGACGGATCATGTCATCGGCTTCAATCAGTTCGCCACACACCTCACATTTCCGAAGATCGTGTGTCTGCTCAAGATGTCGTTGGGAAGACGCCTCAGTATGGACGGCAGAACAGTATTTGCACCGTTTCCAGCAGTGCTCCTCGACCAGATGCGCATTTAACCTCCTCATACAGTTGAAGATCACAAAGGGTGCATTTCTGCGCTCTGTGGAAATTGGTGAAGTGGTCTTTGGCTAATTTAGATTTCGGATCGGGACAATTTTTGCACTTTATCCATTTATGAGTTTCCTGCAGGTGATCGTGAAGACGACCGCTGCAAATAAGATTATCGCACAAGGGGCACTCAGTCCATGGATGTGAGCTCCGAACATGGTTCAAGAATGGCGTTGTGATTGACTTGGACAGTCTGCAGAATTGACACAGTTTCCAGAGATGCTGATTCTGCAGATGCTCCACCAGGTCTACCACGCCCTCCACACGTGCAGAGCAAATAGGACAATGCGTCTTGCTATGGCTTTGGAGATTCGGGAACTCAGCTTCACAGGACTTACAGAAGTGTGCTGAGTGTATATGATCCTTTAGGTCTCTGTGTTCTTGAGCGCAGTAGGAGCACGTGTGGATGGAAGCAATGTGCTCGCCAAGCTGCCAGTAGTTCCCTCCACAGAATCTGCAGGTATGATATGTAGTAACATGCTCAGTCGAATCGACAAAATGACACGCACAATGGGAACAGTAGTGCTCAGATTGAATATGGGCCTCCAGGTCTGTGTGGATATCATGGCAATGATGGCATTTATGCTTGAAAAGGACATGCTCTACCACGTGTTCGTTTGCGAGGTGACTTTCCAGGTCAAAGACGTATCTATGGCAATAGGGACACCTTAGCCTTGAGTGCCCCAAAGGAAGAGTTTCATCAGGAGAGGAATAGTTTTGCTGGAGTTCGTAAGGCGAGAAGACATGTTCTTCGAGTCCGTGTATGTGTTGGCATTTGCATGGATGATTTCGACGATAATGCACTGCCAGGTCGTGATGATGTTCATGGCAACACGTATGGTCGAGAGTTATATGTTCGTGTAGGGACTTGCCAGTATTCTGACACATACATAGAACAGACTCTAGATGCATCTGTAGGTCCTCGAAGCATTTCCCGCAGCCGAGACAGGTATGCTGGCCTGCGATGTGTGCATCAAGTGCGGAGTCAACATCGCAGTGGCAGGCGTGCTTTTCCGCATAGTGTGCTTCGAAAGATTCTGTTGACCCAAGCCATGGACAAAAGCCGCATTTTCGCAACGAGTGTGACGTCAAATGTTGATCCTCCAATGCTTGGGGTATTGTCATGTAACACTCAGGACAATCGACAAATCCAGGCGTCTGGCACTCAGTAAAGACTTTTGGATCGCCGACTGGATGTTGTGGTTCAAAGGTTCGCGGATAGTGCTCGAATCGGCTTGGCGGATATAGAAAGCTCGAAAAACCGCCATTCCTTAGGTCGTGAAAGTACTGCATGGAGTCTTTCAGATGATCGATCGTTGGCCACCGGTGAGATGGCGTGCCCATTTGGGCGCGCTCACCATTGTGAGAATGTAGCGAAGCCTTCTTATAGGCTTTGTGGACATCAGATTCGGTTGGATGCTGCGTCGTCTGGAGACCGAGAGCAGCCCATGGGCTATAATGAAAGACAGGGTGCCTGGACATGGCAGCTGACTTGAACTGAAGCTCGAGCAATGACGATCAGGTAGGCGAAGACGACACACCAAGACGCGGAAAGCAGTGGTACTCCATTGATGTGTTTCACGATGTGAAGTCGTGAGGGATTAAATACGAAAACATTGCACGTAGAAAATGATGCTTCCGATGCCGGAAATCTGGCGAGTGTTATCCTGGCTGTCAGTGGACAGCAACGCAGACGGATCTGTTTTGACGCGGTTTTGCAAAGCGACAACTTGAACTACGTAGGTTCGTCCATCGTATTCTAGCTCGAACCGCTTTATGACCTAGTCCAGGTTGCGTCGCACCCGATGCCACACACGATTTTGGCCCCTTGTAGATCTGGCTAGAAGTTGCCTCAAGCCCTTTTCAATACCTCAGCTTGCTGTTATTGGTACGGTTTCGTTCCCTTCCGAGTGTTGACCAGGGCGTCATTTAGTGCCTCGCCAGCAATGGCCCGATTGAGTGCACCACCCCTAAAGTGGTTGGATAAATTGTGTGCAGCTGCCCCAGCTGACTACGTGTATGCCTACTACATAGTATCCATTACTGTGCGTGCCCCTGCATGTGCCTGCATGCCAAAGTCACTAGCTCTCCAGTAGTTCGTCAAAATCCAACGGGCGATGCGGATCGTGCTCCATGGAGTTATGATTTATTCTCCACCAGGAAGACTGTCACTCTACGTGTATTGATTTTGGTCGGGCAAATTCGTATTCGCAACAGATCTATCCCCAGGCGTGAAACTATTATGCACCCGCATGGACAGAAAGATTTCTCGGCAGAATGCTGCATGGAATGACAGTTGGGCATTAGACACGACTTGTATTGCTCTCTGTAGGCTACCTGGCAACCTTGATTCTTGGTTTGCTCTAACTACCCATTCATAACTTGAGGGCGAGGAGACAAAGCAAATCGCAGGGTAAAGGCTACAGTGGTCATCTTAGTTTACCAGCCTGTTGGAACGATTATCTGCAGCCTGGTATGTACACATTGAGCTCGCGGCATGTACGGAGCAGAAGCACAATATGGCCGATATAAATTGCATGACTAGCGGTAAGTGGCCGATGTTTTCTGTTGCCGTGTGGCTGCCGAAACGGGACACTGCGAGAAATGGTCGCGGTCCGCGTCACGATGGCTGGGTACTTGCACACTACTGCAAGCTAGTGACCTCGTCATGCAGGTACATGCAACGCTATGCAAGGAACCCGTGTTAGGCATAGTCGGCCTGGTGCTAGCGTGGGGACTGAAAGAGCCACCCACTACTTACTACTGCCTGCCCCGGTCTGCATTTGGAGGCGGGAACCAAACGAACACCCTTGTCCGAACAAGAGCCCAAATTGATCCTAGGACATACAGTACACGCCATCAGAATTGACTACGGTCAGTATTCATCCATTCGCAACCATTTGTGTGTACTCGATTGTCCAGATTGCGCTACGTTACAGGATGACGTAAGTGTGTCCTTTCATGTCGCTGAGACTGAGGCCGCTTCTGAAAGTCGGTGCCATTCATGTGTAGACAAACATGCGCTCACGACAGAAAGCAAGAAAGAAACATGACAGGAAATGGCCTCGTGGACGAAGCCTGCCGATGAGGATCATGAAATGGGTACGTCCATTTTCAGCACAATGGACCTCATCGCGGCGGCTTGTTCACTTCAGGACCTACCAGCTGGGGATTGGTGGCTGGTGTCCGGTCCATGATCAAGCTTTTAGGTCCACTTTTGTCTCGATCACGAACGTGCTCTTTCCGCACCCTCCGGCCAGATGCAGGATTAATTACCTCACTAAAAGTAGCCCGGCATGGCATGAGTCCTGTTTCTGAGCCTCCTTTTCTAGTGCAGTACTCACGAGACCACTGTTTATCATTGAGACGCACAGACCCAGTATCGTACACTCACAAAAGTTCATCACATGATTGCCAGTGCTCGAAGGCCAGTCAGAACCTTGGCCAAGGATGCCGTAGAAGGTGAACTGCGATGACTGAAATTTGCAAAAGATGCGGAGTAGTTATCGAGACTGGCTGAAGTCTACTCATGGAGGTACACAAAAGCTACAAACGGATAATGTTTTGAGGCATATTAGCTACATTTTGGTGCAATAGCGGGCATACCGGAGGAGGGTCGAGGACACGATTGGGACAGGGACGAAATCGGACTACTCTGGCTGTCTCCACAGTCTGACGGGAACCTCGAGCCCTGTTTTTGTGCCTGGCCCCCCGGTTTGTCAGAGACACAACAGCGACGAGCCAGAAGCAGCTCAAAGATGACAATCCTGCAGCGAGTGACAAGAGATGTATTGTGGCCCAAGATGTGTCGCAAGAACGAGCAATTTGGTCTATGACGAGATCTGCTGCGAATACTGTACATGAAGACCACTTCTTTTCCAACGAGGTTTATTCTGCAATGCTGGACCGCATTGCACAATCTCCGAGCATGCGCTTGATAGTTCACGACCACTGTTTCTGGCTTGAATACGCAAAAAGCTGCTTTGGTGTCCAGATTCGAAGGTGCAAAAGAATTATGGTGGGTCCGGTTTCAATTATGTAGCCATGAATCATGAATGACAGGTACATAGTGAGCGGGAACAGAATTCTTGGTTTCTAAAGCACTTTTGAAGCCCACAACAAAATCAAACACCATGAACCATGCAACAGGATGTAGCCTGGATACAGTACTTGTATCTTGTTCCAAGCTGATTGACTCGACTCCTCCTGAAGCATTGCCCGCTAGCATAGTCTTGAGTGCTTTATTGGCAACTTCAACTATGTCTGTTGTATGTAGTAACATGCGGACTTGTGTCACCCTTCCTGTCCATTTTTGTGCTCTTCGACCTGTTACCATAATGTATCGCAAAGCGAATGGCTAATCTAGTAATTCAACCTCATCGTTGGTTCTATCCATATTTCCATTCGTATTTAAGCCGGCCAGTTTAACCCAGATCTTGGACATGCCAGTCCTAAGTTGTCTCTTATCCGCCTGATCCTTTCGCTGACCTCACTTCTAGATCTTCATAACCCTCAAATCTTTCTTTGGCAAAGATAGTACATAAGTCCACCGAAGAAAGTTTTCTAGATAACCTCTAGTATTAGCACCACCACCACCACTACCCTAAGACACGCATAATCAGTCATTCAAACTATCCAGAAAATAACAGTGCGGAAATATGGAAGGCAGTAGTGGTTATAATATTGCTTTGGGACGGAGATGCCATGCATGCAATCCTGGACCCTATTAGCTTTCGACTGCTACGATTCCGCACTATGATAATTAAAAACCCAGACTGCCTCCACAAAACACGGTCCTGGTCGATTTGGGATTCGTTGAACTCCATCCCATTCGAGGGGCCGGCGATTTCGCCATCCATCAATACTACCAGAAGTTATCGGCTCGGCAGGATGAATTGCGTGCAATGAAGAAAAGATCATTTCAGCCGGAACTACAGGATCACCAGTAGAACGATGATTCTGGATAGGTTTCAGTTAATAACTCCTCGAGTTTGTTGGCCGCACATATACGAAAAAAAAAAAAAAAAAAGAAACCAGGGCAATACAATATTTGCAATTCCATAAATTAGAGCAGTCGTGTTGTAGTATGAAGTTGCAGTTTCGGATGGTCAGTTGTATCTATGTTGGAGAAAATATCGAGGAACATGCCCCCCTAGCAGTACAATTTGGGCTAGTGATGATATAAGACGACTCTTTCGTGCTAGCTATGAGAGCATTTCATGCAGGTCCCATACTACTTCATGCCACGAGTGATACATAGATTCAACCGATCAAAATTGTAAATCGAAATAAATTTTAGCCGTTGTTTCTACCCTGGCCGATGCTACTAGTACAAGCTCATTCTTGCATTGACCGACTCTCGTCTACAGCTTGTCGCTTGACATCGCTCCGCAACACATCTTCCGCTTTTCTCTTCAGTCCGTTGCTCATCTCAGACTCATCTCCATACGTCTCCACCAGAGCCATCAACTCATCATATGGGTAACATTCAGGCGGAGGTCCCTGAGTCGGGGTGTATGTTGGAGTTGACCCGGAAGACACTGGTTGTTGGGAATGTGCCGATGAGTTATAATCATTCGGCTTGGACAGGAAACAGTCGGCCTTTGCTTGCTGGGTCTCCAGTGTGCAGATAAGAGCGTTTTGACGCTTTAGCATTTGCTCTTGACATTTCTGGGAGGCACGTAATTCCTCGATTTGCTTCAGTAATCCTTCATTCTCGCGTTGAATCTGTTCATTCTCTCGCTGAATACTATTTGTGTATGTCTGCAGTTGGTGGAGATGGTTGGTAAACTCCTGAATGGTAGCATAAAAGACTGTGGTGGGAAGCATGTGCGTGGGAATGCTGTCGCCACGAGTAGGATTTGTCATGGCCGTTAATCGGTTGGTGATTGTGAGTCTTTTGATCCGACTCAGATGATATCAGGTGGCCGTTCAGTGAATTTATGAGTCTTGACAATACCACCCTCCATGGCGGCGTTTGAAGCTTAGGAGGGCCATATTCGAATCTTTTAGTCTGAGGCGAAAACTGATGCTATTGCAAGGGGCTGCTCCAGTCTATGAGGTTTTACCCACGACCAAGAGGATTGGAATGAAATTCGGGGCGGGGATTCATCCGAGGGCTAGATTCAGAAAAGCCGATCTTTGATCTAGACGAGAAGTCCGAAAGCGCCTCAAAGCATGATGATGAGCCGGTTACACAGACTGAAAGTAGAACTTCTGAGAACATTACAGTACAGCTATAGTATACTCATTGTGGTTGGAATAGGGAAGGATCACTTCATCATGGTACTGTACTTCAAGGTTCGAAAAGATACTTCCGGGTCAGAACCAAAATTGGACAGTCTGTGGTCAAAGAAAAGAGAACAGCCACAAAAGGCGGAAGCCGATGTCGACTGTCTGTATGAGGAAGTGGATTTGTATCATGTCCTGCCAGATTCGAGGTAGCAAGCACTGTGGTCGCAAGGTCTGGCCCTAGACCTCTACTCATACAATACTACTGCTTTCTAGGATTCTGAGGCTACCTGTAAAGTGTGATTGAAAGCGACCGATCCAAAATGGGCGGAGGAAAGATCTCCGAGGCCGAGAAAGGGTGCTAGAGAGCTAGAGGCGAAAGGGTTCCTGAAGCAGCGCCTCGTTGTGCTGCAGGCTAGGCTGCTCCAATCAAGCCAAGGTTCTGGGCGGGGAGATCCACTTCGAAAATATATATAAAGAAGTCTCTATCCTCCTTCGACTTGTCTTTCTCTTTCCCTTTTTCTTCACGCTTGCCTCTGGCTTCGTCCATCCTTCTGTTAATGTGGAATCCAACAGTTGGGTGTTACCTCGTTGATGTGGAATCCAACGAGTGACCCTTCGGGGTGTTTTTACCCTGTTGATGTGGAATCCAACAGGTGACCTAGAGGTGTTTTATCTTTACCCCGTCGATGTGGAATCCGACGGGCGACCCTTCGGGGTGCCTTACCTCGTTGATGTGGAATCCAACGAGTGACCCTTTTGGGTGCTTTACCCTGTTGATGTGGAATCCAACAGGTGACCTCCTAGAGGTGTTTTATCTTTACCCCGTCGATGTGGAATCCGACGGGTGACCTTTCGGGGTGCTTTACCCTGTTGATGTGGAATCCAACAGGTGACCTTCGGGTGCCTTACCTCGTTGATGTGGAATCCAATGAGTGACCCTTCGGGGTGTTTTTACCCTGTTGATGTGGAATCTAACAGGTGACCTTCGGGTGCTTTACCTCGTTGATGTGGAATCCAACGAGTGACCCTTCGGGGTGTCCTGCCGATGTGGAATCCGGCAGGGGTCGCAGATGTGGAACCCTGTGTACCGGTCAGCGAAGACGGCCTCTGCAACCTGTCCGTGGTGCTGGCTACGAACCTGTTTGTCCTGCTAGACTATCTACCCATAGTCTTGACAGTATGAACAGAGCCAATGCAGAGACGCACTAGATAGTCAAATTAGTGATTATAAAAGACATGTCTGTTTATACAGAGATCTTAATCCCAAGATTATACATATCGTATTTTGTATCGTTGTTGCGTAGGACTGCTTGCTGCACATGCCCACTTCGTAAAGTCTCTGTGTCTGTGACAAGAATTGTTCGTGCTAGTCCTTGATCACGCCTGCTCCTCAATGTGCTTTCATTCCATCCGGAAGCGCTACAATAATGTGGCAATATGAGTCAAGGGAATAAAGGGAAGCCGTACAGAACTTCTTGGCGCCGTCCCAGAATTGGGCTGCGAACCAAATTCATACTCGGCGTACAGCTGATGGATACTTCCGGCCAATGGATACTACCGGCCAATGGATACTACTGGCCAATGGCACACCAACATCCGTGCTGGTGTGGCATCACCAATACAATACTCGTCCGATGAAAACTGCTGACTGTATGGTGAAGATGACTAAAAATGGCATCTGAGGTCGGCCTTTTGGACATGCCAGAGACAAGGGTGAGAATCGTGCCCAGTCATGACATGAAAACTGAGGGGTTGCGCGCCGTTATTGTACACTCGTCCGATCAGTTGTATACGCTTCTTCTCGTCCGCTCACATACGGATTGTTGTTCCTAGTATCCAAGAAAAGTGGTGACTGTGCACGACTCCGAGCACTGACGTGACCGATAGTGATCGCCACTATACCTAAATAGATCGAGCCGAAAATGTCGCGACAAATCTTACGCGGCAGAAGAATGGCGGGTGTAACATCTGCTCAGAACGAAGTTCGAAACGGGCATGGGAATGCAGCGGCTTTCGTCCGCCAACCATATAAGCTTCAGATCTGATGCGGATGCACGACATTTTTGAATGTCGGTACTCTACATGGCCCTCCTAGAAAGCGCATCTGGGCCACCACCAACCAGGTCACATACAGTACACGCCCACTATGGGTCCATGCCGTCGACCGCCCAAGAATGAGCATACCGGAAAACCACTGCATACTGCATATCATCTGTTGAACAATGTCCCGTGGCCCATTTTGGATGGATTCATTCTGATTCATTGTATAATGGCAGCAGAAAGCTCCGTATTGGTGCAATAGCGGGCACCACCGGAGGAGGGTCGAGGACACGATTGGGTGAGGGACGAAATCGGCTACTAGGGCTGTCTCCACAATCTGACGGGGAACTTGAGACCTTGTTTTCGTGCCTGACAGTACACACCACCGGTTTGTCACAAACACAACATCGACGAGCCAGATGCGGCTCAAAGATGACAAACCTGCAGCGAGCGACGAAAGCTGTATTGTGGTCCAAGATGTGTCGCAAGAAAGAGCAATTGGGTCTATGACGAGATCTGCTGCGAATACACTATTGTCGCTCTCTACTACGGCCTGTTTCTGATCCCTTTTCAGTGGAAGCCTGGTTGGTAATGACCGACATTAGAGATCTGGCTGAACATGGTCCACAAACAGCGCCGGAAGCTATCACATTCCTGAGTCCTCAGTCCTCGGTTATCTTACCATTACAGACAAGATCAAAACCGGCTTCCTCCTTTTGTCTCTCTCTTTTCTTCTCTAAGCACAGACGATCCATTTCTGGCTCTGGCCTGTACGTATACTCTAAGTACTCTTTTGGACCGTAACAATTCTGATTCCAGGACGTGAGCTTTAACCAGGCTCTTTCGCACTTATTGATACACCCACCACTACACATCAATTGTACGTTATCGAAGATAGATTTTGGGCACCGAATATATGCGTTCAGGGCCGAAAAGGGCATATTTCAAGTTCCATGGTACGACAGAGGTTCAAAAGTGTACTTCCGAGTAGGAGCCAGAACTGGATTGTCCGTGCTCAAAGAGAAGAGAAGAGAGAGAAAGAGAGGAAGCCGATTTTGATTCTGTCTGTACAAGCAGGGATGGACATCAACTGGCCGACCGACCATTTTGATCAGGTCACCGATACCGAATCCGATCGCTTCACAAGCCTACCGATTGATACCGAACGGATGAATGACTTCGAAAACTGTACCGATTGATATCGAACCTGAATGTTGGACGACCGCCTGGAGTAGAAGGTGGATATGGATATGGCATCTGACCGGTGTATATTGTCTCCAAGCAATGCGCAACGATGGAGGATAACACGGGCGGCGCGATACACAATCATAATCATCGGCCCTCGTCCGGAATGTCTCGACGACATAACCCATCAAATGTTTGAGCTGCTACTTGCAAACCTCGATCTCGTGGATCATGGCCAGTGGCAAGTGAGGAGCATCGATTGGACAGTTGATAGGATCTTCTTGCATGGCACCGACTCGTTTATCGCCTTTCGTCACCGCAGTCCAGGCTCAGCAGCCCACACCTGAGGATTACGCACGACAGCTGGAGCACGCTGGCCAGCCGCGGGACTAACCAGGCCCCGCGTGAGCTGCTCCAGGCCAGACGAACCACCTGTCCCAAGCATGGTGACTGCTGTCATAGCTGCTTCGGAGGTAAGTTGAACCTTCGGGCGCTTTGTCACCTTTGCATGTTGTGATGCAAGTTCGATTCAGTGTTTGATAAATTCTGCCTTTATTTTCACTCATGAGATAGTCCAGTAGTAGTCCAGTAGCTACATTAGCCGGACTTTGAGTGTCAACCACTTGCCTCAAACTCCATGACTCGCAACCGGCTGATATCGGCCTCAGACTCCCAAGTATTGTCACCGCCCCAGCCCTTCCACTTCACAAGATATTGCGTCTTGTAGCGCCAGGTCCGTTTCTTAAGAAGGCGCTCCACCGCGAATTCGTTCCCGGTATAATTCGCGTCGAACTCCTCGATTAAGTCGCTACTAATGTCATTCTGCTTCTCCCACGTGTTGTATTCGTCGCTAAAGCCACTCCATTTCACCCAATACCATGTCGTCCGAGCTCGGGTCCATTTGCCAAGCAACTTGTCGACCCTCCAGATATTTGCAATGGCATCTATTGCAACTTGTGGCCCTTCCAACCGGCTGACAGAAGAAGCATAGCCCGAGATCATCTCCCTGTGCTCACGATGGAGGCCAACCATTCGTAGGATGTATGATGAGCACGACGACGATGATGGTGATGGAAAAGTTCCGACGTTGGAACAGGTATCCCATCCGCTGCTTCCCTGGCTGCTTCCCTGGCTGCTAAGGCTTGACGAGGGGCTGCCATAGAAAGATGACTTCCGTCTTGGGCTGTCATGGTCATAGCTGTCCCGGCCTTCAGATACATGTGAGAAATCGGAAGCCGGGGATGATCAATTGCAGACGTATAGTCCATCGGAGCGACATACGATGGACACCAAATCAGATCATCCTCTGCCACCTGTACCGAGACGGATGCCTCTACAGGAAGAACAGGCATGTTCATGGCGGTGACAGATTCAGATTCTGCAGTACATCCATACGGACCAAGCGACGTTGGGATTGACCAGCACTCCGATTGTGGTGTAGAAACCATTGATACTGGGAAGCCTGCTGGTACAAGATGCCTCATGGTGGGTGTATTGTGTGCTTCAGTTGCTGGAGGAAAAGATGCTTCGTCGTATTGAAGAGGGAAGATTAGACGTCCTGTGTAGTAACAGGACGGTCCATACAACAAGGAAGGATCTCGTTGGTAGTTTTCCATCGGGATAACAGTCTACAACGTTCGGGATATCGATGGGGTCAAGCAGTTGTGTTAAGTGTCAGATTTGGGAAAGGACGGTCTGGAGTACCATGGACGGCGCAGTACGAGTGCGAGAACACTCCTATTTATGATCACTCCAATACAGATCGGCACAACCTGATCGAATGGGTCTGCCCTCGCGGAGGAATTCTCGAAATCACCCCGATCAGGGACATTACGCAACCGCGGATATTATTCCATCAGCATACTGTGGCTATGCCTCAAACTGCGCTTTTGCAGCCATGGTAGACAGGCCGGTAGTTGACGACGGCGGTTTTCCCAGCCCGCATGCGAACACGTCAGGTTAATCAACTCGCAGAGGTTGTCTGGTCATCTTGTCCCTCTCTTCGACAGTCCTGATTGTGTGGCTGGAGATTGGGCGTGTTATAAGAGCTTACATAGCTGATGGTCCACCTATGCACAAAACTCCATTTTGACCATAAACATAGTGTACTTTACTTGGGCTACTGGTTGCTTGGTCACCCGAGATGAGATCTAAGGCGAGATGCCGTGATCAGATGGCCATACTGCTGCTCCTCCTCGCAGTCATCTGCCAAATTGCCACTAGTCACACCCTGACCCATTTGATACAGTATCTCAGAAGGCCATTTGCGAATGAATCCATTACAAGCACGAAACTATGGCCTTTGACAAGCTCTTTGTCAGCTGGTCCATCAGCTTCTGGCAAGACAACTCGTTTGCATCGTCCTTCGATGATTTCACAACCACTAGCTTGATGACAAGTCACATGAGCGTAATACCTCCCGAAAGTGTAGCTGGTACCTTAACTTCCGCCTTGTTACCTTCTGCCATCGATGGGGAAACTACCTGGTCTGTCGTCAGCTCCATCGATTCTGCAACAGAAACCAGCACCACTTCCAATACAGATGATTCAGACGTCTCTTTTGGGTCTCTGTCTTTATCGACCGCGATCACCCAGAGTCCGGCACTTCTAGAGACGTCAACACCTACAGCTACAACCCATTTCATCACGACATTGAAGCGGCCCGAAACTCTGACTATAATGTCGGCAGCATGCCTGACAAGTTCACATCGCTTACAGATGACACAGAATGACTCTCCTCACAGACATCCACCAGCCATCCATGCCTGGATAAAACCTGAAGTGTATTTCTGGTCTTCGTACAGTCTACAAACGGTCAGAAAAATTGCTTCCACGCCAGTTGCCGAGACAGGGGCCACAGAAGCTGCTTCGAGACTTTCTCCATCACAAAGAGCTAACCTAGTGCGAAATAGTGCCCATGAACACATTTGAAAGCATGCAAGATTCGTCGCAGCAATGCGCAATGTGACACCCATATTCTGACTAACCTTTCCAACTCTGAGACCTTGATTAAGCGCAAGACGGTGCACAGTTTCGATACTGCACACAAAAGCTGCGTGTGGCATACTTTCCAGTTGTTTCCTAAATCGGATATTGCGATCACATTTCGTACTCACAAATGGAGGAGCTTAGGCCACCAACAGCAAATCCATCAGTCCAGCTAGCACCTGCTGATTACAAAACTACGAGAAATGGAACCACGCACCAAGTCATCAAACGGTGCTCAATTGAAATGCTCCAAGTCGGGCAAGGTTCATGTCAAAAGGATATGTCTCTGGCTTTTATTCAAACTGCATGTGGAGGGCTGTCAATGGCGACAATTGTATTTCGACGTTTGACCCCGCATCGACGACGGCGATTCGTGGTGCTAAAAAGCTGGAAGACATCGCCCACAGCAGCACTAGACGTCGTACTTGGCCCGTCACTCATTTCATGCTGCTTAGTACAATTAGCACCAATAATCTCTCTCCGCCAAACAGGTCTATGTGAAGCATATCCAGTGGCAATACTGGCAAATGTAGGTCGGTCAATAAAGGCTTACTTTCTTTGCTGTAAGCGCCATTTGGAACTGTTGATTGCCGCTATGGTGTCACCAATGAAGGAAACAGTATCCCGCCCAAGTGGGTTTTGTGGTTAGGACCTTTTGGGTCGCTAGAGACACTTGAAGCACTATACTGTGCCCGTTAATTGAGGTCTCCGGAATTTGTGGTCACGTGGATATGTCAATTCTAGAAAGAATTAAAAGGTTCAGTATATCAGGACAGTGCCTAGCAATGTTTTAGTCAATTTCATTTCCCATCTTCCCATCTTCCTTCATTTTTTAAGCAAGAGAGGCATCATTTATTCATGCAGTTCGGTGGTGTGTAGTTGTCTAAGCCACACTTAGATCATCATTGAATCGAAGAACACGGTTTGTAGCTCTCGGGTACGTTGGTATGTGTGTACTCACCAGCTTCTAGGCGTCACGATGCTTGTTAGCCAAGACACGTCTTGGAAGAGGAACATGACGGATGACGTATCCAAGCGGCCCGAAACTCCCAATCAGACAACGACAGAGAAGTTGGATCACCAAATCCAGGCAGTTCGCCCAGAAGAAGCACGTTCAGAATGCTCATCCTTTGACGCTGTCGACACGACAGAAGTAAGTGATGTTCGTCTGGCGTCATGCAACAGTGCTGCTTGCTAACAGTGGATCAAGGCCTATCAGACCATGCTCGTTCAAACGCTCAGAGCACGATCACTCTGCCTTTCTTTTTCGAATGGATTCCTCCGAAAGACGATGTGAATAATGCCACCAGCTCCCAGAACAATCAAAAAGCCTCTCCGAATGCAGATACGATCAGCATGGCAACAAGTACTCGTGACGAATCGCCAGCATCGGCCAGCCCTATCTCTGTACACAAACCCAGATCGCCTCGTCGTCAAGACTTTGCTGATACCAATTGCCGATCATCGGGGAGCATGTCAGAGATGTCGAACCCTGCAGCCACCGCTCGAGATGAAACTAGTGGCTTCGCGACGGGCTGGGAAAGCATGAGGGATGGCACACTTCGCAATGACTCCAAAGCACATCGCAATTGGTTACCGTTCGATTCAAGCCCATATGTCTCAACAAACCAAACAATTGGCCCTGAGCATGAGGTTGGAGCTTCACACCGCTCAAGCTTGGCCCGCAATCCAGGATCCACACCATTCCCGTCAGGATGCTGTTCGGTCTGCATTTTGACAAGAGAAATTGTCTAGCTGGCCAAGCCGCCGAAGAGATGGCGGCCTGGTATCCGTGAAGATGTCTACTCGGCTGAAGGCCCTTCGGCGTTGATGTAACGTGATATTGAGCGCCATATGAATCCCCTTGAGCTCCGCCAAGTATACCGTAGACTGGGTTAACGGGCCCAAGTACGCTGTATCCTGACGTTCCACGAACCTGATCGGGTCAATTGATCCTTTCGGTCTTGCATTATCGGCTATAGAATTGTTGACAACACTATCAGCAGGCGGTTCGCCAGGATGTCGCTTTTTCTTCGGGGGTTTGGGATAAGGGCTGTCGGTATCTGTGATCGTTCGCTTACGACTTGTCCTTTCAACAGACAAGGGCGGGTTCTGCGGCAGAATAGCTTGTGTTCGTATGTGTTCAGAATGATACTTCATACTTGTTGGGTAAGTGTCTTCTTCGCTGCGGGAGGACGCAGTTGATGACACGTCTTCCGCTGTCCTGTCTTGCCTTTTGGCCGCTTTCCTGCTTGCCATCAGTTGTGATCACCCCTTCGCATGCTCCAACAAACCTTGATCTCTTGGATAATTTTGCCGTTTCTGGGCGGCTATCTGCATTCGTGTTTGAGCCATGACGACTAGAAAAAGAACGAGAGCGGGAAATGGTAGGTTCAAATGGTCGTAAGCACAAACGAGCAGGTAGGATTTCTGTTCTGCACGGCTCCGCGGTGTTGCTCCATCCATCGACTTACGCGCCCGGAATGTGAGTGGAGGCCCCGCCCCTGACTTCTAACGGAGCCAATCACCTGCTCGTATCAATCGACCAGTTGTGGGGAGCGCCTATGTATCGCTACAAGCCACAAACACGTTAGAATTAGTTGTGGCTGTGAGCACTCCATGCGAAAGCGTTGCTAATCTTTCTTGGGGGTGGTGTAGGAAGCTGCAAAGGTACATTTCCCTCTACTTTTTCTTGTCATACAGCCTGCGATGCTCCGAATGACATGGTCTTTGGTCGATACCTTTGCACCACATGCGAACCAACTCTAGACAAAACCCAGCAAGACTGAGGCAGTGACTCTTATATTGGGCAGCGACGCTCCAGTGCCCCGCTGCCTGCGCATCGACGACGAACGACGTAACAGCACCAAGCCTAGAAAGAACATCGACACCCGACCATCATGGGGCAATACTCGATATCTATACATTTCTATGCCTTCTAGTCAACAAGCGGACGACTTTCGAGTATCCTATAGACGTCGTCTGATATCCAAAAAATCGCGCACAACTAGCCAGCCAAAGGCATTTTACAGTAACCTTTCATTGCGAAAACTGAAAAGTTTGGGCTGTTATATCCTCAGATAATATGGCACCAACAAACGAGACGAATAGTCCAAATGACTCCTCGCAATTTCAGGGTTCAGAGCTGTTAATCCCACCAACCGCCACAGAGAATATGGAAACCACGATACAGAAAATCTCGATGGAAAGACGGACCGATACGGATCTGATTGCATATTTCCAAGAGGTAATTTTACACCACACATTCACTAGTCGGACCTATACTAAATATTTCCAAGTCTGGGAAATGTACCATTACCTGGCAACAGCCCAAGAAAGGCGAAGAAAATCGACCTCCAGTGAACGCTATTGCTGTCGTCGTCGATGTGCCCGATAACAAAGGAGCGATTCGAGTCTATAAAAAGGCCAGCGACACAGAATCCAAGCACATCGGAACTGTAGGGACAGAATATGCTGGACACATGGTCATAATCCCATGGGCGGAACATACTTGGTGGTTCAGGTTGTCAGGATCCCTCATGGTGGGATACGTTGTGGCTGAAGCTTAATATTCCCATCTATATTTTTGATCGCTGCATGGCGAACAGGCGTGTGAGGTCGTCAGAAACGGGTACTATCATGAAGGAGGCCATCTTCTCCGAGTACGTATCGATCAGATAAACTTGGCCAACGATCTGGTTGGAATGCACCACGACCTTCGCATCCTCCCAGGTCAGCTCATATCCATCGCCAGTGTAGGGTGAAGTCCACCCAGTCACCCCATCCGTTGTATGTCCCGAGCCTTGGAGTGGTGAAGCTTCTTGGTTTGTTTGGAGGTCACTGTCCGCATCAAAGAGTTCGGTGCTGTTTGACTCGCATTCTTTGGAGAAGACGTCACCGATCCTCCTTAGACAAGCATGATAAAGAACATCCTCCTTCTCTTTTATTTTCGACCCTAATTCCCTTCGAAAAGAGACTTTCATGGCATATACTGCACTCACACCCAAAGCGGCAGCACATAAAACAACCCCATAAGAACCCACAACGGTCTGGATCTGCTGGAGGAATTCCAAGTAAACCTCTTTTCTTCCTGTTGCAGTTCCAATTGACAGCAGAGTAAATGCTTCCCTGACCCGTTTATTTTCAATGCCTTTCAGAGACTGGCGGCGTTTCACGCCGTCGGATACGCTGATAAGCCTGGTCAAGATCTTATCTGTTGAGGAGTATTTTTGTGGCGGCATCCCAGATACTTTGAACGTGGATCAAGCAAAGCCGAAAATGAAGAAAGGCTGGGCAGGAAAGTGTAGGGTAAGTCGCAGGAAAGTCGTAGGAGAATGTGGTAAAGAAAGTGGTGATAGGAAGAAGTAGTAAGAAAAGTTGTGAGAAAAGTGGTGGGAGAAGTGGTGAGGGAAGTGGTGGGAAAAGTGGTGGGAAAAGTGGTGGGAAAAGTGACATGTAGAGTGGTGAAGAAAGTCGCGAGAAAAGTGATGAAGAAAGTGACGAAGAAACTAGTCTGTAATTAGAATCCTAACCGAGGCACCGTTCTGAAATCTGGCTACACGTTGGTCCCATCTGAGTCGTGCTTCTGCCTACGTATACCATTCACATTGTGGTAGTCCAACTTTGCAGTATTGGTCTTGGCTCGTTTCCCAATGATACGCCTAGAAAGACCGAGCAGGCAACGTTCAAGCCATATAGCCATGGTTCTGCACAGATACAGAAGGACATCAAAAGACTCTTGTTCCTGGGAATTAGAGACAGGCCAACAGCGTGCACAGAGATGAGCGATAGGTACATGGTCTTCGAGTATGCGACCGCATGTTAGCGTGCCATATTAGGTGATGGATCCCAAGCATGCATGTTATCACTGCATACTAGCCGTCCTGAGCTGCATTGGCCATGGACTTACACACAAGGAAGTGAGGTGTTTCGTGGTCATCGCCTGCCTATATATAGCCCGAACCGCTTAGGAAAAGCTACTTGCTCAGTTTTGATTCAAATCTCCTAATGTTTAACATATCAGCAATGGCTCAATTCAATGGTACCAACCCATTCCCTACCCACGGCGTGCCTTCAAACAGTGGTACTCTCTTGGATGAGTTCTTTCCTGGCTTTGGCCAGGCTTCGGCTTTCATTGGACAGTTTGTAGCTGGCAATCTTTCTGGCTATGCACAGCTCCTGTGTCTGTGCAGTGTCCTGTCGTTCGTGGGCAGGTACATCAATATATTGGTCAGATGGATCCGAGAAAACTTCAGTAAGTACGACTACCTACAGCATCAGCCTTAGAGGTAACCTAACATCGCTTAGCTTCTACGATTCACTTGCAGCGCTCAAGCGAATCATATGATATGCTTTTGGGCTGGATTTCCTTAAACGACCTTGGTTCTTTGGCTCGTTCTTCAGTCGCGCGTGTTGGCGCGGAAGGGAAGACACCCCCTGACCATTTCATCGCTAAGAAAAAGCCACTACACTTCTCGCCTTGGAAAGCAAGCTTCTTGTTCTGGTACAATTCCAACCTGCTACTCTTCCGCAGCACATTGAAAGAAACTGCTTTTCGCCAAGAGGAAGAGATATCGCTTACCTGTCTTGGCCGAACTTCGAAGGTCATACAAGCGTTTCTGGCGGAGTGTAGACTTGAATACTTGCAGCGAATCGAAAACAAGACTACCATTTTCGAGCATTCTGCAGAACGATGGAGACGTACTACTGCCATCAATGCTAGGCCGATGTCCACTGTTCTAATCAGTGATCATGAGAAGCAGTCATTAATCAGTGATGTCGACAAATTCTTGGCTGAGGAGACCCAGAAGTGGTATTCAGCCCGTGCTATACCTTATAGACGAGGCTACCTGCTCTACGGACCTCCAGGCACCGGAAAATCAAGCCTGAGCCTTTCTATTGCTGGCCACTTTGGTCTAGACATATATGTTCTCAGCATATCAAGTGTTGATGACGAGACGCTCAAGACACTTTTCGCACAATTGCCTCAACACTGTGTTGTTCTTCTGGAGGATGTGGATGCCACAGGGGCCAGTAATTGTCGTGGCGTCAAGGCTCATAATGCGGCGACACCAAAGGCGGTCACTCTTTCAGGGCTCCTGAACGCACTCGACGGTGTAGCATCCCAAGTGGGTAGGGTTTTGATCATGACGACTAATCATATCGAAAAGTTGGATGAAGCACTGATTAGGCCGGGTCGGGTCGATAAGGTGCGATTCCAGCTTGCAGATCACGACGTTCTCCTTCAACTGTTTCACTTTGTCTTTGCCAGTACAGTGAAACACCAATCTTCGGATACAATGGAGCGCTTAGCAGACGACTTTGCGAAGAACATCCCAACGCTAAGTTTCAGCCCTGCGGACGTATTATCGTTCCTCTTAGAGCATCGGGATAGCCCAAGTAGCGCAGTGATAAAAGCTCGGTCATGGGCCACTCGTGCTCTAGAAGAACGAGTTTCGGACAGTGCATGTTTGCCCGAAGATACCAAGTCGAACGGGCATTGAAGCCGCTGTACATTACATGATTTGAAAGGAATCGAGTGTGGAATGACGAGTACTGGCCAATCAGAAGTGGTCGTATTGAAGCCTTGGGTGGATAATTTAGGCGAACTTATACAACAGACAGATTGCAAACGCAATGAGCAACCTCGATGATAATGATTTATATGGCTCAAACTTATTAGGATGAATTGCAACGACGGTCAGTAGTACTTGGTGGGAATTTCGCGACTATGACAGACGAACTTCGACCGATTGCAGATTGCCTATCTCCTGAGTAATTGCTTCCATCATCATCGTAATCCTAACCCAAGTAACACTCGCATTTTCCCAGTAGCTTTTCCATCTAATTGAAACGAACAGATGTTTACCATTTCAGTTTTTTTTCGAGCAAGAGATCATCAATCACCCTTCAGGTCATCGCATAAGTATACATACGGGCGCCTTAGAAATCAAGCGACTTTATCATTGAAGCAGTAACTAGGAGCTTTTGGGAACCTGTTGTCCATGCGCGACAGGAGTTGCGTGAGAAGCAATGCTGCTCACTTTTTTCGAGAGAGAGCGTTGACATCGGAGGTATCAAAAGATTCATTTAGGCCGATAGATAATTCGCAGAGGCGTCTTGAAGCCTGGGAATACGAACTCGAGGGAGGACTCTTTGTAGATCAGAACATTCTGGACGTCATCGCGACCAATCAGACGAAATTCAAACTAGGGTCAACTCCATCAAAACCATGGGACAAAACTCAAGAAGCACAAGATAGCTTTAGGAACTGAACTATTAGGAGAGGCCGCGGACCGGCACTTCTAACTGCCGTTGGTCCAAAACCTCTTATGTGACTTCATGGGGCATACACCGCTAGAATATGTTCGTTTCCTCGTAGAAGGGGCTATCGCTCGTGAACAAAAATTCCGGCCAGTATGTAAAAACGATTTGTCAGATGTCATCAAACTATCTATTGTGAAATCCAGGTATGCTCACAATTTCAGAGCCTATTTCTATATGCAGGGAGAATATACCAATACTGTGCCCATGGCCGTCTTTGGCAAGGATGTGAGGTGGATAGCCACGTATCTAGCACAGTTCGAAGACTTCCGCAACATCAGTGAGAATATGATTTTTTTAAGGACCCATTTCTAGACGTAGATTGCGCTGCTTACCCACGAATGGCAACCATGTATTCGCGTATAAACCACCGTCATTCTCGATTTCGATAATGTTGATCTGTAAAACTTCCTATCGTATTTGTTGGCGGGTACAAGATAGTCGAATGCAACGCCATAGTAAACAATCCGACTAATGATGATTAGAGATAGAATGCCTCTTGATAACAACGTTTGCGCACCTTAGTGGTTCTTCCACTATCCAGCCAAGATATTCATCTTGCACAACCACATCATCAACCTTTGATGCGGGGGCGAGCGCCCAGAATGAGAAGGAGATCGGGCTCATTATAAGTGAGATCGAAAGATTTGATCCTTGTGATCTCCTCGGCCTGGGGATGAACTTTGTTGTATAGAGCAATATCAGGTCGTAACGCACTACCGTTCGACGCGAGCCTGTTTTGTTCCACTCGTTTCTTCGAGATTGTAGAGTAACTTAGCCATGGTGGCAATCGTCCCAGCAAGGTGTCAGTGGAGGCGGCCCGCACGAGTCCTAGGAGCAGAGAAGAAGAATTCATACATCCAACGTGCGATGCGTGGCTTGTGCATGTAGATGTTCCCTTATGCTTGTGCTCTGTGCGATGCCCGGAGGACATATGCAGCGTGCCCTGAGTGGCCCTGTGTCCTTGGTCTGGCCTTTGGCTCGTCTGGCTGGTCGGGCATCATCAACAGACGAACGCTCAATGCGATAATCGACCGGCTCTTGCTACTTGGTACATGCTTCTTGAATTTCCGGGAAGATGAAGGCGAGGGAGGGCTGCGTGGCATCTTAGGCTGACACTGGGGACTTATCTGTTCTTCATGGCTGATCGATGTGAAGCTTGATGCGAAGCTCGTTGCAAAGCCTGTTGAGACCTCTGTGTCGTTTCCATCGTCTTTGCCATATGCATGGTGAAGGATGGCCAGTCCCACATTAGTCTGCTGGTTGTCCTGGACTTCCCGAGTCTCCTGCTTGTCATCTCCAGGGATCCGCAACGATCGTACATTCCGATCAGACCTCCTGATCGATCGCTGATCGCTGGAATTGAGACTCAACGATCGATCAGCGATCGACCAGCATGAACCAGTCGATCGATTGATCGGAGTGATCGGCCTGATTGATGAAGGCAATGGTCAATATAGGGTAGACGCACGATGATGATCTCGATAACATGGATATGAGTAAACAGAGATGATATTTCGAGGTATCTGACATATCTTTCCACTCTCCACTTTCCTGGATATTGTAAGAAAGTAGGATGGTCTGTAAAATCTCAGCCTTATTTCGTGATCGGGAGGATATGTCCATGCCCAATAGAAATGTAAGTCTTTGGCAGTATGATTTTGATGACACATGCTGTCTCTCTCGTCCTTTATCGGAAGGAAAGTTTTCTCCTCATTCGAGTGTCGTTATGTTGGTTCCAACATCTGTTTCCTTCTCCCGAAGACCCTGACGCAGCTGCAGCGTGTCAATTCAATCGGACGCGGCGATCCTTGGAGCGCTCGAAACGCGAATCGAGCGCCATGACTACCGTGGCACAGGTCTCTATTTTCACTCTTCTCATATTGAAAAGTGAATATACAAACATTCTTAGCGTTCGATTTGCGCTTCGAGCGCTAAACGACCTGTTGTGACGTCTCGAAGAGGACGAGCGGCGCGCTGACGAGGCCGAACGTGATTGACGCGAGCCGAGAATCGAGAGCCCGATGAGAAGCGACGTGCTGATGAAGCCGAGAAATGACAACAAGAGGCTGAACTTTTGACGCGACGAACAACTTTGGACGAATACATTGCCGCAACTCATCAGCTCGTAGCCAACCACTTCGCCGTCGAGACCGACAAGGGGCTCACCTCGAAGGGCCCCATCACAAACCCGTACAACAAGCTGTGTCCAAAGAACCTACGCCCATGGCCCGACTTTCTCGAGCAGCAGCGACCCACTCTAGGGGCCCTCTACGGCACCTTCCCGGTCTCTGATCGGCGTTTCGAATCTCGGGGCTTTTTGACAGGCCTCGGCTAGCGAATTGCCAAGCGACCGATATCTTGCGAAAAGACGCTCGAATATTTCCTGCACAATACCGTCGAAGATCCCGTGCGAGAGATTTTCGAGAACCACCCCAATGTGATCAGCGATGTTGCGGAGGAGGTTGTCGACCGGCAGGCCTCATTGATATCGCCACAGACGCCCGATCAAGAGGAAAAACCAGGGACGCATCCGCCCCGACCAGATATGCGTATACCGGTTTGACGACGAGCTCTCGACACGGCGTATCATGCTGTATGTGTCTGAATACAAGGCCCCGCACAAGCTGGCCGCTCCACACCTGCGTGTCGGTCTCCATCCCATGGATATCTTCAAAGACGTGGTCAATCGGAAAACAATACCTACCGCGGCGGATCCCGAGGGTCGATTCCAGTACCATGCCGAGAGGCTCACCGCTGCCGCCATCACACAGACCTACAACTACATGATCGAGGGGGGTCTCTAGTACGGGTTGCTGACTACTGGCGAGACCATTGTATTCTTGCGAGTAGACTGGCAAGAACCCGGCACACTCTTGTACCATCTAGCAGAGCCCGCTTTTGAGGTGGCAGCGCAATCGTGGGAACACCACGCTTGCACCGCAGTTGGTCAGTACCTGGCATTCAACCTGCTGGCTCTCGGCCCGCCAGGGAACCCACCCACTGTTCGATCGCAGGATGAGCGGCAGCGTGTGATCTTGGGGCTGAGGCGATGGCCAGAGGACTTTGAGACGACATTGCGATCTGTTCCCCGAGACGAGCGATACGCTCCGAGCGGCTCAAGCTCCGGCTCGCTGTATGCGCCGACGGCTTATGCAGGCATCAGCCGGTCACCGCGCGTGCCTCGAACAAGACCCAAACGCTGGGCTCAGGAAGAGGACCGTCCAGATGTGCAGCCAAGATGCAGGGGCCGGGACGACGAGTCTTCGTCGGATGAGTCCTCGCCTCCGATGCCGGACACCCCGACACCGTCTGCTTCTAGGGCTGGTCAGAAGAGGTCGCCTTGACGCAAAGTGTCCCAACGTTCTCTTGCACCGGCAGGCTAACCTTGCAGCTGCTGATCATCTGATCGACCGTGACGAGTTCCTCCGGTTCCTATTTTAGCAGCTGCAGGAGTCTCTCGACCACGGGATCAGTCGTCTCGATGAGGGCGGATCCCGCGGCGTGCTGTTCAAAATGAGTCTGATGGCCGACAGCTACACTTTCGTCGCTAAGGGCACGGTATCTGCTTTCATTCGGGACGTGTCGGTCTGCCTGGGCGCGATAGATCTTCGCGACATGGGCAGGATTTATTACTACGACCATCGGGTCTACATCGAATACCTGTTGCTTCTCTCCATGGCAGTCCGATTGACGAAGCGGCTTGTGCTGTGAGGTCAAACGTTGTCTGCGGGCGATACATCGGGCGTGCGTGGTGCATCAGGATGTGCGTCGTAACAATGTGCTACGCAATACCGACACAGGGGAGCTCATGCTGATTGACTTTGAGCGTTCTGTCGTCAAGGCAGGACGGAAGCCGCTGGGCAATATCGTGCCTAACAAGCGATCGTGGAATGGGCAAAGGAAGGAGACTACGGCGTCAATGTACAGTCATGGTCCGGGAGACGCCAAGTACGAAGAAGATATACTGTAGGCAGGGGTCGAGTTCCCTGAGAAAGACGTCTTTGCAGTGCCCGCGGCATGTGCCTACAAGCCACGAAAGACGCATGTCGCTGCTGGCATAGCTGCTTCATTCAAAACTGTACCCACGTCTGGATGATACAGGAACATTCCATGTTTGAGTCAAAGCAAAGATGATGCATAACGTGGCATACGGTCCATCTGCAACACCAAAAGGCGGCGTCCACTGTGGTACTTGAATGCCTAAATTGGCTAGGAGCGCCGGTCCTTGCCCATTAGTGACGTTCAACACTTGTTCTGCCATTGGGACGTGGGCCGGGTATGGAACTAGGTGACAACGACGCAGCTGCTCCAATGCGATCTGGCATTTTGCTAGCTCTTGGCCGATGAGACGATGCTCTCGGTGTTTGAGCAAGATTTCGTGGCTAAATTCCAGCTCAATGGCTCCCGTTGCACGATTTAACTGTAACCTCATTTGGGGCGGTAGTGGTTGCGTCGCCGACACTTCCTCCTTTCTCGTCAGTGCTATCTCCTCCTCATTTGGTGAAGCAAGATTGTTCTTCGAATTTCGATGCTTCGCCAGAGAAATGTAGGCACTGGTGAGGCACTTAGCGCAGGAGATATGACGCCCAACTCCTATCAACCATACGTTACCTTGTGAAAGCGGAGTAGAGGTATCACTAAAGCTCAACGACCCTCGCCGGCTGCCTCTGGCGCATGCAATACACTGTCGACAGTCTGAGATTGTCAAGTTACTTCCCGATGCTGGCGCTGACCCCAACCCATCATATGTTGTCAATAGGCGCACGGAAATTATCTGCTTCTGACCGAGGCCATTTACTACAGTACTCCGGAAATAGCTCAATTGCTATTCGATGCGGGCGTCGCGGTTGATGAGACGCCCGGCAGTTCTTTGGAACCGCCTCTCATGGTGTTGAGCACTCATGCGGTCCCCGATGATGCATTCTTGCATCTGGCTAACATGATATGCATCGGAATGGGCGACCTGAATCAGCCAATTACGGCCATCCAGCCATGTGGTGGGCAATCAAGAATGGCAGATTCAAGGTCGCGAGGACTTTGATTCAGAAAAGGAGCAACATGTGGACAGAAGGGTGTCTTTATGCGTGCCAAGGTAGTTAGAACTCTTCTTCAAGCACTAATATGAAATACTTAAGGTACAGTGAATTAATTTTATCACAATACTGTATGGCTCACAGGCCGATGTCGGTGATTTCGAAAATGGAACATGGATTGCTACACAGTAACGACTATAAGTCGCTATAACTGGTCCATATACATACTGAGAGGCGCACATGTAATCCAGCTAAGAAACCACCGAGACTTGACACTTCTGTCTCAAGAATTGCTTTTTCCTGTATCCTAGACAAATTTTATTCTTGAGCTCGCACTATTCATCGTATAGTAAAGTCAATGAAACCCGTGTCGCTCCTGTCTCTCGCGACTGGAAGAATGCTAGTGTCTAGGGAAGACCTTAATCCGGATTGGCGACACTGTAAGCCTATTTGCGATTTCGAAAACGTGAAAACTCCTGTCGTGCTACATTGCGTATCAACAGCAATAACAGGTCGGTGATGCTGCTGATGCAAGTGTAAGAATCCGTGCCCGTAGAGTGATTGAGAATAGGCTTCGTAACGTGTCCAATATCGGCTGAGATCCACTATTGTAGGTCCTTGAAGTATACAGTAAAGTCTATCGATGTCCATATGTGGCAGCTCCTCGAGAATAGGACTGATGTCAGCCGGAGATGGACAGAAGGAACATAGGACTAGATTTGTACGTTCGCCTGGATTGCTTTTTGTATGCCAAAACAGCCAATGCACGACAGTTATGGCAATCAGTCGAACGAATGACTGACTGATTCGATTGTTTTGACACGCTGCTTCCGCATCAAACGCACGAATGTGTTTCTCGTGAGAGCTGTTTTTGCATCGAGTAATGTAGGACTCATGAATATAATGATTTAACTTACTTGGGTAATGATCCATTTGTGCTCATATGGTGGATAGCGTAAGTCTGAGAACTGGTTAGAGTCCTAAAATAGGATCCTATCAATCAGGAGGGCCCGTTCCGTACATAAGGAATATGAATATTTGATTGCAAGACGTTTCCGGTGCGAGAAAACGTGACAATCCATGTCAATCACATGATGCCTATACGGACAAGCGCTAGAATTCAGTTCTGATTTTCGAAGGGATCCATAAATAGCTCTAGTGAATAATGATTTTCGTCGTTATGAGTGGGAGCCAATTTCGGTACAGTACCCGCTGTATCTGGAAGACCTCGACCGGAGCTTACGCTTTGGGATCAGAATGATATGGGCTAGAAGATGACCTGATCATTTGGCGTCTAGAGCTTCTGCCTAGTACTCCATTAAGAAAGGACAGACAAGCGAAAGCGAATTCCCTCTCGTTACTGCAAGGTCCGACAAGAAGGAAGGAAGGGGCGTAAGACTTGCTGCAGGTATTGCTTTCATGAAGCATCACGACTGCGTTGCGCTGCTTCGTGCGCAGTTACTGGGACGCCTTTCTCGAGCATTGACCGCTGCAAGTCAAGTGGTCAGTCGGTGCACCATTACGTCGACTCCTTGATTCCGAGTTAGTGACTTGCTTTCTTTGACCCATTCTGATGTAGCATTGCTGATTGGGCTCGGTTTTCGGCGCGTCCGCATTCATTCCCCTTTTTCATAGACTTCAATTATACGGGCTTGAGTATATCCTTCTGTACTCGGCAATGAAATTGTAACTGTTAGAGCCTCTTTTCTATGGCGGCGGAGTTAGTCTTTACGGAGTAAGCTTGCACGCTCGATTCCCTTTCTTCCGTCAACTTGAAAGATAAGTACTCTAATTAGCAGTTACAGTTCCGAGTTCCAGAGCGCTTCGCTCCAGGCACCTGGGGCAGCTCACAATAAACGCACTCGCTCTCCTGTATGATTTTACAATGCGTCATACGATGGATTTATACAGCATCCAGGTAGGTTATCCGAACAGACAAGAGATGACGAATGTGCTTGGCTTCCAGGCTTCATGGCGTATCTACTGCATATGCTAGATTAGCGGAATCTGTTCGTTCCTGAATATTTGGCCCTTAGCTTGCTCAGCGCGACAATAAGAGTAATTCATAAGTTGCAACGTGAAATATATTATTTATTACCCTGTTTTAGCATACAACCAATAATCTCAAGCCTTAGATCCTGATTATGGTCAGGTTTTATCATGCGCCGATCGGGCCAGGATCTCCACGTTAGCTACGGTTTTGAACGTGTTCGAACAGGCCAACTGGCAAAACATCATAAATCAATTTCGCAGATAAGTGGTAGTTCTACTTAACTAAATATAAGGGTTCTGAATACAGCTGATCTGATGAAGGCCTGGACGGCAGCGGGCTGAGCGGTTTCGACCTTTGTGTGTCCACTCTGACTGCTGTACATCTCTGTCTTAGAGGCACTAGAAACCAGAAGAATCTTTCAGACCGACGTATGCACCGTCCCGCTCAGCTTTCAGTACAGCAACGAAAATTCCTTAAATCTCATGCACAGGTACCATTGCCGATACAAGTGCGTAAAAAGCAGTATTTGTTGACAATCTCCGCATACGATGCTGACGATATGTCGGGGAGAGCCTGTCCCTTGAGCCTTTGACGAGACGGCGGGAACAAGTGAAGCAGTAGAAGTCCCGTTTGCTATAACCGTGGGAATCGAAGTAGAGTCAACTAAGTCGCAAATGAAGCCTTCTTGTTAGGCGTCACGTACAAGTCACCGCTATTGGGGCCACCCATTGAATCCTTGTGGGCTTACTTGGCATCATTGAGAGAGACTGCGAAGCCATAGCGGTTTGCAAAGGCAAATCCACTAGGCGCAGGAAGCCATTTTGCAAGATTGCCACTGGGGAGAGCGGTAGTGGACTTGGAGCTCTTGAGACGCAGTATAGTTGGCTTGGAGTCGCCTTGGTAATCGTGGATGAGTTGGTCATAGTTCATGAACTTGTTGTCGTGGCCATACCATCCAAGGTACTAGTAGACATCAATTTCGGCCAGGTGCCTATCGATGGGTTTGGATGTCGGTTGTTCAGCGATATGCAGTTGAATGGCCACGATGAGGTACCTTGGAAGGTGCCCTCGCTGTTTTGTGGTAGCACCTTGCGGAAGTCAACCTGAAAATTGAGATTATTGTTGTTGTCCCAGTACTCAAGGCCGTTGACATTGTACCTCACGCAGAAGAAAAGGGTCTTAGCCCCCAGGTTAATCATGTCTGACAGGTTGATAGTGAAATCAAACCGATCATGGCCAGGCTCAGATTCCCTCGACTTGATCTCGTGTGTGTACTCCGCGCCAACCTCAGACATGGTCTCCCAATAGTCAAAAGTGAATCTGCAAACTACATGCTTCTGGAAGGCCATATTAGCTACGCCGATTGACCCATTCAATGATTTCTGGTCGCTAGACATCCACACACGTTCCACTCGGGCGGGAAGAGAGCTGCGCACGAGAGTTTCAACAGGAAAATTGTTCATGACAAGCTCCCACTTGTAAGGAGGCGATTTGGACCCCGACTTCCAGTCGAAAGGATCTACCGTGCCAGTCGCGTAGTTGTTAGCCGGAGATGGGCCCGCGCTGACTGCCAGCGGACGATCAACCTGCAGGAAATGTCTCACATGCTCTAAGTGTGAGTCAAAATGGACGGCTTTCGACAACGTTGGGATACTAGGCATGCTAGTGGTCCTCTGTCGTGAGGCCGGCCGGAGGGCAGGGTGGACAAGTTCGCCAGATTTCTTTCGAACCACTTGAGGCTTTTTTGAAGGGTGAACCTGTTCCGAATCGTCTGAGTTTTTCAAAGAAGCATTTGGTGATTTTGAGACCATGAAGGAACGCTCGGTTTTGGGACGGTTATGCGAGATCCGTCTTTCTCCGTTTTTTGTGACATTGACCTTCAAGCTACGTTGTACTACATCAACCAAGTTTTCAATCTGTGTGGGCAGGACTAGCAAATCGCCTGGCGAGGTCTTCGATGCTAGGTTCGCTGAGCTTCCCTGGTGCTGAAAACCCGCAGTGATTACATGCTTGAGCTCCTCAAAGTTTCTGGTCTGCCTTCCTCTGGTCAGCACCGCCTCCGCTCCCACATCTTTGCTCGAGGTTTGAAGGTCTTCCATCATGACGATGGCACGAGCAGGCATGGTTCGGGCATCCGTGATGAAAGGTGGCGATTTTCTCACCAGCAACCAATGCCTCAAGTTGTCGGAAGTTCCCGGAATGTGTTATTAGGTCGAGTGCGGAGATTGTCGCTAAAGGCGTAGTCGGTGGATTGGCCCAATGAGGTTCGTCCGGGAGTGGTTAAATACTATGTGCGAGACAGTGCTGGTCGTGCTGCCACGCCGGGTATGCCGCCAGATATGGGCGTTGTGCAATGGAAGGACGATCCACGATTGACACCGGGTGACCAGGGAGATGCGATAGCAAGAGAACGATGGGATGGGGGCGTGTAAGGTACCTTCCCATGGGCTGCCGGATGAAACCAGATGACGGAATGTGAAGGGAGGAATAGTCAAAATATGACTCGAAGCTGCTGTCCCTAGGTACCTGCTTGCTGCGAGGTTCGTGTGGCGCTAGGTTTCGCCCAGGTTGTCCGAAACTCTAATGCGTCTCTCATCTTATTTAAATAAGACTAGTAGTCTATTAATGCATGTTTTTAGTGTAAATACATCCTAATAGCTGTGATGAACCTAGAACGCACAATGCGGGTAGCATGTGACGTCCTATGCGGGGTCATGGTTGGCTTCAAGCATCACGCCATCCAAAGACCACCTGTGTCACGCCCACCTGTGTCACGCCCACCTGTGTCACGCCCACCGAGCCCGATACTTCTTGGTGAACCTACTGGTAGTGAATCTTCCTCAAAATTTCTTTAAATATGGATGACAATAGCGTAATTCCTTGTGAAATGGCCTTATCGGTGCGGCTCGGACTGCGAGATCCTGGCACCGTCCTGATAACGACATACTAATTGTCTCCCGCTTGAGTGATCGTATGCACAATCAGAAAATGGTCCATAAAGCCCATCGGACACTTGGCGAGGTCATTGCGCTCTTCATATTGAGCTAATTCGTCGGTGGTGACGAACTTGACGAGCTGTTGTTTGCGGCGCTGAGGACATGCGGAGCGGTTGATGTAGACCCACCAGATCTCACTCTGCTGAGCCGCGCCGGATGTATATCGAACCTTGCCTAATTCGCTCGTGCTCTGCAGAGGCGCCCAGTATGTCCTGGAAGAGGCGTACCATATCCGATTCAACACCAAATTGCACCAAACACTCTTCAAATGGCGTCCGACCGAACTGATTTTTCGCATTTGGATACGCTCCATGGGCCAACAGCCACTTTGTCCGCTTCCAAAAGCCATTAGCTACGGCGTAGTGCAACGGCATCCCGCACACGTCAGTGCGGATGAGCTTGTCTAATGTAGCCTCGTCCATCGCATTGATTTCGATGTTCAAGCCATGGACCAGAAATCTCATCATCTTCATGCGCTCTGATACGTGTGATCCAGCAGCAGCATGTAGAGGATACACGCCAGGTGCATCCAGACAGGCACCTGACTCTAGTAAGAGTTTGAATGTTGCTGGTGTAGCGAGTGCCGCGGCTCGGTTGAGGATTGCTCCCGAAGAAGCAGGCGTGGGTCTGATGCCAACCGAAAGCAGGTAGTGCAGAACACATTCATGATTAACGGCTGCTCTACGCTGGGTCGTTAGCCTTTGGGGACCTTTTTACGAGCTGGAACTTGTGTGAAGCGTACAGGGCAGGCTGGAATGCTATTGAAAAGGCAGGGTATGGCAAGTCGCAAAGAGGTGAAGATATGTTAAGAGGGCAGGTAAATCGTGACTTACGGCAATACCCAGCGGGAGAACATCTCCACTCCTCCAAGGCTCAGTTTGTTGACCGCCAGGTCCATCATTTCCGCGCTATCCTTTCTCGCTGCCACAAGCGCAATCTCAACCATTAGATCATCAAGAGCCAGACTTTCTTCATAAAAATGATCAACCAGACAGCATACGCAGTTGACAAATCCTCCATTGGCGGCCCGGAAGATCGGCTCTCTAATCCCATTTACTTCAAAATCGTGATGATGCAACAACAACTCGACCCGCTTGACATCGCCAACTGCACACGCGGAAGAAAGGCATATGCAAATCAAGGCATTTGACCTCTCAATTTTTGAAGCGTCGTCAATTGTAGCATACAGATTTGCTCGTAGTGGAGGCGGTGTCGCTGGGCTTTGCGTTTGTGGTCTGTACATTAATGTTGTCCACTAAAGGCGGTGCAGTGAATAGCGCTTTATGAACCGTAAAGCCATGGGCAATGAGTGGCTTGACGAATTGTCTGTTGTTTCATACAGTGTGTCTGCCTGTCTCCAGATAGGTATAACCAGGAAATATGATGTATTTTTGACATGACACGGTGCCGATTAAACTGCTGATTTATTCATGTTGTATTAGTCTGTAAAGCGTTCCAGAGAGACACTGTTAGTGTTGTGGTCACATCTGAGGAAGTGGCCTCAGGTGATCTTGCAACCACCAGATGCTGGTTGTGGCAGAGCTTCTAACCAAAACAAATAGTAAACCCGGCGAATTAGCTTGTGGTTAGTGCTGAAAGGAAAAGGAATTGGAGAACCCACTGCGTCTAGTTAACGCCTGAAACGAAGCGGGGCTGTGTCTAGATCAGCCCCCACAGATCGCTAAAGATTGAAGGTGAAGTTGAGATGACTGGCCGATCTGGTGTTGCGACCGGGTCGTCTACGGTAGAAGGGTAAGGCAAGAGATCGAAATTGAAGATAGATAGAAACTATATGCATCCCTACAAGCACAGTAGGCTTATCCATTTTTCTACCAATATTGCTAGCTAAATTTATCGGTTGGTAGACGTTTACATATTCGTTCTCGAATACCATATTCCGACGGTATTATTCAGTGGTTATTCTAGGTCCATCCCCCATTGGTGAGATCCCCCCCCCCCCCCCCCCCCCCCCCAAAAAAAAAACCCTGTGATAGAGCAATGGGAGGTTGTCAACACGCCGGGTCATTCTCTTGTGCTTGTTTGCTGACACGCATTCGGCCCCAATTTTTGTAGAAAAGTCGCATGACAGCCAAAGTCTTAGGAAGGTTGGCACATAGTGAGCTAAAACTTTATGGTTGTTGGGTTTTGCCACCATCCCCACTAGCATGTACTAGTATCAACGAAAGATTGTGGGACAATCCGGACACCTCGTGGAAAGGGTATTACGAATTGACTGACAAGCTTCCAAGATCTTGAAGTAGTTTGTGTCATTGCAGTGAATAAATGCTTTGCGGTATTGTCATTCTCTTAAGGGCCGAGCACAGAGTGGTGTATTTATTTAGGCACTTATATCTTCGTCAACCGATAGCAAGCGTCATATTTGCATAACCCATGAAGATGACAGCTGTGACCCATTTCCGAGCTCCACCGGAGGCAGACCCCGACGAGAATAATGTCATTACTTTCGGAGCTATCTGCTTTGTGGTTTTTTCTCTCATGGTGATGTGCTTTAATCAATATAGGTTGGGTGTGGTACAACGTTGTTACTGACTTGTCGTAGCGCTGCGGTTGCGAATTCGGCTTGCCGGAATGAGGAAAATCATTATGTTGACGGAAGCAGTTCTTATGGCCAAAGGCTGTTGCGAAAACTTAGTAATGAAGCATCGATAACAAGGTACAAGTTCTGGCTATTGGAACATGTGAATCTACATCGGAGCTCGACTTTACTCACCCCATTTGGTATATCCTCAGACAGGGGAACTTCTTGAAGGTCTAATTTTCTTACATTGTGTTTAGTGCGATATGCCTGGATACTATTACGAGTGCAACTGAGATATACGACCTACCATGTGATCATGCGTATCATCAACAATGCCTCGAACGTTGGGTAGCTAGGGAACACCCATCCTGCCCTGTGTGTCGCAGGTGTATCTACACGGGAACTCTGAGCAGCAATTGCTCCATATCCCCTTCACAGGGCTCAATTTCCAGCTCAGCTTCTGGCTCAATTTCTAGCGAATCGACGTGAGCGACAACCGTACTTCCAATGAATGACATCGCGCATTGTATTTGCACGGAGGAGTGTAACCTAATGCCGGTTATTGGCAGCGAACGCAGAGCACTCATGTCGAATGTCGCCATCCAATTTTAAGCTAGCAACGAATGTGCTAGTTGGGGCCGACAGCGACCATGAAGATCATGAAGATCATGAAGGCTTCAAGCGCAAGACACTGCCATACGGAGGACGGAGGGTGAGTGACTGCGCCAAAGCCCGCTGCCGAAGGGTTTCCGCTATGTGGTCTAGATATTACATAACCGATACACTGCGGTCAGCGGCGAGAGCAAACGGATCCGAATCCCGCTACAGCCCCTTACCCGGTGTGTATTAGTCGTTCACAGGCACGCAGCAGTAAGGTTGGCTCCATCGCATGAGGTCGGTGACCAAACAATCCTCCTCACACTTTCAATACTGGCGGTTTTTCTCCACCTAGATCGTTCTTCCAGCTGGCGGACACGCAGACACCTATTTGACCCACACCAAATTCGACGCACATCAGACGACTATTAAGACGATGTCCAGACCAGACGACTGCGCACTCATAGGTCGGATGGTAATGAACGGGTGGTTTTCCGATGAAATCGTGGTTGGAGACTGAATTAAAACCATCTGGTATTGCCGGTATGGTACTGCAACAGCGTGAATTGGCACGGGAGCGGCTCTGAATGCACGTAGTTAAGCTGGCACCCCGAAAACCATGCGATATACGGCTCTGAGGAGTGTTTTGCGCTAATAAGGGATGCCCCCCACATCAATCGATTATCCAGAGAAAAGCCTAGATCGATATATTCGCATCGTGCTCGAAAAAGAGCGCGGTTATCAATACTCAGCTTTGTCTCGGAACATAGCGTTTAATGAGCGGGTTTTCATGCATTAAAATTATCCAGTACACCAATGGTTTAAGGGCCGCTGGCGCATTTTGGACAGCCGATGCGTCGCCTTGAGGTTGTGGTCGTCGAGAGAAACCTGAAGACGAGTCTCCGAGTCTGCATATCAAACACCAAGGAGACACAACCAAATTCTCAAGAACAGCTAGTAGGAGAGGTAAAGGGGATTCATGCCAGACGACTCATCTTCGGGCCAAAATATATCGAAGTCAAAAATAACGCAAATTTACAGAAGGAAGCAAAACTACACGCGAGCCATGGCATTGATCGCTTTTACATCGAAATAATGGTAGTTAAGGACGACGACATTTGTGACAAAGAGGCGTGAACATCCGTTTCGCGTCATTGGCAGTCGAAAGCGTCGGACAAAACGCGACTACTTGTCGACCTTTATCAGTGATTCATGAAAGACCTAAAGCTATCCAACAATTTTCTACATTAGAATTATTTGTGCGCCAATTCCGTTAACATCGTCGGGAGCATCGATAATGATCCTTTTTGGCCAAATCTTGAGCATGACCAGTGCTCAGCATCATCGATCCATCAAGATCAATGCTGAGGATGGCTCAGATGCATCTAGTGTATCTGCAAGTGCAATGAACTGTATATAGTCCAAGAATAAAAGCGTGATGATTTTCTGAAATTAGTGGTGTTATTTTTACTGCTAATGGGTTCGGTGTGTCGGAAATGGGGTGACGTACGTTAGTTACGAAGTCAAAAATCATGTAGGACCCGCCTAAACTACTTCGAAATTATTACCAAAGTTGAAACGGACGTCGACCTACGCTAAGAAGAAGTCTAGAACATCGAATCACCTGATCATCTGTTTTGATTGTGGTGCCGCAGAGGTTCGCAAAACCTGTAACTGAATGTGATTGGTCAAGCAGGCCATGGTCGCATTATTGACCTCGACGGACGTCCTCGTTGGAACATGTCAAGAAACCTCCACAGGGAGACCTAGTAAACTATACTGTAAGGTTTTGCTAACTTTGAAACTGCATCTTCAGGTGGGCTGATTTCTCCCGTAGCTTGAACTATTCTGCTGACAAACATCCATTTGTGGGTTGTTCGTCCAGTCTTTACTTGCGGTCCATATGATTGTGGCACCGAGGAGGATCTCACCCGATGCTTAGGTATAAAGGCATTTAAAGTGGATGGCAGTAATATGCCACATTCTTTTTGATGTTAAACGATTACACCTCCAGGAAGGGAAATGGAAAGATCAAAGCACAACAATAACATCTCGAAAGTCAACGAATGTAAGCAAAACAGTGATACGGGATGTATGTGGTATTGGTATTAACGTTGAAATCTTTTAAGGCATAAGGGTCCAGACACTCGAAGTTCCAATTGAAAGCGGCTGGCCCGCTGAGTGCACGGAGGCACGAGGTCAATCAAAGAACCCGCGACCAGTAAAACCAGTAAACCGTCAGCGGAGCAAGTCACCCAGTCCTCCTCACAGTGTCGATTTTTTCCTCGCGTTCGGTACCGCCGATCTGGACGAGGAGCTGACTGGACCAATCCCATCGTTTTCCCATCGCCAAGAAGACGCACGTCGCACCATAGAGCGTACCGAGACATGGCACCCCTCAATACAGCCCTGTAATAATTTCAGCCCGGAAGATCACAAGCATAAAGAGCATGCTGCTCTCATTTCCAGAGTGGTAACCGGTCAGGGATTTACTGAGCGGTGATATACATTTTGAAAGGAAGGAGTATCTGCATCGCGCCTGCATCGCACCTAGTTTCGTGGAAGATACCAAATCAAGGAACGAACGATTCATTGCCATGTCACCCGCGCGAGGCTATTTCCATAAAGCGGGGCATCAGCATCACTGGGAATTTCAGCGGGGAATTCGAGGCTGAAGGACCAGGTTGTGCATTTTCAAAAGCGTTATGTCAATGAAAACTATCCAGCCAAAAAATTTATTAGATAAAGTAGCATAGCTGAAAGCTACTTGATCGTGATATTTTAATTGAGAAAGAGGGACATTTACTAAATGGCATTTTATATACATACCCGTCCCAATTCCCCACCAAAACTCATCTGACTAGCTTTACCGGGAAGTCGAGCGGACTCTTCGGATCCCCAAAAACTTGAACCCTACTTGAAGATCTTGCATTATGACAACCGTTTCTTGATTAATTGATTTCACTTTTCACTTTCTTTTTTTTTTTTTTTTTTTTTTGGAAGAGATTGGGTTTTAAATTTGTTACCGCAAAGTGAACGGATATCGTCGAAAAATTAGATTGACTCGGGATGCCAAATTCCAGAAGTGCGCAGAGCGCGAGTTTAGGATCCCGATACCGACATTATCACCACGATGAAATTGTGCGAGACCGTCTGCTCAAGATCACGAGCCTCTTGACTGCTATCGTTTTTAAAAGATATGGAGCTTGTGGAAAGCATTTTATGAAGGACACAACCGCACTGGTTGGGGCTTCACTATCAGACGAGGAGGGACGACATAAGAAGTCTACCGGAACAAGAGCAGACTGCCTAGGCCGAAGTCATCGGTGAGGACGTGTACGCAACGCTACAAGGTCTGGCACGGGCAAGAGCGATCGGCGGACACAAACAAATTTATGTCTGCCTCGGCAACACGTCCGTCGTGGGCCGGTTGAATGGGTCACCGAAACCGTCGCAGAGCGTCTTCCTGCGCTTTCAAAAGTTAGCAGCAGCGCATGCACCGGGGTTCATCGTGAAATGGATCCCCGAATGCCAAGATCTCGAAGGTAACGAGGCCGCCGATGAACTAGCCAAGGAAGGTGTAAAACAAGGAACGAGCACAGACACCTTGCCCCTGCCCACGGTTGCCTGGGTACGAAGGCACCTAAATAGAATGAAGAGAAAGGAGTTCAGCAGATGGTGGGAGGCATATGACGAACCCCGGTAAAGAAGTACATTCCCACGCGGTCGTATCTAAGAGCCTCGTCTCGTTCCAAACGGCCACACTTCACAGGCTCGCTAGCGGCGAGATCTGGCCATGGCGACTCTGCAGCATATCACGAACGCTTTGGGCATGCGGACCTGAACAACCACTGCGGTTGCGAGTAGAATATGACACCAGATCATGTTTCCTGTTGTGACAAACTACGGAAGCATCGACTGTGCCCGGGCAAGCGCCGAGGACGGCTCTTTACACCACTTCTGGGTGAGGATAGCGCGTAGTGGGCGCGTTTCTTGGAGAAAATTGACTTCTTCACACGAATATGCGGGAGATAAAGCGTCTTGCAAACTGACAGGAAACTGACGGACTAAACGATCTAAGTTCAGACCCTGCTACAGCGTGAATTGGGACGTGTGTAGGCCTGCTTGCATATAGACACTAAGCCTCCAGAGCTGCGATGTGAGGCTCTGGGAGGCGTGCTTTGCCTTAATAAGGGATAATCCCCACGTCGAATACAATCCATTTATCCATCAATCCATCAATCAATCACCAACTAGAGTCAGGTGCATACATCCTGCTGATGGAGCATATGTATTGGGGCTCATGAAAATGCTAAGATTTTCGGTCCATGACTTGAATATCGACGTTATACGACGAATGGTGCTACGTTAGGCAAGCTCATTTGTAACGATGTATGCGGGATGCCGCTGCACCACGCCCAGCTAATGACTTTGGAAGCGGGTACAAGGGCTGTTGAGCCATGAGTGTATCCAAGTACAAAGAATCAGTCGGTTGGACTCCGTCCGAGGAGGACCTGATGCGATGCGGTGTTAACTCGAGCATGGTTAGTCATTTTGGGGACATACTGAAGTAGTGAGTGTTGGCTGTACTCTTACTGCAAGGGAGCTAAGTGGGTCGTACGACCTTCGTCGGGGTTGTTCAGGGTCTGATCATTATAAGGTCTAAGGGATGGAACTTGAAAATAGTCTCCTGGGCATGCTTTTTCACTTTTGCCACAGTTAAGTTGTCGGCTTTTGGCAGCAGTGCATTCGGAAGACAACGAGAATGGGTCGTTGTCGCTAATTGATACTATTTTGGTCACAAGTTCATTCTTTCCATTCATTTCTCAGTGATCAGTCCGCGAGTGAACCAGCGAGTTCGTCACAAGGCTCATAACCAAGGGGACAAGACAGTGGTCCTGGTTCAATACCGAGCGCTTCTGGAAAGCTTGAGTGAAATAGGCACGGCTCGATCTGTATCCAACGCTGCCCAGTAGGCCGAGATCAGGGGCGTCTATGTCACCATACCGATTCAATCGCCGCCACAAGACGATCGCCTACGCAGATTGTCACCAGCGACGATTTTTCTCAATAGCAAGAGGGTAACGTTCTCGCCAAATGCCAGGATTGGGATTATGAACAGGATTTGGTTGTGCATACGATCACTCAAGCGGGAGAGGACTAAACGTAGTACATTATTATCGGGACGGTGCCAGAGTCTTGCAGTTGCACGAGAAACATATATTTGAATCATAATGTTCTTGAGCGTTGAAATTTCCAATGACACTAAATCTCCCTCATTATGTGGTGTTCGTCGGACCAATTACAATTTTAGCATTTAATTCTTACCAACGACAGGCTGTTCTTATATGATCCTATGCAAGCACAAATGATGAAGCACACCGGATCGTACGCGTTACCAGCAATGGTCATTTTGCAGAATTTACCCTAGTATATTCAATAACTGGTCGCAGCCAGTTAAGCATGTTCTGGCCCGTCACAAGCATGAAACCTTCATCTCAGCGCCTAATGGTCTATCATACCAATATCTTGAATCCTGTCATAGGTACATTCCCAAAATGTGGAAATGCGCAGAGCTCAATCCACTGATGTATTCTGCTGCCTTGTTACACTATATTATCGGGCTTTTACCAGGGCAGTAGTGAATATTGTAGAAAAACACAGGGATGACACGAATTGCAAAATTAGGAACAGCAGTGTATTCGAAAATCACAGTCATGCTACCCAAGAACCTCTTCATACATGATTCCCTTAACTCAAGGTCCTCGCCCCGTGAGCTAACGAGCAGGCAGATAGCTTCTTATTTAAATCTCTTTCTTGACGTTAGTGCAATCATCGCAATCCGGGTGCTCAAGCAATGTTGTGTTAAGAATTTGTTTAGTTTTGACGGATACACAAGGTACCATAGGTTGAGAGTCATTATCAGAGTTGTCTTCCGAGTAGATCGCAATTCTCCAGTAGTCGCCTTCGAGATCAATGGATGGCTCAAGTACGGTGCTGTTCCGCAGAGCCCCGTTGAGATAATACTGAAACAACGCCGTACATCGAAGAGCATTGTGATTGCTGATTTTCATCTTCTTGCCAATACCCGCCTGGATCATTGGTAGATAGGCAGGTTCACCACTCCCTTCCCACACATCTCTTAGGATCATCGACAACAGTAAGTGTTACGCGCTGCGTCCATCCTGCTCGCGCCAGGACTTGTATTTGAGTAATGGCTGCTGGGGGGATAGTAAAGATGTGTGGGGTTCTAGGCTGGCATAAGAACTTGAAGTGCAAATATGTGGCTAGGATATTAAGTGCTGCATGCCGATATGAGGCTATTTACTCCCACCACGGGCTGGATAAAAGCTACTTGTGTGTATATCACTGGCCTTATACTCGGCGGTTTGCCGTTCAACTTCTAAGATTGACACAAATACAACGTCAGTGTAAATTATGCAAGCTGATCTATATGAGTTGAATGATTGCCCTTTTAACCTGACGATTAGCATTTATCCATAAGATCAGCCGCATGAATCACTATCCATTCTGCGGGTTGCTGATTGACAGTTTATGTTCCAGTGGGGCACTGTTTTACTTGAATCCAACAACTCAAAGTTAAAGGCTTTGTCCGTTTTGAATTACGAGGTGGCTGTTACGAAGGAAGGTCGTGGCGATCGGCATAATCATAGAAGCTACATGGCAGGCTTACAATCAGAGGAAAACTTTCTTTTTTTCCTGTCATTAGTGCAGGCAAAAATTATCGAAAGGAAATGACGGTCCAGAGATCACCCTTACCGCCATGCTGACCCCAAGTAACATTGACGTTAGGGCGAACAACCTCTCTGGGCATCTACATATTAATTGCAATACCGTAAATTGCTCTTTAAAAACCTACTGACCGGAGAGTGGTGGGTCATATTTTGAGCTTGTACCGGATTCCGAATGCATATTCTCACGGCACTATCCCAAAGGTATCTATGCCCATTGCTATCATATGTTTACTAGTCTACGGTAAGGGTGAAATTTTGTCTCATCGGAAGGGAGGGCAACATCAACAAAGGTCCTCCTAGGAATTGTGCTTGACCTTGGGGAATCTTTACTAGGCATGACCCTGGCTTGCACGTAAGGACTTAGGGAGACTCTCACGTTTAGGGAATCGTTGGTGTCGAAAAACAATTTCTAGCGCAATAAACATCCTCTTAGTTAAGTATCATTGACGTACGGCAATGTATTTTGCTTTGACATCAACACTCGTCGAACGCAGAAGTTAATACTCCAATATCGTGCTTGGCAGACGCGTAGATAGGGTAGAGTTCAGACCACATGACCCCCCGCATCCTCCAAAGCTGCATGGCATCACTTGACAAACTGGCCATTATGATACCAGCAGCCTGCAACCAATAGCTTAGAGACGGTATGCCTTTGGATCACTGCATTATGTTCAATTTTGTCATTTGCAATGTGGTCATGCAGGGGGTATAAATGTGGCGGGTAACTTTTCTCCGGTCTGAAATATGTCAATTAGTCTTGCCACAAATATATTTCTACAAAGACCGAAACCCATATTACGTTATCAACTATGGCATTTGTCTACGTTTATCCCCCAGAGAGATACTCAACGACATCCGTCAGCCAGACTTTCCCCGAAGCCCACTGGCCACTAGAGCACACTCGGCACAAGATTGGGCAAGCTTTTCACGAGTTCGTTCATCCATACGAGGTGCACATTTATTCTCCGCACACAGATATTCGTGAGACAGCGAAAAACTATTATGTTGATATCGAGTTTCCTGGCTTGGCAGACAAGAAAGACATATTGTTGAAGTGGACGAGTTCGAGAACTCTGATAGTGGAAGCCAGGATTAAGCGACCAGAAATCAACGAAGAAGGAGTAGCTCAGCTGGAGGACTCGCAGACTGACACTGCCAGCAAAGAGCCACAGCAAAAAGATCATCTAATTCACTATTTGATTAGGGAAAGAGGCCTTGGGGCTTTTGCCAGGGCCTTCAGTTTTAACGTCGATGTCCAGCACGACAAGTTTGACGCCACCCTTAAATATGGTTTGCTGCGCCTCATTCTGGCGAAGCCTGAGAATGAACAGAACGAGCCGAAGGAGGTTCCGATCAAGCATGAGGATTCGGAGGAGGTAGATGCTTGAATGCACATCTGAACTACGGGCCCATTGAGCAGTTTTTCTACATAGTAATAATGTTTTTATGAGGGTAATTCATGGTATGTGATTACCAGTCGCCGTTCCCGTTTGAATTTCCACATTCATTATTGTTAATATCGATCATTTTCTACATTAAAGTTAGAGCATCTGTAAGATGCGTAGCAACATAGATCATTTTACAGTTGTTTGCCCCATTTGACTGATCTTCAAGATCGTCGAAATGCTGTCAAATATGCCCTGAAGGAACACACGAGATGAGTTGAATATAGGATCGAGTTCAGCATTCAATGGCATTGTAAAGATACAATAGACCGAATAATGAGTTGGTCAGCTTGAGTAACATCAAAGGAAATGCCGCGGTTTCAGATGTTCTAGATGTAGGTTTGCATATCCGGATAGTCCGAATCGGTACATTGTTTGGTACTGATTACTTCAATAGCCCGAGTAATTATGCGCATTGCGTCTATGGACATTTACTACCGACCAGATAAGCCTAATGTGTAATAGTAGCACTACTCTATAGCTTAGTACAAACTTTATTATTGTCTCGATGGGCATTAGTCAAAGCAACGAACTCTAAGGATTGAATGACGAAAGAAACCCAAAAAGACAGCTGTAAAATAATTTCCATGGATTTCCGAATCTACCTCGAATTAAGCTCGAAAGTGGATATCCGGGCGTATTCTGTCAAGTAATTTCGACTTGCTTGAAGTAAGGATATCATGCGGAGCCTGCGAAGATTTAACGATTGAAGTATACCACTGATATGATCAACAAATATATACAGTTCAGCAGAAAAAAGAAGGAAGCTGTCGACTTCCTACTCCGCATCTGAAAATGCAATCAATAGACGTCATTGCTCCAAACCGCGCATTTGAGGCTTGCAAACTTTCCTTAGGGAGCTCAGCAATTAGTTTACTTTTGTGGTCGAACCTACAGCTTTGTCTATACGTACACCCCGATCGCAGCGCAGTAAGACTTCAATTAGTATTGGTCGATTAGAGACTTACTACTAACATTCCTTTATCCAGTGTCCATAAGATTCTGGCTATAAGTATTTAGAATTCTGTATAGTCGTCTCACTCGCTCTGTTTTACCTCTGCGGGCGGAACACCACTGTCTTGACTTCCTTCCATAGCGAGGTCGAGGATTTCTTTGCTTACATTACGTTGTCAAATAATGGCACTCGAAGAATCGCAAACGTTTTCGGCAGTTTGTCAACCGTCGTCTGCGGGATATGGGCAAAGCGGGCTAGCATTCAAGGTACGTATTTTTCTGCCTCCACAGAACACTGACTGACATGACGCGCCTTCGCGCATCTCCTGAACTGTTCAAGTCACTGGTCACCCCAGTAACGTGTGTATCTCAAGCCTCTACACACAAGCAATACTCTCGGCAGAAGGGGTATTGACATGCATACCGTGAAGACGAATACTTGACAGTTATAGAGATGCCCGTTGTGCCAAGAAAAGAGCTTATTTGGCGGAATATCAGTCATTCAATCAAATAATAATGGGTTGCTTATATCTGTGGCGGTGCGAGACGCAAACCATTCGGTGGACTTCAAGCTTGATCACTTAGCTCCCAATGGTGGCCAAAAAAATGGAGAAGTCGTGGCAGATTACGTCATTTGTATGATGCAAAACTACGAACGTGCGAATCTAGTCAAATTCATTGCAGTTGGCATACCTACCACTCTTTTGGCGATGAGTTCAGAATTATGCTCCCAGCTTTGGCAGGAGGCGGATATAATTCCGATCGTCACCCCACTCAGCTACGAACCAAGTCGAAGCTCATTTTGGGATGTCAAGACGGTCGATGAACAAGCGGATTCTATGGCACGCAAATGCATAGTGTGAGCACTCTTTGGCAATTTTTATGTTCATATATAATGATTATCAGGCACTTTGGACCACATTATATACCCCGCCTTCAGGTCGATTCACAATGTACTGTCCAGGTTGACATCGGATCGAAAGCACACCTTTGTACGGCACAAGATCATGAATTGACAGTTGGAGAGAATACGTGGAAATCCATGATTCACTTCGCAGTTCAGCTCAAAGAGAAAAACACCAGAGCCGCATTTTTCAGCTCTAGTCCACAATTTGGGAGTGTAGCGCGCATGCGACACGCGCTTGTCCGCTTTTCTAAGCTGCTTGGTGTGGATCTAGCATGGTATGGTAAGCTTGTCTCGCAATTCTTTGTTACTCCTGAACTCACTAACAGACAAAAGCTCCGAAGCCGCAGCCTTGGGTGTCTAAAATCAGGAAGAAAATGCGAAGTATCCTCGAAGGAGTTGCTAATGCAGACCTGCAAATTTCGAATGAAGAATATAATGAATTACAAGGCTGGATAATTGAAAATGCCAGGCGATACTGGCTGCCTAGGAATGGTCCGCTTCGGCCTGTTCGGGAAGGAGGTGCACATGTTATAGTGGTATGTTGATTTTGACTCACGATGCACCACCATGCTGGAGATATGGCAGTAAAACAATCTTTGTCCGCTTGTACCACCAATTAACTCTCTTCAAATTCAGCAATTAAATCAGGATTGCTTACTGAAACTATAGATCGATGACTTTGAAATGTCAGGGCTCGTCCCTATTATCAAGAGCCTGTCGCCGGATCGGCCAGTAATCTATCGATCGCATACTGAGATCCGCTTTGATCTCGTCGCCCAAGCTGGTTCGCCCCAAGCTGAAATTTGGAAGGTCCTCTGGGGAGATGTCTGCCAAGCAGATATTTTCGTGAGTCATCCGATGAGGATGTTTGCACCATGTGATATTCCTCAAAAGACTCTTGCATACATGCCAGCAACCACCGATTGGTAAGATCTTTCGTTGCCTAATCATACTTCATAGATTAACATTCTTAGGTTGGACGGCTTGAACAAGCCTCTAGACAGTTGGTACAAGAGCTTCTACATCCATCAATACAATCTACAGTGTGAAACACGAGAAATGTACGCTAGCTTGTCCTTCTCTAACTTAACCATTTGTTTTTTGCCTTAACAAAAGTGATGCTAATGTTTGTCGTCGCAGGAATGGACTTGATTATCCAAAACGTGAGAAAGTCGTGATATAATTCAGCACGGCCCTTTTATTAACAGACTCAATAGGCAAATATATACTCCAGATTTCACCGTTTAGCCCCTCTGAAGGGATCGATACAGTGTTGCGCTCATATTCTGAATTTCATAAGCTTTTAGATCTTGCTCAGTTACCAGATAAGCCGCAATTAGTTATGTAAGTATTCCAGACTGATATTCTTGATCATATACTCAGAGAGGACAGTGCTGAGCACCCTTCTCTCGATGGTCCATTCGGAGACTTAAATTACGGCCAGATGCTCGAACAGATCCAAATGAGATTCCCACACCTTGCGGATGACATTAGTGTTATGCAGTTGGATGGGAGCGACCAACTGCTTAACACCCTGATTTCGAGCGCACATGTTGTTCTACAGCTCTCAACCTCTGGAGGGTTCGAGACCAAGGTTTTAGAGTCTCTTCATGCCGGCAGACCTGTCATAACAATTCCGTCAGGCGAAATTCCCTTCCATTTACGAGACAAAGAAAATGGGTTTTTAGTCGAACCAGGCAATTACTGTGCGGTTGCTCAACATTTACTGACTCTATTCACGAAGCCCCAGGCATGGGCGAAGATGAGCCATGCCGCTAGAACAGGTGTCACTGACGAAACAAGCACTCCTGGCAATGCACTCTCGTGGTACTACCTCTTCACTAAACTGACAGGGACCGGCGGTCTGGGGAGTTTGCAAGACGCCTTCAAAGGTCATCAAAAATGGGTCAATGATATGGCTCGTGAAGAGGCTGAATATCCATATAGAGAAGGCGAGAATCGTCTTCCAAGGTCCTATAAGTAATAAAATTTGACTGTGCTGCTCCAGCATGGGTGCCTTTATCACTGCACAAATGAGGTGACAGTAGAGTCCGTACATTTTTCTTGATCATGCCGGAAATTTAAATGGTAAAGTTCAAAGTACAATCAACAATTTAGTATTATCAAGCCTATTCCTAATTTCAGCAGGTCTGTGGCACTACTTGATCATGGATATATGCCAGGAGCTGTCTCAGAACTATATAACTAACTCTACGATATTTGGCATACTAATGACTAGCATTGCGTGAACGAAATTGTCTCATTTGCGAGCTTTGAACATATGCATAGCCAATTGTCCCCTGATTCGCTGACAGCAGCACCAATACAAAGGTCAATCCTGTTCCCCAAGTGTCTTATCCTAATCTGCTCTTACAAGCTTAGACAACAAGTAGCTAAATTAAATCTATGTGTCAGATGAACGAGTCAGACTTGTGGTGTTATACTATTTTGAGCCATGTTACTCTTGATGCATTTGTCCAGCCTTTACCCCTCTGCTGCGGTGCTTCGCCTGAAGAATATTTATAGTGAACATACGCATACATGCTTGCGTACACAAAAACACCATAGTTATGATTGACTGATTGACTGTATCCAATGTGGGGACCTTCATTATCAAGGCAAACTACGCCTCCTCGAGCCCATATATCGCAGTGTTTTGGAGGTTTCAATGTCTACATACAAGCAGGCCTGCGCACGTGCCAGTTTACGCTATAGCAGGGTCTGAGCTTCACTTTATCTCCGACTATTAAATCATGCAATCTTGCTTGCATATTCCGAAGCATCGTGTCAGCTTTGGGTGATACGGGGTTCATAGGGGGAGATATGTTTGACTAATCCGTGTTTGTCGTTGCATTACAGCCAGTCCTGAAGCTGAACCCCTTCATGGGCGTCTAATGTCTAAGCTATTGCTTTTGTCTCTAGGTTATTATTAAGCAAGTCTGGCCTCATCATAGACTAGTCCTAAATAATACAGGCGTGCTCCTGGGCACTGTCTGCTGTCAACCGCGTTTAAACACTAAGAATGTGTCAAGTTTTCAGCCAAATATGTAATGTTTCGCTGTGGGGTAAATCGTGCTAGCTGCTGTTCCACTAGTGAAGTCACCGCACTGCATCAAGCGGAAAACAGTAGTTATGATGTGGGGATAGTTCGGGAAGGGTTTTGAGCGCTATTCGGCCGAGACCAAGGAGTTGAAGTTAACCAATAAATACGTGGCCACGTTTCTGGTATTACTCTAGATATTCTAGGTTTAGCTATACAGCTACAGTGGCCAAAATTAAGTTTTTTTTTTTTAGCTTTCCAAACCTCATGTCAGGCGACTGACCCACACAGGCCTTGCCAATTCGTGCACTAAAGATATTCGTCTTACGGTGGCTGTTCCAAGTCCGACTTCGCTAATAATTTCCGAGGCCCCAATAATAACTGGGAGTTACCTGACAAAAGAAGTAAAGATGACTAGCGACAACCTTGTACATGGGAAGGTTGAGTTATTTTGCTGGCGAACACTACGGAGTCTAAGGGAAAACGTTGTGACTAGGTAGCAATGGTTCGAGGACAAAATTAAAGCGTGCAGGCTATGAGATTGTTCGATTTGAAAAAGCACGATTGGCACAGGGCGTACCATGGGAATCCCGCACTTCAATGTGAGCATACTGCAGTAAAGTTTATGCTATCATTGATGTTACAAATCCATCGAAACGGGGTGTCAGATTCGACTAATTACACACCCTGGGAGTGATCAATAGAGTTACGCACAGCATGATAGTCAGATGTGACTGGCTTTCAGAATCGGTATGAACCGGTATTAGTATCATTCTTACTTAAGGAGGGGAAAGGGAAACGATTCACTCTCTCTCTAGTAAGATCTAGATGTATGACATTGAAAATAGTAGATTGCAGCTGACCAAGCCTTGCATTCTGGCTCGGTCCACCCCATAGCTTATCAGGGCACACTAAGATGTCAGCATAACTAAATCAAGCCAAACTCTCAAACCATTTCATTCTCTGTCAATCCATCGCCTCGTTTCTTGCTTGCTTGTTTAAGGTTCAAGCCACGAAGCTTAAGACCACGAGCCATAATACAAGCAACAACATCACGCCATTCGCTATGCCGCTAAGTCACTTGATCATGTGGCCATCAGACAACTTACCTGCCGTCGGGTAAATTAAAAGAAGGGAACGGTTTCCGCATTACTTTTGGTAGCAAGAAATGCGACTAACTACTGAAATGTCGTTTGGAATCACGAAGCCTGTTTCGCGAATCGCAATTGTCGGCGTTGGCCAAGTCGGCGGCGCTGTTGCTTACGCACTCATTCCCACTTCCATCGCAAGCGAATTGCTCCTGGTGGATGCAGATGTGGACTTGAGAGACGGCCAGGTCCGCGATCTTTCCGATGTGGCGTACAGCAGCAACAGCGGTACACGTGTACGAGCGGCCACATACCATGAGGCAGGCCAGTGCGACGTTGTGGTCATAACTGCAGGGTCTAAGTATACTTTAGGTAAGTGATCAGACGAGACAAGTCTCATCGCTTTGCCGTCCTGCTAGCGCGAGCTCATATGAGAACCCCAGGCCAAACCAGCATTGAATCTACATACCGTAATGTTTCCATTGTCCGGAATGTCGTCACCGCGATGAGTCCCTTTAAACCAGAGACTATCTTGCTTGTCGTGGCAAACCCAGTCGACTTGCTCACTTCCCTTGCTCAAAACCTAGCTAGACTTCCAGCGTCTCAGGTCTTGGGCTCAGGCACGTTCCTCGATTCAGTGCGGCTCCGTGGGCTGATGGCGGACCGTACGGGAGTGCGTGCACAGTTTCTGCATCCTTCCCTGTAGTAGGCTAACCGAGATTTAGGTTGCAGCCAATTCAATCGACGTCTACGTGTTGGGTGTGCATGGAGATTCCCAGGTCGTAGCATGGTCAACGGCAACAATCGGCGGCGTTCCTATTGATAAATCGCACCTACCTAAAGATCTCATCAACCGCGTACAGCTTGCGGATGAGTGCAAATATCGGTCTCAAAGCATAATTAGGGCCAAAGGTGCGACTCCTTTCGGGATCGGTTCCATCGTGTCCAGCATCTGCTCGTCCATACTGTTGGACAAGCGCAACGTTCGTCCCATCAGCCATTTTCAACCAGAGTTTGGCTGTTGTTTCAGCCTGCCCGTGGTCCTGGGAAGAAAGGGAATCATTAGTACGATCCAGATGCCTTTGGATAGCGACGAAGAGGCCGAGATAGCTGAGTCGGCAAGAACTGTGAGGTCCCTCATGGACCGAGTTCGGGAGAATGAATAACCTTGGTGAGGGGGGTGTGGCAAAGCGAGGTCTTTGGAAGAATTGGTAGTAAATGGCAATTCCATCAAGGACCGCGTCCCGACTTTTTGCCTGGTGGAAATGCGATAAAAACTTTTTGCATTACTACCTCAAATGCACTGTAAAATATCATTTTTAAATCATGGCCCACAATTCCAAAACCCTTAAATGTCCAGCCATTTCTCAAAATAATCATGCTCGTTCACTAGCAACCACGTGTCTCATCACCGCAACAAAGCTGTCCGGACTAACAGAGATGGAATCGATGCCTGCGTCTACTAAGAACTGGGCGAACTCTGGATGGTCGCTAGGCGCCTGTCCACAGATGCCAATCTTGCAGCCCTTTTTACGGGCCACCGAGATGACATGCGCAATCATCCACTTGACCGCATCATCCTGTTCGTTGAAGAGGTCGGCAAGCTCGCCAGAGTCACGGTCTATACCAAGAGTCAGCTGCGTCAAGTCATTGGAGCCAATGGAGAACCCGTCGAAATGATCCGTGAAGTCGGCGGCTAGGATGACGTTAGACGGGATTTCGCACATGACATAAACCTGCAATCCGTTATCGCCGCGCCTCAACCCGTTCTCGGCCATAACGGTCAAGACCTGCTTGGCCTCGGCGACCGTCCGACAGAAGGGGATCATGACGATAGCGTTGGTAAGGCCAATCTCCTCACGCAGCCGCTTAATCGCGCGGCACTCAAGTGCAAAGCCCTCCTTGTAGCGCGGAGAGTAGTAACGTGAGGCACCGCGGAAGCCGAGCATGGGGTTCTCCTCCTTGGTCTCGAATTCGGCACCGCCGATGAGGCCGGCGTACTCGTTTGTCTTGAAGTCGCTCATGCGAATGATGGCCGGCTTGGGATAGACAGCGGCGCACAGGGCTGCGAGGCCGTGCGATAGTTTGTCGATGAAGTAATCGGGCTTCTGGTCAAATCCAGCTGTCAGCCGAGCGATTTCCCGCTTGGCAACTGGATCTTTCAGCCGTGCGAAGTGGACGAGCGCCATGGGATGGACCTGGATAGCGTTGCTTACGACAAACTCCATACGGGCAAGCCCGATGCCGTCGGCGGGGAGTTGCCACCAGCGGTAGGCAGCCGCCGGGTTGGCGAGATTGAGCATGATGTTGGTCTTGACTTTGGGCAGCCCTGACACATCCACCGTTTGAGTCGCGATATCGGAGATACCTTCGTACACAAAGCCATTATCACCTTCGGCACAAGAGACAGTGACATCCTGGCCGCTGTGTAGCACGTATGTAGCGGTGCCGGTGCCCACTATGGCGGGAAGGCCTAGCTCACGGCTGACGATGGCGGCATGCGAGGTGCGTCCGCCATGGTCCGTGATGATAGCGGCAGCGCGCTTCATTACAGGCATCCAATCCGGGTCCGTCGCTTCCGTCACAAGGATCGAGTTATCAACAAACCTATCGATATCCTTGGCGGATGTGATAAGACAAATTCGGCCCGAGACGGCCGCATCGCCAACAGAATGGCCGGTGGTCAGGACACGGCCTTTATTACGTACCTCGTATGTTTTGAAGAGAGTAGCGTTACGGCGTGAGTGCACAGTCTCTGGCCGAGCTTGGACGATGAAAAGCTCGCCTGTGATGCCATCCTTGGCCCATTCCATATCCATTGGGCATCTATAGTGCTGCTCAATTATACATGCCCAGCGTGCCAGTTGCAGGATTTCCTTGTCGGCGAGTACGAACGCTGCTTGCTCTGCTTTTGAGGTGGGCACATTTCTGGTTGGCATTTGTTTATCGCCGTAAACCATCTTAATCGCCTTGTCGCCGCGCTTCTTTTCTAAGATCGGCACCAAACTAGCATCAGATAGAAGCGGCTTGAAGACCTGGTATTCATCAGGATTGACAGTTCCCTGCACGATGTTCTCGCCAAGCCCCCACGCTGCGTTAATTAAGACGACCTGGTCAAAGCCACTTTCAGTGTCGATAGAGAACATGACGCCGGAGCCACTGGCGTCGGAGCGAACCATGCGCTGTACCCCAATCGAGAGCGCGACGCTAGTGTGGTCGAATCCCTTAGATTGACGGTAGCTGATGGCCCGATCAGTGAAGAGTGAAGCATAGCAGCGTCGGCAGGCATCCAAGAGGGCCTCATCGCCCGAGATATTCAAGAAAGTCTCCTGCTGACCGGCAAAGCTTGCATCGGGCAAGTCCTCCGCCGTTGCACTGGAGCGTACGGCAACACTCAAGTCCTTGACCCCAACCATTGCCGAGAGCTCCTGGTAGCTAGCCGTGATAGCTGCTGCCAAATTCGTGGGCCACGTTCCTCGGAGAAATAACCTGCGCACCATCTGGCCTGCCTCGGCGAGGTTCAGCTGACCCAGTTGCCAGTCCGTGATCACTTCAGCTATCCTGCCCCGGATACCATTGGCATCAATATAGTGCCAGTACGCGTACGATGTCGTTGCAAACCCACAGGGCACGGGGATGCCTTTAGTCCGGAGGGCAGTAATCATTTCGCCAAGGGAGGCATTCTTTCCGCCGACCATCGCACCATCGCTGCGCTTTAGATGCTCAAAATCACGGACCAGAGGTCCAAACGAGTCAAGGTCGTCCATATTTCGACTTGTCCCCTGTATCTGTCCGAAGTAAACAAAGGTTATCAGTGCCTCTCGGCAAAATAATGTCGGCAGATTTCAACACGAGCATAGGGCGATCCCGTGCTTTAACTTACGTTGCTAGTATGGCAATCAGGAGAGAAAAGCATATTAGATCAAGTAAAATCATGTGCCTGGGCAAAGTTAAACGATTTTACAACACGACATTTCCACTGCCTGGCGTGGTTCATGTCACATGCCAGAAAAACATGTGATCATACGCTAAGCAACTAAAGTGTGCATATCACACCACGACAGGGCTCTGGCTTGCTTAAAAGCATCCGTGATCCGAGCTGGAACTATAAATCAAGGTAGTTTGGAACTAAGCCTTTCGCCTTGTGGAGATTCACAAAATGAAAGGTTCTAGAGACACGTGTATACAGTACAGCCGTGGCTTTGGAAATCCGCGTTGCTTAAGTTTGTCACTTTTCATGTCATTATTGTGGGGAATAAAGGGTGAGAGTGTAATGTGGCTGCTCAAGGAAGCTGTGTCCGAAGCCAGAAAGTATTATTCGTACAAGAATCAGCTCACTTTAGCCAGGTAAAGTTCAGGGTTGTGACCGTAAGACACATAAGAGCCCAGGACGATCTACTAGAGTATATCTAAACGGCCCAGTGGCCGTATTTAGTTGACAATACCCGTCATATATTTATTTCCTTCATGAAACCTTTGGCAATTCGAGTCCTTATTTTTACTTACCAATCAACCTTCCGTTCCAACATGACCCCTTTTACTGTAGGTGATTACCTGGCCGAACGGCTCGCCCAGATTGGAATCCGACGGCATTTCGTCGTTCCAGGGGATTACAATCTCGTCCTCCTCGACAAACTCGAGGCTCACCTAGCGCTTGAAGAGATCGGCTGTACAAACGAACTCAACTGCTCCCTTGCCGCCGAAGGTTACGCCCGTGCCCATGGCATCGGCGCTTGTGTCGTCACCTACAGCGTCGGCGCCTTTTCGGCGTTCAATGGCATCGGTAGCGCATTTGCAGAGAACCTCCCAGTTATCTTGATTAGTGGAGCGCCAAACACGAATGATATTGGCCAGCACCCACTACACCACACGCTCGGGGAGCGCGACTTTACCTACCAGTTTGAGATGGCCAGCAAGATTACCTGCTGCGCCGTGGCCGTCCGTAGAGCCGGGCACGCCCCGGAGCTGATCGACCGTGCTCTCCGAACGGCAGCTCTTGAGCGAAAGCCGGCATATATTGAAATCCCGATGAATCTTGCTGGCGAGGCGTGTGCCCATCCTGGACCCATCGGCGCCGTTCTTGAGCCGATTCCGAGCAATGGGGCTTCTCTGGAGGCAGCAGTGCGTTTGACTGCAGAGTATCTCAGCACCAGGCAGAAACCCGTCATTCTTGTTGGCCCAAAGGTGCGGAGGGCTGGAGCGGAGAAGGAGTTGTTGCAACTGGCGGAAACATTGGGCTGTGCCGTTGTCGTTCAACCTGCAGCGAAGGGCTTTTTCCCAGAGGACCATCCCCAATTCGCCGGAATATTCTGGGGCCAGGTCAGCACGCTGGCTGCGGACGCCATCGTTAACTGGGCCGACGTACTCTTATGTGTCGGCACCGTATTCTCGGACTATAGCACAGTCGGTTGGACGGCATTACCCGGCGTGCCGCAGCTGGTTGTTGACGCCGACAGCGTCACTTTACCTGAACCGAATACCCATTTTGGCCGTGTCCAGCTGTGGGATTTCCTGGCTGGAGTAGCCGATTTAGCCAGTTGGAACGACAGCACGATGGTGGAGTACAACCGGCTGCGGCCCGACCCTCCCCTGGAGCATGCCTCTGACGGGCGAGACCGGTTGACCAGAAAGGAGGTAGCTCGACAGATACAAATGCTCCTAACGCCTGAGACGACGGTGTTTGCTGACACGGGAGACTCCTGGTTCAACGGAATCCAGCTGCGGTTGCCGCGCGGCGCCGAGTTTGAGATCGAAATGCAATGGGGCCATATTGGATGGACGCTCCCCGCTTCGTTTGGCTACAAGCTTGCGAAACCGGAGAGGAGGATCATCGTGATGGTGGGGGACGGCGCATTCCAAATGACTGCCCAAGATATCTCGCAGATGGTGCGGTGGCGCACCCCGGTTATTGTGCTTTTGATGAATAACAGAGGCTACACGATCGAGGTTGAGATCCACGATGGGCAGTACAACCGAATCCATGACTGGAACTATGCACTACTAGTTGAAGCTTTCAATTCTAAAGAAGGCGGAGGACATGCTCTCGGTCTCGAGGCCCATGACGCTGGGCAGTTTGCGGAGACGCTCAAGAGAGCCATGGCGCACAGAAACGGGCCCACGCTTATCGAGTGTAAGGTTCATCGGGACGACTGCAGCAAAGAGCTGATCACCTGGGGTCATTTTGTTGCGGCGGCAAACGCTCGCCCTCCGACTTCTTAAGCAAAAGGTAAGCAGTTAGAATTTCAAGGAGCTTCAGATCCTGCACGCACTAAACTAACATATGTGGGCAAATTGACTACGCAGACTCTTTTCGGGTAGGTTTAGTATCGACGCCGAAGTGAATGCTTTGGGATAGAATGAAATGAGCAGATCTAAGTCAAAGGGGGTCTGATATCAGATGCGGTAACGTGATACCATCCGTAGGGCTATGCGGTGGAGGGTTTCATTAGGAGCTGTGCTCTGCTAATGGAGCGCTTAGCGTTAGCATCACTCTGCTACCCAAAGTAGTCGTATCATGGACTACGTGTACATCTTCTAACGTTTTATGGCGTCCTCAAGGGCGCAGCAGAATGGATTGTCAGAGCAGCCAAGTCTGGAGCTTGGCGTTTACACAGTGCTGGGGTCGATGAGCGGGTTAACACGAGTGGCGCAAGTACAGATAATTGGCGAGCGATTGATTTATTGCGAACCTCAATAACTAGCTCGTTACTTATGTGTATATCCATTTCTTAGACCAGAAGTTCTTTGGAGGAGCCAACTGCTCAGAGTCTGAAGGAAACCTACACATATATATATTTATTAAGCGCAACACTTATATCTTGATCATATGTGTATAAATTCTTTCCTTGTCTGTATGGAACACTCTGATCAACGTCGCTACTGTAGGATATCATTGTCATACTTCTGAACGGACTCTTTGTCGGAAAGAATGATTAAGCAGGGAAAATTACTATCATCGTGTGTCAATATAATCTTTACGTTTGTATTTATCGCGGCTCGTCTCACCACCGATTATATGAAACCTCCCCAAATCCTTCACAACGCTCACTTAATTATTGTAGCACTATCAACGCGCGCGATGGCCTCGCGGGCCTCCACATCACGCGGCAGAGGGAGCCACGCGATATCTAGAATATCCCCAAGGAGCAAATCGGGTGTATCCACGTGACCACGTCCTCGAATTCTTCATGTTCTAGACATGGCCGAAGATTTCGAAAATGCGCCGTCCCAAACAGACATGGTACTACTGGCATATACATCGATCCAATTCCCCAAGTAACTTACTTTGGATTGACCTTTTGGCTACTTTAGTTGCGCCATTAACATGCTACATCGCCTCATAGCATGTGAACTGTGGGGTATGAAGTCCGGATTAGCCGGATTACGTAAAGCCATCGCCGTGCTTCGCCTAGCGGCTCAAAGTGGTTGTGTGCATACAAGCTTTTCTAACACATGTCATGTTATACCCTTACTGATATCCCAGGAAGATCTCAGATCTGCTACGCAACATAGCCTACGCAATTACACCCACCAGATTGACCCGTTCACTGTCCCCACTGTGTTCTAACGGTATGGGTGTACACAGTAGTCACACCACATCCGAAGCAAAGGCATCCCTTCGATATATTTAAGCTTCCACCACAACCTGATCCCAAATTTTCTGCATCAATCTGCTTTTGGTACATAATTAAGCTTTTAGACGTCTAATAAGAAATAATCGATTGGCATGCTATGAAGTCACACATGAACGAGCCGCGATGATCTTAGGTTTGCCGAATGAAACTTCTTTCATCAGCTCACCAGATCTAAAGCGACAAGTCTACCATTACTAGGTCATCCAAACTAAGGATCATGAGTAGCTTCTAGGCATAATGAAAATTGGTGGCGTGATCCCTTCGTCTATTGATGTATTGCGTCCTAATTGACGAACCAACCTAGCCGCTTTCCCACCAATTCGTATAGTGATTTGAGCACTCGAGCCCTTATTCTCAACCATATACCGTTAATTTAATGTATCCAGTTCGTATGGTCCTCAGAAGTCGGCGCGCCTTTTCGAGCTGTATCATTGAAACTAGAGATTCAAACATCTGGACAACCCGCACAGCGAGCGGCCTCAAGGCAAGGCTCGACACAATGAAAGCACTCGTTTACAACGGTGTTGACAACGTCCTCATCGAAGAGAAACCAAAGCCAAACATAAAAACATCAACAGACGCCATTATCAAGATGGACTACACAACCATATGTGGTACTGATTTACACATCGTCAAAGGAGATGTCCTCGACGTAAGGCCGGGCACAGTGCTTGGCCATGAAGGTGTTGGGAGAGTCGTGGAAACTGGATCGGGTATCAGCATGTTGAATCTCGACGATCGCGTGCTCATCTCATGCATCTCAGCATGCGGAATCTGTGAATACTGCCGAAAGGGGATGTATTCCCACTGTGTTACGGGTGGTTGGCTACTTGGACACACAATTGACGGCACCCAGGCCGAGTACGTTCGCATTCCCCATGCTGATACCTCACTGCACAAAATCCCTACAGGAATGAACCCCAAGACAGCTACCATGCTTTCTGACATTCTCCCCACCGGCCTGGAATGTGGCGTCATCAATGGCAAGGTTCAACCTGGAAATACCATAGCTATAATTGGCGCTGGCCCAGTTGGATTATCAGCGCTGCTTATGTCACAGCTGTACTCTCCATCCTGGGTCTTGATGATTGATTCAGATCAATATCGCCTCAGGATGGCTACGGAACTGGGTGCTCAACATACCGCCGAGCCGGCAGAGGCTTCCGCTGTTGTCGAGAAGCTTACTACAGGGGTTGGCTGTGATACCGTCATTGAGGCAGTCGGTAACTCAGTAGCATTTGAAAAGTGTCAGCGGCTCGTTGCGCCCGGAGGTAACATCGCCAACGTTGGTGTGCATGGAAAAGAGGCCACTCTCCATTTGGAGGATCTCTGGGCATCTAACATTTGTAAGTTCTTCAAAGATAATCCTATACAACGCAGCTGCTCACGCATCATAGCGATCACAACGGGCTTGGTGGACACAACCACAATACCAATGTTGTTAAAGTTATGTGCGGCCGGTAGATGGCCAATAGAGAAATTGATAAGTCACTGTGAGTATTGGAATTGCGGCTCTACAACGGTCCTGCTAACTACAAGTAGACTTCAAGTTCAGTGGTATATTACAGGCTTATGAGACATTTAAGGAAGCGTCTTCGAATGAAGCATTGAAAGTTCTGGTTGAGATGGAGTAAAGTTTGTCTCCGTTCAGGGATGCGTTTCCAGATATAAGCTACATGTCCGACCTGAGTAGTGCCCCACTGGAAAAATGCCTTACGCGGTCCCCTTTGGGTGGGTGGTTTCGGTGGCCTGATTGTCGATGTTAATCTTGATCAAACATAGGGTGACCTATTTTACCTTTTACCATTAAAACTTCCGCTGTGGCCGGTCTACCTGCTAGGTAGATTGAGCTTCATCCACCACGTTGTGTAGGACGTCAATGCGCTCATCTCATCTACATCAATCTAGTATAACGCCCTCGGGTTTCAGCCTACCAAGACCGTGCTAACATCAAATGCTACAGCACGTTATACAGTGATATTTATGGAGACAGGCTCAAATTTCACATACTGGTGAGTCGTTCGCTAATAAATCGTAGAACGTTCCAGCGTCGTGTAAATCACGGACCTTTGTGTCACTTGAATACGAACCATCCTTTTAACACATGCAGGAGGAATGGTCCGATAATGACGTTTGGGCGAAATATTGAAAAAGCATCTAATTCCATAACCAGCTAAGCTAAAGATAAAATGCTCTACTAATTTTAAGGTTGGGAGGTGGTGAGCCGTTTGCCGGTGTTCCACAACTACTACAACCTGCTGACCGCCGCTAAATACTTCGCCACCAATACAAGCGCCACACCACTCTCCTCGCAGCAAATTAAATCAGTCAACGCCCATCTGCCTCAAGTTTTCAATGACGCATCGGGCCATCGGATACGACCGCGGACCTGCCTGCTGCGGTGACATGTGATACGAGATGATGCATTTAACCTTGATAAGTCTCATTGATGCGAAGAGAAGAAATACAACATTAAGCGATATCTCCACTGCTCTGTAATTTCACCGTTCTTACCATTATTGAATCTTTATTTGGACCTCAACATTGTAATAGTCGCACTCGCACTCAAGACAGTGAGATGGCCGAGATAGATACTAGCAGTTCTAAAGAGGTCCCTGAGCAGCTCTATCACACAATTCTTCACTATATTGATGCCTACACTTCAGGAGCGCCTTTCGCAGTCTGTCCGCTGGCAACTCATACTGATCTCAGCTCTGCCAAGGAATACGCTCGAACTGCATTGCACGACTTGGGGTATCAAGCCGATGATTTTGTAAGTTTCGAGGTTCGTACTGCGGCTACGGAGAATTGGCAGCATGGCGATGGCACGATCGTGTGGGCCAAAGCTGCGAACAGTACCGAAGTCATGGTGGATATCGACACTACATCTAACGACGAGAAGCTTCCCGAGGGGCTTAATCACCAGCTTCAATTGCCCAATGGATCCAATCATCTCCACTACGTAGTGCAGACCACTATCAATTTGGTCAAAGATCGCTCCGGTGTTGCCCAGCAGAGTGAAGTCGAGGGTGTTTATGCGTACCGCTCCGACGCTATTCTTGCGGCAAAACGACAGCTTTCCGAGCTCTTTGATAACAATGACTTTGCACAATACGAAGAGCGCAGTGAGCCTGGTGATTACGAGGGGTGGCCCTATGGAGAGGATGTTATCGTGCATGCAATTGCTGAAACTGGAGACAACTACTACATCGCTGTCAAGACGGTGCCGGGAGCGCACCAAAGGCACAAGACGCACCGCACGAAGATCCTGGGAAATCATGGCCATAAACGCCATACGACGGCTACAGAGTAAAAGGCGACGCAGGCGGAGGCCGGGGGACAACGACCAATGGGGCATCTGAACACGCTCCCGCAGCAGTTATGATTTAGTACACATATCCCCCCGATGCCAAAGAGAATTCTTGCAGTGAGCATTGATCGAGCAGAGCTGATTAATTACCATGGGCCAAAACCCTATTATTGATTAATTTCCTGCAATTTGTAGCTTGGTGAAAGACAAGTAATTGTCACATCAAGTTTTACAAACCGCTTTAAATAGAGCAATTATGTGTTAGGACGTAAACTGACAAAAATCAAGCCCGGTGCAAGCCACTCTGTAATCTCTATATATAGCGCTGACTGTCCTCGTCTTTGAATGTCATCCCTAGATAGTAGTGCGATGCTTTCTGTTGCCAATGGCGCAGTCAATGTACGTTTCAATTGACTATCCTATTGACGAGCATCTAAAGCTTGAAAGGAATAGAAACATAATCCTTCATCTATATAGTGGCACAATTTGTAGTTGCAGATTCGCCGCCTCGCCAGTCCGTCGAAACCTTAACAACCATGATCTTGACGATTGTGAAGAGTGCTCCTATGGAGAGGATATTATTGTCTATGCAATTGCTGAAACTGGAGGAAGTAACTCTATCGCGCACAATGCCGGAGGGGTAGAAGGGCATAGGTATTACGGGCTATGGGCCGTGTATCAGTTGTCAGCCAAAGCCTTCACAATACTTTCCACAGTGGATGGACCATTATATGAAGGACCCGCCTAATTCCGGAAACTTTGTCTATTGGACAGGTGTGCAAAAACTTGATACATCACTTCTCCTCTTTTTGAAAGTCAAGTACATGATTTTACAATCGCTCAACATAGCTCCAGTCGATGTTGTAGAATCCTTCCTATCCATTGAAAGCAGCCAACCAGTGCTCCGCTTCAACAGCAGTGCGCAAGCGGAAGAGTTCCATACGATCTGTCAGGGTGCAGAAATCTATGAGAACTCGAAAGATGTCTTCTGCCTAGATCTCATGGACTGCAGCTTGTTTCAGCATCCAAGAGCGGGCAGTTGATATATAGTGAGCTCAGGATTCTAGTCTCATGGGAAATATCTCACAAATTTCATAGTTTTCAAGACATGAGCCAAGCGATGGACTGGGTTCAGAAACTAAGTGGCTATGGTGTTATGGATTATGGCGATGACGGTCCCTTAGGACAGTCTATCTGGGCCAGAAGGCCGGAACATGGACCATACAGTTTTAGTTGTCAAACAATAGTAATCAGTAAAGCATTGCTGTAAAACGATATAGCAACGATTAATACTCGGGAAGCCATCAATCCCATCAAAGACATAAGGTCTTATCCTGCTGCTAATATAACGAATAAGTTAATTATGGCTCGAAACTATTTACACTCCAGCCCACTGTCATGGAATAAGCAATACGAAAAGCTAAAGCCATAGAATAGACAGAAACCGATGCAATTATATCTTTATGTTGGAATATGGTTATCCGCGGTCTCGCACGACCATATAGTCTAGCTAGTTACCGGCGTACTGACGGCAAGCCACTACAGCCACACCGTGGCTGTCGGCAGCTTGCAGCCGTATAGGCCAAACCCCTATCTGTAGATCGCGTACGATGGGAAGAATCCCTTCTTCCTTTCGTACGATAGCGCTGAATAGATCTATTTGTCGCCCAAACTGTACGGAAAGAATTGAATGGAGAAGCCATTCCACACTTTATTATAATAACACCAAAATCGCCTCGGTGCTATGAACTGTTTTTTTTTCCTTTTTTTTTTTTCCTCTCTTGTCTTGTACTTCATATGAAGCGCATAGGATAATAAATTTCAACGTCATTGCGCGAAGCAAACGTCTGCGCACTGATATTCCTAATGATACAAGCTGTAGATATGGCAGCGGACATTTGAACAAGTAGACTACAGATGTATATCTATCTTGGCACAAATCCTTGCTGTCGCATGGAATCTGTTCTCCAACAATGTGCTGGACTGGATTTATGAGGCTGTATGTTAGACGCCGGCCAACTCCAACAAGCTCCCTTTCATAGTCTTATACCGTATAATCACCACATCGCTACAGTGTGATCGCGCGTAAAGTGTTTGCAGACTGGTAGCAGCAATTTACACGCTTATCGTCACAGATACCCTGACGACATAATGGGCAAGACACATGCTCGGTTGTCACCCACTTCTCCAGGCACTGATGATCGTACAAGTGGTGGCAATGCAAATTGTAAATGCTGTCGTTATACATTTGTTGACATATAGGAGATATTTACTTTTGTACTAGGCCCATTGCGTTGATGGCAGTGGCGGAGGTCCTGGTACCAATACCACCAGAAAGCACATCTTGAAAAAACTCCGCCGTGACGTGGCGCGTACAGAACTTGCAGATCAAAAACGTCGAGACGTGGGAAGCGACCTTATTAACCGTGCCCACCCACTTTCGCACGCCCCCCCTTTTGCACGCCGATTTACCGGCGTTTCCTCAAACACACTGATAGATAGATACAACAACTGTCAGCCATAACACTATGAAATCAATTCAAATAAACTATCTCTAGGTTATTTACGTGTCCGCTTTCGCGTGGAAGGTTGTATTTCGAGGAACGAGTCAATAGGGACTTGTTCATTGCGTTGTAGCTCAGGCATCTTCCTTTTCAGCTTGTCTTGCGCTGGTCTGATCTCTGCAACACGAGCAAAGACCTTATTCGGGTCTTTTCTAACTGTTTGACGTTTATCAGGCTTGTGATTATCTAGTTCAGCTTGCAAATCGAGGTTTGCTTGACGTGTTGTTGCTAGTTCTGCGAGCGCCATGTCAAGTGACTTAGCACATTTCCCAAGCAACTCCCTTACGTCTCTAGAAGTTTGCGAATGATTGATGGTAACGTCCCTAATTTGAAGTCGAAGGTCCTTACTATTATGAGGAGTAAACAGACCAATTTCAGCTAGATCTGACTCGTTTTGTGGTGTTATAGGTTGAGTGTTAGGTGAAGGTGGGAAGAACTCAGGGTCACCTAACACCATTAATTCATTTAAGGGCTAAATACCCGTTCTGGCCCAGCCGCTTTCGATAATTTATTTCGTGAAAGCAAGGGCACAAGCTTTATCATAAGCTTCAAGCATCCGTTGCTTGTTGACGGGCCCAGTAGCTTGGATACCACGGTATAGGCTTATTAGCCTATGGTAGTGGGACTTCAATGATGAGAAGACCGTTTTGTCAAGTGGTTGGAGCGCTTCGCTTGTGTGTGCTGGTAGGTATATTAAGGCAAACCTCTTCTTGAATGCCCTTAGCATGAACCCGGGTGTAACATGAGTACTATGGCCATCGAGGAGGAGCACTCTCCATGGGTTTGGGCAGTCTGGGGACTCTTGTGGTCTGGTTTCTGGCTCGAAGACATCTAACAACCATGACAGCGCCACTGCTGAGTTGGTCCAGCCCATAGGGGTCGCTGTATACTCAGCTTCCTCAAGATCCTTAGGTAACCATTGTGCTTATAGTGTTGTTCCTTTTAGTATATACGTATTCGTTGTTTTCAACCCGATAGCGTTGATACTATGGATAACTGACATCCATACAGTTGCTGGGTTTTTCGCAACGCGTGAACGACGTGACCTAGACGTCCCGATGACTGTGCCTTGACTTTGTTCGGCTTCTTGTACACCTGTTTCATCCATATTATAGATGTCCTTTGGTAGGATCTTATAGGTGTCTTTGACCTGTGATATATACGTGTAAAAGTCCTTCACGGTCTGTTTTTCAATGCCTTTGACCCTCTCAGCGTCAATTACACGTCCAACCTTAGTCTTCAAGTGTGGGTGGCGGCTAAGGAACTTGTATACCCAATTGTATCCAGGGGTGACCGTATCGTCGATTTCGCCGATACCAGTCATGATATTAGCCGCTATTTGTCGCACCATATTCGAGCCCGGAGCGCGTCCACACAATTCCTCATGTAAAATCCATTGCTCAAGCTCCATTTCTTGCAATTCAGATAGGTTCTTTGACGTTTCGTGGGCTGAGGAATGTGGTTGCGACCGGTCAAGTCGTCGCGACAAAGTAGACCGTACGATACCGAAAGCTTTGGCTGCGCGCGTTATCGTTTCGCCGTTTCGAACCAAACTAGTTGCTTCTGCTACATCGCGTTCATTTAGTTTACCCATATTGAAAATATCAGATCGATAGGATTACAATTGGTTGAGTTCTGGCATTTACAAGAAAAGCGTGGTGTTGTTGACGCGTCGGAAGATCGGCGTGCAAAAGGGGGTGGGCACGGTTAGTGACTTTAATTGTCATTTGTGGTGCGTCTGTTCCAAACGATTCTTTCCCCGGATATTTAGAACACTTGTTTTTACTGACTCTTCAAAATGTAGTGCTGTATTTCTTGGGTGGATAGGAATTTCTTTCCAATGTCTATTTACAATACCACAAACAAGCCTAGTGTGCCCAGAGAGATGCCCAGAGTATTTTAAGGCTCTCGCTTGGGGGTATTGTGTGAAGCTTCGACCCATCGGTTCCCTGGCTATCTGCCGACTTGCTCTCACCTTCGCGATAAATGAGGATTTCCATCTTTCCTTATGCCAAAATGAGAATAAAACAAAGAGTTGTGGAATTACTATGTGCCCTTCCTTGTCTTCCTGCCAGCGATAAAGCCGGCTTCGGCAGATAGCGAGGAAACCGAGGATCGAAGCTTCACACAATACCCCGAAGTAACCACTACCGGCCACCCGATGCATATCATTTACTATCTCCCATAGCGTCCTTTGGTAATGGCACGATTGTGGTATGATCTTCTTCGGCCACAAGGAACAGCCTGGGCAAAATGCTTTCGTAAAGGAGAAACTACAGAATCGTACCACCTTTCTTATGGTTAGCTCATAATTGTACTTCTCATAGCCAAGAAGTTGGGTGTCGCGTACTCTAAACTCAACTGCTGAATCCTATTTGTCTAGTGTGATTGCGGGGTAAATCATGTGGCGTGAGTGGTCTTGCTGTACTAGTAATCATGCCAAAGACTCCGAGCGTTCTGGAAGCTTTGCTGGTCCTATTCTTATACATTTAGAAGGTAGCACGCCAAAAAGTTCCATGACTAGCTCAGGCTCAACCTTTAGGCATTTGCGCATATTACGCAACCTCTGGATGAAGTTTCGTCTGGTGTAAACCCAACCCAGCGAGATCCTAGCTTAGTGCACCCCTTGGCGCTTGCAGAAGGTGCCTGGAGTTACCCTTCACCCCACTGTCTGTAGTATACTGTGTAGTAAAATGTGTATTCAACTAGTGGTATAAAGTAAACTTAGTGCATCTTTCACGTCAAGTAAACCAAAACTGGCTGGCGCCGAAGGCTCCTGAATGGCGGGTGCTACTTTATATACAACAGAATTAGACCATTGTCCTTCACATATTCCAAATCCGCGCCCGGATTCCATTCTAATTACACTACTCTGACACAAGGCCAAAATAGTCATAGAATATCGCCTTGCCTATATACCTGACTTTTGAACACTCCTCTGGCTTCGACGGGCCTTGATGCTCTCGGTGATAGGACAGTGCAACCATTGGCTACAGATAATACGGTGAATACAACCCGAGTATCTGAGCAGTGTGAAGCTATAGACTTCTGATGATATGCTCTAGTCGCGAATTGCCCGGGACAATGGACCTTTTGCCTATTGAACTCATCGCCACTATTGCGGATCATTTAGATTCAACCATTGACCTTGGAAACTTTCGACTGGCAAACCGATCTTGTGGCTTCGCTGCGCGCCCCATGCAAGCGAAGCATATTGCCTTTTCGTATAGTTCCGAGTCCCTCGAGAATCTTAATTTGTTCCTCGGATCGAATACCGAGTTTGCTCGATACACGAAGCACCTGAGCATTTATGTTGGCCAATGGCCCGACTCTACTCGGAACGACGGGGCCAAACTTCCCGTGCTTACTACTGGAAGAATCGAGAAGGCGATGCATCGCAGTAGAGAACATACTTCCGTGGATAACACACTTGAAAAGCGCCGCATGCTTAATCAAAATGAAACATCAAAATGTCTATTGTCAGATACGACTACAATGAACACAGTACTGGGACACCTACCGCGGCTCGAAGAGGTTACATTGCGTCAGATAGACACTTGGAAGAAGCTAGCAAACGCGCAGTACCTCAATCGGTGCCGCGAAATCGCGATGTCAACGTTCTTGGATTCTATCGGATCGGCATTACAATGTCTGTTTTCTATCCTGAACGGATCGCCTATGATTCATAGCCTTGACATCCATGCATGTCTTGATGCCGACGTGATAGGCTATGGCGAAACTAAGTCGATGACACACATCAAACGACTTCGTATCCATTCGTTGTTGGCGTACTCTGCGCCTCCACAATTAACAATGAACCTACTCCGCTCTTTCCCTCATGTTGAAGAGATGTCCCTGACGCTAACTAATCATGGACTGCATACTACCGTTCTTTTAGCCGACACTACCTGGGCACATCTAAGCCGACTCGACATCGATGACCTTTGGACCACTGAACAAATCATCAAAGTATTTTTAAAACAACATCACCACCTCCGTGTCCTTTGCATGAAGAACGTCACACTATCACAAGGGACTTGGCACTCACTCTTCAAACACATACGGCAAATGCACCCAGCTCTGGAAATCGTTCCTGACGGATCTCTGTGCACCGTTGGTCCAAGCTCAAGCGTTGATTTCAGAGGCAATGCGGATCAGAAACAGCTGCTATTGTGTTTTCTTAAGCGGGCGGATTTTCCTTGGCCGTTTTGATTATGAATGAGTTTGGCCACGGCTATGTATACTACCAAGGTATACTCGCTTACAGAATGAAATGCAGGATGAATCTCTCAAAAGCCTTGTCGAATATTTTGGAGTCTCATAGTGTCCAATTAACGTGTGGACGGCCACGAGTCTATTAATATATCATGCACGCTTTCTAGAGACATCAGCAAAGCCAAACCCCTCCCTAATGCCATCAAAACTTAATGATATTGATTGAATTTAAGTAACTACGAGAATAGTTCGACCTTTCAGCAAAGTAAACGGGGTGCAGTTGAGTACAACTTCGAAATTAATACATAGTCCCAACTTTTCACGTTGCTTCTGATTCTGCTATAAATCCTTTTGGTATGCATGCTCTAGCTTATGCGTAGTCTCATAATCGACATGTACATACGACCGCCCGATGTTCGGTAATATCTCGAACTTATACTGTAAGGCTTCGCCAGTATCGTGGATATGTCAAGTTGACTGTCCTGGCCATAACCACGTCCACTTCGGCAATCAGTCGGCGACCAGAATGATAGACCCGCACTGTATCGATGCTAAGGATGGAAGGGGAATGAGTTAGGCACATGTAGGTGATGAGTTGCTGAGTCTCAACCGAGGCAGCGACGCTAACAAGGAGCATGAACTGGACCCATACAGTACGAAACCAGAGGATCACAATGACGCTCGACAGTACAGTTGCTCCTGCCGAGTCACTACACCATATCAACTTAGATCCCCCGACACAGGTTGATATACCAAATCCGTTAATAAGCAGGTCGTTTCGGTGGTCCTGCCACACAATACGCACTTGGCTGTACTTTTTGGGCAATGGAAACAAATGATGAACAATACCGGCAGTCTCTAAACGCGCTCTGCTAGACGCAACCGCGTTGGGTCCACGTAATGCGTGGCTCGGGTGCAGGGCAGGAGTAAGACGTTGCTGAGCGGATCGAAGACCGCGTCAGCCATGGTTGTAATGAGTGAGAGCGAGCCCGACCACACCGCCGCAAAAATCTGCAGTATCGATAGTACCACGTTGGCGCCGAGTGATCCGTACACCGTGATTTTGAGCCGCAACGTATCAGGTAGAGCTTCCCTGAGCCCGTCTGAGCGGTGGCTTGCGGCGCTCGTGAGCATAGCTTCGATCGTTTTGTTCTGTTTCTCGTAGAGGTGATATAAATTGCTCGCGTCTACGAAAGGGGCCCAAAATGGTATGTGTGAAATCCAGGAACGTGACACGACGTTGGTCGCTTTTAAATTGCGATATATGTCGAATCTGATCCGCGAGAGCTGTGACGGCGACTTATAGCCGGATAGGAGGTTATACACGTCATATTGCCGACGAAGTAGTAATCAGGACCGGTTTCTGCGTGTAACTCAACGTCACTGGTTAAAATCGACGGTTGCCGGATTATGGAACTGGTCGCCTCGGGACCATGTAGCTTGTCATCGGTTCTCTGCCCGACAGCCGCTGCTTGGCGTCGCTCGAAACGTGTAAGGGGGATACCGGGGGAATCGCGAGGAAGGTTGATGAGGTGGGGATGATGTGTGATGCTCGGACTAAGATCGTACTTCATGTTGTTCTAAGTGTTATGCACCTCTGACGTTCTATGGCGAAGGGCGGCAGAATACTCGGAGCTCGATCCTTGATGGGCGCACAAAACGGGATATTCAGCGGATTGATCCTATCTGAGAAGTGGCGATGGACGTGGCGGATCAGCTAATTTGACCTACCCAAGGGCTAATAGGAAGGGTAGATGTATATGCATAGATACCTGCTGTTTGTGCACATTAGGAAATTCTTTGCCCTCTTCCGAACATGGTATTGCTGAAGATTTAAAGCATTGTATGACCTGATATTCGACCATATGTCTCACAGGACTACAGTAATAGCAGAAATTCACAGAAAGATGTGGTTGAGTTTGGCGACGCGCGTTTAGTGCAGTAATTACGGAAGGCAAATGTGCGCTATGTAAGTGCTTCTCCAACAAAGGCCCCCCCCCCCCCCCCCCCCCCCAAAAAAAAATCCTAAGCTATCCAGTAAGCGAGGGCGCTGTGCTAATCAGGATTCTAGCCGGGGCTTAGTTAGTTTAATCTGCTTCTGCCTAACTACGGCATCTTTTGGGTCCACGGTACAAAACTGTAATTACCAATTTCTGACCTATCTTTACATTGTGCAGTGAGGCCTAGCACAATTTTACCTTCCTCGTGGACGAAGACCTCTAATTCAGTCCATAGGCGTATAATGACTCCATGCAACGGCAAAGATGACTAGCTTGAGTTGAACATCTTCTGTCGTTGACTTATATAGTCCTCTAACGCTATCTATGAATAATTGTTCATTCCACTTTTCACACAGCAGATTCGTAAGTATTCTATAAAAAGGCATTAGTCACAATGGATGGTGGGCAGAGTCCAAAATCGTGGTGGCTAGTAGCTCATCACCCGCTCGAGTGCCGGTGCCCGAGCCCAATCTAATCGCTTACAGAGCTTTTGTAAAAGATAGGTGATTCACGATTATCGTAAGGCCAGGCCGAGTAAATGAAAAAGTCCCAATAAAAACGCAAATCAGCACTAATTTAATGCTATGCTTCTTGCGCATCCCTACGTCCAAACGTCGTACCATGGTACTCTCTTTTAAGCACGGACAGTCCACTTGCAGCTCTCACCTAGAAGTATACTCATCAACCTCTTGAGTACCGTGATGGCTGAGGACATATCGTTTCCGGCCATAAAAGCATACATGCAGCGCGTATTATCCACTTTTGATAATATTGACTCATTAATGATACTTGGTTCATGAATTACTCCAGAAGAGTTTGGTTACATCTCATGATCCTGACATCAGAACTGGCATAATCTGAAAGAGTACTCGTGGTATATTTCCAAGTGGGAGCCAAGATTGGATCGTCTGTGCTTAAAAGAGGAGAAGAGAAAGACGAAAAGAGGAAGTATGTCTGTGGGCCAGGTACTTAACAGTAATGCATTGTTTCTTCCGAAAGTGGAAGAGGAAATTGATATTTTCTTTTCGGTACGTTCCTCTCGTTCTGCTCTGATTTTGAAATTTTGCAAATGGAAGCCGAGGTGATACAGCCAGAATCAAATCTGGCTTCCTCTTTTGTCTCTCTTATCTTCTCTTTGATCACGGACAGTCCAGTTCTGGCTCTGATCCAGAAGTATATCTTTGAACAACTGGAGTACCACGATGGTTCAAGACACGCCCTTTCCGGCCATAAAAGCATATATGCAGTGCTCATAATCTAATTTCTAAAATGTTGACTTACTGTGTAATACTTAGAGCATAAATATTTCCGCAAAAAGAGTCACAAACCATGGTCCAGGAATCAGTACTCGAACGGTCTGAAAGAGTACTTGAGTTACACTTATATGAGGCAGCCAAAATCGGATCTTTTTTGCCCAAAATGAGAATAGAGAGACAAAAAGAGGACGCCGATTTTGATCTTGTCTGTATAGCCTTTCATGAAAGGAAAGGGCGTGTCCTAAACCACCGTGATACCCCAGAGGTGTGAGGGGCGCAGTCAATGTACGTTTCAGTTGATTATCCTATTGACGAGCATCTAAAGCTTGAAAAAGAATAGAAAGACAATCTTTCATCCATATGATGGCACAATTTGCGGTTGCAGATTCGCCACCTCGCCAGTCCGTCGAAACCTTATTGCTTGGGGAAAGTGCACGCCCTCCGCTGTGCCTATAAGCTAGTCCGGTTGAGCTTTATGGTCGCGCTCATGGTTGAAAGCTTTGGCTAACAAATGATACACGACCCATAGCCCGTAACAGTTTTTTGGTAGTTCTCCCAGAGAAACTCTGTTAGCCAAGTGCATTTGAGTTGAAGTTGAAGGAACGCGGAGCTCTGCTAGGCGACAAGGCCGAAGGCGCTGCACAATTAGCTTTACAAGCGACCATCGTTCGTACAATGGTCAAAAAAGTACAGGCAATCAGAGGGAAATTAGCAGCAGTTATGGCCCTTCTATGAAAGTTTCCGTTCTATCATTGTAGAGTACTCATGCCATGGTACATGCTGCATCTTGATATTTGCAATTAATGCTTTTCTGTACTAGACATAATTGACTCCATAATTCAAGTGAATCTTTGAGGCACCTTTTGCTAGATAATTAAAGATGCTTCTCCACAATATGCTTATCTGGAGATATAATTGCTTCCCGTCTTCAGACTTTGTTTAATTACTAAATCCTTTGTCGGCATCAATCGAATCTGTTTTCGATCGCCAGGCAGTGACGAACAGCATCCCTCAAGAATGGCAATACATTACTTTGCGTCGTGCCAGAGTTTTGACTATGGACCACCGTGCCCGTTGCCTATACCTTCCTCCTACAGCGCTCCATGGCCACTATCAACATCGCGTGGCTTATCATACAGCCGAAACAAGCACTTGCGGCTGCCTTCGCAGAACCAAGTCATTGTTGACTTGGAATTTCTCGAATTTCCTCTAATTCAAGAAAGCAAGATTAGATCGTTCGAAGAGGAGCTACATGCTTCGAACATACACAAATTGTCGAGTGCCAAACTTCACAAGAGCAAGAATGGACAGTGGATAAGACTGATGAGCAAACATCACGAAAGACGCCGTTCTTCTGATCCAACCCAGCAAAAGCACACATGGCGTGTCGCTCAAGCGGAGGTCTCACCGTCTGCCGGAGTTTTGCTTCTGTAACACACGCATGTGGATAGACATGTACCCTAATTGCGGACGCGACTCTCAAGTGGAAGATTTCATGGACTGAGCGGGCCATGCGCCGGCAGTAATCGAGCCAGGTGATGCGGAGCGGCCACTGAGTGGGTTCCAGATACGGAACAGTGTTGACGACGTACTGGATGATACCTTGCCGTGCGCACCATCCCCTTGACAGAGCTATGCCACCTTCGGATGGGAGCTTGGTTCACTTCCTAATATGTGCTCGACGTGTTCTTGATGTTCTAACGGCAGTACTGTCACGATTTTTGCCTCCCTGAGCGCCAGTTTCGTCCCAATTGTATGTACCCGTAGGACTGTTGTATAGGCTTATAATTGATCCAATCGACTCGGTCAGCGTTAACAATACGTCCGACTTTAGTCTCGAGGTTGTTGTGACGGCCAAAGAACTTCTAGACCCCAATTGTGGCTGATCTTACGGGGTCGCCTTCGGGCCTAAGCCTGACGCAATTTCGCAGGCGAATTCTCGTACGGATTTCTTTGCTGGAGCACGTCCGCGACGTTCCTCGTGTAAAATCCAGTCAACAAGCTCTTGTTATTGAAAATTCGAGAGATTCTGAATGCTTTCGTAGGCTCATGATGTGGCTGCGATTCTTTCCATCGTCGCGTGACACGGTTAACGCGGCCACCCCGAATCCGCGCGCTGAGCGATTATAACATTCGCCGTTTTCGACCAAACTAATTGGAACTAGTAAGGCGCGTTCTTTGCTTTAACCATTCCCAAAAGACGGTATCAATTGAACAAGAACTGGTGGAGGAATTACGTGGTTCTGGTATAGAGGAGATCATCGCGATGCCGGAAATTACGTTGCACAAAGGGGGTGCGTTGCATAAGTGGCGAAAGATGGCTAGTCAATTAGGTTCATTTCTCAAATCGATACTCAATCTCATGTGCTGCTACAGCTGTTAGTCTGATGTCAAATCGTTATCGAAATGTCAGGGTAACGCGAGGAAGATTAGCAAACGTAAGTATTGACCCGCTGAAACTTGATCGTAGCTGCGTCTTGGTTGCTTGGTGCCGGCAGTAGCGGCCTCCGCCCCGCGATGTGATCATTTCCTCCCACCGACAAATCAACGCACTCTTGAAGGCCCAGCAAGCCTACGAGACCATTCCCACCAATGCCGGCAGGAAACAGTATGGCTCGCACTTTGAAACAGTGTGGACTGGTCAGGTCTTGTCTGCTGAAAAGAGAGACGTCACGTACTAAGTAGGTCATTAGGAAGTCTGAGATACTTGATCCTGACAATCCCACGTAGTTCGCCGAGTCGTCGCACAACGACCGAGCAATGGCATAGGATAATACTATTGTTATCCAAAGTCTCAGATTAGGAAAAGCTCTGCGTGTTTTAAATTTGTAAAGACATTGATTTCAGTCAATCTAAAGGGTCAAAACCCACCATATTTATTGAACGTTGGTGTGACAACAGGATATATTATACGATATTCGCATCGAGAAGCATCTTCAGCTCGTGGAAATGTTTCCACAAATTGCGGCAGTTGGATGACTACTACAACGCATTTTTGCCACTTTACAGATGCCCGAGTTAAGCTGACCCAGCAAAATAAAGTTGCAACTAAATCGGGGAATCGTAGGCAAGGCTCTTTATATTCTACCGGGTATGCACTTGATTACACACCTGGTGCTTGTTTTTAGGACATATAAAGAGCCCAGGTCTCTTTCATTTCAAGATTTTTTCAATCTTGTATATGATATAATCGCACCAAACTCCTTGCCACGTTTAATATCCCCCCCCCTTCCCAAAAAAAGAAAACACGAAGGGCAGAATAACCGGAGAAATGTGCAGGAAAGTTAATTGCAGCACTTGCGGTATGTCTCATATTTCAGCTTCCTCTGTCACTATCTCATCGTGAGGCCATGGCGTTAATATCCCTCGCAGGAAAAGTTGCCTGGTATGGATGTGGTGCCCATATTCCGAAGGTTTTGGACCATATCTCACAGGATGAGTGGTGCTCATGTGAGCCTAAAGTTGAGGTCAACGGGAATAAGTACCCGCCGAAAGCTCACGTATGCGCTGTGAGTTAAAAGATGGACAGGAACATCTTAGCTGCCCTCGAGCGCTGGGACATGATCACAGCAGCATGTGACGTCCTGAGGTTTCTTCTGGCGGCTTCAAGAATCGATATCAAATGCAGCCATGCCATCCGGACTCCGATGGCGACCTTCTTTGGTGGTGTTCTTTTTCCTAATCTTCAGCACGTGTGCTTGGTACCATATGAGTTGAGAGTGTTATGGGACAAGCAGACATTATGCAAAGTTATGTCTCCTTCTCTTGTCTTGTACCTCATACGTAGTGCATAGGACAGTAATATCAGTGTGTCATTTCGCTACGCCAACGTTTTCGCCCTGACAATCTTCAAGTCCCCGTTTGTCAATACCTGTACTTCTACTTAGAGTTCAAATACGATCTCTCATCTCTTCCAAATCAAACTTTAGCTCAAACGTGCAATCATGACGCGAGCCGTTTGAGCACTGTGTATAGAATATTGGTTAGATTTGCCCAAGTGGCGAAACAGACCCTTTAAATTAGGCTCCAATTGGGAATAATATTGTGGAATCATTGAGGAATCCATTGCACATGTGGCGGTTCGGTATACGGGCAAGGTTCTAGCTGTAGCCAGTTAGGAGTAGTGCTCGGTATGCTTTGGTGAACATTGCATGTTTGCAACACAATGACAGGTAATAATCTGGCAGGCTTGCTTTATGCCTTACTAATTGAAGCTTTCCCCAAGTTAAGCGAGGGTGGTTGGTGTGATATCCGACGTGGATATCAATAGATAGCACCACCACTCGAAGATGCCTTGGGAAGGGAAGCGAAAACATTTAGACTTCTATGCATCCGATAGCAAGTGCACTAACATGAAACACCCACATAAAGCAACTAGCCTTGGAGTATCAAGTTCCCAATTAAGTTTATACATGCACCGCCAAGGCACAGAATCTGCCCATAATCACGCCTCGCAAAGAAGCCTCTTAGGTCATATGAATAGCTCAAATCGTTCGTATCATTCTGCTTCGCCTCTCATATGGTATAATTCACAAGTCTAGATAATGTATTCTCCAGTGCCGTCCGCTTCTGTTACCTGCGCGATTGTATGAGCTACACTTTACAAGCAGATAAAATCCGTAATTCAGTGCTTAGACTGATCTGCCATGGGGATTTTGATAATCATCAGGACTCAGACCATACTCCACAATATACAATTGAAGCAGCGGTCCGGCCCCGAAAGCCCAGCATCTAAAGCATGGCGGGAGGTGGAAATTCGCTATATCATTGCTTTACACGAACTTGGTTGCGGTGGTGCCAGTAATTTTGGATATCACTGTTGTTCCCAGCACCTTATACTCTTGTGGTTTATCCCAGATAATATAATCGTTACACAAGAGCACAAGCAGCCTATTACCGACGGGTCAAGGAGGAATATATCTACTGGATGTGTTGTGGTAGGGTTCCAGTACAACCAATGTAAACTGCAGCCAACATCTAGATTGCAGAACTTTTGCACTTTGAGCTAATCCAATGTATAAGTGAAGTTATAGTCTTTTTGTTGTAAGCCCTGTTCTTCGTTAGGCCCGAAAAAAAAGGGGGGGGCTCGGTCCAAAGGGTGATTCGTCATGGTAGTAAGATGTAATGATTCCACGATGAAACGGTCCAGGTTTGGATCCATCGTGGCTCCCCTGTCGAATTTCATCGTCTTTCTCTGAGCTTGAGTCGGCCACTTTTTGCTAACATAAATTGCACTCTTCATAGGCTTGTGACGCAGTCATTTTATCTTTTCCATCTGCCGAGAAGGGAGCTTTCTGTCTGAGAAGCGGCTAGGAGCGTGGAGATTTTGCATGTCGAAAGCCGGCCAGCTGGCATACACTGCTTAGATGAATGCTCTCGTCTACAGACCTATCGTCGATGTCCCCTGACCAATACCAAATTCCATTTCCGATTAGATAGCAGGGTTTCTGTTAAGGCAACCGGAGCCATGGCTAAGTAATAAGCTATGAGCTGTGGCTGAAATCACTTGAGCTGATCAAAATAAGAGCCTGGACAGGTATTGATTTGGTTTAGCACCGTAGCTAATTACAGGGCACGGCTTGGCAAGTATCAGTAAGATTCTCCCACCAGTCTATTGTGAGAATCGTACGAGGTCTGGTCTTGGCGACCCACCGTTTAGCTAGCCAACCACTCAGCCTGCGTAGTTATTTCACTCCATTGTCAGTACTGGATACCGCTTGGCAGGTAAAGGCCTTAGTGCAGTGCTCAGCCCCATAAAAGAACCCTGGGAACGACCCTCTTATCACTATATATAACTAAATAAAGGCTATTTAAATCTCTACTACACACAACTTGAGAATATATGTGAACTCCCTAGTTTTTGTCTTAGCTTCCACCTAATTTATCTTTTTCTTAATATAAACATCTTTCTACCAGATGTGCTTACAACACTATTTCTTTACACACAGAAAATGTATAGCTATATTGAAGTAGTGAGTGTTGGCTATACTATTACAGCGGGAAGGCTAAGTGGATCATATGGCCTTTGTCGGAGTTGTTCTCGGCCTGCTCATTATAAGGTCTGAGAGATGAGCCATGTAGACAGTTTTCTTTTTCATCTTTTCACACTTTTGGTACAGTCAGTCGTTGGTTTTTGCAGCGATCTATTCGAAGACAACGAGCCTTTCTCGTTATCACTAATTAATAATATTTTGGTTGTTAAACTCATCCTTTCCATTCTTTACTTATTGATCAGTCCACTAAAGAGCCTGCGAGCTTATCGTGAGGCCTATAACCAAGGGACAAGACAGTAGTCCTGGTTCAATATAAGCTAAATAAACAGACTATATAAAAGGCTATAATTGGTCTCTAGGCTCTTATCTCTTTGACTTAAACGAATTCGTATATTCAATCAATTGCCTTGTACTTAGTAAGTCAATCTTCAGTTAATTAGTGAGAGATTAGCTATCGACCATTACCTACCCCGGTTAAAACAAGGATACTAAGTACATGGAAGGTGTGATATTTGCTGCGGTCTAGCTGTTTAGCATTCTAGCGCCGTAAAAGTTGCCGGCATTTTCTCGTATTCGCCTATTACTTTCGGTAATTGCCGTGAAAGGAATATATAATGGTCTGTGTGGTTGCGTGGGCTGCGTAGCAGCACGAGCCAACCATATATAGCGGGATAGTGGACATATCGGCGATCGCCGATATAGCTGGTCTTTTTGGACTGCTAGCGCAAATGCCCACTGGCTATCGTTACACTGGAGTCCTTCTACTTAAATAACATAGAAGACAGAATGAACTCTTCCGCCTTGTATGTTTAATAATTACAAACCAATTTGAATGGTGGCTGTTTTAAAAGAACGATTTATAAGGTCGCGCTTTATTCCAATATTTTAACCCGCCTCCACATTCGAAAAAAGATGTCCAAACCGCCACGGGACCAGAATCCATACAAACTCTCCTGGAGTACCTCCGGGTTGACTCCCTTGGGACAAATTCAACAATCATATGAGATCGTGCATGCCACCGGAATATTCTCATCAGGTCCAGAGTTCACCCTGATTTCGCGAACAGGCGCCAATCCTGGCGCGATCGTCGGAACATTTGACTGGCACTCTCTAAGCCAGAAAGTTAAGATGAAGTTCCCATCGCGCAACGTCGAGATCTCGTACCGCGCACTGAACGGCCACTTTGATGCACACGGCGATATTGGCCGTGTTGAGTGGAAGGCGACGGGAATGGACGGATACAAGGCTTCGTGGCGGCTTTCAGAGGCAGATGGCAAGCTCTTATCCATAGTCGAGTTGCACTCATCGGGCAAGACGGGCACTATTGAGATTCAAAGGACTGATTTGCCCTGGGAGGCGTTTGAGGAGGTATTGGTAAGCTCCCTGGCGCAAATCGAAGATCATAGGAGGTTGTTAAGGAACGCGCGGAAAAGTGCCATCGGCGCCTTAGCATCAGCCGCCGGGCTGGGAGCTGTTATTGGTACTTAATTTGTAACTTAATACTATGGGAAGGAGTTTAGATATTGCGGATGCTGTGACAATTATACTATCGGGTTGCACAACCACAAATAATATAATGCAAGGGGGTTTATGCTAACAATATATGCTAACCGCAAATAGAAGAATATAGAGATAGACCTTCAGAGTATACTGAGCAAAGAGATTCACAAGTGTAGTCGTCAAAGCGTGAGCTTCACCTATGGGTAAGATAGATGCTTAGATTGATCACTGAAGTAATGACTGTCTATGTAGAGTAGGAAATCCAATCCTTATTATATCCATTCATTCCTTCACTGATGTTAGTTAAGCCCGTATGGCGCAGTGGTTAAGTGCGCCTGGCGGTGCTCTCATTGTTGTGGTGGCCAACGAGAGCAAGTGGGTTCGAATCCCGCTACGGTCTACTTAACCCGGCTCGTGCCAGTCGTTAACAGGCACAGGCTCGACAGTTCGACGGTCTCCACCGTAGAGCCCGACAGAGTCTTCCTCGCATACATCCGACACTAAAAAGGGTTGGATAAAGAGACCATAATATGGAGCCCGCAAGCAGGCGGCCTTCGAACCAGGCAGGTCTTTTCACACCTGCGCAGAACAACCGGACCACGCTGCCCTAACCGGCGAGGGCAGAAGGATCCAAGAACATAAGCCATAAGGCGGAGAAACTGCTAGATAGAAGAGGTCGGTGAAAAAGGGGGTTAAGGAAGTCGATTGGAGACGGAGGTTCCTAAAGTAGCAAGCCATAGATTCTAGCCTAGCACGTCAAGTGCCCCAAGGGAGGCCCGCGGGCCTCGTTATACGAGCCTGCCACGACGTTAAATACAGCTACTACTACTACTGATGTTAGTTAACACCTTCCCTTCTATTTACTGTCCGAGCGCAAGCAACTGTTAGCGACTCGGCGCATAGCACACCAACTCCATAACAGTGGGCCCATAGTGGGACCCGAAAATATCAACACCAAGACGAAAATCTCGCGATGGACGTCGACATCACCACCCCAATAAGGCCGCCGGCCGAGGAGCAGGCCCATCACACCCGCGAAACAGGGCCAAACACGCCATCAAATGAAAACATCAAACAGCGGAAGAAGCCCAAGACCCTGAGCTTTAGGGCCCCCGAGAAACTACCTAGGAAGGCCGCTGGATTGGAAGAGACGGTCCAGTCAATGATGACAGGCCAACTGGCTCAAGTGGAGAGAGACCTCAGAGTCAAGAAAGAAGTGATCACGAAGCTGGCAGGAACACTCGACGGCTTCGTTAAGTCCTTTCAGGGAGATTACCTTAGCACCTAGCGCAGGACGGCAAGAGAGCTCGTCAACGTCCTAGCGAGGCATCTCAACACGGCAGTATTTGCAGAGACCGATGGGCACCTATACGCTCCTATCAGGGTTGAGAGCAGCCCAGAGCAGACACAAGAGTCCGAGGAATCAGGTTCGGGAAGCCACAACCGACCAAAGGAAAACCCCACAAATCAGACGTGGGCCACGGTGGCAAAAGGCCCGAAAAAGGGCGGACGAGCGAGGGTAACGCCTCCGACCACTAACACGAAGAGCCAACACTCGACTGCTAAGACCACGGAGACCAGGACATCAGCGCCTGCGCCACAAGAGGACCTAAGAATCCTGATCAGGATGCCTGCCACACCGACTGCGCGAGCTATACAGCCGTATGCCGTCCGGCAGGCGGTAGTATCAGAGTTCCAGCTAACGCTTAAAGACGTTCCGGACGCGAAACCGACCGCAACCGGCTTTGCGATCAAGCTAGCCACGGCAGAGCTCCGGGACAAAGTCATGGGACCAGAGAACAAGCCCCGCCTCAGCAGAGCCCTCCAAGCGGAGGCAGTAGAACTCCCAGAAACATGGGCTAGCTACATCGTCCCAGGAGTACCGGGGGCGATAGTAGATTATCTACAAAGAACTCAGCAGATAGTCACACCCGAGATGGTCATCGAAGAGGTGATCGCGCAGACCGGAAGTACGCCGGCAGATGTTCGGATCTCCCGCCACGGAGTAGACCCTGCAAAAGGCACGGCCACATGGCATGTCAGCTTCAGACAACCAACCCAGAGATTTCGGCTCTTCTCCGCCAGCGAGCTCTCACGAGTATATGAAAAGAAGATAACAATAATCAAGTGTGAGAACTGCCAAGGACACCACCGCGGAAGATTCTGCACAAGAATCGCCAGGTGCGGCCGCTGTAGCGGACGGAAGGACGAGCACGGCCCAGGAGTCCCCTGCGAGAAGCCGCCTAAATGCGCGAACTGCTATGGACCACACAGAGCGGACAATCCGCAATGCCCGGCTAGACCACAGAAAGTGCACGGCAAAATCCTGCACAAGACGAAGAGCCAGGTTAAGGCCATTCGGAAGATTGGAAGCCGGAGATTCGTCGATCTCCACGCAATGATCGAGACAGCAGAGTCGGCAGAGCCGGTAGAGGTGCAAGAGGCGCAAGAGGCTTTAAGAGGGTCGAACCGCCCTGTGGCCGGGCGCCCGACCACCGACGCCCGAGCACTGCGAGGCAGGAAGAGGGCGATGGAAGGGGATACCCCAGCAGACCCAACGCCCCCCAACCAGGCAGACACCGAGATGCGGGAGGCGGAGAACACAAAAGGCCCCTCGTCGCGAAGGCCCCAGAGGCTGTCAAGCCAGACGGCGGAAACCAGAATGCGCGAAAGCCTAGGCTATTATCAGAATCTGACACTTGATGAATAGGAAACAAAAACAGAAATACCAGGGATGGCGAAGACATCGGACACCAAAAGCTCTACGAGTTGCATCTCTCAACACGCGGAGGTCCGGTAGCTCACATGACGCATTTCTTCAGAAATGCTTTGAGAATAACATAGACCTCGCGGTCGTACAGGAGCCGTGGACGCAAGACGGTAGCCGGACGAAAAGCCACCCGGCATGGGATATGTACGCACCGGTAGACCACTGGAGCACGACACAAGACAGACCAAGGGTTCTAACCTATATCCGCCGGGGGAAAAAGCTCAAAGCTACCCAGAGGAGACCGGTACAAGGCCGAGATATGCTATGGCTAGACGTCAACGGTATTACAATCCTAAACGCATATAGACAACCGGAAATGGAGGCGGTTATAGAATACGTCACCAACCTGCAACCACCGCCTAACACGCTGGTCGTGGGGGACTTTAACGCTAAACATGCAACATCCGAACCAGGGGTGACAGGCGCAGGAGGGGGTGTCCGCCTGGCCGACTGGTCTGTGGCGGCGGGAATACCGTTTATAGGTAGGCCTGGGGAAGCTACGCACAGGGAAGGGCACACCCTCGATCTGGCATTCTCCAACGTGCCGTTTGCGGAGTCGAGAGTCGATAAAGAACTGGATGCTGGGTCAGACCACTACCCCATACTGATCACAATCCCAGGGCGTGGACAGGAGGCACTCGAACAAGTGAGATGGAGAGTCCCAGAAAACAAGCTTGAAAGCTTTGCCGAGCTGGTCGGGATAGGAACGGCAAGACTCCCAAAACTAGACAAGATCAAAAACACGGAACAGTTAGAGGCGGCGGTGGACGCCCTTACGGAGATAATAGAGATGGCGATCGGCGCGGTGGGAGAACAGGATAGGACGACTGGGAAGTCGGCGCCGTGGTGGTCGGAAGAGTGCCACCAGGCGTGGACAGCATACCGAGCGGCGGAAGACGACCCGGATAAGGACTGGGTTCCAGAGTTTGGAGAATACTCTCCACAGCACAGGGAGTTTCTCAAGACAGTCCGACAGGCGAAGAGGCAGTACTGGCGGGACAGGATAGACGCCGCGACGGACGGAGCTAAGCTATGGAACGTGGTTAACTGGCACAAGAGCACCCCAAGACTCAAATCACCTCCCCTAAGGGACGGGGAGGCGCTGATTGAGAACACGGAGGGGAAGGCAGCCGCGCTGCTCCGCCTAGTTCTGCAGAGATTCTCGAGTGGAGATGACCTAGAGTATGACCCTATAGAAACGGAGCAGGCGCCCGAGACCTTACCCTGGCACGCCACGACTACCGAGGAAGAGGTGGAAAAACACACGATCGGGGTCGCTAGCACGTCCCCAGGAGTAGACGGCATTACAGCACGGCTGCTCAAAGCCTGTTGGGAGCATATGCGAGGACCCGTCAAGATTATATTCGAAAAATGCCTACACTTGTCCCACTTTCCTCGCCAATGGAAGAAAGCCGAGGTGGTAATGCTGCCAAAGGCAGGCAAAACGGACTTCTCAAGCTACAGGTCGTAGAGGCCGATAGCCCTGTTGTCCTGCCTCGGCAAGGGCCTCGAAAGGCTGATCGCAGGACGGATGGCCTGGGTAGCGCTACAGCACGAACTGCTCAGCCCGCAACACTGCGGCGCGCTGCCCACAAGGTCTGCGACGGATCTGGTGGCAGCGTTCAGCCACGACGCAGAACTCGCCTTGGCTAGCGGGGAGAAAGTGACGATGATAACCCTCGACGTACAGGGAGCCTTCGATGCCCTGCTTAAGAGACGACTCCTATAACGACTTATACGGCAGGGCTGGCCAATAGGCCTAGTCAGACTGATACGGGGCTTCCTGTCCGATAGGGAGGTTCGGGTGAGGCTAGAAGATGTAACGACTGGCTACGTGGTGCAGGCCTGCGGAACCCCCCAGGGGTCGCCGTTGTCGCCAGTGCTATATATGCTCTACCTGGCAGAGCTACTTAAACAAAACCCAAAACGCTGGTTTGGATATGCGGACGATATCTGTATCTATAAAGCGTCCAGGTCCCTAGACGACAATATCGCTGCGCTCGAAACGGAAGTGGACGAGATCTGGGAGTACGGACTGGCAAACAAGATTCACTTCGCACCGGACAAGGTGGAAATGCTTTATATCACCAGGGAGAGGGGCGGACATAACCCAAGACTAACGACCAAACACGTCACGATTGCGCCGGTCGGAGAGCAGGAAGGAGAAGGCGTGACACCTCTTCTCAGGTGGCTCGGCGTATGGTTCGACAGGAAGCTCAACTTTAAAGGCCATGTAGAGAAGAGGGCCGCGGCAGCCATGAAGGTAGCATAGCATCTACGAAGCCTAGCAAATACAGTACACGGGCCGCCAGCGGCCTCGATCGCCAAGGCCACGTTGGCATGTGTCCTCCCGGCGGCCCTTTACGGGGCGGAAGTGTGGTACGGAGGCAGAACGTCACTGGCAAAGAACGTAGCACAACAGAAGGCGGACGGGAAAATGAATGAAGTGCGCGCCAGAATAGGGACCCACGTTAAGGCGATGGAAAGGGTCTTTAAACTGGCAGCGAAGGCAACTCTCCCGGTCTGGGCGACCACGCCGATCGACACTCTATTCCGAGATAGCGGGCTGCCTACGGCCCAGATGGCCCTAGACCAGGGACGATATCAATTTGCCTACAGACTACGGACGGTAGACGGAACACACCCGCTCGCGCCAAGGATTGAACCGAGGCTTAACCACAGAGGCAGGGGCAGCGGGGAATACCAGAGACTTAGGACGAAATTGCAGCGGACAGCCCGGCTCCTGCCTCACATTAGGCGGCCAGTGCTGTACGCACCCAGGTACAGCCCGGGATCGAGACGGGAGCCCACCATGGGGATCCCCAAGGAAGATGCGGCCAAGGACTTCGAGGCTTGGGCGAAAGAGAGAGGCGCCCACGAGCTCCTCGTCTACTCAGACGGGTCTAGGACGAAAGATGGCATAGGCTACGGCTACGCAATATACCAAGCAGGAGAGGCGGTGGCAACAGCCCAAGCCTCGATAGCAGACGGCAATCAGGTATTCGACGCAGAGGCGTATGGAGCCCTGAGGGGGCTAGAGCGCGCACTAGACATCGACCGGACGGCGACAATCTGGCTCTGTATCGACAACACGGCGGTGCTGTGGTGTATTCAGAAAGATGTATCAATATCGTCGCAGCACGTGTTCCGAAGGATACACGCACTAGCAGAGCGACACGAAGTCAAGACAAGATGGTGCCCAGGGCATACTGACATCGAGGGTAACGAGGCCGCCGACAAGCTAGCCAAAAGCGGAACAAAATTGGGACCATACGACGACAAGTCGGAAACGTCCTCGTCGGGAATCAAAGCGATTGCAAGAAAGGCGATCCGGGACCAAGCAGATGACTGGTGGGAGAAGGAAGCGTACCAGCCAAAGCGTTATAAGTCGATCGGCTTCGGGTACACGCCCGGGAAGCCACCAGAAGAGCTGAAGAGCCTGACAAGAAGAGGGCTGCACAGGTATCTGGCAATGAGGTCGGGCCACGGAGACTTTGCCTGGTACCACAGAAAGTTCGACCACAAGTATGCCGAACTACGATGTTCCTGCCGACATCTAAAAACGGTAGAGCACATCGTCTTTTGCGTAGAAGCGAAGAAGACGATAGAGGACTGGCCGAGGCCACCGGTGCGGGTAGAAGACGGGGAACCCCCAAGGACACCGCCGGCCCCGGAGCTTATAACCCAGAGAGACCATATGAGGTACTGGGGATGGATTATGAAGACCCCGGAAGCCTTTAAAACACTACTCGACGTAACACAGTTTTACAGCGAGATATGCCCTCGGTAAAACCGGGGCAATAGGCACTTATATAGGCTAGGAAACAACAATGCCTAGCCGATAGCCTATAGCCATTGTCTGCAGGTCCTGCCTGCGCAGAACAACCGGGCCACGCTGCCCTAACCGGCGAGGACAGAAGGAACGGAGAACACAAGTCATAAGGCGGAGAAGCTGCTAGATAGACGAGGTCGGTGAAAAGGGGGCTAAGGAAGTCGACTGCAGATAGAGGCTCCCAAGTAGCATACCATAGACTCTAGCCTAGCACGTCAAGTGCCCCAAGGGAGGCCCGCGGGCCTCGTTATACGAGCCTGCCACGACGTTAAATACAGCTACTACTACTGATGTTAGTTAGATCACCTTGGATCACGGTTGGCTCACCAGTGATCCCCTTTGTCTGTGGGTGATCCCCTGCATGAATCACTATAGGCTCACGCCAAGGCTGGGTGATCCCGTGATCCTCACGTGACCTTGTCTTGTCAGAGGCCAGCCGTCTGGCACTCTGCCGGCTGTTACTTATGTGGGGTCCTGCGGCCTACCTGTAGACCTCGTTCGTAACAGATGCGTTATTGAAGTTATAACCGATTGAATTCAATAATATGGGAGCAAACAAGTGTATTAAGGATTAGTACCCGGCACCTTTAATGGGAATGAACTCTCGTTATATAAGCATAGTATTCACATAACTATGCATTTCAGATCAGATAGTTGTATGACAGTTTCTACAGTTATTCGGATGGTTCTCAAATACAATACCATCCCCAAGACCAAAAGCTGCCCTGACCTCGTCTATAGATACGAGATACTTGACAATCGACCGTACCGGATCCTCCACACTAATGTGCTGAAAGTATTCGAGATCCTTCCCATTGGCAATCCGTTTTCGTGATATCCTTTCTCCAAGGCCTTGTAAGAACACCAGACTCTCAAAAGCTGTGGCCTCGGTTGGGCATAGTGAAGAGCTGCAACAATCTATAGCTTTCCTGGTCAATGCATCTTGGGTCGGGTCAAATGGCATCTTCGTGGGGACGTCGACATGCTGGGCTCAAGGGTATTTCGTCTCCGTTGGTGACTTGGCAGCCAGTTGCTTCATTTCCGCGATCGCAGTATACACATATCTCACAGTCATAAGAGGGTATAAACCACCACAATGGGTGTTGTATCTTACCATCGCATGTCTATGGACCTTTGTCTACGCAATGGCTCTAATGGGGATCCTGATTACTGATAACGGACGAGGCACTGGGGGTCTCTGCGTTAGAGCTGTCGCCTGGGTAAGCATAAACAGCTTGCATTCGAGGTGTACCAATTGTATGTGGATATTTCCTAACCGTACCTCACAGTGTTGGGTAAACGTCGAATACCGAAATATTCGATTGTGGCTACACTACTTCTGGATCTTCCTATCTCTAACATTAACTAGCTGCCTCTATATCCTGATATTCTTCTCCTTACAGCAGAGGAGGATAGCGTCCCGCAACAGCTACGCCTCATGCTCCGTAAAGTACGATGCGAGGACGTCCCCGGTTAGTGGCACTCAACCAGGTTTTCTGATATATCCCATCATATATGTCCTATGCACCATACCCCTGGCCATGGGCCGCGTCTTAACCATGGCGGGAAGAGACCTGGGTGTGGGCTACTTCTGCTTCGCTGGGTCGATGATGGCGTCGAACGGCTGGTTGGACGTCCTCCTGTTCTCGTATACCCGAAGCCCGATTATCTTCGCCGCTTCGCCGGACTCTGTAGACACCGGGCTGGATAAATTCATATTCATGAGGACGCCGCACGAGAGAAGTTACGGGAACATAATTTGGGTTCAAGGTCCTTCGGGGAGTAATAAGAACGCAACCCAAGAGAGGTGGCGTGGCCATCGTGGATGGCAGAGGATTAGTGGTGATCGCAGTAACGGAAGCTCAAACAGTCGAGGTGAGGGTTGGCCTAAAAATCCTCACAGTATAAGTCAACAATCGCTGAGAGGTGCTGGCATGAATGAGATTCAGATGACTACCGTCACGACGGTCGTTGTGGAGACGGAGGCGGACAATAAAGAGCTTACAAACTCGGGTAATAGCTTGGATAACGGATCTCTACACGGGTTGTAGCGGGGTCTGGTAGCCTGAGGAAGTTAGGTCTCGTCCCGTTCCCTAACAGTCCAAAACCTGAGCCTTCAACCATAAGTCCGCTATATTCGGTCATGATGACCAGAATGCTCCGCGCCTTGACGTCTTTCTAAAATGGTCGAGAGCTGTAGAGGTGGTGACATCGTTGTTACTTGAAGGGCACCAGGCTAGCCGCTAGGGCTATGATGTACGGTGATGGCTGCAAATGAATAAACTTTTAGCAATTTACAGAGACGCTAGAGGTCGGAGGGATGAGAGCATTGATAAGAGGCTATACGAAGTTAGCGATGAAAACGACTCTGGCGGCAAGATTGACAACGGATTCTTTCTCGTTACAAACATGCAATAAATGTAAGATAGTCAACCGCCAGTCTATCATCCTGGCGGATACAATCGAAACAAATATGCTAAGTAGTCGTTACCGTATTATTCGTATTCAATGCTCCGGCCAACCTAACCCAACCCAACCTCGAGGTCATATTGACATGCTGAAAACATTGGACAAGAACAGTCTCCAGTCGTTTACTCTCGTGGACGGCCTTTGATATACGTAGCGCTCTTGTCCCCAAACCTGTTCAGCGTAGCAGGAGAGAGGATTTTCGTTCGCATATCTCCTGTGCCGCTTCTCAAGGAGAAGAACAAGCTCTTCCTTTAAGGGCCTGTAGATGAACTGGAGATGAATGAGTCTTTAGGCAATGTTAAAATAATATAACACATACCTGTGTTGCAGTACTGATTGTGGCGGTATCTACTGCTTGGTGTTCCCTTTTCCACACTCCGGTGGAAGTAGTCCAGTAATTCCGGACAGTCTCTACATAGGCTTCAAGTTTCTTTGTTCCCTTAATAGAGAATGCTTGTGTTCGGATGCAGTCTTTCAGTACCATAACATTGTAAGCAGAGGTCATAACATCGTACGTAAAGCCAAGATCCATGTCTACTTCTTCCGACATTTTGAGTTCTATAAATCTGTGTCAAGATTACTATATACCTCGGAATGTGACCTTTTTTTTCTTTTTCTTTACGAGCGCGTGCTTTGCAAGAATAGAAACTATTACTCTTTTATTCTTCGACGAGATTTCAGTGGCTTAACATCAACCTCATTAGGCAGAGTACACGTGATTTTTTAAAGCATGGATGGTGTTGATAGCACCTAATGTCCCGGTCGCTTGAGTGATCTCCACTTTACATTTTTCTCGACTGTGAGCCATTTGGTAGTGTACGGCGAGTGGTTGCTATTGTGATGGATTATGATGCTACTTTGCTGACCATGGCGAAGTGGCCTAAAACAAAAGCACCGGAGTAAAAGCAGATCGTTGTGAAGCTTTTTCCTGGATCCTCCATCAAAAAAGAGATATCAGCTCCAATGCAGTTCTCTGCAGACAAAGAGTTTAGATTTGTAGTTGGCGATTGGGGAAATTGCGGATTACAATAGCAATAGATTGACGAGTTGAGTCGGAGTTTAGTATTTGTGATGAGGCGGCAACTCTGTCAAAAGAAATACGAAACAGGTTGCTTATGTCGCGATGTGTTGGGAACTCTACGGCCGAGGGTCGAGAGATCACAGACCGTGCACCATATAAGCAAACGATACAAGCAAACCTATTACCGCAAATAATAGAACCTGAGCCCGTGCCTTTAATCTAGATGGTGCAAGGCTGAAATCAATCACGGATTCTGGGTCTCGAGGTCGCCATAGTAACGAAGTCGGAGGGAACAGGGCCCCGGGTCGGGCGGAATAAAGTCTAAAGCAGAAGTCAATAGATTACGTCCGATGGCTTCAGAGAATGGTGGCACATACAGGGGCAGCATCGAACTGCTCTGTTGTTTACGGGCAGTCGAAGTTACGACTGACGTATTTCCAAGAGGAACTTGTTCTGCCTTCGTCTCTATCCTCTAATACAAATTACTTAGGGTAACAAGTTCTACTATGCAAACAAGGATGAGACACCTACGATGTCGACCGAGGTGGCCACAATGACCCATTTGGGTTTCGGAACGGGGTTGTGCTGAACTACAGCGTCTGGATCAACCATCTTTATCGATAATAAAGCAGCAACTGGTAGGGCGGCCTGACGGGAGGCATGTTACGTTGTTAAATGCAGCGTCTGAACGCGTCACAATATAAATTCCCAAATGGCAAAGACTTTAACCAGGTGCACCTCGGGTCTTGCATCACCACGGCTAGCTATTCGCCCTGACGCAGCAGCATCCCGGATCAGTGCTACTATCTGCAGTCAATTCTCAATAAAGTTTGACCGCTTTATTTACCTGTCCAAATACCCGTTTTCGGCCGCGATAATGGTTTCAAGTCCATTGGGCATTGAATCCCATAGAAACTAAAAGTTTGAAATTGTTCTTTTATGTAAGTTAGAATCATAATGTTACTCAAGCTGCACCGTGGCAGTGTTCACAATCAATCAGAATATTGCATGTGAACATGTACAAGAAATCACGAAGATCGCAGCGCAAGGCAATGTCCTGATTGGCATGATCTCCCGACAATCATTATATTGATTTGCCTTCGCTGATGGCTGGAATCAGACAATCGTAACCCTATTCTCACGCTAAACCCTGCGCTGGAGATTCTAATTCTTGGGACCTGTAAGAAGACATTGCTGCTGGAACAATGAGGTCCTACACGAAACATTGACCATCAATATGCACGCAGCGCGACGCCATTCCGACACTATTTGAGGCTAATGTAGGAGACGAATCAGGAAGACACCCACACAAACTCTATTTTTGTCAACATGCCATACAGTGGAAGCGAGGTCGTCCATGAAAGAAATAATACCGGGCTAGTATGGCCTTGGTTGTTTCCTAATCCACGAGCCGTTGTCTGCGCTCAATCAACTGCAAATTGAGGGCATGTATGGTTTGGCCTTGACTCGCTATAGGAGAACGGCGATTTGGTTACTGCCAAGCACTGGGAAGGACAGAGCAAGGGCGCTGTGTCTTTGTGCACAAAGCCCGAGGGGCGAAGCGAGAAGGCGCTGGAAGCCGCCCGGTATCTTTTCCCTGGCTTCTTGGAGGATTAAGCTCTAATCGGGCAATCCAACTCAACCACCCAAGCCCTGATGTGTTCGAATGATATTTATTCGCCAGCGATAGATCAAATATAAGAGCTAGAATATACAGCTATAAACTTGATCTATATGACTGTTGCTCTCCGCTCGATGGAGATATCCATCTTCTCAAAATATGAGATTCCACCCTTATACACATATGTTCCTGGCTTGACCATGTTCGGCCTGAAAGCACGGGAAAACTGCAACGGTCCCTTGTACAGCTCCATACTCACAATATCCTTGCCCAGACAAGCCCTCGCACCATAGCCAAACGCCATCGAGTACTTGTTATATAGCTTGGCCTGCTCTGCATCCAGCCAGCGCTCAGGCTTGTACTCGTCCGCGTCAGCACCATAGATGTTGGTGTCCCGGTGTACGATCCACGGGTTGCATGTAAGCTCAGTACCCTCAGGCACGAACATGCCGAAGAGCTCTAGGCCGCCCTTGGTTGCCAGTGTTGGGGGCGGAGGGGTTCAGTCGCATCGCTTCGCGGACACATGCGATGTAATAATGGTAATGTTCCAGGACTTCGTCGTATTGCGGCATAGCGAGAGCTTCTTGGCTCGTGTCGCGCCATCGATCTCAGCCATCATCTTCTCATAGACGTTGGGTCGAGACATGACTTGTTTCATGAACGCTTGAAAAGCTGTACCGGTCGTGTCTGTTCCTGCTAGGAGTACCAGCAGAATCTCAGCTTTAATGTATTTAAGGTCTAACGGCTCCCCATTGTCATCTCGGCTTCGATGAACCCTGTCTTTGATGAGCTTCTGCCAAATCTAAATTGGATCCGACGCTGGTTGACTTACACTTGAAGCAGGTCGATTTGGCCATCATTCTTACCGGCTTCGATGTCCTCTTAACGCTGCTTAATGAGCCTATCACGGAAGCACATCAACGTGCCGATACCAGATTCCTGTTCAGGAGAAGCGACTAGATGTTTGCCTAGAAAAGTGCCCTTGACCCAGTTGGTGAAAGGATCCAATCGAGCCATAAGACCGAAAGGCACTAGTCCATCGTGGAAACCCTGTATAAGACCCTCGACGTCCTTGGCTTGCTCGATGAATCCAAATGGCGCACCGAATCCGACCTCGGAACTGATATCATACGCCATGTACACAGCCCATGGCGAGAAGTCGAACGGCTTCCCGTCCTTTGCAAAAAGAGTTTCAAGCTTGCCAATCCACTTTTCGATGTTGGCGTCGATGAGCGGCTCCATCCTCTTAATGTTCGAGAAAGCGTAAGGGCTCGCCGCGATGTTTCGGAATTGGGCGTGGACCTTGTGGTCCTGCATGTTGAACAACGACTCGGTGTCGCCAAAGCTGCCCGTGATGTAGTGCTTCGATTTGTTCGCATTGCAGCTGTAGATCTCGGGCAGCTTGGTCGCGTCGCTCACGATGAGCATCGTGGGCGTGATGCGAATGATGGGTCCTGTACGGGCCGTTAGCATGATGCTGTGTCTGTGCTCTCATCGCGTATATCATCTTCTACCATGTTCCTGGTGCAGCTCTCGCACAGCCTCAGGCTCGTCGGCTTTCACGTTGTGGTATGCGATCCACAGTCTCGTGACGCTCTCCCGGAACGGCCCAGGGAATTGGGCTAACGGACTCAAAAAGCGGTAGTATACTATTTGGTATACGATCTTGAACAAGACATATGCCAACCCAAGTAGGGCAAAGTTGCTTATGCTAAGAACGCCATGATACCTCGGTCCTGTCACAACTCAAGGACCAGTCATGAAAGCTACAGGTCACATTCATTTTCTTTTCCGTTTCCTTCCCCAAATCTTTGGGAGGAAGGGAAACAGAAAAGAAAACCAGCTGGCGAGACCTGTGCTCTCGAACCCACCAGTAACATGCGAAGTATTAGGAGATAGGAACGGGGTTCAGCGATTGTCGTACTTTTTTGAACAGGGAAGCCATGAGCTCATGCAACTGCTCTGCCATTGTATGTAACTTCGTCCCGAATCAGGTATCCTCCTCATTCACGATCTAATGGTCAATATGGGACTGAACCACGGCAAACTCGCTAGGCACGATCTCTTTGTATTGACATTGTGTGTGTCCATCTTATGCATTCCCTTGCTTCGAAGCTTGCAGTCTGCCACTGCTCAATTGCATGTCGCGTAATGTCCTACGAAGGCGTCATCCCAAAACGGTGCAGGCGAGTCTCACCTGGTGATAGATCCTGGTGATAGATCTGCTGTGAATACGAAGTGGACTGACCGAAACCAATACAACACAACACAGGACAAGTCGTTCTGGTGGGGAATGAAGGACACTTGACTAGCAGCGCGGTCCGCGTCACGATGGCTGGGTTCTTGCAAAATACTGCAAGCTAGCGACCTTGTCATGCAGGTACATGCAACGCGATGCAAAAGAAAGCCGTATTAGGCATGGTCGGTTTGGGACAGCTTGTCAAAAACCACCTTTTTGGTCTTGCACTGAATTGACCCTCAGACCCAGTGCTAGCGCGGGGATTGAAAGAGCCACCCACTACTTACTACTGCCCTGGTCGGCATTTGGAGGCGGGAACCAAACGGACACCCTTGTCTAAATAAGAATCCTCATTCGATCCACACTATCGAGTAACAAGACTGGTCCCAAACGCGACGAACACGACTACTACGGTCATTGATCCATTCGCAACCAGTTGTGCACCATCGATTGTCAATTGACCCTCGATTGTCAATTGTCCAGATAGCATTACGTTACAGGATGACGTGCGTGTGCCAGCACACTTCAATGAGGCTGGCTGTTTCTAGTTGTTGGGGCCAAAAACCACTTTGGGTTGTGGGTTGTGCACTTCAAAGCCTGCTAGCGTGCGAAGTGGAAGAGCCGCTTGCTGTTCTGGTCGACATCTGGAGCGGGAACCAAACCGAACTCTTGTCCGAACAGGAGCCCAAATTGATCCTAGGACATCCACGCCATCAGAATCGACTACGGTCCGTATTCATCCATTCGCAACCATTTGTGTGTGCTCGATTGTCCAAATTGCGCTACGTTACAACAGGATGACGTATGTGTGTCCTTTCATGTGGTTGAGACTGAGGCCCCTTCTGCAAGTCGATGCCATTCATTCGTTGACAACATGCGCTCACGACAAAGAAACAAGACAGGAAATGGCCTCGTGGACGAAGGCTGCCGATGAGGGTCATGAAACGGGTACGTCCTTTTTCAGCACAATGGACCTCATCGCGGCGGCTTGTTCACTTCAGGACCTGCCAGCTGGGACTGGTGCTGGTGTCCAGTCCAGTCCATGATCAAGCTCCAGGGTCCACTTTTGTCTCGATCGCGAACGTGCTGTGTCCGCACCCTCTGGCCAGATGCAGAATTGATCACCTCACTTAAAGTAGCCCGGCATGGCATGAGTCCTGTTTCTGAGCCTACTTTTCTCGTGCAGTACTCACGAGACCACTGTTCTTTCATCATGGAGACGCATAGACACGAGATTTTGAGCAAGTCAGGTTTCCCTTTCCCACTCTTCATCTTTCTTGGCTGATTCGGAGCAAGCAAGCACGTTTTCTTAGCGCGAACGCAAGCGTTCAACGACAGCTCGGCCTGACTTGAGCAGCCAGAAAGACTACATTCCTCGTAGGTCATTCGCGCAAAGAACTATCGTTTAGCATTTGTCGCTGTATATTTGCTTCATTTGCAGTTTACGTGACGGTATGGATTTGTTCATGCAATTTATGTCAAGTAATGAATTTGTTCATGCAACTAGATAATGGTCTTTCCGACAGATAAACTAGGTACAGTCGCGTCTCTGCATTGGCTCTGCTCAATCTCGACCGAAGATCTCAGTCAAGACGAACAGGTTCGTAGCCAGCACCACGTACAGGTTGCAGAGGCCGTCTTCGCTGGCCGGTACACAGGGATGGACATCTGCGACCCCCGCAGGAACCTAAGGAGATAGGACGCCTGCGGGAAAGGAGTAATCCATCAGCTGTAGGCTCGAGGCACTTCCAGGTGGCATCGTTTGTAGGCTCGAGGCACTTGCAAACGGCTTCCACTCGCTGGCTGCCCGAGGGGCAGCCGCAAGGAACTTCACCGGCTGGCACGAAGGCACTCCCAGGTGGGGTCCATCTGTAGGCTCGGAGAACCTCCAGATGACACGTCCGGACTAGTCAAAGTCTCGGACGGCTTCGCTCGCAGGACCGGAAGGTGCTGGCGAGGAACATCACCGGCAGGGCACCAAGGCCCCCCCAGGTGGGGTCATCTGCAAGCTCGTATAACTTGCAAACGGCACGACTGCAGACGCGAAGCTCTTGCAGAAGGCTTCACTCGCAGGGCCCGAAGGCGCTGACGAGGAACATCACCTGTAGGCTCCAAGCACTTCCAGGTGGGGGTCATCTGTAGGCTCAGAGAACCTCCAGATGACACGTCCGGACTAGTCAAAGTCTCGGACGGCTTCGCTCGCAGGGCCCGAAGGCGCTGGCGAGGAACATCACCTGTAGGCAATTTAGGAGATATGTATATGTATTGATGTAACCGGACAATACCACCCACAAGCACACTATCTACTAGTTTATGCTCTCTCCCAGCCGTCTTCATTAAAAATACAGATCTGTATCCAGCACCGCAGATAGGCGGCAGTGACATGTTCACTATCTGACACGCAGGGATGGACATCTGCGGCCGTCACAGGCACCTAAGACATAGGATGCTGCGGGAGAGGGACTAATCCATCACCTGCTAGGCTCACGGCACTTTCCAGGTGGCATCGTCTGCGGCCACGTGCAACTACACACAGCTCTGGCAGACGGATCTCGACTTGTCGGTCGCCCAAAGGCACTACCCAGGGGCATCACCGCAGGTCACTACCCCGGGGCATTCGCAACGAGCTTCACCTGCTGGCACAGAGGCACTTGTCAGGTGGGGTCCATCTGCAGGCTTCACGAGCCTCCCAGATGGCATGTCCGGACTGTGGATGGCCTCGGACGGCTTCGCTCGCAGGATCACCTTTACCCGCTAGTACAGAGACACTTGCCAGTCGGGTCGTCTTCAAGTCCACGGGGAGCCTGCAAATGGTAGGTGGTGTAGTAAGGAGACCCGAGGCGGGGGTTGACTATCAGCTCTGAAAGCGTCGAGACACAACATCTGCAGGCACAAAGCACAGCGAGATGGAACACGCGGAGGTGATGAGGGTGATGAGGGTGGGTGAAGGTGGGTGAAGGCGGGTGAAGGTGGGTGAAGGCGGGTGAAGGTGGGTGAAGGTGGGTGAAGGTAGTGAAGGTGGGTGAAGGTGGGTGAAGGCGGGTGAAGGTGGGTGAAGGTGGGTGAAGGTAGTGAAGGTGGGTGAAGGTGGGTGAAGGCGGGTGAAGGTGGGTGAAGGTGGGTGAAGGTAGTGAAGGCAGTGAAGGTAGTGACGGTGGTGAAGGTGGTGATGGTGATGAGGAGAAAGGAATAAGAAGGAGGTTGAGTTTGTCGAGCAGAACGACGAGTTTATATATTCATTTCCTGTGGGTCTTGCAGAAATGGCGCAGCTCCTAGAAGGTTCCATACGAAAGAAGGTTCTGATTTGGATCGTTTTGCTCTTTGTTTTGCCGTCGGGATACAGTAGATGTCTGGAAGTGTATGTTGGACAAGTGCGGACACTTTTGGCGTAGGTCCTGTTCTGGTTGTCAACTGTGGGTCAGCACTTTCAAGTGGGTCATAAGAGCAGAAAAAGTCATGAAGTGCAGAACGGTTCCACAGGGAGGGAGGTACGGATTGGACCCGTTCTTTCCTTGGTATTTTGCCATGGTAGGCGTCTACAAATGTATGCTGGACAGATGCTGACACTTTTGGTGTAGGTCCTGTTCTGGTCGTCAGCTGTGGTGCAACACTTTACTGCCGAAGAGCGGAAAAGGTCGCGAGGTGCACAGTGCTCGCTGAATGAGGTCTATTGCTGGTTGTGCTCTCTAGACTGATCGACCCGAAGAGAACAGTCCCACTTGCTGGAGACCAGAATACTGTCTGAGCAAAACCCGACCACAACAACAATACCCAGCCACCCTATACAAAAGTATACCTGCTGAGGATCGCCCGAAGTCGACACGGTCCGCACAGCTGTTTTGCCATCGCTGCTGCCTGTGACTGTTTGTCCGATCGAGCCAGTCATTCCCCCAATTTCTTTTAACGTCTCGCCTTGTCTCTCTTCCCTTCGTCTGCGTGCATTCTTCTTGAAACAGACGATGAGCCGTTGCTGCTTACTCATTCCATCAGAATGGCACGCGGAAACCATGCTAGAAAATCCACTGGCGAGGATCAGCTAGGCATCAGGGTCACCGACAGTAACAATGATATTCTGTTCAGGATAAGGAAGTCCACTCCGCTAGATAGCGTTATGCAAGCGTTCTGTGAACGTCAGGGCAAGAATATCAACGTGGTTCGGTTCTTATTTGAAGGACAACGTGTTCAACCGACTGATAGTCCCGATAGTGTAAGACGCTGTTGTCTCTTCCTCGCCCATATGCGAATACTTGCCTTCTCAGCTCGGAATAATTGATGGTGATTCTCTGTCGGTCCACCAGGAGCAGATTAGGGGTTTCTATGCCCATTCATACTATTGCAGGCTTGAGTTGGAGCACCCGGTCTCTGTCGAACTTGTGGATGATCCAAAGTACTATTGCATTCTCCCAGGCCCAAACTTTAATGAGTGCATAACCCTCCTAAACCGGTCACGCAGAGACGTGATTCTTTCAGGGAAGAACCAGTTGCCGTGCCTCACACACCTCCAGGTCTTCAGGAAGATTAATACGCGCGCCAGAATATAAAGAGATGTTGATGCCTCCAATACGTGGTTTACCTTAATAAAGACGCTTCCACGTTAAATACAATCAATCAGTCAATAAATTCCATTTTGCCTACAAGCAAGCATTTTTGGTATCTTCAACGTCTCGTGAACTGCATCATATGGGAGGAGCATCGTGTCCAGCACGACGGCTCAGTAGTCCGGCTTTAGCACCGATGAACTACTACAGCTCTGTGAGAAAGCCTTGCAGTTCTATCAACACGATAAGATTGCCTGGAACATCAAGATGATTGAACACTGTGAAAGCTACAGCTGAGGAGTACGATAATACTGGAGGTATAGCAGTGGTAATTGATCAATAGCAGTATAAACATATGCTGTACTACGGCGCTTACATATATCTGCTGAGGTGGAAGTTGACCTTTCATATGAATCCGTCGTAGATGATCTATGCCGGCTACTGCCTCCGCATCCTAAAATATGTCAATGGGGTAGACATGACCGATAGTTCAAAGTATATGAATACAGCCGCTGGACTGGGTATGTAGGGTTGTAATTGGTATGCGTTTTCAGTCAGTACATCTTTGAGATCTCATTTCCTCCGATATCCTCAGCAAACTCAACGCCGCTTCAGCAATGCAATATGTAGCGTTACATTAACGGCGTCAGATGAGATGATACCAAGTATGTAGGAGTATTAGTATAGCTATATAACCCAGCGCCTAACAATACTGTGCTCGAAGAATTTTCACCATTCGCAGGACATCACTCACCAGCAAAATGATTCAAGGGCATAGAGGATAATAGAACAGTGAGCTATGGAACGGAGCAACTCAGAAGAATGATATACTCCAGACGGAGACATTAAATGCCCGCCACCGCCAGAATATACTTGTATAAACCCGCAAGTTGGGCACAGTCTTGCAATGTTCAACAAAGAGGGTTACTTCCAATAGCTACCGACGCGTTGCAACTATGGCCATAACGTCTATCCCATACCAAACGGCTGCTGCTTATATCACTTTCCTGATCGAGGCAGTTTTGAGTTTATGGATTTGTTTCAACACATACGCAAACCGGCCACGTCGAGTCGAACAGCCACCGTTGACTATGCGTATTATATATTGGCGCATATATGTGGTACTTGTCTTTTCAGGCTCTTTCCTGGGAATCTCCACCGGATTCGTCTTTGTCATCCTCTCGTGGACCCAAGATGAAGCATGGCTAAGTTATCTGCTACATACTGTTCCGTTGTGGAGTATGCTTCAAGAAGTGAGTATGTTACCACCGATCTCGGTCAGAGCCCGCTGACTTGAGAAAAGACCTTGGTTGTGGCTGGGAGCTACAGTATGGGCCAGAGATCATTTTCGCCTGCACCATTGGGGGTTGTATTTGCAACATCGATTCTATGCTTCATTGCTGCAGTAGGCCTCGAGGCCCTCCTCATCCCTTGGCACCGTGTTCTTTATCAAGTGTCCACATCTCTCTTCCGTTTCTGGATGGCATGGGAATGGTTACGAATAGCATGGGTTAGCTTACAAAATAGAACGCCAACGATTAGCCACTGCATCCTCCGTATTGCCGCTTTTGGAGTCAACATGGTGGCTTCGGCGACTCAAACGACAAGCGAACAGCTCTTGGTGAGTGAACTTCTTTCCAGAACCTGGATTTCCTAATATTACTTCAGATTATTTCCGTCACCTTTGCTTTGTACGATCTCGCAAATCCTATCCTTACTGGATGTAGTCGGTTCGTGAGACAGCTTTACCAGAGAAGGACGTTAGATAGTCGATCTATGTCACCGGGCTTGGCCATGGTATGAGCAACACTATCTAGGCCAGCGCACGAACTGATCACAAACGAGGGATTAAATGTGCATCAAGCCAACTGGGGTGAATGAATTGATAGCCGTTTTCATACTGTTTCTACCAAAGCTAATACCCGTTGATCCTCCAGACAGAGCACTTGTTCTCTCACGCACTGGGTGAACTGCAGCGACGAGCTTTAGTTACCATCGTTGAGCAAAAGTCCTCTACCCACCTCCACTAACTAAGATAATGACGTATAACCAACCATATCAGCACATCTTCTACAGTAGTGAAGATTGTACCCTATCTGGACCATTCCCAGGGATTCAAGGTCATCTGTAGAAGTTGCTTCCACCAATTTTGCACATTTGAAGCAGCGTAGGATTTGAAAAGAGGCGATTGGAGGAGCAGAGGGCAGCACCACGTAAAACGGTGTTGATGAAGTGGGAAAGTGGTGTGTAGCCGAACGTTCCATTGTTAGAAGCAGCCAACATGGTAGATGCTAGAAGCATTGAGCAGCAATCAGTGGAGCATATATGCAATCTTCGTCTGCAATCGCAATTATTACTTGGCAATAGTAAGAAATAAAGATAACTGCGAAACGTATTTCTTTCAAAAGACTAATAATAATAGATCTATGCAATTGCATCTGCGATCGAGTGACATTTGACACCACTGGAGTCCTAGCGAATGGCGCTATCACGCTAGGGTGCACAGTTCAGTTTACAGAAACCTGAATCAGGTCTTTTGCAGCATATCACTTTCAAAGATGTCCCACCACTTGCTGGTTCAAGGTTGCAGGCTGACAACGAAACGCTGGTCAAATAACACAGAAAAGGCAATCCAGAATTCCTTCCGACACTCATTAAGTCAGACTGCCTACGGACTGCCAGTGACGATATCAGATCTTCGTGACAACGCTCTTCTTGTCTTGTACTGGTGGGCTCTTGCGCCCGGCAAGTTGCACACACAGCCTCCATGGGCGCGCTCGCCTGTCGCTGTCAGAGAAATATTGACGATTAGCGTTGCTTATAGAAGAGAAAGTTCGTTTTGGAAGATTTTGGCAACACCGTCACTGCGAAGCTCCTCCGAAATTTGTTCTTCAGACGCATACCGGTATTGGGACGCAGATCAACTGCATATTGAGATAACCATAATTGAATCATTCACAACTAAGCTTCCCGTGGAAACGTTCACGGCCGTGGGTAAAGTTCAAGAAGCAGCTGAGCATTCGGCCGAAAGAATTATACAAAAATAGTACCAGTTCAATCACCATCTCTTGGTGACTTGCGAGCTTGCTGGAGTCTCTCCATTGTAGTTTGCCTTTCGCGTGGGATGACTTTCATTACGAACTATACTATAACACCTCCCATAGCAATAGAATATTATTTAAACGTACAAGTGAAATAGATTCTTGGTAATCTAGATAAGACTTCGCACACGACGTATTTTGGATTCTTTAAATGGTCGTGCCCCAGTCGCTCCAGCCCGTGAGACCTTGATTCTTCTGGCAAGTGACTTCACATCTTCCTCATCGATGCAGTCGTCTTCTGTACTATCTAAACCGTTGATGACAATGATTATGAAAGGTAGTGATTTACCGACCCGATCGGTCTCATGTTGATCAAGTGTTTCGACATGAGCAAGAAGCGCACGGGATTTCACTGTATAAACTAAGAATTGCCCACGCTCAGCCTCGTAATGATCCATAGTGATGACAGCTGGCAGCATTTCGATACCTTCGCGAACGAAGTCATCGGTCTTCGTCACAAATTGATGATCGGATATAATCTAGATGCGTTAGTTCGTTGTGAGTAATAGGAGCCTTTAAGATGTACTTACAGTTGGATGTATACCACTTTCTCCCTCGAGGATCCTTCGCAATTCGGACCCACCGGAGAAGTACCTGTAGCTGATGCCAGCAGCCCCGGGAGCGCGGTGGCGAACTGAGGTCGACATTTTCTTTGCCCACAGGTCGCAGGCGAGGAGCATGATTACTGCCAAGTGAAGCAAAGTAGCTAGGGTGTGATCCATTCTCGATTGATCAGGGCGTTTTGAGCCAGTCTTCAGAGTTTAAGCTTTTCTGTCAGGACAAGTTGTAAAAGAGTTTGGAGGTATTATTGTCGTATGTCAGACTTGAGAAATGCTGGAGCAGGTAGAGCATGTGTTGAGAACCGGAGACGAAAAAGAGAAAGGAGTGGTTCCCTTTTATAGACTTACGAGTTGCGCGCAGCATGCATAACTCTCTCAGGGCTTCGCCGCAATCTAGAAACAATTGCCCCGGAAGCCGTGGCTTCTGTTCTTTTGCACGAAACGATGGCCCACACTTCCTGCTGGTATGCTTTCAATAATCTGAGTTGAACTAGCTGGTAGACAGCAATCTGCCAAAGAAATACGATCAGCTCTTGTTCATCTATCGGTTAGCCAGGAATGAGGTGCCACTGGATTACGCTGATGGCCATCATAATATCAGATGGGCTTTGTAAGCATCAAGCTTTCCATTTTGTGTGTAAACAGCACCCATCCGAAGGCCCCCGTCGCGCTGAGGCTCAAAAATGGCTAGAAAAAAAAGTCAGGCTGCGAAGATGTACACTCATATCACGTCTGCCTTGCCCAACCAGGGACTCTAGCTCTGATGGATATGGTGGAGGAAGACGGTGGCATATACTAGGATGCTTGCTGTATCATATTGCTCTGTATGGTTCAGTCAAGACCTGACTTCTCCACGGACTGCTCATCGTATGTGTGGCTGGGAAACCGCCGTCGTCAACTACCGGCCTGTCTACCATGGCTGCAAAAGCGCAGTTTGAGGCATAGCCACAGTATGCTGAATGGAATAATATCCGCGGTTGCGTAATGTCCCCGGTCGGGTTGATTTCGAGAATTCGTCCGCGAGATTAGACCCATTCGATCACGTTGTGCCGATCTGTATTGGAGTGATCATAAATAGTAGTGTTCTCGCACTCGTACTGCGTCGTGCATGGCACTCCAGACCGTCCTTTCCAAAATCTGACACTTAACACAACTGCTTGACCCCATCGATAATCCGAACGTTGTAGACTGTTATCACCATGGAAAGCTACCAACGAGATCGTTCCTTGTTGTATGGACCGTCCTGTTACTACACAGGACGTCCAATCTTCCCTTTTCAATACGACGAAGCATCTTTTGCTCCAGCAACTGCAGCGCACCATTCACCCACCATGAGGCATCTCGTACCAGCAGGCTTCCCAGTATCAATGGTTTCTACGCCACAATCGGAGTGCTGGTCAATCCCAACGTCGCTTGGTCCGTATGGCTGTACTGCAGAATCTGAATCTGTCACCGCCATGAACATGCCTGTTCTTCCTGTAGAGGCATCCGTCTCGGCACAGGTGGCAGAGGATGATCTGATTTGGTGTCCGTCGTATGTCGCTCCGATGGATTATACGTCTGCAATTGATCATCCTCCGGCTTTCAATTTCTCAAATGTATCTGAAGGCCGGGACAGCTATGACCATAACAGCACAAGACGGAAGTCATCTTTCTATGGCAGCTCCTCGTCAAGCCTTAGCACCCAGGGAAGCAGCCAGGGAAGCAGCGGATGGGATACCTGTTCCAACGTCGGAACTTTTCCAACACCACCATCGTCGTTGTGCTCATCACACATCCCACGCATGATTGGCCTCCATCGTGAGTACAGGGAGATGATCTCGGGCTATGCTTCTTCTGTCAGCCGGTTAGAAGGGCCACCAGTTGCAATAGATGCCATTGCAAATATCTGGAGGGTCGACAAGTTGCTTGGCAAATGGACCTGGGCTCGGACGACATGGTATTGGGTGAGATGGAGTGGCTTTAGCGACGAATACAACACGTGGGAGAAGCAGAAGGACATTAGTACCGACTTAATCGAGGAGTTCGACGCGAACTATACCGGGAACGACTTCGCGGTGGAGCGCCTCCTTAAGAAGCGGACCTGGCGCTGCAAGACGCAATATCTTGTGAAGTGGAAGGGCTGGGGCGGTGACAATACTTGGGAGTCTGAGGCCGATATCAGCCGGTTGCGAGTCATGGAGTTTGAGGCAAGTGGTTGACACTCAAAGTCCGACATGTAGCTACTGGACTACTACTGGACTACTCCTTCCATAAGTTTGCTGGACTATCTCATGAGTGAAAATAAAGGCAGAGTTCATCGAACACTGAATCGAACTTGCATCACAACAAGCAGAGTTGACAAAGTGTCCGAATATTCATCTAACCTCTGAAGCAGCTATGACAGCAGCCACCATGCTTGGTCCAGGTGGTTCGCCTGGCTTGGAGCAGCCAGCGTGCTCCAGCTGTCGTGCGTAATCCTCAGGTGTGGGCTGCTGAGCCTGGACTGCTGTGATAAAGGCGATAAACGAGTCGGTGCCATGCAAGAAGATCCTGTCAACTGTCCAATCGATACTCCTCACTTGCCACTGGCCATGATCCGCGAGATCGAGGAAATGGCTACCATTATCGGCTTGCGGATCATCTAGGAGACAAAAGATACTGCTCGGACCCTGCAGAAGTTGGATCAACGACTAGGAGGTTTGCAAGTAGCAGCTCAAACATTTTATGGGTTATGTCGTCGAGACCTTCCGGACGAGGGCCGATGATTATGATTGTGTATCACGCCGCCTGTATTGTCCTCCATCGCCACTCATTGCTTGGAGACAGTATATACCGGTCGGATGCATATCCATCTCCACCTTCTACTCCAGACGACCGTTCCGATAGGCAGGGTCGAATCGATCGGTACAGGTCTCGAAGTCATTCATCCGTTCGGGATCAATCGGTAGGCTTGTGAAGCGATCGGATTCGGTATCGGTGACCTGACCAAAATGGTCGGTCGACCAGTCCATCGCCATCCCTGCTTGTAATGGTATGATGACTGAGGACTGGGGATTCAGGAATGCGATAGATTTCGGCGCTGTTCGTGGACTATGCTCAGTCAGACCTAATGTCGGTCTTTACCGACCAGGCTTCACTAGAAAGGGATCAGAAAGGGGCCGTAGTAGAGAGCGACCCAAGTGTATTCGCAGCAGATCTCATCACAGACTAAGTTGCTCGTCTGCGACACATGTTGGACCACAATATGTACAGCTTTCGTCGCTCGCTGCAGGTTTGTCATCTTTGAGTCGCATCTGGCTCGTCGCTGTTGTGTCTGTGACAAACCGGGGGTGTACTATTAGGCACGAAAACAAGGTCTCAAGTTCCCCGTCAGATTGTGGAGACAGCCAGAGTAGGCCGATTCCCGTCCCCCTCTCCCAATCGTGTCCTCGACCCTCCTCCGGTGGTGCCCGCTATTGCACCAATATGGAGCTGCTTCTGCTTTCATAAAACCATGAATCAGAATGAACGCATCCAAAATGAGCCAAGGGACATTGTTCAACAGATGATAAACAGTATGCAATGGCTTTCCAGTATGCTCATTCTTGGGCGGTAGACGGCATGGAACGATAGTGGGCGTGTACTGTATATGACCTAGTGGTCGCCAAATGCGGTTTCTGGGAGGGTCAGTTCTGCCGCGTGGGGCTTGTCGCGCTATTTTCGACTCGACCTTCTTAGGTATAGTGCTGATTACTATCGGTCGCGTAAGTGCTCGGGTAACTTTTTCTGATACCAGAACAACAATCCGTATGATGTGCTCCTCTTCTGTACTTACTATCGAATATTGGACTTGCCCGAAAGTGACCATGAAGGAAAGCATGATTCAAAACCAGGCCTATCTAGCCGCCCAAACGAATCGCGGCAATCCATATGTGAGCGGACAAGAAGCGCATACAACTGATCGGACGAGTGTACAATAACGGCGCGCAACCCCTTAGTCATGGCTGGGCACGGCTATGCAGATGCCACGTGTGCTTGTGCACGGCTCAACAGCTGCTCGTTCTTGCACTAAATCCTTTTCGTCGATTGATTCGATTGATTAATTCGGAGGCCTCATAGCACCCTTGCCCAATCATTAACAGACAGACCACTCTAGCAGTGGTTGCATCAAATTCACGAATGTTTTCTCGACACGAGATATGTAGAAAAGCGCATCATACCTACACTAGGATATAGCAACTCTACTCCTTTGGTCCAATAGCTGAAGAATTACTCCTTTCATCCCGTTCCTGAGAATCGCGGGTTATAATTGTGACGACGTCGAAGAACGAATTCCGGTACGCATTACTAGCCCCACCTCCTCCACTCTATATCTCGACGCACTTTCGCACTTTCACAATTTCGCAAGTTGCCGAACCTACCGATTTAGTAACATGTGTCATGAGCCATTCATTGGCTTCAGGTGACAAGAAAGGAGGTCGCACAGCAGGCTGGATGATGGGCTCAACGGGCTTCAAGCAGTCAGCGGAAGCGAGATGACGCAAGATGCGGACCCACAATGGCTATTACCTTTCTAACACTGGTCAGTCTAACTGGCGGAGCCAGTTAATGGGGTATGACCCACTAGACTACGATTACACTCCGAAACTTGACGAACGACTGTTTCTTTCATTTCATTTCATTCCACTGCATTCATGCTGGCATATTCATTCCATTACATTGCAATTTAGTGGGGAAATTATTACACTGGTGTTCATTCCGGGTGTCTACGTCACCTTTATTCCCCAAGGAAAATTGTGTTGTCAACCAGATATCTTTGTACACACGGAGGCTGCGGCACCTTTAACTTTGTCTAGTAAAACGGAGAGAAGACACGAGGCTAGTGGTGTGAGTATACAGGGTGGGAATACTACAATCATGGAGGATCTACCTTGGTGGTCTATGAGGGGGGATCCTGATGTAGGCAAGCAGTGCGTGGCAGCGCATTTGTATAATTGGCGTGTGTTCAGCTTGTTGGAGGTGAAAGAAGGCATGGAGGTGATGAGAAGGAAGGCTCGGGATTCGGACCCGCATGGAGTGGGGTACGTCCAGATGATGTGGTATGTGGATGACGAGAAGGCGGCCGAGTCTTTGAAGACGTTGGTGACGGGAACGATGGATGCAAGCAACACAGTGCGCTACTGGACTTGTGTAGAGTCTTATGACGGGTTTTCGAAGAAGGTTGGGTCAATTCTTGTCGTGCTGGGCTGTTCTCAGCCTAAAGCCTTGTCGTTGTGGCAGTCTATCCTGGATGGAGAGGAGAAGGGATTGATTCGTAATGGTCAGGCGATGGTACGATTTGGCATGGATGAAGAGCAATGGAAGGATGATATCCTTAATCAGGGGTCTCAGTAGGTATCGGCGTTGCGGAAATAGGCTCGGGGGGGTACAGTCACCGCAAGTGGTTCGGATACTAAATACAGCTCTAGCACATTGATGATCGTTACAGGATAGAACAACAGTCTGACTTTGATGCCGCCGTTTCTTATCCTTCTTCTTTGTTTCATTCTGTTCTGATACCAATGTGTCAAACTGCAGCGTTGTGTTTTTCGTGTACGTGGTCGGCGAAAGTGGAGAATGGTCTTTGTCGTCGTCGTCCTCGGTCCAAACTGCGAATGGTGCATTGGGGTTGCAAAAGAGTCAAAATGACGTCTCCGTTAGGGTCTATGCTATGGATTCGCCCTTCCATAACATTGCTGACCCCCCTTGTCATCTTCAAAAAGTCGTCGAATAATGCTCTGACTTCAGCGAGATGTGCGAGGTCTCGGTCTCGACATCGAAGGGGCAGGCTAAATCTATGTTATGACCTGACAAGTCACCGAAGATCAGGAGGGGTACGCACGGATCATGCGGCAACAATGATGGGGAATTGCAGAAATTGGTCAGGTTTTGCCGGGTCTCTGGCTTCGAAGTATTCTCGCAGCATTTACAGAATATTTCAAGTTGCGGTATCACTGTATTTGCTCTTTGCCCTTCTGCGCCAAATACTGCGCGACGTCATGTGAGATTCGAATTTCAAGGCCTATTACTAGAGCAAAATGTATGAGTAGGATCTTACACGTTGCTGAAATGAGTTTAGGAAGAACAAATGTTCTGAATGGTGATCGACAACTTTTGCTTCAAAGATTCATTTGAGCACTTTTTTTGGCGGAGCAGTTCCACCGCCTGGGTGTGATTTCTGCTAGAAGCTGCTTCAAGGGCTGTACCGTAACTACCGCCTCTCTGTCTCAGAAACTGAGCGAGATCCATGTCCGCCCGAGAGTCTATATGTGCACAAATTTGGGCTATAACATTCGTGAGTCCCAAAAGCGCGGCGTAGTAGAGTGAGAAAACCAGCTTGTCTTGTTGCGATTCGCCGGCACGGATATTGATGTTCCAAACGGAAGTCCACGTAGAAAAAGAGTTGTCTAGGCCACAAAACAATTGAGAGAATTGATCATCAATGTGCGCCTTGCAGGCACTTTTCATAAGATGTTCCGACCAGTACTCTGTAGCGTATCCTACAAAAGGATACTTCTTCTGAACTTGTCCAGTGTGAGCGTTATGTCGCGACTGCAGCATGAGGGTGAAGCATATATTAGTCATTTGGCAGTGGGCTTCAGCTTCGTCCGGTACATGCTTTGGACCAAAACCATGGGACAGACTGATTTGAACTCGCAAGGCGTCAAGCGTCTCAAGCGCATTCAAGTCTCTCTTGGCGCAGTAGAGGACAGTGAACATCTGTCTAGCATATTGTCGCCAATTGCTCACTGTAAGCATGCGGTCATATATCTGCTCTATTGTCAGCACTCGGAGCAGCCGCTCAACACCGCCCTCACTCGCCGGAAAGTCGGAGAGTGCATTGAGTTGAATCGTAATCCATGGCAATCTAGGAACAAGTCAGTTTACGTAGCTCCATATATATACAACCATCTCACATTTCTTTGTCTTGCACCAAAACGTCATCAATGGGTCCTGTGCGCAATAGCTGTACATCTTCCGTGGTAACATCTGATGGTCTATCCAAGACATGCTCTTCGTCCTGTTCATCATGCCCGATTATGAGGCTCAGCCGAAGCGGCGATGGGTTCGGATTTTTAGCAAGGCTCGAGGCACGACCTAGTTGGCTTTCGAGTTCAGAGTTTCGTATGTGTAAGAGTCGTTTGGCTTTACGCCGAGCAGTACGCGTTTGGGGTGTCTTCTGAAGAGTTCGAACTAACCCTGGAGTCGTGGTGTGTATAGCAAAATCGCAATCACCATGTCCAAGGTAAGGATGACGTCCCTGCTCAGGTCTAGGTAGCAAGCTCGATCCAATGTTGCTGTTACCCGCGTGCTCCATCGTCGTAACACTGCCATTCGACATCGCGGAATGTCGCAGTTTCTTTTGAAGATTAGTATTGCTTCCATAGTGGGAATACAACTTGCCCACCAGTATAGTTTGTGCTCTTTCTATGTCCCACAGGGTCCAGAATTTGGTTGAGGTAGAACCTAAACCAACTTCGCTCATGCGACGCTCCTCCCGTGCTTGAAGCAGCACTTCCCGGATCTCAGACCATCCAAGGTGCGGATTTGAAGTTCGAAAATGAGCAAAGGCATGTCCCAGCTCCTTTGGCGCATCATGTCTGGCTGGAGCAACCTCGCCGGAATCCGGTAGGCAAGATGTATGGTCTTGCCCTTGTGTACTCTCTCCCGCAGCCAGGTATCTTGGATTTATCGATGTTGTGGTTGCTGGTGTAGACAAAGCCCCCTTGGTAGATTTTTGATTGTTGCATCTTGCGAGCGGCACTAAGGAGTGGACTTGTTCGTTTTTAGACTCTCGTGCAGACTTGTACAGCTGTTCGATCGTGGCAGAAATTTGATATTTTCGATCAGGAGGTGAAGAAAGCATACCACCGTCGTCCTTCACTCTAGGATGTATTTTACCAGTGACGCCTGTCCGAAGATTGTTTAAAGTCGTAAAGTTATTCGCGAGTCGGACGGTCTTGGTGGATTCTAGCCGTTTTTGGCGTGCTCTCGAGCGCCTGGACATCGTCGACAAAATAAGATGTCACTCGTTGTTGTGTTTTGTGATTGTTTATTATTACAACTTTTACAAACAGCTATGACCTATTGCCTGGTTGCCTGACAAGTGGGGCTGATTATGACGACGAACCAAGCCTCACGCTAAGCCCCGAAATAGTTTAAATCTCTTAGCATGTGATGCGTCTCCCTCAGGAAGATCTAAGATAATAGCGATCAGCTACGCGTCACCTCACTCACCGTGTCTGCAGCCTTGCCAACTCGGATGTAGAATAGTGTACAACATTCTCGAATATGTATCACATTCATGTTAGTCCACAGGTAGCATTTCTGGTCCTGCCTTGAAGGTTTTCTTTCTCCAGTAGATCCTTCAATGTGAAATGTCAAAATTCTTACGAGACATCGAATTTTGACTTCGTTCGCCAATCGAGGTGACTGCGATCATTCCTTCAGTGGGAGTTGAAGGTGAACAACGGGTGTCTGACGCCGACATTAAAATGAATATGCAGAAGAGAAAGCTCGACGATTCGCTGCGTGATGCAGGTATGGTCTGCCTTGTCTCACTTACACGTTTCTTCATTTCAGGTCGTTTTGCTAAGACTATCGCATCAGGAGATGAACCACCGATCATACCAACAGAGCCCTTCAAATCGCAACGCTTGCGTGTCGAACAGGGCGAAGTGTCCGACACACCCGACGAAACCAACGGACCAAACGGTAGATCAGTCGCGTCGACGCCTGTGAGACAGAACCTTGCCGAGGGGAACCCCACCAGCAGAAACTCGCCTGTTCTCTAGAGGACTCCATCGATCAGGGTACGAGGAGAGTCGACCACGACGTGCACAAGATAAAATCATTAGTACCGACTTAATCGAGGAGTTCGACACGAATTATACCGGGAACGACTTCGCGGTGGAGCGCCTTCTTAAGAAACGGACCTGGCGCTGCAAGACACAATATCTTGTGAAGTGGAAGGGCTGGGGCGGTGACAATACTTGGGAGTCTGAGGCCGATATCAGCCGGTTGCGAGTCATGGAGTTTGAGGCGAGTGGTTGACACTCAAAGTCCGACTAATGTAGCTACTGGACTACTACTGGACTACTCCTTCCATAAGTTTGCTGGACTATCTCATGAGTGAAAATAAAGGCAGAATTTATCAAACACTGAATCGAACTTGCATCACAACATGCAAAGGTGACAAAGTGCCCGAAAGTTCAACTTACCTCCGAAGCAGCTATGACAGCAGCCACCATGCTTGGGCCAGGTGGTTCGTCTGGCCTGGAGCAGCTCACGTGGGGCCTGGTTAGTCCTGCGGCTGGCCAGCGTGCTCCAGCTGTCGTGCGTAATCCTCAGGTATGGGCTGCTGAGCCTGGACTGCGATGACGAAAGGCGATAAACGAGTCAGTGCCATGCAAGAAGATCCTATCAACTGTCCAATTGGCATGTACATCATGACACAAAATTTGAACGACCCGGTCTTCGAATTTGATCATATCTTGAACTAAAGACCCAGAAAATCAGAGAAGAAGACCTTCCTTATCTCGCAAAGTCTTAATGGTCACAAACAAGATCTTTGACATTGTCTGTTCCCATCGCACAAGTACCAAAAGAAAAAAATGACATTTCGGATAGTTAGTGGTGATATCATTTGTTACTCTACCGCAACCCGTAAAAACTCCGTGACTTTACAGTGACCCATCATTGCCTATTTTACAGATTATCCTGCACACAGTAGCCGCGATTTAAATCCTGAATTCCGGTCATGAGACTGTCGGTGAAGCCGAGCCCGGTTCCTCAAAATGCTCGTTGAAATTGATCAATCAATTGCGTGATGGCGTTGACATGTTGAGTCCGTGCATTCGAGTGCTGGCGCAAATGAGAAGGCTGTGCTGCAACCCCTACTACATCCGCTAATCGTTATGAGGCGTTGCGCACCACATCAAGTGGTCTGATGTGTATTTGTTTGCGCATTCGTCTGAAGGAGTGATAGGTGCGTTCACTAGAGGCCGTAAACAGATGGGTGAGCTCAGACTAGGTTTTCAATCATGCTCTCAGTCGAACCAACTGCGCCCGTTGATGGCCAGCCGTCGTCAGAGGGAGACTGCGAGCGTTCATGTTGTTGTTGGACTTTCTGCACCTGAGCCTCCAAGGGTAGATTATAGTCACGCCTTCCATCAATCGAATCAGAATACCTGGGTTCCAAGAGAAGTTGTGCTGCTTGCTCGTCCGTACGGGAGCTTTCAGTAGTGTTTTCCTCGGCGGCCCTAGCCAATGGCCACACGGGCTAAATGGATCACCACCGGAATCGTCATAAAGCACATTCATGCGGTTCCAGAAACTTTGCTGCGGCGCACGGGCCCGGCGTGATAATCAAATGGATCCCGGAACATCAAGACATCGAAGGAAACGAAGCTGCCGACAAACTCGCTAAGAAGACGAGAATAGATAGTCTGCCCACAGTTGCATGGGTACGCCGACATCTCAAAGGAAATAGAAAGGACGAATTTGCCCGCTGGTGGGCGGTGCAAGGTGAAGCAAGATATGAGGATGTGCATTCACACGCGGTGGTGTTAAAGAACCTCGCCTCATTCAAAAGAGCTACGTTGCACAGGCTCCTGGCGGCAAAAATCTGGCCATGGCGACTTTGCAGCATATCACGAACGATTCGGACATACGGACTCGAATAACCACTGCAGCTGCGGAGAGAAAAAGACACCAGAGCATATTTTCTACTGTAGGAAATTACATAGACACAGGCTGCTCCCAAGGCACACCCCAAGGGCGGCTTAAACACAATATGTGGGGGAGAAGAGTGCGCAGTGGGCGCAGTTGTGGAGGCTAGTGGCTTCTTCACAAGGATATGCCCGAGCTGAAAGGCTTTTGAATTGACGGACTGAGTGAATGTTCCCACTCAGGTCTTGCAACAGCGTGGACTGGCACGTGCGCAGGCTGGAATGTATGTAGGCGGCTAATAGGCCCACGGGTACCCGTGGGCCTATTAGCCGCCTGTATGTAGATACTGATACCTCCAAAACCCTGCGATGTATGGCTCTGGGAGGCGCGGTTTGCTCTAGTAAGGGACGGTCCCCACGTTAAATACAATCAATCAATCAATCAATCAATCAATCAATCAATCAATCAATCAATCAATCAATCAATCAATTGAGCATCTAAATCTTGAAAAAATAGTAGAGAAACACCATCTTCAATCTATATGATGGCACATTTTGTAGTTGCATATTCGCCACCTTGCCGGTCCGTCGAAACCTTAGCCTTGCCGATAAGCTAGTGGGTGTTGGCCTTCATGGTCGTGCTCGTGGTTGAAGGTTTGGCTAACAACGGATGGAGTCCACTTAGATAGCCACAAGGCTATAATTACAACACCGTATATTATGGAACAGGCAAGCATCAGAAAAAAGCGATGCTATAAAATGGAATCGGAAACTAATGGAATTATATTTTTGATAATAATAACGCGGAGATCTTAATGTTATATACTATACTCTCTTGCTCCTTCGTCTCTTGTCTTGTAACCCATATGAAGTGCATGGGATAGAAATATCAATGTCTTTTTTTTCTTTTTTTTTTTTAAAAATCTTTTTTCCAGCCGAGTTTGCCCTGACAATTCCGTCTACATCGGTATGATAAATTCCTCTACCCTTATCAAAGCACCGCCAACCTCTGCGGCGCGAGTGATGCACGCAGTCCGTGCGATGCCTCTGTGCTTTTGTAGCATAAATCGATTGACGGCATAAAGGGCAAGAGGGGTGCATAGTCGTTACCCATTCTTCCATACATTGTTGATGGTATAAGTGGTCGCAACGCAAGTGATATATGGTATCATTAGTCTTAATGACCTCGAGGCAAATTGCACTACATGAAATTTAACTCTAAACGCTTTGAAGAGTATTCGTATTGCGACGTACCACAAAGGAGAAGTAAAGTCAATGGTTACTTTATTGGCTATGTTTCCACTCTGCCAATTCCCAAACGTCGAGTGCGCTACCTCTCGGCGAAGCGCCGTTAGGATTCGCGTCTCACCTCGCGGACCATTATTTTCGCTAACTCTTCCGCGGACAGTGACGTAGTGTATCAGACCACATCTCGTAGATATCAATAAAGGCGCATCTCCGAGCCAGTGCTCGCTCAACCCTACTCACATAAGCAGGAGCGCCCCTATAATGCTCAAAGAAATGCTCAGTGGAACTTTGAAGCCCTCGCTTGAAGTAATGCCATCATTTTCGGGAAATTTATTTGTTTCGAGATCCGTTAAATCGCCCTGGTATTGACGATAGAGGACAACTACCATCTTTGGCGAAGGCTAGTCGTCGCCAAGTGCTCATCACTGTCAACAGCCTTTCCGCAGCTGGCAGTTGAGGCGACACAATTGGAAAAGACAGGATATCTTACTACTATGAAACGTGGCTGAGTGCTCCGGGCTTTACACTGAGGAATGGAAACACAGGTTCGAATGATTGTTAACATGGAATCCGCACAGCTTGAATTTTGCGGTGTTGATCAGTGTCTCGTGAAATGGGGAGGTTTGGGTAAGAGTTATTGGAGATATGTGGAATTCATGTTGATCGGTTAGTAGGAAACATGGTGGACTAGCGTCGTAGTAGAGAAAAAAGACAATCTATCTCAACAACTAAAGCCTGGAAGGTGTCCAAAACTTCCCCGCGTTGGTCCATTCACCTGGCATACCCTACTGCAATCATGAGGTATAAATGCATAGTGGCTTTAACGCAGCATGACTGTGGATTCATCAGTCCATGTGATCATTAAGGTTCAACTGCGAGGCCCATCTCTAGCATACAGTAATTGGTTTTCCGTCTTATGTGGATAGATTTCGAAGAGGCTGGACTTCGTGGATTGTTATCGAACGTCTAAGAAACGGTCACTTCAAAGATCAGCTTATACACACTAGCAACATGCTCACTTCGTACATTCAAGTTCTATAGCGTGGAAGTTAGTGAGCTACCAAAACCTTCCATTTGAAATATGCGTCCAGAGTAGATCATGCTGCTTTCCTGAGATCTGTATCTTCATGTTGCTAAGTCTCTTAGGACAGGATATCGTATCCATGAGTAAGATCGCCGATGATGGCGCGATTAACACACACGCACAGGCATACATATTGAGCTTGCTGTAATATCCAGAGGGAACTAGCACTAATACGTAGGGTCGCTTGTATCTTCTCTTCACAACTCCCCCGGTGCCGTGTTGTGGCGATTAGATTCATACTTTTCCATTAAAATATTGTCTGGTGCCATTCCTTTGTATTCACTCTTGTCGCTAATAGCTAAATCAAGTCTTCTATATATTTGCAGGCGGCCTACTTACGGTGTCCGAAGTGCAGCCTGCCGGGGGTAGTACGTATGATTGGACGTCATCATCGCCCACATGCCATGGCTTGATGACTCTGACCCTCTATCTTTGGGAGGGCTAGCTATTTGTGCCGAATTATAGCTCGGATACCATCAAAGCATTGTGCCTATTTACCCCCCCCCCCCCACCACCCTGCATTTCTCGGCCATGGAGATGACTTCGGCTATCGGCGTTAAGGCCACCTACTCTCTGAAGACTTGCATTCAAGAGGTACCCCGGAACTTCCCGGAGGAAACAGGACTTCACAGAGCCAGAAGGTACGTGATATTGCATGAGAAATTCTTACATGCTTCCAAAACCTAAAGTCTGCCTTTTGGAGCTTCGCCAATGAAGGGTGATCTCGGAATTTAACATGCATGGGCTGAGTAATCCCAGAAGTATCCCGTGGCACATTGCATCAACTTTTGATGTATCCCCAGAAGTGTCGAGCCAATCATATCTAACATCCGCCCACACAGTGCGTCTGCGACAGATTAGGATTTTGATTAAAATCTGAGCTAGTCATAGCTTGAGGTTCCAATCAGTAAAGATGGTGCGTTACGTTTCTAATGAATTTGACAAATTCATGTCAACCAAGTAATGCTCATATGGGTAAGCGCTAGAATTAAGCTCTCATTTTCGAAAAGGATCCAAAAATGGCTCTCGAGAATAATAATTTTCGCCCATATGAGCGGAAGCCAATTTCGTTACTCACTGTACCAGTGAGGTTCAAAAGTGTACTTCTGCTTGGGAGCCAGAACTGGACTGTCCATGCTCAAATAGGAGAGAAGAGAGAAGGGGATAGGAAGCCGATTTTGATTCTCTCTGTACTGTATCGGCTTCCCCCCTTTGTCTCTTCGTTGTCTTTTATGAGGGACGAGTGTGGTTTTGACAGAGCTTTCCCCTGGTGGGATGAAACTCTTGATGCTGGTAACTTTTCTAGCTCTTCCATCTTCACGCCCGATTTCTTCGGGTCACTGCGGACGTCTACCAACCACCAGTATATCTGTGTTACCGACGGCGTTAGTATCACCTTACATACAAACACCATCAGGAACTAACTACCTGAATAGTACTTTGCCAACGCGGTTGGTCACATTGGACCGGGGTCGGATTTCCAAGACCACTGTCTCTCCCGCGCCGTTGATGAGTCCCTGACAGCCCAGTGCAATGAGGATTTTGTCAATATCTGCAATTCACGAGACAACTATTCCGATATAGAGAACTGTGCCGAGCTCGGCCCTCATGCATACGGTCATAATGGGGTCGGTTCCGTCATGGCCGATACGTCCTCGTCACCACAGGATCCTACTTTCTTCCTTCACCATCTTTTCGTCGACCGCAACTTCTGGCTGTGGCAAAACGGCGACGCTTCGCGCAAGACCAAGATCAACGGCTGTATCGACAACAGCAGTCCCTGCACACCTTTGACGCTGGATACTGTTATTGATGTGCAAGGGCTGAGACCCAATGTCACGGTCAGAGATGTTATTGATAAACAGAACGGCGTCATGTGTTACTACTACACGTACTAAGTCTCGATCCTAGTTCATAAAAATAAAGAAGGAATTGGCCAGGTACTCACAGGCATGACGAAAGTCTTTATTCTCTGTTGGGATTCTCCAAGCGCAGTTAAACTCTATACAATGTGTGTCTACATTAATCATACATATCGCAAGCTTGCAGAACCTAGGCCATCAGAGAGCAAGCCCGAGAGAGAGGTCGAGTTTATCGTATGGCTTTCGACAACTAAAAACAATCCAAAAAGTATATGATCACGTGGTGCGCTGTTTCTTTCTCGTAGTTCTGTAATCATGATGTGCTAACCCCACTGTTGGATTCATTGTTGGTGGCCCAATCTCCTCCGTTTGTGATCAGTCAGTAATCTCACAGTCCAACGTTCTCACATCCACAGAAAAAGCTATGCTACTTCTTAAGTGCCAACTACACTATATCTTCTGTCACATAAGGGAAGCTATGCAGTTTCACATATTATGTACATGCAGCGTAATACCTCATTTATGACATTTGCAAAGCATATGGTTTACAAACAGCGACTTCGCCGCCTCAAGCTCTAGACGCTACTTCTCCAGGACCCTCGGAACTTGTGTTTCAAGAGCGCAGCCTCCGGTATCGTACCATCGTGGGTACTATTCGAATGCAATTGCCACATACCGAAGCCATCGATGGTGAGGATCAGGATATCACCATACAACCTTGGCCCAGTTGGCTTCATACCGGAGAAGTCTGCCACACCCGTCACATTCAGGTCCATCTCCTTCAACTGTTCAAGAACAACGTCTGTCCAAGACGCCGGGCCGGACGACATCATAACCTCAACGCTCGACAGGTCGAGACTGTTCAAAGTCGTCATGCGTTTAGCAGCAAGGCTCTATAGGCTGTTAATGGTATGGTAGGCCATCTTGATAAAAAGAGGGTGGCCCGGAGCGGCGGCAATGGTCCATTGGCAAAATTGTAGCCGGTGTGGTATCTCTGCCCACGTTCCACCGTCGAGCTGGTCCCATTCAATACCAATCACAACCCTGGCCCGATCGCGGTATGTCTCAGGCACCCAAACGTCGATGGGCTTCAGAGCCTCGGTATTTACATCGGTAGATATACCGCCCTCGATGAAAAGCATGAGGTAGCGCAGGAGATCCGACTTTACTGCCGGGTCCTTCAAGGCTCGCCATGCCTCCAACACTTTTGCATCACCAGAGAAGTGCGCGTTGACGAAGTCGTCGGCCTCCTTGTGGCGAGTAGAATGTAGCCGTAACCCGGATGTTGCACAAGCCAACTTGGTGTGTCGACCAGGTTCTTCGCGTCCAAGGGAGAAGTAGCGGGGTTGTCTGGATGAGGAAGCAGGATCTGCCAGATCTTTGGAGGAATCAGATGGCGTTTGGGCCACGTGCAAGGAAGCATGTATTTTGTAGTTCTCATCGCAGGTGAGCATTCAGTGATTATCGCTGGCGGCACCGAGTGAGAATGGCCAGTCTGCAGAGCGGCTTGCGGTGAAGATTGCCGACTTCTAGATCTTAGAGACAGAACAAAAAGGAAGAATCAAACGGTGGCAATGCCGCCCGGTACGCAGTTGCGGTTCTTGCTATTTATTCGGAACATCATCTCGCAATAATTTTGCCAGCTTCGCAGCATCCTTGATCATTCTTCATACCAAGAACAGAGAGAAAATAGAGACTAGAAATACATTTCTGGTATCCCAGAGCGGCCCCATATGAATCGATTGATGTGGGGCCCCATTGGCGGCACGTGGCTTGACAGGACGAACAAGGGCAAGAGGATCCGCTTCCTACTGTAACGGTTCAGGCCTACAGTGGCACCCAGTATCGGATCCATGACTGAGTACAGTATCAAACATGCCCAGCTGTCCAGGAGGCTTTTCCTGACCACGCCAGGCAGAAGAACAAACGCAAGTCCAAGTCCAAATCCAAGTCCAGCCACTCTCTGCAGAAGGAAAATATGGGGCGACGACGAGATGACCGATAATAAACGAATATATAACCCCGTCCCTCTTCCTCGTCGAGTTCCATTTCTTTTCTTCCTTCTTCATCACCTTCGGGTGTTCCGTCTGTCAGTCCTTCGTGGCGGCAGATGTTACGTCTTGACGCTCTTGGAACCGACAGACAACCCCACGTGGAAGTCCTGGAGACTACACGTGATGTTTTTCGCCAGCATCTTCGGATCTGGCGGGTGAAAGTCTTCTGTTGTCGCTTCGCGATGGCAGCTTGTGCCGTCTGCAGGTTCTTGGAGCCTACGGATGACTCCACGTGGAAGTCTTGGAGACTACACGTGCTGTTCCTCGCCAGCATCTTCGGGTCCTGCGAGTGAAGCCGTCCGCGACTTTGACTAGTCCGGATGTGTCATCTGGCAGGTTCTCTCGAGCCTGTCAGATGGTCCCCACCTGGAAAAGTGCTTCGAGCCTCGCAGGTGAAGTTCCCTGCGGGTGCCCTCGGGTAACTAGCAAGTGACAGCTGTTTGCAAGTGCCTCGAGCCTACAAGCGATGCCCTCTGCAAGTGCCTCGAGACTATAGGTGATGGATTACTCCCTCTTTTCCCGCAGACGTCCTACTCTCTAGGTTTCCTGTGGGGGTCGCAGATACCCAACCCTGTGGACCGGCCAGCGAAAGCGGCCTCTGCAACCTGACCGTGGTGCTGGTTACGAACCTGCTGTTCTGGCAAGAGCTCTTTCAAGTCTCTCTTGTCGGGGGTCAACAGAGCCAATGCAGAGACGCATCTTGTAGAATTTGTGGATTTTCAGTAGACATTATGGCACGTACATAGATAATTGAATATACGCTGGTTTCGGCTTGACCATTTCGCCAATGATGTATGGGCCCAAGATCACCGTGTCCCATGTCTTGTGTCGTTTCCTCGCCTTTTTCTCCATCTCTACCCTGCTTGACTGATCTCACTGTTGTTTCGTTCCAGCGTGGCCCTTGGCAATGCGTTTGCCTTGTCTAGCTGTATCTCGAAGATTCTATTACCGGCTATGATTGGGTGTGAGTTCAGCCCCGTCGTCATTTTGTGCCAAGATATGATCTTGAACAGTTCGGGCTTTTGGCTCCGTTAATCACACCCCGCCAATACTCCCTATTAGCCTTCCTTACAACGCGGCGGAAATCTTTCCTTGCGGTTTTCTTGTCCTCTTGACTCGTAGTACTTTTTGCTGCGCTTCTGTATTCTTCGACCGCGGTTCTGCATCCATCGTTTTTTCATGTTGATGCAATGGATTAGTTATACATCAATTACATTTGGTGGACCAAATGGTGTAGTAGTTTCGAACCTTGAACGGCGTACGCCACTAGTACACCACCGGCATGACGCCTGCTCTGAGAGCTCAGCTTGTAGCCGGACGACTTGCCATTTGAGCTGCTACTTGCAAACCTCCTCTATTCATTGATCCAACTTCTGCAGGATCCAAGCAGTATCTTTTGTCTCCTAGATGATTCGCAAACCGATAATGGTAGCCATTTCCTCGACCTCGCGGATCATGGCCAGTGGCAAGTGAGGACCATTGATTGGACAGTTGATAGGATCTTCTTGCATGGCACAGACTTGTTTATCGCCTTTTGTAACAGCAGTCCAGGCTCAGCAGCCCACCTGAGGATTACCTACGACAGCTGGAGTACGCTGGCTGCTCCAGGCCAGACGAACCACCTGGCCGAAAACATGGTGGCTGCTGTCATAGCAGCTTCGGAGGTAAGTTGAACTTTCGGGCACTTTGTCACCTTTGCTTGTTGTGATGCAAGTTCAATTCAGTGTTTGATGAATTCTTCCTTTTTCACTTATGAGATAGTTCAGCAGACTATGGAAGTAGTAGTCCAGTAGTAGTCCAATAGTAGTCCAGTAGCTACATTAGTCGGACCTTGAGTTTCAACGAGACCAATGATTGACGAGCGAAAGAAGTAATATTGTAATTAACGCGAAAACGGCTTTAAGATTCAGTCGCGCTACCGGCTACTTCACGGACAAGTGGATTCATAAATAGCGCGACAGGCGAATACCGATAAACATGATATCGGCGAATCGACCTCGAATTCCATTGAGACTCATGAGAGCTCTGATGACAGCGGCGGCTGCTCCTTGGCCATAAGTGCATGGCCATGGTGAGTGTCCACAAATCTCCATCTCTTCTTGGTCTGAGTAATAACAGACTAGCTAAGGTCTTTGCTGGAACTAGTGAATTAGGTCTAGACGTGAAGAATTGTTCTATTTTTCGCCTGTGGTCATACTAATGGTCACATTTAGCTGACAGAATTGTTTATGGCTGCATTCTTATACTTACACAGCGACTCCGACAAGCGGATGCGACAGTAGAGCTCTCCATCACTTGTATTACTGTTATCAGATCCGTCATGTCTGTATTGCCTTTTTTGATCCACTTACATCTTTTCTTGCTTGGTACCTTTATTCTGTGTTGACTAGTCCATCGACATGGCCCGTCGCGCAGTACGTGAGCTTATTTTGATTCAAGAACGACTCCCTCGGTTGCTCGTCCGTTCATCCGTGGACTCGCTTCCGTATTTAACCGGATTGACAGCTATCGCTTTGTGACCTACGAACGTTTCGGTTGCATATCGAGTGGCAATTGATCGATGGCATCTCGCTGGAAGCTCACCAATTGCGTTTTGGTCGGCTCGTCTAGGTGGAATCGTGTCACTGACGAGGTTTTTTTTGTAGCACAGAACGTACACTAACACAGGATGTGATCCTACACGACCTACAGTTCTAAAGGAGCCGGCCATCCCCCAGTATGCGCAAACTATATCTAGTCCGAGTTACCATCTTTTTGGCTGTTTAATATGATGGCTGTGGAGCTGTGTGCATGGCGAGAAGCCCAAGGCTTTGGGATGTCTTTGCAAAAGATGGTACTGTCGGATCAAATGTGAGTTCTAGCCCAGCACGTGCAATGGAATGACCCCTTGAGATATTTGCATACAGATTCAGGCTTGTTTATAAATTACATGACGTTACTAACACAGTGCACCACTTGTAATTACATCTTTGACTACTCCTTGAATCATTGAAGCCACTATATGCTGTAGAGGATGGTCTTTAGCATTGGCATCAAGCATAGCGTCTATTGCTGCTGCGGCAACAGCTGCAGTGACCACCTTTAGCCCTTTCTCACCGACCCAGCGTCCTGGATCATGTCGCATCCGGAACGCACTAGAAGCAGCTGTTTCGATAGCTTTTTCTGCTGCATGCTCTGTCTTGCTACCATGTCTCGAGCTCTCCTGCGCGCTGTCGCTGTGGTGACAGTTCCTCCGATCTGTTGAGTTGCTGCGCATATGACGGTGATGTGAAGACTTGTGCAACGAAGGGTTTCGGCCACCGTGCTCGGTAGGCCTAGATAACCTGCCATGTTCATATGAATAGTTTTGTCCGCGCGACTCAGTTTCTATACGGTTGCGCGTATGCATAATCGCAGCGGTGGTGCTCTGGCTTAGGTAGAGACATAATCTGAGTTTCTAACACGAGGCCGGGTTAGACTCGGGATTCATAGGGAAATGTGAAGTATAAATACCGGGAATCCGAATGTGGGGGCCACCAGAACACTGCTAGTCATACAAATTGCATGATATGATTATAAGCCGATGCTGATGGATCGTTCTCATATGGGGCGTGAGGTCATGGAAAAAACTGGACAATCGTTACGTAAATGGTAATAAAAGGCATTCATAAGTCTCGCCTCCAGTTTCCGGCTTTAGATATAGTGATTTACTACTGCGGGTGCATATAATTTAAAGCGGTGCAAATTAGAATCACTGAGCTTCAACGCTGTTGGGAGTGAAAGCATGATAAGGCTTTCTCTGGAAGTGATTTCTAGCCAGCCCTTTCATATGTTAGGTGAGTTGAACTGGTTGCGGTGAATGCACTGATACACATGCTCTAAAATGTCAACAAAATGATGAGAAAGACGACCAGGTATTTAATTGAGGTACACAGATAAGACGAATAATCAGTAGAAGCTGGATAGTATTCAGCATTATGTTTTGCCCAAGTTTATGTAAGATCTCGTAATCGCCGTTGCACCGCACTTCCGACTTCAGACAAATGTGACCTATATCACATCAAATATAACTAATCGAAATAAAACAAAGTCATTGTGTTTGACCTGTTTGCTTTCCAACCTGCTGCAGATGTTGGGTCTCTTCTGGTTTTTGTCCGTCTCGCTCTAAGTCCTCTTGTCTTGGCTTTTTCCACCATCGGCATTTTCTATCAGCTTGTCAGATTTTTCAAATGAAATTAGCTATCAATGTAATCTCACCTCACGGCAGAGACCGTTAGAGAACCTAAGCTATGGTATTCGACGCATGCATAGAGGCCCTGTTGCAGGTTCAGCACTCATAACCTCGTCATACTCTCCAAGTGAATGTCTTACCAGAAAAGCATTAATGAGCCAGCAGAAGGCGGTGATAAAGCTGAACGCCAGTACTGCTCTCCATTTTGAACACACGGAAGTAGAGACGATTGTTGTGTTGCCAGGCGCATTTACCCAATAAACACCCCAATACGTATTGAACCACGGCGCTGAGCAGGTATTCGTGCCGGAAAGCTAATTGAACGTTGTTCCTGTCAGAAAATGTACATGATATTCGCAGTGTGGTAGTTATGAGGAGAGCTTACGTCTTCCAGCAAGGCAAAGCAGACTATCCAACAGGTGAAGAGTGCAAAATCCAGAGGGAATAAGAAAAACGAATATTTAAGAGGTGGGAGAAGTATGAGGGATGTTGCAATGCTGATAGAAGCTATTGAGATAGCATATACCAAGCGAGAGTCTTTAGGACCGTTGAATTGGTTTAGGAGATGGAAGAATCTTGCAAGAACACCTAGGATAATAACTGCGCACCCAAATTCCAAAACTCGGAAACACGCAGAGATAATCTTGTGAGTGCCTGACATTACTTGATTTGTAGCTGATCAATAGAGCATAGTATGACGTGAACATTGTTCTGTTCTGTCGGGGGGCCGCAAACCAATATATTCCAGGATCCAGGCACGGGGGTTCACTAATTCAATTGGGACGACAATTTGGGAAGGAATAGCCATGCAGAATTAATTATTCGATAGCGGGGATGATGACCAGTGCACCTTGCCATCCACAAATTATGTCTCAAGCCACGCATGTCATATTTGATAGGAGCACAAGTATCCTATTCACGAACAGATTCTTATCAATCGTGTGCGTTGCCGTGTGGTGTAAAATATGTGATGGCTGGATATACAGATCCCATGCCAGAAGCCCGATCTTCTCGGAAAGCTTAGTTCATTAATATTAGGCTGGGTTTGGCAATGACCCGGTCTAGACATATGTACTATGGATGAGTGGAGGGGGTGGATTAGCCCACTTCTCTTATCACTTAGCACCTGCATATGAGCTGACAGCTTACAGACTAGGGAGCCAGTACGGTGGAGCTAACCTTCATATTAGTACACTGCCTAGTATGTCAACTATATCCATGAGGCATTACAGGTACAATATGGGGGAATAGCCTTGGCTTCTTCTGGACAGCACCCCATCTAGAAAGGAGTGTTTTACATTCTAATTGCCATCATTGGAGACAATAGAAGCTAGGAATCATCTCCAGTAGCGGTGTTGCTTACAGCCTTTCGCAACGGCTGTCCAGGATACGAAATTTACACATTGGCCATAAACTACAGAGAGATTTCCTACGCTGACAACATGTAAAAGTTTGTGTCGTCAAGTATTTCAGCAGCATGTGCAACCATGTCAAATTAAAGCGGCGACATAATCAAGCATAAATAGACTACTCCATCATCAAGTGCTTCAGTGATGAACTTAATCACATCCATAAGGAGCTGGTCAGTGGAATATTGTCCGTTATCCGCGATTTTGGGATTAGGTAGGTGTATCAACGAACCAATTTTCTCAATATCGCTACACGGCAAGCACAAACTGATAATACAGCAGAGAATCTCCCCATCGCAAATCCGACGTGCAGAGACATCACGGTTGTCATTCTCAACCACACTAAAGATGGGCTAGATCTCGATCCTGAGTCTAACACCTCTACTGTGGACAGTGGGAGCCCGCAGACTCTCTACCACCTGAGTCGATCGGCCCCGGAGGAAAGTGTACTATGGCATTGCAAATCAACGGGGATGAGACGGGGCGTTGATGGATCGGTCACGTACAGGATGTCAGGCGCAGTGCCTCATGATAAAGTTCGATTCTGCTGGAAGATACGCTACTTCGGAATAAACCACTACGAAACGGCGGCTACACGGGATGGGTATATAGTCAGAGTGGTTGTATTTGTCTTCTGAAAGGTCACACCATCGCATGATCGAAATTGAATTTACCTAAGGATTTTAGCTGGCATACTGGACTCAGACACCGTAGTATTCAGCTTAGATGAATTAGGAATGGATGATGCGAACTTTTGCCTATTGAACTTAAATACCGAAATCAGGTGATCGTATCTCTATATGGGCCATCTGCACGATTCTTCGCGATAAGCATGACATATAACGTGCCAACAAGTTAAGCTAGTGGCCTGTTATAGGTCAAAACGCAATGAGATGTTCAAGACATTAGTTCCAATCCTAAAAAATAGTAGCAATTTAATATACACTAACTAAATCGAGACAAATTCAACATCAAGCATTTAATCTGGTGATGACGATTCTGGTCTCATGATCTTTCCAATAATTCATGTGGACTGACGTTGGGTCTCCTGTTAATAATTCGTGCTTCTAGTTCTCAGCTCCCGACGTTGTCGTTGTGCAAATCTAAAACTTCCAGCTCTCCTCTACTCTGAAAGTCAGCAAGACAATCAAGAAATATAGTGACAGTTCTTGTTGACTCCTGATCTCCAATCTAATCAAGCATCATGGGTTCTGCTTCTAAAGTCCTCTCTGTGCTTGCTCGTATTTCAGAACTGGTGTCCTCTGTCATTGTTCTGGGGTTACTGGGTCGATTCCTCTACCTTTTAAGCGAGGCAAATGTGTATGCGGATTCCAGGATCATCTACACCACGGTTGTGGCCTCTATCAGCGCATTTGTTTCAATCATTCTGTTCATTCCTTTTACATACTCATTCCTCGCCTTCCCTCTTGACTTCATATTATTTGTTCTATGGCTCGTGGCATTTTGTCTCCTGGAAGCGGTAAGTGATGACCTATGTACACTTCGAATCTTCTGCCTCACAATTGTTCTAACAATTCTCTAGCTGACCGGGACCCATGCTTGTTCTGCAAGATGGTATTGGAACTACTGGGGGTATTATTGGGGGGGGTATTGGAGGGATCCAATCGTTGTGGGAAGTCCTGCGGATATTAATTGGGCGGGATGCTCGTCCTGGCAAGCTGTGCTTGCGTGGACGTTTATATCATCCATGCTGTTTTTACTCAGTTCCTGTCTGGTAAGCCAGGCTCATCACCAAAAACCCCACCGCGTGCGCTTTGTCTAACAAGAAGCAGGGAGCTTATGTTGTTTTGAAATACCGAGAAGAAAAGAAGGAAAGAGGTACAATTCATAATGGCACAGTAAATAATGGCACGGAAAAGAATGGCACAGTACAGAACGGCATAGTACAGAATGGTACAGTACAGAATGGTGCAATACAGAGCGGCACCCGGGATCACGTCTAAACGTCATTCCTGCGATAATGGTGATATTACGACCAGAAGGTTGCACAAAGCATGGTAGGATCCCCATTTATGTATCGGGCAATTATCGTATGCGGGTTCGAAGATCTGGGAACGAGTACAGGCGAAAAGATGAGAGCTATCGCTGGTGCTGCCTGATTCATAGGATTGGTTGTCACTTTCGAGCTGAGTGTATTGGTATGGTGTCAATTCCACTACTGTCATTTAGGCGCATGAGCCCCAAACCTGAAATTTGCCTCAAGAACTAGTAGTGATTATGGAAGAAAATTCATGTGAGTCATGTGCCGAGATTAAGATTCGATAACGTGTTTATCAGCCAACCGTCCAGGTTTGAGATGGCCATACTAGCTAGGACGACTGTTTTGCTTGTTTAGGGAAATATGTTCTTGATGGCGTATAGGGTCTTTGGTATCTCTGTGGGCTACCATCGCCCCGAAAATCTGCCGCCAGATACAGTTAACAGGCGCGTCAGGTTAAGTCCGTTTGATGACTAGTCAAACTCCTTGTTTTCTGCTAGCAGGAAACTTTGTTAATAGTCATAGAGATGTATGGTAGGGAGACCTGGCAGAATTAGAGCTGTATGCACGCATCCGAAAGGTGAGCATTATGTAAGCCACCGATTGTAAATAGTTGAGATGGTACTACTATGGTATGATGTTGACAGACATGATGCAAAACCTTAATAGATCTTAACACTACGTGCCAAAGAAAAAAGTTTTACAGGAGAAGGTGTCCTGACTCGCAGAACCAACCTGGAGTGACAAAGGTTTTTGCGTTTGTTTCGATATATCACGTGACATGGAATACTACGTATTGTATCAGGTCTCCGCAAATACCGTGGGGCGGGTGCTATGGCAGGGGAGGTACAATTAATTCGGAGCCCAATAACCCCATAGTGGTCTCGGACCCACTGTACCACGGCAATACAAATTACGGTAAACACAAACGTCCTCAGCCTTCGAAGCTAATGTCCATCGATAAATACATCACAGTGCGCGAATGTAGCTCTAGCCTAACAGAATGTTGCGAGGAGAAGCCAGTTTTACGACCGACGGGTTCATGAAATCCCCTGGAATAGAAATTCGGTACAGAAAGGAACACCAGATATGGTAATATTTTAACAGAATCTGCAGTTGCAGTGAGGTCAACATCATAGCATTTCAGATGTGTCTCTGTAGTGGGAAGATATACACTACTATTGGTATTTGAGTTGATTGATATTAACCAAATTTGGCATTGCATGGGTGTGGGATTGTCCATCTGTAGAAATCCACGCCGTTCGATCAAGCTTGCGTTTCCATCTCCAGCTTCACGCGTTATTGTCACAGATATTCAATTGCTTTGCTCTATAACCCCAATTACTGGCTCGTCAGCAATACTTTCATGATGAGAATTAGTCATATGTCTATCATGCCCTTCAATCACCTCCAGAAAGGCAATCTATTCGTAAACATCATGGATTTACAGAGCATCGTCTTCAAACCTAGGAGTCGTGGACCAGATCCCATTGATTAGGAATACTTTTTGTTTTTGATGAAGGAAAGGAAAAGAAGGACGTGTCCAGAGGGTAAAATTGGCATTGAATAATCTCCAGGCGTGAACATAAAAAAACGTCACGCACCATGTTTACCGGCTGGAGCCTCCAGCCACGGTTGGTTGGCTAAGATCTTAGCAAAACCCTAATATGTCTGACACACACGTGGGCAGATACTGGCATGTCGATATGATTGGCCTGAAATTTCTGAGGATTCAAGTAGGTTGAAAATTGATGCAATGCGCTAAGGCATACTTTTGGGGTGATTCGCCTATGCATGTGCGTAGCTTAATTTATGAGAAAACTTTGGTGTCTTCCTATGGAATCTAGGAGCACGCTCGGATTGGCACTTTGTAGTTTACTAAGAACGCGTGCATGCATGGAGGATGCTCCCAACAGGCATCCGTGAGTACGTACTAATCCCGTCAAGCTGCACTTCAAACACTGTACATACGAAAGCCCCTGCACATACGTGGAAACAAACTTGATTTAGCTATTAAAGGTACCAATTGACGGACAGGATTGTTACCGAGAAGATCCGTTAATTTAAACGTATAAACTTAATCTCAACAGCGGGGTACTTGGTAGTGATAAAGAGAAGACGAATGCGACACGATGCACTAGTATTAGTTTCCTTCACTTATTTATACCAAGCTCAACATGTATGCCTATGAATGTGTTTACTCCGTACAATCGGCGACCTTAGAAATGATGCAATACTCTGTATTGACAAGTTCAGCAAGGTTAAGCTTCGTATCTCAGGCAAGCAGCCTGATCTAAACGGTGGACGCATGTTTCAAATGGGCGGTATGGTGGCCCACCAACTTTATCACTATGGAAGATGATTACACAAAATTGAGCTGGATACTGACTTGTATAAGCTGATACATGAAGTTACAGTTTCGTTGTTCTTCCATGGCAATCTACGCGAAGCCAGCCTCTTTGGAATTCATCCACATAGGAGGTAAGCCAAGTGTATAAGAGAAGGGCATTGCAGGGAAACCTTAATGAACATATGAAGTGAAAATCCATAGTCATACGCCATTCATGCGACCATATGGTTATACCTTATGGTTGCAGCTGGGCATGTCTGGTGAATGGACCAACGTAGAGAAATCATGGCGTCCCTAAACTTGGGTTGGCCAGATATATACTCTAGATTTCCCCACGGCGACTCTAGTATACCATGTTTCCTATTCACCAACCATAATGTATTCCATATGTCTCCAATATCTCTTACCCAGAATGCTATATTTCACAAGACACTGGTAAAAGCCCACGAGTGTGTGGCCTACATGTCAATAACAATTCGACTTCGTGCTACCCCTTTTCAGTCTATTGCCTCGAGCACTCGGCCACGTTTCATAGAAACAAGATAACGTGCCATTTCACAGAGCATAACTCAACTCCCAGCTATGGGAAAGGCTTTAACGGCGATGAGCACTTGGTGACGGCTAGCCTTCAAAATGGGAGTAATACAACATCGTCAAAATCAGGGTGATTTACCAAATCTCCAAGGAGACCAAGATCCTGAAAAAAGATGATAATCTTCAAGCAAGGGCTCCAATGCTCTAATGAGCATTTCTTTCAGCATTATAGGAGCGCTCTTTCTTATGTAAGTAGTTATGGACGAGCACCGGGCTCGGGGATACGCCATCGCTGATATCTACGAGATGTGTTTTGATATACTACGTCACGGTCCGTAAAACAGTGGACAAAGGCTCGAAAAAGGCGAGCGAGTATTGAAGACAATTCGCCGGGAGGTCGCACACACGACGTTTGGGAAGTGGGAAATTGGAAACATAGCCAATCATGTAACCGTTGACTTGTCTCCTATTTGGTACGTCGCAATACATATGCTTCTCGCATCGCTTAGGATTAATTTTTGAGCTTTGCGTAGTGCAATTTGCCATGAGATCATCAACACTAACAATACCATATATCACTTACATTTGCGACCATTTATACCTTCAACGATGTATGGAAGGATGGGTAACGACTAGCCACCCCTCTTGCCCATTATGTCGCCAACCGATTTATGGTAAAAACGCACAAAGGCGAATCGCACAAATACGTGCGCCACAGATGTTGGCAGTGTTTTGATGAAGATGGAAAATTCATCACACCAAGGTAGATAAAATACTAAGGGCAAGGTTATTTGGTTGGCGAAATGAGGTTGGTATTTTTATCCTATGAACTTCGTATACTTTACAAAGACAAGAGACAGAGGAAAACACACAAAGCTCATCACACCGAAATCTGCTCCGTAATTATATCGTCATCGATATAATCTCACCAGTCTTCACTGCGCTTCATGCCATTGGCCTCTCGGGTAGTCTGTGGCAGGGCCGTTCTGAGATAGCAGCGTAGGCGCTACATCGAGGGGATCGTTAGAGCGTGGGTCCGGCTTAAGACCGGATGAAAAAGATCGTGGCTTCCGAAACCACGATGCGGGCACGATCGCAGCAGGATGTCGGGCGCTGCGCAGGCGTTGGATGTATTAATAGTGGGGAACACCCCTAGAAGAAGAGAGGGATAGCGTTCAGTCTTGCAACCGATACCGCCTACACTACTTATCTAAGCTATACTTACGCATCTCTGACGCCTATATTATAGGGTTTCACTCTGCTGTGGAACTGACCTGACGATTTGCTTGCTACATGATAGGAGTCGAAAAAGGACAGAGAATTGGTGGTATTAAGTCATGTTAGCATATTGGTGGTGCTTGCCAACGCCGGAAAAGAAATAATCTATCCTGTTGGGTATGAAAGATACATTTAATGGCGTTTTTAAGAATGTAAAAACTTATTGATATGACCGTCCACATGACTTCAGTGCGGACTCTATATTGTCCGCCCACATCCAGAAACTGATCCCGTGGTCAAGAGACTCCTGCAGCTGCTGAAATAGGAGCCGGAGGAACTCGTCACGGTCGATCAGATGATCAGCAGCTGTAGCTTAGCCTGCCGGTGTAAGAGAATGTTGGGACACTTTGCGTCAAGGCGACCTTTTCTGACTAGTCCTAGAAGGCATCGCTGTGTGCAGTACTGTCGCTCTTGTGAAGCTTCCCCGCGCGGCGCTCGCCCCAGAATGCGCTGGCTGCGCCGTGGGCCTTGGCTCTGACTACTCGACCGCGGCTCAGACGGTGTCGGGCTGTCCGGCGTCGGAGGCGAGGACTCATCCGACGAAGACTCGTCGTCTCGGTCCTTGAATCTTGGCTGCACATCTGGACGGTCCTCTTCCTGAGCCCAGCGTTTGAGTCTTGTTCGAGGCACGCGCGGTGACCGGCTGTTGCCTGCATAAGTCGTCGGCGCATACAGCGAGCCGGAGCTTGAGCTGCTCGGAGCGTATCGCTCGTCTCGGGCAATAGATCTCAATGTCGTCTCAAAGTCCTCTGCCCATCGCCTCAGCCCCAAGATCACACGCTGCCGCTCATCCTGCGATCGAACATTGGGTGGGTTCCCTGGCGGGCCGAGAGCCATCAGGCTGAATGCCAAGTACTGGCCAACTGCGATAACTATGATTAGAAATCTTTCTAACTTTCATGGTTCATTCCAGCTGCCCACGCTCCAATTTATGTCTATTACCTTCCGTAGCGATGGGTGTGGATAAATGGATTCCAAGAAGGGAGTCACAAACCGGTAGATAGCCGTGCGTAATGAGTAATCAGAGGCACCTTTCTGAATAACTATAGTACTCTAGTCGGTAACAGGAATGGGAAAAAAATATAGCTGAGACTTTCCTCGCATGTTCGACTGGACAAGAAAGAGCGAGATAGTACGATGTGTACAATATGGTGTGCTCGGCCAGTTGACGTAGAATAGAAGAACTTGACTCGGAAATACCTTGTTTACCTATGTAAGAAACCCTTTCGATGGTGATGCTTGATGGCAAAATTAGAATTGTCATCCCACGCTTTGAAGCATTTAAAACATTCCAAGTTAGACAATTCAATACAAAATAGGATTATCGGTATGTATTATTGAAAACATATCTAAAGGACTGCTAGCAAGGACAATTGCGTTGCTGCTTTTGACCCCTCATCGACGGCAGCGATTAGTGGAGCTGCACCACTGGCCTAGGCGAGAGCGCAATTACAGTGGCTGGTTGGAGGGCGCTCTAACTTCGAGACCCCACCTGATTCCAATTGTATATGGCACCAGCAGCCCGGGCCTTACACGATGAACTGTACCCGATCAAGCCTGACCTCATCAATTGCACCACTGTCGTCGATGAAAATGAGGAGGTTCTCTACTCCTTACTCCTTTGCTTATCGAACCGCTCCGTCCTGTTGTCGCCGATGTTCCGCCGCAAGTTCTTGTTGCCTTATGCAACATCTCCCTTCGCTGCGATTTGTGTGTGCAAGCTGCCTTTCCAATATCACCATTACTTCCTCGTTTGCTCGCACTGAATCATCCATAAAATTGATTTTCGCAAGATATCTATCTTGCCGCACTTCGTGAACTATCCTTCTTGTGACCCGCCCTGTAACACGCTGCGTTCTGGCTTCTTTGGCCTCTTCTGGCTCCCGAACCCTGAAAATGTGAGCAAACCAGCTCTTTGACGTCCTCTCCTCGGCCCTATCTTCCACGGCCTCATTTTGCAACCTCTTAAGGGCATTTCTAGTTCTGATGAGATCGTTCCAAACCAGATCTCGATCTTGCCGCAGCGTGCTTTGTTGCACCCGGATGGTCTGTAGGTCATGTTCTAAGGCTTGAATTGTTTGCGCACAGTATTCAGGTCGTTCATCCTCATCACTACCCTTTAAATGTTTTATCCTGCTTGTCATTTCGTCTTAGTAAGCGTCAAGTAAAATGTTGCTCGACCTCAAAAGATCTTAGACTCTAAGTAGCGGTTTTGGCGTAGTTGGAGCTTCTGGTTAAAGATCGTCTACGGACCGATACGAGAGTCATTCAAGTGATTGAATTGCCGTCTTGCAATGCGTTGACAGCAGTAGGTATGAAAAGCAGCGCCATCATCGTCAAATGGTATCGAGGTTGGCTTCGAAGTGCTAGCGTCGGACACACAAGTCTTTTTTTAACGGTATTGAACAATTGCTAGTATTGTGCTACTAATATATGAGGATAGTATGGCGTCATGCTAGGTACTTGGGTGGGCCGGCTAACGTAGTGGTGTTTCCCATGAAGACATATATCTAGGAGAACTTCTTTAGTGCAAGCTAGTTCAACGTCGAGGTTATTAACGGCAATTTATGCTTCGCCAATGAAGGGCATGGAGCGACGCAAAGCATGTTATTCCTAAAAACGTCTATCAAGCAGCGTCCTATAGACTTACGAGCCTTATTCATGGATAATGCCTGTAACTTATTACGCCTGGCCAACTTCAAGGGAATGACGTACCCATTAAGCAATTCTGTCAGACCTCCTGGGGGACCATTTCTCCAACCACTAACCGTGAGGTGAATCAAGGTCCCATAAAACTACGCTCTCATCATGTGCTGACGCCAATGGCATCCCATTGGGTGAGAATGCTACCGAAAAGACCTGTGCGACATCCCCGACACTAACGAGCGTGCGACGCTTGCCGGTACCAGTCTCCCATACGATCAGTTCATCGTAGTCTTGCGATGCTGAAGCGATAAACTGGACATGTAGATTGATTATCTTTGAATTCGATGACTTTGACCTTGTAATCGTGCTTGAAACTGTCAACTTGTTGTGTAGTTGCTGCTCTTGCCGTTTCGTTAGCTTGCAGTCTGCCACCACTCAATTGCATGTCGCGTAATGTCCTACGAAGGCGTCATCCCAAAACGGTACAGGCGAGTCTCACCTGGTGATAGATCTGCTGTGAGTACGAAGGGACTGACCGAAACCAATACAACACATTCTGGTGGGGAATGAAGGACACTTGACTAGAGCACGGTCCGCGTCACGATGACTGGGCTCTTGCAAACTACTGCAAGCTAGCGACATTGTCATGCAGGTACATGCAACGCTATGCAAAGAAACCCGTATTAGGCATGGTCGGCTTAGGACAGCTTGTCAAAAACCCCCTTTTTTGGTCGTGCACTGAATTGACCTTCAAACGTAGTGCTAGCGTGGGGACTGAAAGAGTCACCCACAAGAGCCCTGGTCGGCATTTGGAGGCGGGAACCAAACGAATACCCTTGTCTAAACAAGAGTCCTCATTCGATCCACACTATCGAGGAACAAGACTGGCCCCAAACGCGACAAACACGACAAACACGACTACTACGGTCATTGATCCATTCGCAACCAGTTGTCCACCCTCGATTGTCAATTGCCCAGATAGCATTACGTTACAGGATGACGTGCCAGCACACTTCAATGAGGCTGGCTGTTTCTAGTTCTTGGGGCCAAAATCCACTTTGGGTTGTGCACTTCAAAGCCTGCTAGCGTGCGAAGTGGAAGAGCCGCTTGCTGTTCTGGTCGACATCTGGAGCGGGAACCAAACCGAACCCTTGTCCGAACAGGAGCCCAAATTGATCCTAGGACATCCACGCCATCAGAATTGACTACGGTCCGTATTCATCCATTCGCAACCATTTGTGTGTACTCGACTGTCCAGATTGCGCTACGTTGAAGGATGACGTATGTGTGTCATTTCATGTGGCTGAGACTGAGGCCCCTTCTGCAAGTCGGTGCCATTCATTCGTTGACAACATGCGCTTACTTATAACAGAGCGAGAAAGAAACAAGACAGGAAATGGCCTCGTGGACGAAGGCTGCCGATGAGGGTCATGAAACGGGTACGTCCTTTTTCAGCACAATGGACCTTATCGCGGCGACTTGTTCACTTCAGGACCTGCCAGCTGGGGACTGGTGCTGGTGTCCAGTCCAATCCATGATCAAGCTCCAGGGTCCCCTTTTGTCTCGATCACGAACGTGCTGTTTCCGCACCCTCTTGGCTAGATGTAGGATTGATCATCTCACTTAAAGTAGCCCGGCATGGCATGAGTCCTGTTTCTGGGCCTACTTTTCTCGTGCTGCACTCACGAACCACTTTTCTCTCATCATGGAGACGCATAGACATGAAATTTTGAGCAAGTCCATCCTCTCTTCTCCCACTTTTGATGCAAGCACGCTCTCTTGGCGCGAGCGCAAACGTGTCAGCGGCAAAACAACGTACTCGGGTAGACAAAGGCCATCATACCGTAGGTCATTCACGCAAGAGAACTATTGTTTATCATTTATCACTGTATATTTGGTTCATTTGCATTTTACGTGACAGTATGGATTTATTCAAGGAATTTATGTCAAGTGATGAATTTGTTCATGCAACTAGATAATGGTCTCTACGACAGATAAGCTATATAACCTCGCGTCTCTACATTGGCTCTGCTCAATCTCGACCGAAGATCTTAGTCAAGACGAACAGGTTCGTAGCCAGCACCACGTACAGGTTGCAGAGGCCGTCTTCGCTGGCCGGTACGCAGGGATGGACATCTGCGACCCCCGTCGAGACTCACGCACGCCACATTCAAGCGGAAGACAACATGTCTCCAAGAAGTCAGGACGACTCGACAGCACGCCCTCTGCTTGGGTTCTGTTCGGGCGGGAAGGCGCAAACGATAACAAGCCACGCCTCGCAATCGTCAGACTCGTGTCGCTGCGCCATCCCGGGATCCGAAAGAACAAAAGACAGAGAGAGTGTGAGGAAGTCAGTCAGACCAGCTGGACGACAGGGTCTCCTCGGCCATTTGAGGGTGCAAGCTCGACGGGACTCCTGCCGGGCTGGACGTCGGTCTATCAGGGATGGATCACCTGCCGGGCTGGACATCGGTCTATCAGGGATGAAGCTCTTTCCTGCCGGGCTGGACATCGGTCTATCAGGGATGAAGCTCTTTCCTGCCGGGCTGGACATCGGTCTATCAGGAGTAAGTCACCTACCGGGCTGGACGTCGGTCTATCAGGGATGAAGCTCTTTCCTGCCGGGCTGGACATCGGTCTATCAGGGATGGATCACCTGCCGGGCTGGACGTCGGTCTATCAGGGATGAAGCTCTTTCCTGCCGGGCTGGACATCGGTCTATCAGGAGTAAGTCACCTGCCGGGCTGGACATCGGTCTATCAGGGATGGATCACCTGCCGGGCTGGACATCGGTCTATCAGGGATGAAGCTCTTTCCTGCCGGGCTGGACATCGGTCTATCAGGAGTGGGTCACCTGCCGGGCTGGACATCGGTCTATCAGGGATCAGACACCTGTAGGCTCTAAGCTTCTTACCAGGTGGACGACAAGCGTGAAGAAGGAAAGAAAGAGAAGAAGACGAGCTGAGATGAGGCACTTCCTTTTATATTCCTTCCCAGTGGGTCACTTCATCCTGGATCCACAAGCTAGCGGATTGCTCATTGCCCCACTACACCTGCACTCTTCTTGAACCTGCCATCTTTTGGTGGGGAAAAGACCAGTATTGACAATCGTTCCCCCGACCTAGATACAGCACCAACTTCAGGTCCACCTTATCATTTTGCATCCTGGCACAGAAACAGAGACCCTTTAGAACCATGTTTCGTTCCCGATCCCCTAACCACATGACAAATTCTTTCAGTGTCACAACTGATTCCGTTAGCCTCCATTCGTCCAGTCATCTGCAAAGGTCGACGTTCGCTCCCCCCAAGTCGTCATGGGCCCCGAATAGCTAAGCAGCCCCTTTCTCGCTCCCTGTCACGGGAAAAGCGTTGCATGATTTAGTATCGTTGTTTTGAGTATTGGCTCTGCTCAGTCCTGGGCTGACATTATCGACCGAGACGAGTAGGTTGGCACTGTCGCACTATCGCACTTCGCACCCCTTCGCAATTTCGCTCTCTCGCACCTTGGCATCCTTTTGCACCTTCGCATCCTTTTGCACCTTCGCATCCTTTTGCACCTTCGCATCCTTTTGCACCTTCGCATCCTTTTGCACCTTCGCATCCTTTTGCACCTTCGCATCCTTTTGCACCTTCGCATCCTTTTGCACCTTCGCATCCTTTTGCACCTTCGCATCCTTTTGCACCTTCGCATCCTTTCGCCTTGATCATGGTCAATACACAGACAAAGAAATCGGTAAAGCCTATCATTGTGCATCACTTCAATGCCACCCCGATAGACGGCTAGTGTTCTTGGCATGTAGGAGCGTACAGCACTGGGGAACAACACTGGGCCACAAACTAACTGATGCCATTATTGGTTATTTGAGTGCTCAAATTCCCGTCAGACTGTGGAGACAGCCAGAGTAAGCCGATTTTGTCCCTCTCCCAATCGTGTCCTCGACCCTCCTCCGGTGGTGCCTGCATTGCACCAATACGGAGCTGTTTCTGCTTCCATAAAACAATGAATCAGAATGAACGCATCCAAAACGAGCCACGGGACATTGTTCAGCAGATGATATACAGTATGCAATGGTTTTCCGATATGCTCATTCTTGGGCGGTCGACGGCACGGACCGATAGTGGGCGTGTACTGTATATGACCTAATGGTGGCCCAAATGCGCTTTCTGGGAAGGTCATGTAGAGTACCGACATTCGAAAGTGCCGTTCATCTGCATCAGATCTGAAGCTTATATGGTTAGGTATAGTGCCGATCACTATCGGTCACGTCAGTGCTCGGAGTCGCGTACAGTCACCACTTTTCTTGGATACTAGGAACAACAATCCGTATGTGAGCGGACGAGAAGAAGCGTATTACAACTGATCGGACGAGTCTACAATAATGGCGCGCAACCCCTCGGTTTTCATGTCATGACTGGGCACGATTCTCACCCTTGTCTCTGGCATGTCCAAAAGGCCGACCTCTGATGTCATTTTTGGTCCTCTTCACCATACAGTCACCAGTTCTCATCGGACGAGTATTGTATTGGTGATGCCACACCAGCACGGATGTTGGTGTGCCATTGGCCGGTAGTATCCATTGGCCGGAAGTATCCATCAGCTGTGCGCCGAGTATGAATTTGGTTCGCAGCCCAATTCTGGGACTGCGCCAAGAAGTTCTGTACGGCTTCCCTTTATTCCCTTGACTCATATTGCCACATTATTGTAGCGCTTCCGGATGGAATGAAAGCACATTGAGGAGCAGGCGTGATCAAGGACTAGCACCAACAATTCTTGTCACAGACACAGAGACTTTACGAAGTGGGCATGGTGCAGCAAGCAGTCCTACGCAACAACGATACAAAATACGGTGTGTATAATCTTGGGATTTAGATCTCTGTATGAGCAGACATGTCTTTTGTATTCACTAATTTGACTATCTATTGCGTCTCTGCATTGGCTCTGTTCATGCTGTCAAGACTATGGGTAGATAGTCTGGCAGGACAAACAGGTTCGTAGCCAGCACCACGGACAGGTTGCAGAGGCCGTCTTCGCTGACCGGTACACAGGGTTCCACATCTGCGACCCCTGCCGGATTCCACATCGGCAGGAAACACCCCGAAGGGTCACTCGTTGGATTCCACATCAACGAGGTAATGTGCTAGGGTACAGATAGACCGCTAACACAGGGTACAGGACTGCCACATATCAGGGTACAGTTAGACCGCCAACAGCAGGGTGCAGGACCGCCACATAGCAGGGTACAGAAAGACCGCCACTAGAAGGGTGCAGGACCGCCACTAGAAGGGTGCAGGACTGCCACTAGAAGGGTACAGTTAGACCGCCAACAGCAGGGTGCAGACAGCTCGGTGAAGAGTGTGAAGAAGAAAGGAAAGAAAGAGAGTGAAAAGTCGAAGCAGAAGGAAGATTTATATACTTGTTCAGGCAGGATGGTCCCACGTGATCATGGTGGAGTTGCATGGCCATTAGCACTACTTCCAGCATCGGTTCGTATGGAGATACAATTTTATTGTGGTGGACTTGGACCACATCTGAACATGCATAATTTTAGCTATAGACTTGGTCAATTGGTTTCCTCTCTTTGTCTCTCTTCTATTTCTCTTTATGCAGAGACAGTCCACTTGTGGCTCTCACCTAGAAGTATAGTTTCGAACCTCTGGAGTCCCGTGATGGCTGAGGACATATCTTTTCCGGCGTAAAAGCATACTTGCAGCGCTTATCATCCACTTTTGATGATATGGACTCATTATGTGATACTTGGATCATAAATTACTCCAGAAGAGCTTGGTTACAGTACATCTCATAATCCTGAGTTCGGAACTGGCATAGTCCGAAAGAGTACTCTTGGTAGATTTCCAGGTGGGAGCGAAAATTGGATCTTCTGTGCTTAAAGAGAAGAGAAGAGAGAGACGAAAAGAGGAAGCCATTTCTGAACATATCTGTACTGTACCTTACTCCGCAAAGTGTTTTTCGCATTCAAGTCTCCACAATTAACTGCTTCTTTGTTTCTTGTATCGCTGCTTTCCGACTCGTCTGCTTTCCTATTTCCCGCTTTCTCCTTGTTCTTCCCCTCTTCCCGTTATTACTTCTTTTACCTTCCTTCTCTGCTCGCTTTCTTACTTTCTTACTTCTCCTCTTCTTTACAGTACCTTCTAATCGCTTCTATCTTCTTATCCACTCTTGCACACATCCGTCTCTTTCTACCAGTCTATATTCCCGAGGCCACATCCCAGAGGCTACTCGTATGTCGGTCTCGTGATACATATAAAACAATTCACCAGAAAGCATTCGCTACCACGGGCAAGCGGACCGCCCTCCCCATAGGGTTCACCATGTTAATTCCGCATATGGTAGAAATGGATCACACACTGTCACCGCGGACACGACCACTTGAAGATTGGACTGGGAACCGAAAGGGTACTTTGGTGAGTTTACACTCCGATCGTCGACGTTTGACAAGCGGCAGCTGGTCACTGACTTTGGCCGAGTCGCAACGACGAAACCGGCGGCGGCAGAGAAACAATTTCCAGATAGAACTCAATTACTGTGCAACGCGGGTGGATGATCTACTGGAAGGGTGAGCCACCACCTCAAATCAGCAGAAGGTACACCCATGACTGACCTGCCCTACTTTATCAGAACCGAGTACCTGTGAGTCCGCCCTGTTCCATTCAACAGCTTCCAGCTAACGTCTAGCTCACCCTCCAGGATGCAACAAGTACAAGAGTAAATGCTCCCCGGAAGACTCGATGACATGAACTAGTCACTGACTCCCGTGTTGCAGATTGAGACGTATGTAAGTGTTTGGGCTGTGTATATATGGCGAGCAACTTTCTCTGACATGCATACGCTCTATTAGGATCAGTGAGGGACAAGAGAAGTAAAGCCCTCAACGGCGACCACGATCCAACATATTGACGAAGGAAGCAGATTCAAGAACAAGGCTGTGAAATTACAAGAAGCCATATCATCCCTCCACATATCACATACAATGTCGAATCTGGCGGACGCGCGCCAGTTTCAGCCACAGGGTTTCGTGTAGGCAATAGGGATATACTTGGAAATAACAATAGGTCATTAGGGCATTGATGGACGGGGCATAGAACAATCGTGCATTCTCGGACTCATGATGGCCGATTACATCTTGGTTTTCGTCATCTACAAGCCCCTCACGTCATGCCACATAGTCGGCCAGATTGAGAGGAGGAATACAACTTTATCGTAATGGGTCAGAAGATCGACTAGGTAGCCAAGAGTTCTGTGATGGTGTTCAAATGACTGACGACGAATGATATTGTTTGTGCGGTGGAATAACAAAAACAGAGGCGGTCATGGTATCGCGGAGTCAAAGAAGTACTTGCAACTATGACGCCGCCGACTTTCTTGACATTCTCGGAGCCAGTATCTTTTCAATTTTATTCTCTATCGCCTTGTTATTCAATCGTCTATAGCCTCCTGTGATGCATATAGGATGACGACTGGACGTCGGAGCCTGCAGGTCGCAGTCTTCTGATGCGGGGTTGTGCGACCGGTGACTGCGCCGCCTTCAGCCGCACGAGGCTCCCGACGTGTCCTAGACGAGGACGACGACAACGACAACGACAACGACATGAACTGCCCGATTGAACGACGCGACCACCGAAGCCAGTATTGGTATTATTCACTCAGAGCCATCGAATACGAGACGACTCCTGATCGCGAATTGAGCGCAACACAGAAAGACTACAAGAGACGGACAGGCACCCTCGACCCGAAAGCCTGCACGGTGGCTTGCATTGCCTCTGTCGAGATCGAAGCCCAAGCGGCCCTCCATATGCTAGACGGGCGACAGCCCGGCGGTTCGCCATGGGCCGAGGTGACGACTATGTGTTCCACGCAGGTAGCATATTCGGGCACAGCATCGTCGTAGCGACGCTACCGGCAGGCCAAGAGTACGGGACAGGATCGGTGGCTGCGCTTCCCTAATATCTGGTTTGGGCTGCCTGACCTGTCGCGAAGGCCGGCGCGCGACATCCGGCTGGGGGATGTGCTGGTCTGTCTTCCGGACGGCGAGAGCGCGGGACTGGATGCATATGATCTGGGCAAGGAGACGGAAGACGTGTTCGAACCGCTTCGACATGGACGCGCACTCGCGATGGCCGAATTAATCATCCGATCAGCTATCGGCGGCACCAAGCTTAAGTCGCCGAAAGACGCACAGATCTTGTGCCGTACTACGAAGCCGTCCGCGAGGAGAGTGGCCGACCGCGCTCGACGACCGGATTCAAGACGTATTCGAGTATGGGATGGACCGATCAGGTCGTGTGAGAAGCTCCTGAAGAATTTGCAGAGAAGGAACGAGCTAAGAGACAGGTACGGTGTGATTGGCGTGGAGAGGGAGGCGGCAGGGACGATGAATCGCATCCCGGTCGGCGTCATTCGGGGGGCGTGCGATCACAGAGACAAGCATAAAAACAAATATGCGGCAGCGATGCAGGCGTCGTATGCCAAAGCGGTGCTGGATGAGATTCCACCGAATGACTCAGGCGGTCAGATCCATCGGAGCAGAGAGCGGTTGGCAAAGCCGAGGAATCGAATCGTGAGTATAGCGTTAGGATACTATAGTATTAGCCTTGCTAGAATGAGTCGGTTACTGATAGCGAAATAGAATGTTCCGCCGACCGTGCTATCACATCCAACTTGCCAAAACGCCACGAAATGCTGGCTGGCTAGAGCCTTTGAATGTGTCCAGTCTCGCCATGGATTGGTACAATACCACTACTAAGTACAGGTATAGGTACTGTATAGTGATATACGATATCAAGGGTTTCCCTCTTCGAAAGTGTGAAATTGAATCTGATTTAACTATGATCATACAGTAGGACTAGCGGGTCAATGTAAATACCGCCGGAGGCACTATGCATGAGTTTCTGTTGGCCGGACCCATTTTATGCCTTGAGTTAGCATATCTTATGCGTCCTCAAGGTTCGCTCTACCAGTTCGAGTACTTTTTTGTACTTAGTAACAAAAATCATTGAAGTGGCCCTGTTGGATTATGAAACCAGAACTGTCCTATCTACATACAGAAAGAGCCCTTGACTGCACTGGTGTACATAAATGATCCTTAGTTGAATGTTTGGCGATAGCGATAATAAGAGTTGGTAAATAAACACGGACTCAATATCTGTACCTGAGGAAATAGCTACAATTGGTCGACATCAAATGCAACTTGTTGTCCGGCTCTATAGTTAATATAAAGTTAGCTGATCCGATACTGCCAAAGAAGCTGGAGCTTCTCGTGCTCAGAGGATACTGGTTTTAAGGTGATGGTGACAAGGTGGTTAGACACATTTGAGAGTGTCTTTATCTGTTTAGGTTGGTATGATTTCTGTATGTCAGAGGAAAGATACGAATCTATGAACGCAATGCAAGACCTCCTAGACCACTTTCAGTTGTCCGCGACCTAGAAGTATACTGTACCATATCTGACTCGCTGGAACAGTACAGTAATCTACCGACTGTATACTGTAACAGCATTCTACACTTTGATTCGCAAATCTGCAACGTATCAAAGGTCACCGAATCAAGTTCTGTTCTTTGTCATCAACATGGTTTGTTAGGCAAATAGGTATATAAACGGTGAAATCAATCGAGAGAGAAGAGAGAAAATAAAGACTATCACGCTGCCAACCACAAACAACATACTCACAAGTGTACATACTATAGCTCTTGACAACACCCACCGCCCATCATGTCGATGGTGTACGAGCACGTCCCCTCGTTGATCGCAACGTACCTTGTTTCTCATAAACACACGAGCTACGTTCTTTATCATGCCGCCAAGAGGTTTCGAAAGCCATCGAGCGCAATCCTATTTCTTCATATCCTGATACCCAACCTCGAGATCTTGCGTTACTGGGCGCACTATGTGCAGTATGGATATCATGTTTCCCCAGCTTATCTTGACTTCATAGTCATGATTTTCCATTCGTGCACAAGCCATTATTTAGTTCAGAAAGGCCATTATGCTGGCCACAAGAAGATTGTGCAGCCAGTATTTCACGCGCAGATGTTACTGCGCTTGGCCATTTCCTTCTGCTCGGTTTTCCTCGGCTTCCCCTCCTTGCATTCGGCAACCATCAAAATCAACGCCGCGGCTTCCTATCCACGGATCTTGATCTGGGCTATGAAAAGGCTAAAAGTTCTTTCAGACTATAAAGCTGTATATACCGCTGCCATGTTCGTTGGTGGCCTTCTTGCCGGACATGACTCAGGCATCTGGTATGGCCCACAGGTCTTCATAGGCTGCTGGGCAGGATTATATGTCCTAGAGACTTGGGCGGCGCAAAAGGTGATTGAAAACCACAGAGGACTGTCTTTCCCTGAACAATCATCCGGGTTCAAGAGTCTCAAGAGCTGCGCAGTCCTTTTTTTGAACAAAACCGGCTTTATAAACCAATATGAATTGCAAAAGCTAGGGAAAAAATATGAAGAGAAAGAGGAAGGTTCAAAAGAAGATGCGCACAACCAAACTGTCGAAACCGAAAAGACCCGATCGACTTGGAGAATTCAACAGGATTAAAATTCTGCCTGGAGCTGATTCGTGGAGGGATACGCGAATGGTCAAAGTTCATCATTATGCCTCCCGACCCGCCAGTGGCCGCTTCCGTATACAATTGGCGAAATTCATCGCAAAGACATCGGGTCTTATAATTGAGCAGCAGAGACTACATCAGTATCACAACATTGCCAGGCGAAGGAGTTCGAGGGAGAAAATAGTAGTTCTGTTGCATGCGTTCAGACCCTTTAAGTACCAAGCTGCATGCTGACATTGCTCGATTCCCATTATTAGGTACCACATACCAGAAGGTACAACGAGACCGACACGAGCGAGGAAACCCTACCGACATCCAATTGTGGCTCCGATACGTCGACTATCGCAGTATCGCACCTTCGCAGAATCGCAGAATCGTACCTTCGCACCTTCGTACCTTCGCGCACCTTCGCACTTTCGTAACTTCTTTCGCAACTTCGCGCTTTCGCAATTTCCGCACCTATCTATTTAGCAACATGCATTGTAAATTTCTTCGATGCGCCTGGTCTCGATTATGGTCAATACACAGGCGAAGACATTCGTGAAGCGTATGATTGTGCATCGCTTCAATGCCACCCCATTAGATGGCTAAACGGAGCCAAGGATCGGTAGACAACACAGCACCATATGGAAGAATCCAGATTGTTTCTTCTAGGCGAGGGGCCTAAAAAGGTATACCGCGGGTATCCGAGAATGTTGTCTCCCCCAAAGCGCGGCCCCGATGCTTACATTACACCACAATGCCCATTCTACGTTTGGGGAGACTGTTGGTATATCTGCTGAGATGCAAAGCGAGATATGATGTTCTCCACGATTATGCATTGATGTCGTTGTCATGCCTCTGTGCACATCTCGAAATACTCAACAGTCATTGCGCTTGAAGGCGAGCTGCGCCATTTTCATGACACAGGGAATTACCAGCATGAACAACGGCAAGTCAATGTGAGTAAGACGAAATTAAGATTTATTAATGAAGTTCGAACAGGGGCTGGCAATGGTTGGGCGTCTTGACGTAAATGTTGCAAGATGAGTGACGTTAGAAAGCGACACATTAATGTTTCGTCAGAATCTACCAGCAGAGTACCTTTGAATGTCTCATCGCGTCCCCGTGAGCGAAAAGATGCACTGGCCCAGTCGGGATGGGCGTTGGATGAAACACGGATGGAACAAGATTTCGTGACTAAATTGCAGCTCGATGACTTCCTTTGGACGCTCTATCCTGGGCGACATCTTAGGCGCTGATAATTGCGTCACCTGCTCCTCCTCCACTTCCGCTGGAGCTATGTCCTCCTTCTTTGGTAGAAGAACACTGTCCTCCAAGTTTTGACGCTTCACCACCGGAGAACCAAATCCAACAGTGAATGAATTTAGCATAACCTTCCTCGGTCTGCAACCCAAACAGCTGTGTTGTGGACCTGCCGAGATCAAATGAGGGTCCGCCGACCTGAACGACTTGTCACCGCCCATTCAATCTGAGGCTGAGAATCGAATCATGGGCATCTCTTTCATATGTGGAAGTGTGGTCGAGTAAACAGCAATACACAGGCAATGGTATCGTTCAGGTGATAGAGCACTGGGCTGACACGATATGAGAAGGGAGGAGATGACTTATTTGAAGTTTAACAGGTGCTTGGTTGTCAATCCCTGGTTGTGGCCTGGTCCCAATCTGACCCTCCAGGTTTTTTTAGGTGGCTATCTGAATTGGATCTAGACGAAAAAACTGGGTCAGTTACTGGAGAATTCTTGATTTTCACAACAATCCACAACCTTTTTTCCCCCTGCTTACGGCTCGAACCTCTCGTACTCGCCTTCACTTCTACTCTGGTATTTATTGCTATTTAATGACAAAACACAACTAGATTGGAACATATTTCTTTCGACAAAAAATTGCAGAAAAAAACCGGCATCCGCTTTATAAGGGTATTGCGAAGAGACTTGATCCGTACAAGTATATATCCAAGGTGCTGACAATTTCAGACCGACGCTAGCAAAAGACGGTATTAGTCACATCAACAATCAAACATGCGTACTAGATGTTATCTGTAACATTCCCTTAGAGCATCCTGATTATAGCTCTATATAGTTGAGTCAAATGGCGCCATCCGTCAATTCTTCAACCATAGGATAGTATGGTTGAAAGGGCAGGAGCTCTTGGGGTTGCCGCAACTTGGCGCCACGCAGGTGGAACAAACGGAGTCGTTCAACCATCATATCCATTAGACAACTCCAGATATCGACGCCTCTCCGTTCTGGTGTCTTGCCGTCGCACAACGACGCTTCCTCGTAGGCGACAGGACCCACGAGACACAAAGCGTTCACCCAATCAAGCCCTTCATGTTCTTTTAAATGCACGTAAAGGAGTCGTAGCGTGTCAAATATCGTCATGGCGAACTCGCGCTCATGTTCATCCTGCCCGGCACAGATCCGGAAGAGCCGTTGTAAGAGAGCAGAACGCTCGGCAAGGTATCGATCTGCTCCACCATCCAAAATACTCAGGATCCACCAGTGCCAGCCGAAGTCTTTACCAAAGAAGTACTTATCGCTTTTTGGTAAAATCTTGGTTGGCCCAGACTGTTCCAGCTGCTGTTGCATGAAGGTGAAGGGGGCGCAGGACTGGCAAGCGCCATCAAGCTCGTCCTGGCGCATAGCGGTTCCGGGCCTATAAAATGGAACATGTACCCGGTGGTGACAAAGTCGGTAATGTAGTGTGTGTTGGCAGACTGGACATCGGGCATACATGTGCCGCTTGAGCTGTTGGTGGATGCAGTCGGGATGGAAAGCATGGCCACAGGGTAATGCAATCAGGTTGTCTTTACCCTCTTTAATCGCCTTACAATCCACCCCGGTGATCTTACAGCTGAATTGTGTGCTTGCCCAGAGGCTGTCGCACAGCATGAGGGTTTCTATCGGCTCTTGGAGGGGCCACTTATAGCCATCTAGAATGCGAACCCTATCATAGCTTGGCGGTACGCAATGAACAAACGCAAAACGGTTGTGGTTTTGAGGATTCCACCTTTCGTCTTCTTCTGAGCTGCTGAATGGCTTCCTGGTATGTTGCTGCAATTTGTACATAATCTTCCCCAACGTTTTAGTTTTTCGAGTTCGATACCCGGAAACAATATTATTCGGACACCACGGAAGCTGTTTAGATGTAGACGAATCCATTCCAAATCATGCGCGTATTAAATAACGACAAACAAAGCTTGAAACTGCTTCGTTCGACCTACGAAAACGCTCGTCGCAGAGAAAACGTTGTAATGCGTTGGTACACGAATGTGTGTTGGTTGCGGGATGGTAAGGACCAGAGTAAGTAAAGCGACGTCGATTTTCAAAAAGAAATTCATCTCAGATCAAGGTGAACTAAGGAGCTGGGGTGAGCTGGGAAGCAGTAATGCTTTATTGTCTATAAGTTAAGCTTTCTTCGACCCATGGGTTGTTTTAAATCAGGCCGTGCCGCATTTCGTGGGACCGCCACACGAACTCTAATAACGAAACGTACAATAAAAGTGCCTAAGGCTCACTGATCCTCTTGCGGGAGGCCCCATATCGGCGGCAAGAGTCCCTAAAGTCAAATGAACTTCTCACTAGTTTACCTAAAAGGTTACCGCGACAATCCCGCGTGTTCTCAACCTTGTAATACGCTCTGGGTTGCTTTTTTGCGTGGGGAAGCATTATTCCCAAGTTCTACTGCAATTCTTTCAAGGTACGCAATCAATCATCCAATCAATATATTGATCAATTCAATTCGGCTTTTTTCGAATCAATCAATTCAATCAGGGTAGCCGGTTGATCGAATTGAAAATTTAGCTGTATTTCGTCAATCTGAACCAATTATTGATCAACTCAACCGACCTTTTCTCGATTCTAACAGGACAAGTCCTAGCTGATGTCTGGGCCGGCCGAAGACGACTTCGTCAAGCTAGACTGCAGCCTGTTCAAGGCGAGGAGGACGCGGACAGTAAAGATGAGACTGGCACATTTGGATCTGCAACTGAGATCTCAACAGGAGAGAGAGAGCATGGTTTGAACGAGAGGCTCTTTGTTGGTAAGCCCCGCCCTGCAACGATGGATATTCTCAAAATACAGGGCCTCGCCACCACTGATCTCCTAGAAGTGCTCTGTCTAGGTGACAAACTATGTCCACCCCCAGGGTGCCGAGCAGTACGAACGAACGGTGAAACTTTGGCGCGCTTTATCGCACACAGGTTTGACCACGTCAGGGGTGCAACCAGGATGGATAACAAAGAATTGCAGAACTAATCATATCGAACAAGTCTTGTTTCCCAACAGAAAGTTCGACAAATCCATTTGGAATAGCTTCCAAAGGAACAAATCAGGGCGCGCCAAAGGGCAGGTCTGCTGTGGTTACAGCAAGATAGAGAAAGTGAAACGATGCCTACATCTGACCCATCGTCGCCCCTACCAACTGCTCTGAAGTGCCCCCACACTTCGCTGTCAACATTCTACCTTCCTCGACCTCCACCTACGTTGTGCCTTTACGGATGCCAGAAGGACTATGGGACTGCCCTCGCAGCACACGAGAAGAAACGTCATTTCTTGTGTGTAGAATGCACACGTGTATCCGTCCTTGGTGAGCGTTCTTGTCAACACACACAGGATCCCATGACACTAGCATACCAACACGATCACCTGTAGGCTCGAGGCGCTTCCAGGTGGGGATCATCTGTAGGCTCGAAGCACTTGCAGATGGAACACCCGAAGGTGATGAAGAAAGAAGAAGGAAAAAGATTGAACTTCCCGAGAACAAAGACAGGCTTATATATTCGTTTATTGTGGACCTCCTCGTCGGCGGCCCACCTTTCCCCATATGTCTATGTGGAGGGAGGTCAGATCTGGACCTTTGATCATCTGTCTGTCGTCATCGGGGAAGTTCAGAAGTGTCTTTCGAAGCACATACGGACTCTTTCATGACGGATCATTTCTTGGTTATTGGTCACAAGTCGACACCTTCCATGGGCGCAAAAGCGCATCAGCTAAGCCATGAACTGAACTGGGTCATAGAATGTAAAGTGTGATTATGATTTCTAGCCTAGTTCTTTGTGTGTATTGTATTGTTGCTGTACTATATCGAACCATGCCTCAAGATCCTTGTTCTTGATTGGACAAAAACGAGGCAGAAACGAGGCCTACTCAAATGGGATCAGTTCGCTCTCGTAGTAGAAACCGTCGCACTTTGGCACCTAATCACTTCGTACAATAGTGTACATGCCGAGGCTCGCCCGAAGTCGAATCTGTTCGCACAGCTCAGTTGTCATTCCTGCTGCCTATCAATACTTATTGGGTCGAGTTACAATCATTCACGCACGCTTCTCGTAATACCAACTTCCATCATTCCTCTTTCTTTCATCATAGTCACCCGCAAGCAGCAAGATACCATTCGTCCATATAGCCCAAGCATTACATCAAGCTTTCGAAATTCACTTCTTCTGACACTTGAAGCAATCGATGAATATTCCCAACCCACGCTGGTATTTCGATAATTTTCCTTCTCCTGGTATGGGTAGTGACACTGTGGCTGTGCCATGATATCTCGTTGTTCGTACGTATATCCTCGAGAACTAAACTTTCCATTGCAGCCTTCGAGCTACATCAGTCGACCCAGTACATTCAAACTAATCAAGACTCTCATCGTCGAAACGCAACGAACACTCATCGTCCTCCCCCCCCGCAAACGACGGACGGTACTGCAAAGCACATGGACAAGACACCGACGAAATGTCCATCTCACAAGAGACCAGCGTAACATTGCTTCACTTTCATGAGACGGGTTTCTCCATTCGACCAGCAGAACGTTCGATAACGCCATGCTGGGCCCTTACTCGGTGGAGGGATATTTAGAGAGCTAGGGTCTGTCACTTCACACTCTTCACACTCTTCACACTTCAACTCTTCGCCCTTCGATAAAACTTCCAACATCTACCACCTCCAACAAATCGGGATCAGAGTATATCTTGTACCTACATCAACCCATCTGCTACGGTTATCATTCCAACGTGTCTATAGATCTCTTCCTGAGAATGTCACCAAGGAGCCTGCGTCAGCCCAGGCCCATAATACTCCTCAGTAGTGGTCTGTCCCGCGAAACGACCACACTACGCTCTGCAGGAGGCAGCTCTCAGACCAAGAACCGTTTCTCTTGCCAGAAAGACATCTTGGTATGCTCTTTGTCTAAAAAGTAATTGACCAATGTGTCCTGCGCGACTGACAGGCTGACAGGATATTCTACGATGAAACTGACCAAGTGTATGGTGAGTTGTCTCATCCAAACGTCTTGATGCAACCGGCATGGCCAATCGTCCGCATAAGAATTTGAACATAATTGGCACAAACTTGTCAACTATCGAGATAGGTTTCCGATGGCCCTGAAAGATGGTCGTTTTGGTAGATGTAAGGGCAAATAGCTGTTTCAACCATTGTTGAAGTTGTCCTTTTCCAAAACTTGGGGCCGTCGGGCTCAGTCAGACTGGCCTACACCAATGTGGCGATCATGTGAAACTTGAGCAAGAACGATGTAACAGCAATTGCTGCATGACATGTCATAATCATAACCAATAGTTACAACGGAGTCTTCTCGACGCCAAAGTATGTCTGCCAAGAGCCGCAACCAATTCATAAACGAATTTGATATCGTCGATCCGGAAAATTCAATGCGGCGGGACTCATAGACAACGTCGACTGGGCGAAGCTGTTCAAGTCCGCCCCCGTTCGGAAAGCATAAAAATGCCACGCATGCCCGGCAAAGCATCCGTCATCTCTGCTTTGACTCAAACATGAAATGTTCTTCTATCATTCAGACGTGCGTACACTTTTCAATGAAGCAGCCATGCCGGCAGCGACATGCGTCTTTCGTGGCTTGTAGGCACATGCCGCGGGCACTGCAAAGATGTCCTTCTCAGGGAACTCGACCCTTGCCTGCAGTATATCTTCTTCGTAACTGGCGTCTCCCGGAGCATGACTGTATAATGGCGCCGTAGTCCCCTTCCTTTGCCCATTCCACGATCGCTTGTTAGGCACGATATTCCCCAGCGGCTTCCATCCTGCATTGACGACAGAACGTTCAAAGTCAATCAGCATGAGCTCCCCTGTGTCGGTATTGCGGAGCACATTGGTACGACGCACATCCCGATGTATCGCCCGCAGACACCGTTTGACCTCACCAGCACGAACCGCTTCGTCAATCGGACTGCCATGCGAGAGAAGCAACATATATTCGATGTAGACCCGATGGTCGTAGTAATAGATCTTGTCCATGTCGCGAAGATCTATCGCGTCCAAGCAGACCGGCACCTGAGACCCCTGGAGTCCTTCGAGGTGTTTGTAGAAGGTTGTTTCGTGCTCTAGGTCCCGAATGAAAAGCAGATACCGTGCCCTTGGCGACGAAAGTGTAGCCGTAGGCCATCAGGCTGACTTTGAACAGCACGCCGCGAGATCCGCCCACATCTAGACGACTGATCCCGTGGTCGAGAGACTCCTGCAGCCGCTGAAATAGGAGCCGGAGGAACTCCTCACGGTCGATCAGATGATCAGCAGCTGCAAGGTTAGCCTGCCGGTGCAAGAGAACGTTGGGACACGTTCCGTCAAGGCGACCTTTTCTGACTAGTCCTAGAAGGCATCGCTGTGTGCAGTACAGTCGCTCTTGTGAAGCTTCCCCGCGCGGCCCTCGGCCCAGAATGCGCTGGCTGCGCCGTGGGCCTTGGCTCTGACTACTCGACCGCGGCTCAGACGGTGTCGGGGTGTCCGGCATCGGAGGTGAGGACTCATCCGACGAAGGCTCGTCGTCCCGGTCCCTGAATACTGGCTGCACATCTGGACGGTCCTCTTCCTGCGCCCAGTGTTTGCGTCTTGTTCGAGGCACGCGCGGTGACCGGCTGATGCCTGCATAAGTCGTCGGCGCATACAGCGAGCCGGAGCTTGAGCTGCTCGGAGCGTATCGCTCGTCTCGGGGAATTGATCGCAATGTCGTCTCAAAGTCCTCTGCCCATCGCCTCAGCCCCAAGATCACACGCTGCCGCTCATCCTGCGCTCGAACATTGGGTGGGTTTCCTGAGGGGCCGAGAGCCATCAGGCTAAATGCCAGGTACTGGCCAACTGCGGTGCAAGCATGGTGTTCCCCCGATTGCGCTGCCACCTCAACAGCGGGCTCTGCTAGATGATACAAGAGTGTGCCGGGTTCTCGCCAGTCTAGTCGCAAGAATACAATGGTCTCGCCGGTAGTCAGCAACCCGTACTCGAGACCCCCCTCGATCATGTAGTTGTAGGTCTGCGTGATGGCCGCAGCGGTGAGCCTCTCGGCATGGTACTGGAATCGACCGTCGGGATCGGCCGCGGTAGGTATTGTTTTCCGATTGACCACGTCTTTGAAGACATCCATGGGATGCAGATTGACGCGCAGGTGTGGAGCGGTCAGTTGTGCCGTTTGCAAGTTCTATGAGCTTGCAGATGACCCCCACCTGGAAGTGCTTGGAGCCTACAGGTGATGTTCCTCGCCAGCGCCCTCGGGCCCTGCGAGTGAAGCCGTCTGCAAGAGCTTCGCGCCTGCAGTCGTGCCGTTTGCAAGTTCTATGAGCTTGCAGATGATCCCCACCTGGAAGCGCCTCGAGCCTACAGATGGACCCCAACTGGGAGTGCCTTCGTGCCAGCCGGTGAAGTTCCGTGCGGCTGCCCCTCGGGCAGCCAGCGAGCGGAAGCCGTTTGCAAGTGCCTCGAGCCTACAAACGATGCCACCTGGAAGTGCCTCGAGCCTACAAACGATGCCACCTGGAAGTGCCTCGAGCCTACAGCTGATGCCGTCTGCAAGTGCCTCGAGCCTAGAGATGATGCCATCTGGAAGTGCTTCGAGCCTACAGGTGATGGATTACTCCTTTCCCGCAGACGTCCTATCTCCTTAGGTTCCTGCGGGGGTCGCAGATGTCCAACACTGTGTACCGGCCAGCGAAGACGGCCTTTGCAACCTGTACGTGGTGCTGGCTACGAACCTGTTCTTCCTGACTGAGATCTTCGGTCCAGATTGAGCAGAGCCAATGCAGAGACGCGACTGTATATAGTTTATCCGTCGTAGAGATCATTATCTAGTTGCATGAACACATTCATCACTTGACATACATTGCATGAACAAATCCATACCGTCACGTAAACTGCAAATGAACCAAATATACACAGTGATAAATGATAAACAATAGTTCTCTTGCGTGAATGACCTACTCGGAATGTAGTCTTCTGCTGCTCAAGTTACGCTGAGCTGTCGTTGACACGCTTGCGTTCGCGCTAAGAAAACGAGCTTGCTTGCTCAGAATCAGCCAAGAAAGATCAAGATTGGGAAAAGGGAAACCGGACTTGCCCAAAATCTCATGTCTATGCGTCTCAACGATGAGCAGTGGTTCCGTGAAAGTCAGTCCGCACAATGGTATTACAGGTACTACATGAAATTGAAATCCTGCCCATTACATGTCCCGAAATGTACTTGCTTCTTCATACTTTCGTCAGTGGAACGGCACTTCCCGGGGTCCTGTTAAGCACGGGCAATCCGGTATTGTCGGCGACCGTTGTGTAGCACCGCGCAGTCACAAATCTTCTGACTGGTCAATAGTCAATAGACTGTGCAATTACATAATCTGCCAACATGGATTAAACATGCCAATGCCCATACGAGCTAGTCAGAAATAATTATTGCATTTGTATTGATACGTCGTAGTCAACTTTACGGCACCACATACGTTGCTGGGAAGGGATCTGCACAGTCGGTGGAAGTTGCATCAGCCACAATATTTGATCATTTATTGTGGTCTTCGCCTTTTTGACAACTTCTTCGATTAATGTATTGCTTCTTATCAAGAGCTAGCAGCCTTCGGTAAGCCTTCAGCTGAAGAGCTGCAATGGTCATGGCCATCCAGCTTCACCAACGCTACATCCTGTACTCAGTAATATAAACAGATCCCTCTCTACCATGAGATCTACCAGCAGTTGCCCTCTCGAATCATCTGCAAACTCAACTATGTCTTCCTCTCAGGGCCTCAACTGTAAGGTCACACCCTCATCTCCCCATTCATCTTTGACAACAACACTTCCGTTGGACGATGGGTTGCCTCCCTTGCATCCTCCGCCGGCAAGCTTGGAAGATATTGTTGACTGGTGGTACCCATACTATCAATCTTGCCAGAAATATTTATTGGTAATTGCACAACACACTAACCATGTGCAAGCCCTTGCTGCATCCGTAAACCTCCGGCTTCCTTTTCAGATTCTGCAACCGCCGAATGGCGACGATATATTGACCATCTACATCCGCCGATTAGTCGCAACCGGTTTAGATACTCCCAGCATCTTATACCTGTTTTTCGGAGACGACTGGCCTATGGGCATAGGTCATATTCATCAAGTCGAACGGAGAAATTATTTATGTGCTGCAAAAAGCGCGAGTTGGTTAGAGGTTAAATCATATTACGATGTGGGAGACGGGCAGAGCATCCCATATCTCCGACCGTTGCAGAACGCTACGGAAGAGGAAATCGTTGCCGCCGAATCGGCTTGGAGCGCATGGTTGGCAATGCAGGACTGGATGGTAGGACCCCGCTCACCTTAGGAGAAGGGCGCTATGGCAATAGGGACGGTGTCTAATATTATGAATCACAAGGGCGCGAGCGGGACAACGATAATATCCATGGTTGCCGGACCTCTAAATCAGTTTAATAGTTCAGAGTTTGGTCGCGCTGTGATTCAGCACCGATTCTTTCGGCTGTAACTGGGATGTTTGCCTGCTGCACGCTGGTGAGGGTGGAATAAATAGAGTTTCAAGCTATCGCTTGCCACGCAGTATTTCTCAATACCTCGGAAGTGCTCCAGCACAATGGCACTTAGCCGAGCTATTCTGTTGAATTCGGTATTCTCTGTGTCTTATCTGATTATACTCTCCATCTATATTTCTAGGGCGTCAGGATGAATTGGTGGAATGAAAAAAGAGGATGATGCTGGTTAGGCTGCTTATAGAGCCCAGCCTGACTTGGTTGAAATAAAATTGCACTTTGAACAGCTGAATACAACTTCATCGTACGAATCAATTCAATATACCAAAGTCCCCAAATTCGTAAAAGGCTGTGCTTTGCCTTTGAAGAATTAGACAGTCGCCAGAGCAAAGATTGCTGTTGCCTACCAGAGGCACGGGTAAACCTTCATCCCCCCGTCCCCCAAGCCGAACTACCCCAAACGCTAAACACTTTTCATTTCCTCAACCACCACAACTCCAATTAATGCGCTTTTTGGTGTGGATAGAAAGAAAGAAGCAAAGATACTCTCGGCGAAAGCCGACGCAAAAAAAAAAAAAGCGAGAAATCAATCGAGCGCGTCACGAAATTGGGACGTCAATCGGACCACATTCGAACCTTCGTTCCACTCATTCGGCGGTTGACTAACTTCCCACGCAAATTATCAACGACTTAGTCCTTTGCAAGAGAGATACCTCTGTGAATGGATCATCGAGGAAGTAGACGCTGAAAGGGCCCCGAGCAAGTACGAATTACTGGCGTACGCTGAATGTATCGGCCGCGCTGGCGGCGACTTCAATCCGATCGGCAAGAACTGGCCTGACGCGTTTCTGCGTAGAAATCCTTCAGTACGAAGGAGCTCCTGGTAGGCAGACCAAAGAGTGTTTATCAGGAAGATTGTTCGAGTGGATGCCACCCGACCACACAGGGTGCACTATTATAGTAGCTAGATAGGCTAATTCAGAGGAACAGCCTGTAAACGTAGCTAAACCCCATAGTTTGAGTGATGCCTAGTTAAAGTGTTGATTAGTGCACGGGACGTCGGATCGGTCAGGCCGCGTGGATCCAAGACTTCCCCTTTGAGTGCATCAGTGGATGGAGGTACCACATATCAACTGGGGACATCTCTCGGAAGCATTCCACTCTTACTACTTATTGTCACTGCATATCCCCTGGACAGGAACATTGGGTTATGCAGGAAACAGTGGATCAGCTTTTCGATACAGCGAGAGACTGGGGTTGTATGGTGGCACCAGGTCAGCTTAGTTATATAGGTTGTACCATTGATTTCAACCATGTGCGTCACTGACTTACAAAACTAGTGCTTGTCCTGGTCAAGGTTTCTCCGTAGCTGACAATTCCCTCAGCTGCTTTCAATCGGAAGCCTGATCCCCTGGCGCTTAATTGATCTTTACTGACCAATTGCACTCAAAGCAGAACCCCACCTCAGCGCTTGGCTGGGTTCCGGTAATAATCTACTTTGATGATAGAAGATCCGCTACTGGCGTTTCGCTACGGTAAAACCGAACAGAACTTGCAGGTATACTCTTATTCACGACGACACCGTCAGAAACATTCAAAAGCAGATGCAGAGTAAGAAGATTCTGCCAACATGTATCTCACAGTGGAGCAGCTTGAAGCAGCTGTAGATCATCAGGAAGAATGATGTGCTTGGCCATCGTATTGTGGATTTCATCTCCTCTGGACAATTGTCAGTATGCGGGAGCAGGCTGAGCAGTCTAGGCATGTCTCGCGGCCCCCGGCTTGTGGGGCTGTGGCTGGTCGCTGCATTAGCTAAACATTTTGAGGGCCTAGTGATTTTGTAATATAGCGTTAGTTGCCCTCTAGGGGAATAACCCATGTTTGATGCGTCACAAGTCTGGCGAACGAGCGAGCGAGAGGACCTGTGGTTTCTAGGCGTGAGAAGTAGCTAGTGTCACTTTCCAGGTGAAAGCACGATGAACGTGCATTTGGAAGTTTGGAGGGTTGATTGCACGTCAAATATTTTTCAATTTTTTTATTTTCTTTTCGGGTACTGTTCGTGAGTGCAGAGTAGTTCGCAGTAGGGCCACATTAGGCCGATTGATTATATCCTATCTCACCAACTTCGGCAACTAATTAGCGGAGCTATCCAAAGTTGCCTTTTGCCTCCTATTCCTGGGCCACTACATTTCGATCTGCAAGGGACGCAGCCGATGACGCGGGCAGGTAGAGAATGTACAGCGTTAATTGGTTGACTGACAAGGCACCTCAACGAACCATTTAGCTGATGTTGCTTAATTAGAAGAATATGGTTATAGAGGAATGTTCAGGGCAGTGATTGTATTTCCAGTAATGCAAAATACGCAGTTCGAGGGGCGAGTTGTTGAGATATATTTAATTTCGCAAGAAGCACGATGAGCATTTGAACATTCTGGTACCGAGCAACTCTTCAGGACTCATATTCCCTTGTTAGTGCGGGCACTACTCGTCACTGGTAGAGCCTCGATCCGAGCTCCCCACTTCCTAAGAGAGCTGCCTACATGACACGGGGCAGTTGAGAATGCAAGCTACAAGGGCCGGCACCAGAGCTTGGCGAGAGATTTTGCGCATTACATTGTCGTGTTTTAACCAATCGGTGACCAGCCGTACGAGATGTGGTTGATGCACATTCAAAACCTAATTTCCAACATGTAGTGATGAACCGTTTACATGTGTTTCATTGTGTTGGAAGAGGACGCATCCCATTCCTCGACTCTCATCGCCAGGCTTCCTCGGCAGGCTATTCCTGTCTGATTTCTTCCTGCTTTCTGCTGGAGTCCCATGCAGTAGACGAAATAATGGTAGCGACTTTTAGAGGCAGCCTCAGTGAACCGCAAGGACCTACATATATCATCCTGAAGTGTAACTCAATCTGGACAATTGAATGTACTGTACATTCAATTGTTCGGACAGAGTATGGTTTCGTTTCCGCAACCCAATTATTGAGGGCCGCAGTGGCTCTTTCAGTCCGCTCGCCAACACCGCCCCAATTGCCCAATTGAGTACACCAACCAAAAAAAATTTAAATTTTTTTTTTGCAATTATCCCAAAATTGATTATGCCTAATTCGCGAGACACTGCACGTACCTCAAGCACCTAGTACTGTATTTGACCTAGTGGTAGCCCAAATTCGGTTTCTGGGAGGGTCGTGTAGAGTACCGACATTCAAAAAGTGGCGTGGTGGGTCTGTATTCGTATCAGATCTCAAGGTTTTATATATATGGTTGGCGACGGAAGCCAGTCGCAAGCACCAATTCTTCCTCCGTCATCTTAACTGGATCTCAAACAGCATTGCGCATCTACACTGCATATTTTCGGCTCGACCTATTTAGGTATAGTGCTGATCACTATCGGTCGCGTCAGTGCTCGGAGTCGGGTAACCACTGCTCCAGGATACAGCAACAAACACCCTGTACGATATGCTCCTCTTCTGTACTCACGATCGAATATGGACTTGCTCGAAAGTGACCATGGGCGAAAGCATGATTTAAACGCAGGCCTATGTAGCCGCCCAAACCAATCGCGACAATCCATTTGTGACCGGACGAGAAGAAGCGCATCCAACTAATCGGACGAATGTACAATAACGGCGCGCAACGCCCTTAGTTTTCATGTCATGACGGGGCACGATTCTCACCCGTCTCTGGCATGTTAGAGGTACGGTCGCTGTCTTCCCCATTAAACCAGATCGGATCTATCGCATTTGAAACTGCTTCCACGACACTTGAATGCAGTGCCGGGAACATAAAGGAACTTCTTGTTTCGGTTTGACCTTCTTGCTACTGATGGACCTGCGAATCCCTTAGGTGCTGTTGCAACGCATCTTCGCTACTGAAGGATTCCTCGCAAGTATCGCATTCGAATGAGAGAGCGTGGGCAAGCGAATCCATTAGATGCTGTTGCAGCGCGTCTTCGTTGCTGAATGATCGGCCACAGGGCAAACAGCTTCAGGCCATCGTGTTTGGAGTGCCACGAATGTATCGGATGCAGAGATTCGATAGAGAAGGAGGCAAATTCTAAGACGGCAGCAACTGTCACATGAATTAATTGATCATGCACTTACCGCCGGACTCTGTAGCGTTAATGCAATACGCAGGTGTGTAGCATTATCGACCAATACATGAATGACACGGAGCAAGGCGAGTTATGATAAACCAAGTCAATGTCGCCAGCTGCAAGTGAACAATGCACCTAAAGCCGCAAAGATCAAAGAAACAAAGCAACGCTCGGGTAAGTCGACTGCTGTGTTGTATGCGCTGCAGTAAATGCAATTCTCCCCATTTAATTCCATGCAGCGATGCCTCTAGGGATGTTATGGAACAACAAATCCATTCTAGACATACTGCGACATAGTTTGTGCAATGGGCCGCCCAATTAATCACTTCACCTCTTGGCATGGAGCAATGCAACAACGAAGAAGCTCTATGGCTGCTTCTTGTTGACGTTACTGCCAAGATCGACACAGCCGCCTTGTGAACGATCTTTGGAGCCAGACATGCTTCTTGCAAACATTCCAACGGACCGTGCCGCGGTCATTGTTTTAAATTGGTGTGACACCCCCATCGTAATTAGTACCCAATCGGGGATGCACAATAGGCGAAGATTAGTACTACTGTACGCTATAACCAGCTTTAGCGTCCGGCTAGAGCCGAGCTAGCGCAGGAGCCAATGAAAAAGTACTAAGGACCAATCTAAGATACTCAGCACGCATGTAGCCGGATCTAGCAACTTGACGTGAGTGGGTTACAACCGAGATTGATTAACGCTTTATACTCAGATACTCATGATTGGATGGATCTAATTATGACCTGCAGCGTGACAAGTGGCCGAGCGATGAAGAATTGTCCGCAACATGTTCCTACTACAACACTTTCCCAGCGCGGCTCTTTTACGAATGTTCTTGGTGCGTGAGTATGTCCTGCGTAAGATTCATATGAGTATAGTGTTGATGGACACATAGCAGATCTTATCATTTACAGTAGATACAGATATGGGGGGAGTGTCCATGCGACGAGGTTCGGACACGATGCCATACGCCGAGCGGGTCAAGTGAACCAAGCTGGCCGGACTGATTTACCGACTTGTCTGCATTGCCCAGTCCCGTCAGCTATCCGCTCGATGGCCACTGTCAATTCTGACCTAGTGAGCAGGGTATTTTCTGCGTGTGGTTTCGTGCTTCGACCTGTTGACGCAGTCCGGAAACCGTCAAGTCGGCCATTTGTGATCGACACATTCTTTGGAAAACTTGTCTTAGACCCAACCATTAATCATATCCCAACTAAGGCGCTGTTGCCAATCAGTCGAACTTGAATTCGTAAAACAGTCAAAAAAAATGTAAATCTAAAGCGAGAAGCACGTCAAATGATAATAATGAGCTTGACGGGCGGCGTAATAGGTGTGAACTGGATGTTGGACTGCTGTACTTAGTCGACCTTTAAACGCAGATGAATCTTGGTTATGCAGCCAAGACCAAGCTGAGACTGCGAAGCCCGGGGAAATGTCTTGTTCTGTGGGTAACACACATTGGCATGATGTGAATGGCGATTTGAATGGCTAATCGTGACAGTCTATCTTGCACACCGAGGTCTAATAGCGCTTGTCCGCTCAGCCGTTACATTGTTGGCTCCGCGAACGGTGTACGTCCAAGAAAAGCCATGTCTTGGTATCCTCAAGTGCTACAACAGAACACCTCTCATCGTAATCCTGTATCACGTCGCTAACTGCAACCAAAACGGTCGATATAGTGGCCAAGACGGATGGAGTCGTGAGTCGTTGAAGTGCTTACGAGAACATTGCCGCGAATCTTCCGCACTCGAAGTTTATTATCCGCATCCTAATTCAGGTCATATATTGGTGCGATTCTTAACTTAGCGCCTTAATAAACACAAGCTGTCTACGTTAGAAGGAATCCAATTGCTTAAGAATTGTACCTCATACTATCACAGACCAAGCTTCCGCTTTTGGGTTGTTTTCTTCGTACGCCAGACAGCTTAAACTGTCACCTACAAGGCCTGAGTCATACAAACAAGCTTACTCGTGAATCCCGCATCTTATACGATGCGGAATATCTGCGGTGCCCAGGTAGTGGGGTCATGTCGCAATGCCGAGTAGGCGAGCTGCCGGCCGTAAACCCCCACCCAGTCAATTTTCCTCATACGCAACCACATAGTATGCACGACTACACGTCGCTGTGGATGATTCCAAGTCCACTTGAAATCAAACATACGCAGGTCTTCTCTCTATTGAAATAAATACATTGTTTGAATACCATAAGCGCTGCATTGACATTTCGACCAACTATTGCAGAGCAAAAAGTTTGAAACAATCAAACGCTTCGGTTGCGTACACATCTGACCATAACTACTTGGAATTTAGACTATCAATGCAAATGCCTGTATCCTCTTCTATACAGATCTCGCTAAATGACATTAGAATTTGAATCCATAATCTTCACTTTCCGGTGTGCATAACGTGACCTAAACCGAGATAACCAACCTTCACTCCATCTAGGCATCGGCAAGTCTTGGTAACATCCGAGTGCGTTCCAGAGCTCGGTCCCGCGCTCACGAAGCATTGCGCCAGTAATAGGGCCAATACCGGCCACGCATTCATGCCAATATGCCCATTTGATGAGTTCTTCTTCCAGAGACTCCCATTTGGGTGGGCGCTGTCGCTTGCGGTGGCTGCCTTGGCAGTACGCACGGTCCAAGGAGACGTTATCCAACGGGTCGTACTTGTAGCTCAGGATCTCACTCACGGTACTTGAGTTGAGGTAATAGCCATACATACGTTCCCACCAAAGGGAAGCATCAGTGTGTGTTTTTGCGGGCTTTTCTACGGCAGATTCGAAATACCAATCTCGAAGTGCACGACGTTGTGTATTGGTAATAGCCCTTCGCTTCACCATTCTGATATGGTAATTATGTAGGTTAGGCTGTCTTTTATGTAGTTGCGACGTTAACCTGTGATAAGTTGCAAAGAACACAGTAGTGGGGTACCACTGTTCTCAAGTCGCTGATCACTGTCTTTTATATCCCAATCGTCACACTGAGCCTTGTTGCCATATCTACTAGTCTCAATCGGAAATCATTGAGGAGTCACCAAAGGCATCAGTGGTGTCAAACATGGTGGCAGCCAGGACAGAATTAAACTAGAATTTGGCGAGCTGAACGCTGTATTGCACCCGCCTTTCGAACTGGACTGGGTCGCTACGATCGAAGATGCTACCCCTGGTGCAATGCGTAGTGGGCACTTTGCCTGCGCCAATCCTTGTTCCATGCATTCCTTACGATCGGGTTCCTAAAAAATCGGTTTGTACTGGCTGACAAAACTCCCGACCCGCACTAGCCAGGACATCTCAATATGGAGCGATTGGCTTATAAGCTGAAATGGTTGACCACTTGAAATTCAAAGCTGACTGCTCTTTTCCTGGCGCCAAGGCGCGATACGTTCTAAACCCTGCCTTTTTTTCCATTTTCTTTCGTACAGGTGCGTGTGGACGTACAGCTGCTTTTGATGCGGCCAGTCTCTCCACCCCCCCTCCCCCCCCTTTTTTTTCTTTTATTAGTAGTAGTAAGTACTTCGCAAGGAAAAGGTGTCTACGACTGCACTTAAGTTCCTCTTGGTAGTCTGCTTGATTGCGGGTATGTCATTGTTGGCCTTTCATCTGTAGGTGTGCGGTCCACGAAATCCTCTAGCGACGCAGCTCAATAACCGCCACTGTTAGTGCGGGTAACAAACAGCGGCGCATTGTCGTTACTAGCAGTGGATCAAGATATGATTTTAATAATATCCGCGAAGATTTGTTTTCTTGGATCAGTTATTTGTTCCTTCGTCACTCCGTTCAAGGAATGTTGCCTTCCTTTCGATGCGCGGTTGTTCGTGTCTCTATGCAAGTGTACCTTCTCCCTCTCGGTCGCTGTGCAGATCCGTTGGGGGCCGTCTCCGCCTTGCGCGTGTGCTCTCACACAAACAGCCCTCCCTCCTGGGTCGGACAAACAATGTTGGCGTATTTATGAATGACAGTCTGGGAGCGACTTCGTCGCTCCCTTAGGGTCTCTATTGGTTGCGATCACTTCCACTTCGCTCCAGCAATGGACCTTGCCCAATTATACCTGCCTTCCATAACTCTGACCATCTTTTTATCAACTAGTGGTTGCAGGCGATGACGATGTCTGTATTCGCTCTTCCCATTCGAGCTTGGTATTTACACTACTCTTCTATCCAATTAACTATGGTCCTGCGGTTGTGATAATCACCGTCGACTTCGTCTCCGGCAGGAAACTCATCCCTAGCCAGGTGTCCACAACTTCATTTCACTTTCATTATATTCCATATGTTGGGTTACAGTATTTCATGTTAATCCTCGGCTCATTCCACATCACACATGCGAGACTCGCCTCCTAAACGGCCTTTGGCCACTCTCCACTCTTTCCATCAGAGAAAACGTGGAAAACGATGCCACGATGCCATGTCGTCCCTCTATTGCTATCTGGTTCAAATTCCAGCTGAACGGTCCGCCCGTCTCCCCCTGTAGATCAAATACCTCTTGTTCTGTCAACGAGAACAAATAAAGCAAGTCCGTAAACATAACAAAGGTCCCTTTCAAATGACCATAGCCAGCATCAGCAAAGCACCCGTTCCATAAATCTCCTGCCAGGTCGCGCGGGACCACGATCAAAACAGCCTGACACTCGAACTCCGCCCCCTCATGGGTTTCATGCCACTCTATTGCACCTCCCAGCACGCGTGCGTCGCCTTTCATCAGCTCTCTCACCTTTTCGCACACAGCCGTCCATCCTGCCCGGTATCTTACCTTGAAAAAGAAGGCCAGATATTGTCCAGACAACGCCCAATGACTCCGCTTGAAACAATTGCTATCACCTCCTGGTTTCAACATGACACCAATGCCACGACAAGTCAACCCATCAAGCCAGGCCTGAAATCGTGCTGCATCCTGCACAAGTACAGCAGTCTCCATATTTGGTCGAAGGGCCCGCCTAGCCGTACGTTCAATCCCCCGTGGTTGTTCGTCTCTCCCGTTCCGTGTTTGTTGTCTTTTCACTAAGAGGTTGTACCTGTCTGTTTGCCGGTGAGATAGTGTCTTTGTGTCGCTGCTGGCTCCTTAGTCTGATCGAATCGTGTCAAATCATCAACAAGACTTTTCGTGCTTGACAATGTGAATTTCAATCTACAAGTAAACGACAACGGTCCGATTGCTAGCAGCAGAAATAAGGGGTCTCCACCCCTTTCAATGTATCCTCTGGTCCGGGGTGCCGTGTCAACTGGTGTTCCTTAGCGTCACTGTGTGGCCAATCAATATTTTAGACTGTCTGCACACCTATACAGGATTAATTCTGGCGCTACCTAAATAGACACTTATGTCTCGTCCAAGGTTTTGCACTTTGTTGCGCTGGAAAGGTACCACGACAGAATATTCGTGTACTCGCGGCATGAAACAGAGCTTCAAACCGATAGTACTGATTCCAGACCTTTTCACAATATCTAGATTTGAGTTCGTTGGCTATTATGGACACTTGGTATCAATTGCCTGAACAAGTTAGCTCATCTTGTTTACCGCTCCAAATGGTTTCGATCCAAAAATGGCTCTCGAGAGAATAAATTCTTGCCCTCAATGCGGAAGCCATTTTCGTTACTGACGATCACAACAGACAGTGAAGGAAACCGGGAGTTAGGCGTAGAAGGAGAAAATGATGCACAAAGGACATCCCAAACATATACTAACCCAGCAGGTCGCGCTTCAGCCGCCGAGGATAGGACTCTGAACACTTGGAGAAGTCAACCTCAAGCTGATCTGCCATGCACTAACAACTAACAGTATCATACAGGGATGTCGAGGACAATAAGTGGTTTTGGATGATTGATTATAGTCTTGCAGTATGGGCTCGAATCGGAGTCAAGACGGACACATGAGAAGCGTTTTTGTAGCATAGCGTTAGTTGCCCTCTAGGGGAATGACCCGGGCGTAATAAACATGTGTGTGTGTGTGTTTGTGTGTGTATTCTGACAGAGGCATACCAACAAGCTTGACGGGATGGATCGATGCCTTTTGCTCTGACCGTACTGCCACGATCGAGATTAACGGCCGTACATCCGCGAGCCACGGTCTGCCACAAGCAGGATCACCGCAGGGCTCACCGCTCTCGCCAGTTCTGTTCCTGTTCTTCAATGCAGACCTAGTGCAGCATCCTATCAACGAGGCAGGTGGATCCGTCGCATTCGTTGATGACTACACAGCGTGGGTAGCAGGACCGACGGCTCAAGCGAACGAGGTGGGCATACGAGCCATCATCGACAGAGCTCTCGACTGGGAAAGTCGCAGTGGTGCCACATTCGAAGCAGAGAAGACTGCCATCATCCATTTCAGTCGAAAAGCGGCCAGAGTGACCAAGAATCACTTTCTAATCAAGGGCGAGCGTGTGTTCCCACAAGACAAGGTCAAGATCCTGGGTGTCACGATGGACTCGCAACTACGGTATAGACAGCACGTGGCTCGAGTCTCGAGCAAAGCGCTGGAGGCTGCCATCGAGCTTAGACGGCTGAAGGGTCTGCCACCGGCGACCGCCCGGCAGCTATTTATAGCCATGGTAGCCCCTATTCTGGATTACGCATCGAACGTATGGAGATACGCCTGTGGTGATCGGCTAATGCACGTTGTCAACAGAGTACAGAGAGTGGGCGCGCAAGCAATTGTGGGCTCGTTTAGCAAGGTAGCCACGGCAGTCGGCGAGGCCGAGGCACATATCTTGCCAGCTCGAAGCCGCTTCGCTAAACGGGCAATCAAGCTCTGGGTCGACGTTCATACACTGCCGAGCAGTAACCCGCTTCGTACGGCAGGATTTCGGATGTTTACGCGGTTCATCTCGCCGATGTAGCAACTTGCTGAAGACATGAAGAATGTGCCGATAAGCAGGTTGGAAACGATCGACGCCTACGCAGTGGAGCCGTGGAATGAACGGGTCGAGGTCGTTACGGGAGGAAGCGACAGAGCAGCTGAGCTAGTTGGCGCACGATGGGCTATCTGGATCGCCACCGCCAGCTCGGGCAAGAACGGCCTGGTCGGATTTGGAGTGGCTACACGACTCCCAGAGTCTAGCTCGGCAAAGAACAAGTGTACGCTATAGTCGGTTACCCTTGGGACGAGAGAAGAGCAAAATCCGTACACGGCGGAACTGGCGGCAATGACACGGGGACTGCGAAAGGTGCCGCAATACTTCAGGCAACGGGTAATTGTGGTATTTACGAGCAACAATGGTGCTGCTCTGAGTATGAAGCGGCCGCGGCATCAGTCGGGCCAGAAAGAGATCGCAGACTTTTACGCATCTATGGCCCAGCTTCGAAAACAGAGAAAAAAGATCGTGATTGTTCAGCGGGCACAGGAACAGACAGAGAATCAAGAAGATAAAGATGTTGACAATAATACCAGCCATGACGGCCACCAAAACAGTTTCGCCCTAGCGCGGCTAGCGAAAGAAGCTGCACGAAAAGCGACTCTTCCAGGCAGTTCGCCCCGTGCACCGCCATTTCGGGCCAAGTCGACCACACTGAACAACGCCAGAAAGACACAAAGCAGACCAGAAGCACTGCCATACAACATCGGTGCGTTCTCCAAGCGGATTGACACAGCATTGCCAGGGAGACATACCCGACTATTGTATAACGCACTGTCATGGAAGGAGGCTAGCGTTCTGGTCCAGTTACGGACAGGAATGGCCAGGCTCAACTATTACCTGGCCCAGATTGGCGCGGTCGCATCGCCAGAATGTGATTGCGGACAGGCGAAAGAGACGGTAGAGCATTTCGTTCTGCATTGTAGAAAATGGACAAGTTATCGCAAAGACCTACTTGACTATACACAAAACGGAGGGGAAGTATTTCGTTTCTTTTAGGCGGAAAGACGCATAGCGATGATGAGAAATGGACGCCAGACGTGGCAGCAGTTCGAGCTACGATCAAGTTTGCCATGGCGACGGGGCGATTACAATCGACAGTGAGGGAAGCGAGCAGTTCAACACGATAGAAACAAAATCATGTACAACAGTGGAGACATCTCTAAAACATACTAACCCAGCAGGTCGCGCTTCAGTCGCCGAGGATAGGACTCTGAACACTTGGAGGAGTCAACTTCAAGCAGAAATGCTGTATACTAACTACTAACAGTATCATATAGGGATGTCATGAAAGAGAAATGTATTGAGACGGAAGCGGATTAGTCCCTGAGCATGGGCTCAAGTCGGAGTTAGGACGGAAACTTCAGAAGCGATTTTGTACTATAAAGTTAGTTGCCCTCTAGGGGAATAGCCCGGGCGTAATAAACTTGTGTGTGTGTGTGTGTGTGTATTCTGACATAAAAGATTTGGTGGCCCGGCCGATAACTGCTCCCACTGATCATTTGCCTCTGTAGTTTTCAGCTGGTTGTTTTTAGCAGGGTACATTGCCTTACCATCCACGAGTCGTTCCGAAGTCCTCAATAGCGCGATTTGAGGCAATGAGCTTGCCCTAAAAGAAGAATCCCCCTCTACTGGTCACTGCTCCTTTTATGTTCATCATTTCCACAGCAGCCTTGATGCGGTTGATCTGGAGGCGTAGTTATATTGGACTCCCAACCGTATCATTATGTGAGCAGAACACACTAGAGGGTAGGAAGCCGTGCTGTTAAGCAATAACTGCATGCTTTTGGTCCACTCCTTGCAAATTCGCTGTTAGGTTTCAGCAACACGCTGCTCAATGTGTACACTGCGCAGGGCGGCGCAGGTCTGTCATCGCCTATTGCCGCTACGAGGGCGGAAAGCTTGTGCTTAATTGCTTCCTAAGTTGGATATACCATCCACAGTTTGTGGTTTATGAAGCCTATGAGGCAAGAACAAGCCGAAGTAGTGAGATAACTTATGGTGGCACAAGCCGCATAGAACTGCTGACGAAGATACTGAGATTTCAAGATTGTAGTAGTTGTTTTTGTTTAGGATCTTTCCAGAGGCACGAAGAGGGTGTTTTGAAATGAACCAGGTTGTCCCTAGACGTAAGATATAGGAAGAGAAGATGGGATAGCGGCTAACTTTTTCGTAGCAGGTAGCCAAAGCTCAAGGATACGTGCTAACAGAAAGAACAGGTGCTGATCTCCCTCGTTTGTTCGAGTCTGTCACATAGTGACAGCCTTCAAAAGTCATGCCGAGCCTGATAATTGCCTCTCATTGAGAGCTGTATTCGAATAGTGTCGCACTGGATTGTTCATTATTCTAACAACGCTACAACGTAGTGAAACATTAGATCATGACATTCGACTTCATGTATCGGTAGTTCTATGCTCTTGAAGGTATATCTCACAAAAGAACAAATTCCCTTTGTGTTCTAAACCTTCTATCGAGCCCATTTTCCCTCATCATCCCGACACATCTCTGCAAACCATGAAATACGGCGTGATCCTTACTTCGACAGAAACCGTACTTCCTCTTAGCAGAACATTCGAAACAAGCAACCTGTTTGTCAGAGTTAGAGCTAGAATGATGATTGGAAGACAATGACCATGACTAACGCATCTGCAGCTAACATAGGTAATAGCTAGATGAGTACCCATCTGTGTGTTACACAGGCTGCATTCGACCGCATCTTTCCTATGGCCGTCCATCATGAGCGCTTGAATCTCGTGAAAGACTTGAGAAGTTATATCACGTATGTCTTGTCGGCATTGCCATAAAACTCGATTCAAGCTTGGCAGGACATGGTCTGTTTCGTCGTGAAGACGTTTGGTCGCCTCAAACGGGTGGTTGTTGTGTGGCAAGTCCTGAGAATGTGATCTCTGAGACGAAGTAAATTGTATGAGAAAGTAATTCCGCATACAGGCTGCTATCTGCGCGACTCCAACGTTCGTGTCCATGGTTGAGCTTCGTCTCTGTGTATACTGTGGTGGCAGGAACAAGAAAGATTGTATCGCGGTACTCCCTTGAGTTATACCAGCGTATATATAGGTGTATCATTCACAATCGAAAAGCCTAAATCAGATGCCAAGAGTCAATGTATCGTGGGCTAGTGCAAACAACTTTGTTGTCAGGCATAGATAGAGGACGGTGAACCTCACGCTATCCGCCCTTGGAGATAAAAGTAAAATAAAAAAAATGGGTCTTCCCACGAGCCGTTTCTGGAATCTTTGTCACCATGTGAGTTATATTGCAGCACCAAACAAAGTATGCTTTACCAGAGTTTATGCTCAAGTACCATGCTTCGCTGAGCCGAAAGCGTACTGTGATAGGGTGTTCCTTAGCGCCCCATCTGAACAAACTTCGGTGATGGGACAATCATTTTGCTCTTTTGGAAATCCCAATAAAGACGTCACCGAATAGAGAGAACTGATTTTGACCACCTAATCCGGGCTGCTTGGCTTTATCAATTTAATAACCGTCGATACAGGAAATCTGTATCTGCTTGCATTGTCCAGTAACTGACCCAGTTCTTCCGTCTCGAATCAATTCAGGTACCCACCTAAAACAACTAGGGGCCAGATTGGAACCAGGTCACAACCAGGGATTGACAACCAAGCATCCGTTCAACTTGAAATAAGTCATCTCCCCCTCTCTCATATCGTGCCAACCCAGTACTCTATCGCCTGGACGATACCATTGCCTGTGTATTACTGTTCACTCAACCACTCAACCACTCTTCCACTTATTTAAAGGGATGCCCATGATTCGATTCTCAGCCTCAGATTGAACAGGAGGGGACACAGTTGTTCAGGCCAACCCTCATTTGACCGTAGCAGGTCCCCAACATAGCTGTTTGGGTTGCACACCGAGCAAGGTTATCCTAAATTCATCCACTGTTGGATTTGTTCACCGGTGGTAAAGTGTCAAGACTTGGAGACAGTGTTCTTTTACCAAGGAAGGAGGACGTAGCTCGCTCAAGCGGAAGTGTAGAAGGAGCAGGCGACGCAAGTATCACCGCCTAAGATGTCACCCAAATTAGAGCGTGCAAAGGAAGTCATCGAGCTGCAATTCAGTCACGAAATCTTACTTAAACACCGAGAGCATCGTCTTGTTAGTCAAGAACTGGCAAAATGCCAGGTCGCTTTGGAGCAACTGCGCCGATGCCACTTGATCCCATACCTCGTTAACGTCCCAACGCCAGAACGAATGTTGAATGTCACTAACGGGCAAGGGCCGGCGCTCCAAGCGAATATGAGTGTCCAAGTACCTCAGTGGGCGCCAGCTTTTGGTGTTGTCGATGGGCCGTATGCTCGACATCTCGCCAAGTGGCTCATTCCTGACCCCAAGTTTGACGGTATCCCGGCACCGACTCTAGTGCAACCTGAAAATACGCGAACCTGGAATTCAGTTGATGCTCGTCTCGGTAGGAACAGTACCGACAAGGCAGGAGTCGCCCGGAACAGGGGCCGAAGGACTCGTGGATTAGCTGGCCAGAAACTCCAAGCGCTACCTTATGACTACTCGCAACCCAGGGGCAAGGCTGGGCCCTGTATCTTGAAACGTACTTCCGATGGCAAGATAATCAAGTTAGTTTGCGTCACATGTCACAGGGAGGACTTTTCGAGTACTTAAGGATTTATCAACCATTGCCGCATAGCACACAAAAACGAGTACAGGAGCCATGAGGAAGCAGCGATTGCCTGTGGTCATTCTATTAACCGCGACAAAGCTGGCGGTATAGCAGGTGTGCAGCCATCCGTGGTTCATCCAGCGCCCATCCCGACTGGGCCAGCCCATATTTTCGCTCATGGGGACGCGATGACCTATTTAAATGCATGCTTCTCTGTTACCAAGCGCATTGACGATTTGCTGGAGTCGGTGAGAATTGTCAACCCTGTATACTCGGCTACGATCTAGCAACCACTTACAAGCTTTAAGTCCTTATCGGACGCTCCCAACTTGGCTGAATTGGCCAAGAAGAAGGGCCTCGACATTAACATTACTGAATTGGTGCGTGAAGCTAAGACCAAAGTCGAGTGGGATTTTCTTTTGTCTTTAGACGACAAGATGGATGATAGGAAGGATGACTTCCCAGATGGCGAGATTGACCCTGTTGATTAAGCTTCGGTATTGTCTAGTGACCCATGAGGCAAACGAAGGTTCGAGTCGAGGAGTCGTGATTCTTGTAGGCCTGAGGAGAACCAGTGATGTCTCTTGGGCTAGACAGCTAATAGCTGCTGCTCTACATCGGTGGGCGCGCCCCGGGGTTGCTTATTTAACTCCTCTATGGTGATAATATGGTGATGATCAGGCATAATATGACTAGGCCAGAAATGGATAAGCTTGGGCCCTAATAACAAAGCCAACAATGAACCTTTAATCTCAAAATTAAAGCCAGTCTCATAGAGTGTATTCATTCGTTATTTCAATTAAAGATTGCTCGCAGCAATGGCTCTGCTCAGTTCGGGCCGAAAATTATGAGCCGAGACGAGTGGGTTTGCACTATCGCAGTATCGCACCTTCGCAGAATCGCAGAATCGCACCTTCGCAGAATCGTACCTTCGCGCACCTTCGTACCTTCGCGCACCTTCGCACTTTCCGTAACTTCTTTCGCAACTTCGCGCTTTCGCAACTTTCGCACCTACCTATTTAGCAACATGCATTGTAAATTTCTTCAAAGCGCCTGGCCTCGATTATGGTCAATACACAGGCGAAGACATTCGTGAAGCGTATCATTATGCATCGCTTCAATGCCACCCCATTAGACGGCTAAACGGAGCCAAGGATCGGTAGCCAACACAGCACCATGTGGAAGAATCCAAGTTGTTTCTTCTAGGCGAGCGACCTAAAAGGTATACCGCGGGAATCCGAGAACGTTGTCTCTCCAAAAGCGCGGCCCCGATGCTTACATTACACCACAATGCCCATTCTACGTTTGTATAGTTATGGAGCAGTCTGGATTGTTCCTGCATCGCGATAAGGTCCTATGGTCAAGAAGATCACGGCGCTTGTACATTATGTTGTAAAACCTCCGGAGATGGACATTTCTTATCCAAGTACCCGGATAATGTGTACGTTACGCTGCCGTGCAGTTGACTACAGGGTTTCGCAACTATAAACTCTTTGAACTACTCTAAAATTCTGCATGAAATCAATCCGAAGCCCTTCTAAATCTGTACATCCTTAGGCTCGCCTTGCGCTCGTGGATAATCATCAACCGCCAATGTTGCTCAACGGCGCTTGGGGTCCGGTTCAAGCGTGTCGCAATCTCAGACCAGTCCTACTTTTCTCGGACCCAAGCTTTCAGACGCTGTTCATCATGGCTAGTCCAAGCCTTCCGGGGCCGGCGAAGCGCGCCGTGTCCAGTTGAGTCCCGTATTGATGCACGTATACGATTGTGTCCAACCTTGCGGCTTAGAGGGCTCTGTTCATTCAGGTGACAGGACCCATGACTGAAGACAGAGATACCGTCAGTTGTCGGTCCGACGTTCCAGGAATCCACTGATCGTCCCGTGACTCCTGAAGCCTCTGTCCCCATTTCTCCATCTTCCGAAATCTTCATGCCCATAGCATAGTCTCGGAGGGCCCAAAGACTTACTTTTAACATGGCTGCGGTTTTCTGGCGGCTGGATGAGATAGCATGACCACTTAGGAGAGACTCCCATGGAATTTCGTCCTGGCAAGAAAACTGCAATACCTTTTCAATGTGCTGCAGCAATGTTCTCTTGTCGAAATTGCAGACCGAACAGCATCCTGACGGGAATGGTGCCGATCCTGGATTGCGGGCCAAGCTTGAGCGGCGTGAAACTCCAACCTCATGCTCAGGGCCAATTGTTTGGTTTGTTAAGCCATATGGGCTTGAATCGAACGGTAACCGATTGCGATGTGCTTTGGAGTCATTGTGAAGTGTGCCATCCCTCAGGCTTTCCCAGCCCGTCGCGGAGCCACTAGTTTCATTTCGAGCGGTGGCTGCAGGATTCGACATCTCTGACATGCTCCCCGATAAGCGGCAATTGGTATCAGCAAAGTCTTGACGACGAGGCGGTCTGGGTTTGTGTACAGAGATAGGGCTGGCCGATGCTGGCGATTCGTCACGAGTACTTGTTGCCATGCTGATCGTATCTTCATTCGGAGAGGCTTTTTGATTGCTCTGGGAGCTGGTAGCACTATTTTTGTCGTCTTTTGGAAGAATCCATTCGAAAAAGAAAGGCGGAGTGATCTTGCTCTGAGCGTTTGAACGAGTATGGTCTGATAGGTCTTGTCCATTGTTAGCAAGTAGCACTATTACATGACGCCAGACGAACACCACTTACTTCTGTCGATAGCGTTAAAGGATGAGCATTCTGAACGTGCTTCTTCTGGGCGAAGTGCCTGGATTTGGCGATCCAACTTCTCTGTCGTTGTCTGATTAGGAGTTTCGGGCCGCTCGGATACGTCATCTGTTATGTTCCTCTTCTAAGACGTGCCTTGGCTACTAATCATCGTGACGCCTAGAAGCTGGTGAGTACATATATACCAACGTACCCGAGAGTTATAAACCGTATTCTTCGATTTAATGATGATTTAAGTCTGATCTAGATAACTACACAATATTGAACTGCATGGAAAAATGATGCCTCTCTAGCTTAAAAAATGAAGGAAGATGGGAAGATAGGAAATGAAACGGACTAAAACATTGCTAGACGCTATCCTGATATACTAAACCTTTTATTTCTTTTTAGAATTGACATATCCACGTGACCACTAAGCCCGGAGACCTCAATTAATGGGCATAGTATTGTACTATACTGTACTAATTCTACAGTTTGCATACTCGTAGTATAGTATAGTGCTTTAAGTGTCTCTAGCGACCCTAAAGGTCCTAACCACAAAACCCACTTAGGCGGGATACTGTTTCCTTTATTGGTGATACCATAGCGGTAATTAAGAGTTCCAAATGGCGCTTATAGCAAAGACAGTAAGCCTTTATTAACCGATTTACATTTGTTAGTATTGCCACTGGATTTGCTTTACATAGATCTGTTTGGCGGAGAGAGATTATTAGTGCTAATTGTACTTACTAGCATGAAATGAGTAACAGGCCAAGCATAACGACACTGACGTTTAGTGCTGTTGTAGACCATGTCTTCCAGCTTTTCACACCACTAATCGCCGCCGTCGATGCGGGGTCAGATATCGAAACGTAATTGTCGCCATTAACAGCCCCTCCACATGCAGTTTGAATAAAAGATATAGACACATCCTTTTGACATAAACCTTGTCTAACTTGGAGCGTTTTAATTGAGCTCCGTTTGATGACTTGGTGCGTGGTTCCGTTTCTCGTAGTTTTGTAATCATTAGGTGCTAGCTGGACTGATGGCTTTGCTGTTGGTGGCCTAAGCTCCTCCATTTGTGAGTACGAAATGTGATCGCAATACCCGATTTGGGAACAACTGGGAGAGTATGCCACGCGCAGCTTTTGGGTGCGCTTCATCAAGCTTTCAGAGCTGGATGGGTTAGTCAGAATCTGGATGTCACATTGCGCATCGCTGCGACGAATCTTGCATGCTTTCAGATGTGTTCATGGGGCACCATTTCGCACTAGCTCTTTATGATGGAGAAAGTCCCGAAGCAGCTTCTGTGGCGCTAGTCTCGTCAACTGGCGTGGAAGCAATTCTTCTGACCGTTTGTAGACTGTACGGAGACCAGAAATACACTTCAGGTATTATTCTGACATGGATGGCCTGGTGGATGTCTGTGAGAAGAGTCATTCTGCTTCGTACTGATCGTTCTACCATTTGGTCAACAGAAATTCAATCACTCGATGTTGTCGGCTGCTCTGGAACATATATTCATCAATTGAGCCAGTTCACAGGGTTCTTAACCTTGGAACACATCATCCTCCAGGTGTGGCTTGCCTTTAAACAATGACTTACTCTAAGATTTCAGAAATGAATCACGCTGAGAATGTCGTCGCCAACCAAGGTCTTCCTGCCGTCCATACAGAAACCTCTTACGCCGTCATGAAAGGCTGTTAATCCTATATAGAACAGCTAGAAGCTTTCGCGACAGCAGTCGTCCAAGAAAACAATCGGCTACAAAAACAAGTTGTCCATCTGTCGAAAGAACTCCAATTTGCGACAAAATCCTGTATGTTGCAGGCTCAAGTCGTGCACACACAACAGAAACTCATTAACATCTGGGAGAGCCGAAGGCTCAGGTCAGAGAAGTGGAATGTGCGTTCTTCAAAGAAGAGGACAGGGCTACGGTCTGAGTGCAACTCGATACCGCCTGTACACCGGGAAAAAGAGGCTGCCAGTTCATTGATGCTACTGGCAGACTTGGCCGAACAGGAGAGACGCATAAAGGGCATCAACAGCGAACACCTATAAGGAGAGGACGATTAAGAGTTTTAAATGTAGGCTAAAGAAGCGGTGCCCTATTGTTAACATTACCATTATGTTAACGTCTACTCCAAAGATTTCTCGATCTTTACCGCTATAGTTCATATAAAATAGAAAATAAGAGCTCTTATAGACAATTCATGGAATGGCCTCTTTCTCCTAAGCAGGATTGGCTGTGTTTATATGGTCACTACAGTCTCTGACCGTGGCCATGAGTCCTTCCACACGATAGTGCAACACAGACAACATTGGCGTGATCTGTTTGATGAGTCCTCTGAAATAGGCAGTTTCTTGTCGTAGTCTCCCAATCTCTCGTTGAAGTTCCACAGCGCGATACTCTAGACTGATCGGAGCTTTTGTAGATCGTACATAGTCTGGGGATGTGTCATAAGTAGTAGTCATGCCGCCAAGACTATGGATCTCGATATCGACGAGCGTGGGAATGATCGGCACCTAGGACGATTGAGCCTTCTGCTAGACGGCCATGGTGTTCTATCAAAATAGTGTGTCTTTTTCTAATGATATAAAACAATTAGAGACTTGGATGACACGGGAGGCTACTATATGAGTTATCTAGGCCTTGAGACTATGGAGAGCTTGAGCTATCATGTGTTTACATTTGAGGCCCAGAGAGACTTATTGTAGAAATAGGCTTTATATACGAGGATCTATCATGTATCGATGGCTATTTCTGGACTTCTAAGAGTAGCATAAATCAGCATTGGAAATGCGAGCATCCGCAAAGGCACAAAAGGATGCTTAAGTCGGACCTGTAAATAGACTTGTCCGATTTGAGAAGCTATTACAATGATCCCATTATGGACTGGGTGTATCTGACCTCAAAAAGATCAAAGCACATCGGAAGACTTGCTATCATCTTCTCTTTCTTTCTACATTCTTTGATTCATCACCTACAGCCCATCATGGCTGTCGCTTAATGGAATAAAAGATTCGACACCATACCAATGGATTTCGGTGGATACTCTGTTCATAAGCCTAGTCCACGGCGACGTCGCTGGCAAAATATGCCCATCATACCCCTATATAAACCGGAGACGACAGGGCCTGTGCCCGGGTACAGTCCACGACAACTAAACAACGAATGTCCAAAGACCGGTGCAGCACAGGCGCTGCCGAAGGTTTCAGACACCAAAGTCCCAGACGAGGTTGTATCTCAGCTATAGACCAAGGTGGACAAGCAGGAAACTTAAATAGTACAACTATAACAAGAGTAAGAGACTTGTTTTCATATTATAGAAGTATTTATAAACATATGATTGACTAAAACCGTTCAGTATCGATATGCTATAAGTGCAACTAAACTTAGACTATACATTGGCTGTTATGTAACATGTCGGATCTCTTCAGTACCCAGACAGTCGACAAAGGGTGAGTACTCAGGCACGATTTGGCAGAACAGTCTCATTGATATCCGACTGTAGTTTCGAGTGCTTCGATATAAAGCTAGAAGACTAGGTCTCGAGACTTAGACAGTTTATAGGAGAGCACGTCGTGGAAGAACAAGAGGCTGTGCTTGATCCTACACTTATGAACATGGACGTATCGGATTTCTTACTTAGAGGATAGCGTTTACCGCTAGCAGCTTATGCCTTATAATCAAATTGAGATCTAACATATCACAAACTACACTGATACATCCCTTGGTGAAATCGTAGCCTCGACGCGAAAGCTCTATAGCTGCTCCTGCTTTGCCCACAGCCGGAGAACAGGATGGTAGACCCCGAAACAATACCCTGTCCAATGGCCACTAGTAGGTACTTCGTTCGTTTCTCGAAAGACCATCTTCTCATATCGCTCGGCCATGAGCGACTTGCTGTCTTCTGAAAAGACCTGGAGGACCACCCGGTTGGCCTGATCCAGAGTGGCGAAAGTCCCATACTTGATCACTGTGGGGATCTGGCCAGCCCGGTCGACAAACGCCTCCACCTGAAAGCTGTAGCCGCAGTTCTGGTAGACGTCCATCCACATTTGTGTGTTCTGAAAGACCTGTTGGGTCAGAATCGTGGGATAATGGACTTTCAGCCGGCCATGTGGCGTTGCAAGATTGACATGAGTGAAGTTGGGCTCAAAGTGACGTTGGTCTGCTGGTGGTGGTAGTGGAGTTGACCGTTCGGAAAGCATAAAAATGTCACGCATGCCTAGCAAAGCATTTGGCATCTCTGCTTTGACTCAAACATGAAATGTTCCCGTATCATCCAGACGTGCGTACAGTTTTGAATGAAGTAGCCATGCCAGCAGTGACATCCGTCTTTCGTGGCTTGCAGGCACATGCCGCAGGCACTGCAAAGACGCCCTTCTCAGGGAACTCGACCCCTGCCTGTAGTATATCTTCCTCGTAACTGGCGTCCCCTGGAGCATGACTGTACATTGGCGCCGTAATCCCCTTCCTTTGCCTATTCCACGATCGCTTGTTAGGCACGATATTGCCTAGCGGCTTCCGTCCTGCCTTGACGACAGAACGCTCAAAGTCAATCAGCATGAGCTCCCCGGTGTCGGTATTGCGTAGCACATTGGTACGACGCACATCCCGATGTACCACGCACGCCCGATGTATCGCCCGCAGACACCGTTTGACCTCACCAGCACGAACCGCTTCGTCAATCGGACTGCCATGCGAGAGAAGCAACATATATTCGATGTAGACCCGATGGTCGTAGTAATAAATCCTGCCCATGTCGCGAAGATCTATCGTGCCTAGGCAGACCGGCACCTGAGACCCCTGAAGTCCGTCGAGGTGTTTAGATTTAGAAAAGCCGATCTTTGATCTAGACGAGAAGTCCGAAAGCGCCTCAAAGCATGATGATGAGCCGGTTATACAGACTGAAAGTAGAACTTCTGAGAACATTACAGTATAGCTACAGTATACTCATTGTGGTTGGAATAGGGAAGGATCACTTCATTATGGTACTGTACCTTAAGGTTCGAAAAGATACTTCCGGGTCAGAGCCAAAATTGGATAGTCTATGGTCAAAGAAAAGAGAACAGCCATAAAAGGCGGAAGCCGATGTCGATTGTCTGTATGAGGAAGTGGATTTGTATCATGTCCTGCCAGATTCGAGGTAGGAAGCATTGTGGTCGCAAGGTCTGGCCCTAGACCTCTACTGATACAATACTACTGCTTTAGGATTCTGAGGCTACCTGTAAAGTGTGATCGAAAGCGACCGATCCAAAATGGGCGGAGGAAAGATCTCCGAGGCCGAGAAAGGGTGCTAGAGAGCTAGAGGCGAAAGGGTTCCTGAAGCAGCGCCTCATTGTGCTGCAGGCTAGGCTGCTCCAATCAAGCCAAGGTTCTGGGCGGGGAGATCCACTTCGAAAATATATATAAAGAAGTCTCCATCCTCCTTTAACATGTCTTTCTCTTTCCCTTTTTCTTCACGCTTGCCTCTGGCTTCGTCCATCCTTCTGTTGATGTGGAATCCAACAGTTGGGTGTTACCTTGTTGATATGGAATCCAACGAGTGACCCTTTTGGGTGCTTTACCCTGTTGATGTGGAATCCAACAGGTGACCTCCTAGAGGTGTTTTATCTTTACCCCGTCGATGTGGAATCCGACGGGTGACCCTTCGGGGTGCTTTACCCTGTTGATGTGGAATCCAACAGGTGACCTTCGGGTGCCTTACCTCGTTGATATGGAATCCAACGAGTGACCCTTCGGGGTGTTTTTACCCTGTTGATGTGGAATCCAACAGGTGACCTTCGGGTGCATTACCTCGTTGATGTGGAATCCAACGAGTGACCCTTTTGGGTGCTTTACCCTGTTGATGTGGAATCCAACAGGTGACCTTCGGGTGCTTTACCTCGTTGATGTGGAATCCAACGAGTGACCCTTCGGGGTGTCCTGCCGATGTGGAATCCGGCAGGGGTCGCAGATGTGGAACCCTGTGAACCGGTCAGCGAAGACGGCCTCTGCAACCTGTCCGTGGTGCTGGCTACGAACCTGTTTGTCCTGCCAGACTATCTACCCATAGTCTTGACAGCATGAACAGAGCCAATGCAGAGACGTAATAGATAGTCAAATTAGTGAATATAAAAGACATGTCTGTTCATACAGAGAGCTCAATCCCAAGATTATACACACCGTATTTTGTATCGTTGTTGCGTAGGACTGCTTGCTACACCATGCCCACTTTGTAAAGTCTCTGTGTCTGTGACAAGAATTGTTCGTGCTGGTCCTTGATCACACCTGCTCCTCAATGTGCTTTCATTCCATCCGGAAGCGCTACAATAATGTGGCAATATGAGTCAAAGGGAATAAAGGGAAGCCGTACAGAACTTCTTGGCGCCGTCCCAGAATTGGGCTGCGAACCAAATTCATACTCGGCGCACAGCTGATGGATACTTCCGGCCAATGGATACTTCCGGCCAATGGCACACCAACATCCGTGCTGGTGTGGCATCACCAATACAATACTCGTCCGATGAAAACTGCTGACTGTATGGTGAAGAGGACCAAAAATGGCATCTGAGGTCGGCCTTTTGGACATGCCAGAGACAAGGGTGAGAATCGTGCCCAGTCATGACATGAAAACCGAGGGGTTGCGCGCCGTTTTTGTAGACTCGTCCGATCAGTTGTATACGCTTCTTCTCGTCCGCTCACATACGGATTGTTGTTCCTAGTATCCAAGAAAAGTGGTGACTGTACGCGACTCCGAGCACTGACGTGACCGACAGTGATCGCCACTATACCTGAATAGGACGAGCCGAAAATGTCGCGACAAGCCTCACGCGGCATAAGAATGGCAGTTGTAATAAATAACATCTGCTCAGAACGAAGCTCGAAACGGGCATGGAAATGCAGCGGCTTTCGTCCACCAACCATATAAGCTTCAGATCTGATGCAGATGAACGGCACTTTCGAATGTCGGTACTCTACATGACCCTCCCAGAAAGCGCATTTGGGCCACCATTAGGTCATATACAGTACACGCCCACTATCGGTCCATGCCGTCGACCGCCCAAGAATGAGCATACCGGAGAACCACTGCATACTGCATATCACCTGTTGAGCAATGTCCCGTGGCCCATTTTGGATGTGTTCATTCTGATTCATTGTTTATGGAAGCAGAAACAGCTCCGTATTGGTGTAATAGCTGGCACCACCGGAGGAGGGTCGAGGACACGATTGGGAGAGGAACGAAATCGGCTTACTCTGGCTGCCTCCACAATCTGACGAGAATTTGAGCACTTAAATGAACCAATAATGGCATCAGTTAGTTTGTGGCCCAGTGTTGTTCCCCAGTGCTGTGGATGCCAGGGGTTCACTTCGGACTCCCGAGGCGATGTGACAACTGCTAATCTGGGCGTTTGCCGTGGATTCGTGCGCTCCTACATGCCAAGAACACTAGCCGTCTATCGGGGTGGCATTGAAGTGATGCACAATGATAGCCTTTACCGATTTCTTTGTCTGTGTATTGACCATGATCAAGGCGAAAGGATGCGAAGGTGCGAAGGTGCGAAGGTGCGAAATGGCGAAGGAATGCGAAGGAACGAAAGACGGATAGTGCGATAGTGCGAACCTACTCGTCTCGGCAAAATTATCGGTCGGGACTGAGCAGGGCCAATACCCAAACAAGGAGACTAAATCATATAACGCTTTTCTCGTGACAGGGAGCGAGAAACGGGCTGCTTAGCTATTCGGGCCTATGACGACTTGGGGGGAGCGAATGTCGACCTTTGTAGATGACTGGACGAATGGAGGCTAACGGAATCAGTTGTGACACTGAAAGAATTTGTCAGGTGGTTAGGGGACTGGGAACGAAACATGGTTCGAAAGGGTCTCTGTTTCTGTGTCAGGATGCAAAATGATAAGGTGGACCGAAAGTTGGTGCTATAGTTATCTAACCTAGTTTGGGGACGATTGTCAATATTGGTCTTTTCCCCACCAAAAGATGGCAGGTCCAAGAAGAGTGCAGGTGTAGTGGGGCAATGAGCAATCCGCTAGCTGGTGGATCCAGGTTAAAGTGACCCACTGGGAAGGAATATAAAAGGAAGTGCCTCATCTCAGCTTGACTTCTTCTCTTTCTTTCCTTCTTCACGCTTGTCGTCCACTTGGTAAGAAGCTTAGAGCCTACAGGTGTCTGATCCCTGATAGACCGATGTCCAGCCCGGCAGGTGACCTACTCCTGATAGACCGATGTCCAGCCCGGCAGGAAAGAGCTTCATCCCTGATAGACCGATGTCCAGCCCGGCAGGTGATCCATCCCTGATAGACCGACGTCCAGCCCGGCAGGTGACCTACTCCTGATAGACCGACGTCCAGCCCGGCAGGAGTCCCGTCGAGCTTGCACCCTCAAATGGCCGAGGAGACCCTGTCATCCAGCTGGTCTGACTGACTTCCTCACTCTCTCTCTGTCTTTTGTTCTTTCGGATCCCGGGATGGCGCAGCGACACGAGTCTGACGATTGCGAGGCGTGGCTTGTTATCGTTTGCGCCTTCCCGCCCGAACCGAACCCAAAGCAGAGGGCGTGCTGTCGAGTCGTCCTGACTTCTTGGAGACATGTTGTCTTCCGCTTGAATGTGGCGTGCGTGAGTCTCGACGGGGGTTGCAGATGTCCATCCCTGCGTACCGGCCAGCGAAGACGGCCTCTGCAACCTGTCCGTGGTGCTGGCTACGAACCTGTTCGTCTTGACTAAGCTCTTCGGTCTAGATTGAGCAAAGCCAATGCAGAGACGCAATGTATGGAGGGAAGAGCGTATAGGCCAGCTAGAGACAAGCTAGAGGCGAGTTAGAGACGACCTCGAGACGAGCTGGAGACGAGCAGGGACGAGCTAGAAACGAGCTGGACATGTAGATTGATTATCTTTGAATTCGATGACTTTGACCTTGTAATCGTGCTTGAAACTGTCAACTTGTTGTGTAGTTGCTGCTCTTGCCGTTTCGTTAGCTTGCAGTCTGCCACCACTCAACTGCATGTCGCGTAATGTCCTATAAAGGCGTCATCCCAAAATGGTGTAGGCGAGCCTCACCTAGTGATAGATCTGCTGTGAATACGAAGTGGACTGACCGAAACCAATACAACACAACACAGGACAAGTCGTTCTGGTGGGGAATGAAGGACACTTGACCAGAGCGCGGTCCGCGTCACGATGACTGGGCTCTTGCAATCTACTGCAAGTTAGCGACCTTGTCATGCAGGTACATGCAACGCTATGCAAGAAAACCCGCATTAGGCATGGTCGGCTTAGGACAGTTTGTCAAAAACCCCCCTTTTTGGTCGTGCACTGAATTGACCTTCAAACGTAGTGCTCGCGTGGGGACTGAAAGAGCCACCCACTAGTGCCCCGGTCGGCATTTGGAGGCGGGAACCAAACGAACACCCTCGTCTAAATAAGAATCCTCATTCGATCCACACTATCGAGGAACAAGACTGGCCCCTAAACGTGACAAACACGACAAACACGACTACTACGGACATTGATCCATTCGCAACCAGTTGTCCACCCTAGATTGTCAATTGTCCAGATAGTAATACGTTACAGGATGACCTGCGTGTGCCAGCACACTTTAATGAGGCTGGCTGTTTCTAGTTGTTGGGGCCAAAATCCATTTTGGGTTGTGCACTTCAAAGCCTGCTAGCGTGCGAAGTGAAAGAGCCGCTTGCTGTTCTGGTCGACATCTGGAGCGGGAACCAAACCGAACCCTTGTCCGAACAAGAGCCCAAATTGATCCTAGGACATCCACCCATTAGAATTGACTACGGTCAGTATTCATCCATTCGCAACTATTTGTGTGTACTCGATTGTCCAGATTGCACTACGTTACAGGATGACGTATGTGTGTCCTTTTATCTCACTGAGACTGAAGCCGCTTCTGTAAGTCGGTGCCATTCATTCGTTGACAACATGCGCTCACTCACGACAGAGCGAGAAAGAAACAAGACAGGAAATGGCCTCGTGGACGAAGGCTGCCGATGGGGTTCATGAAACGGGTACGTCCTTTTTCAGCACAATGGACCTCATCGCGGCGGCTTGTTCACTTCAGGACCTGCCAGCTGGGGACTGGTGCTGGTGTCCAGTCCAGTCCATGATCAAGCTCCAGGGTCCACTTTTGTCCCGATCGCGAACGTGCTGTGTCCGCACCCTCTGCCCAGATGCAGAATTAATCACGTCGCTAAAAGTAGCCCGGCATGGCATGAGGCCTGTTTCTGAGCCTACTTTTCTCGTGCTATACTCACGAGACCACTGTTCTTTCATCATGGAGACGCATAGACACGAGATTTTCAGCAAGTCCGGTTTCCCTTTCCCACTCTTGATCTTTCTTGGCTGATTCGGAGCAAGCAAGCACGCTTTCTTAGCGCGAACGCAAGCGTTCAACAGTAATAGAGACACTTTTTCGAATGCGTGGCTCAAAAATCCAAATAACGTCCAATATAGTCAGAGCCGCTGCAGCCAATTGGAGTCTCCGCTGCGGCAAGCAAAGGAACGCGTAGAGGTGGTCAAAAGCTTATTCCAGAAGACGGTCGATATGACGGTTGCAAATAAGGACGGATCCACGCCGATCTATGTGGCGGCAAGCAACGGCTACCTCGATATCGTGAAGTTCTTTCTAGAGAACAATGCGGACATTATGATAGCAAATAAGGATGGACGAACTCCCGCTTACGGTGCAGCAGTAGGGGGTCATCTAGATGTGGTGAGGTTCTTACTTAACAGCAACGCGGACAGCACGTTCTTTTGGAGCACCAGGCAAGTAGAAATTTCATCTTGACGCAACAAGTAGTAGCAGGTATCATGGAAAAATTGTAACCTGCACCTCGCGTGGACGACAGCTCGGCCTGACTTGAGCAGCCAGAAAGACTACATTCCTAATAGGTAATTCTCGCAAAAAACTATCGTTTATCATTTGTCGCTGTATATTTGCTTCATTTGCAGTTTACGTGACGGTATGGACTTGTTCATGCAACCAGATGATGGTTTTTCCGACAGATAAACTAGGTACAGTCGCGTCTCTGCATTGGCTCTGCTCAATCTCGACCGAAGATCTCAGTCAAGACAAAGAGGTTCGTAGCCAGCACCACGTACAGGTTGCAGAGGCCGTCTTCGCTAGCCGGTACACAGGGATGGATATCTGCGACCCCCGCAGGAACCTAAGGAGATAGGACGCCTGCGGGAAAGGAGTAATCCATCAGCTGTAGGCTCGAAGCACTTCCAGATGGCATCATCTCTAGGCTCGAGGCACTTGCAGACGGCATCAGCTGTAGGCTCGAGGCACTTCCAAGTGGCATCGTTTGTAGGCTCGAGGCACTTGCAAACGGCTTCCGCTCGCTGGCTGCCCGAGGGGCAGCCACAAGGAACTTTACCGGCTGGCACGAAGGCACTCCCAGGTTGGGTCCATCTGTAGGCTCGGAGAACCTCTAGATGACACGTCCGGACTAGTCAAGTCTCGGACGGCTTCGCTCGCAGGACCCGAAGATGCTGGCGAGGAACATCACCGGCAGGGCACCAAGGCCCCCCCAGGTGAGGTCATCTGCAAGCTCATAGAGCTTGCAAACGGCACGACTGCAGGCGCGAAGCTCTTGCAGAAGGCTTCACTCGCAGGGCCCGAAGGCGCTGGCGAGGAACATCACCTGTAGGCTCCAAGCACTTCCAGGTGGGGGTCATCTGTAGGCTCGGAGAACCTCCAGATGACACGTCCGGACTAGTCAAAGTCTCGGACGGCTTCGCTCGTAGGACCCGAAGATGCTGGCGAGGAACATCACCCGCAGGGCACAGAGGCCCCTTAGGTGGGGTCATCTCAAGCCCACGGAGAGCTTGCAAATGGCACGACTGTCCAAGCGGCCGTAAGGCGACCGGACAGAAGGCCTCACCCGCCAGACCGCGATGGTGCTGGTGAGGAACGTCACGTGTAGTCTCTTGGACTTCCAGGTGGGGGTTGTCTGTCAGCTCAGAGAGCGGTGAGACATTACATCTGGGGGCAGGCGGCCTACACGGCCGGAACACGCGATGGCGATGAAACAGGAAGAAGGAAGTCAGGCTGTTGTCATGGAAGATGTCCAGAAATGTATGCTGGACAGGTCCGGACACTTCTGGCGCAGGTCCTGTTATGATCGTCAGTTGTATGTCGGCACTCTCATAAGGGTAGGGGCATTCGCGATCACCTTTACCCGCTAGTACAGAGACACTTGCCAGTCGTGTCATCTTCAGGTCCACGGGGAGCCTGCAAACGGTAGGTGGTGTAGTAAGGAGACCCGGGGCGGGGGTTGACTATCAGCTCTGAAAGCGTCGAGACATAACATCTGCAGGCACAAAGCACAGCGAGATGGAACACGCGGAGGTGATGAGGGTGGGTGAAGGTGGGTGAAGGTAGTGAAGGCAGTGAAAGTGGTGAAGGTGATGAGGAGAAAGGAATAAGAAGGAGGTTGAGTTTGTCGAGCAGAACGACGAGTTTATATATTCATTTCCTGTGGGCCTTGCAGAAATGCCGCAGTTCCTAGAAGGTTCCATACGAAAGAAGGTTCTGATTTGGATCGTTTTGCTCTTTGTTTTGCCGTCGTGATACAGTAGATGTCAGGAAGTGTATGTTGGACAAGTGCGGACACTTTTGGCGTAGGTTCTGTTCTGGTTGTCAGCTGTGGGTCAGCACTTTCATGTGGGTCATAAGAGCAGAAAAAGTCATGAAGTGCAGAACGGTTCCATAGGGAGGGAGGTTCGGATTGGACCCTTTCTTTCCTTGGTATTTTGCCATGGTACTGTAGGCGTCCACAAATGTATGCTGGACAGATGCTGACACTTTTGGTGTAGGTCCTGTTCTGGGCGTCAGCTGTGGTTCAACACTTTCCTGCCGAAGAGCGGAAAAGGTCGCGAGGTGCACAGTGCTCGCTGAATGAGGTCTATTGCTGGTTGTGCTCTCTAGACTGATCGACCCGAAGGAGAACAGTCCCACTTGCTGGAGACCAGAATACTGTCTGAGCAAAACCCGACCACAATGTACAACAATACCCAGCCACCCTATACAAAAGTATACCTGCCGAGGATCGCCCGAAGTCGACACGGTCCGCACAGCTGTTTTGCCATCGCTGCTGCTTGTGACTGTTTGTCCGATCGAGCCAGTCATTCCCCCAATTTCTTTTGACGTCTCGCCCTGTCTCTCTTCCCTTCGTCTGCGTGCATTCTTCTTGAAACAGACGATGAGCCGATGCTGCTTACTCATTCCTATCTTGGCATCACCCCGTTAAGCTTCACTCTTCCGCCATGTGTACTGTACACTCCTGCATTAAAATATATGGAAAACGCTGCTCAGATGACTGTTGGTGACCTAGAGCCTCGTCAGTATACATCAGGCGGACTCCCCAGGTATAACCCTTACAGTGCCTTCTCCGCTTCAGAACTCCACTCATTGGGTCGCTCAAGCGCATGCAGTAACACGACGTACTTCACCGTGAAATGGTGCATGCTATCCTGTAAGTTTAATCTGATTCAAGCTTCTCGTAGCGCTTTCCTTTCTATTCCTTCAACTATTCGCTATGCACCAAGTAGCTGCGTGCCTGGCGCCTCGAGGTAAGTGCAAGGTATGTAGCATGCTTAGGGACTGAAATGAGTGTCTCAACCTTTCACATGCCCGGACCATCCCGTGTGTTGGCGGTTCAAGGACTGTGGGTGTTTTGGCGATAGGGTCATGGACCACTCCTATTCAGTTTGTCTCGCGATACTTCCCTCTCAGAAGAGATTGCAACCCAAATGGGTGATAAGCCATACCGGCATGGTGGCTCTCTTGTATCGATCGGTCTTTAACCAGTCATGGCATATATTGTCCCGCTCCACATCATATCTGCCCACGAAATGCGGTTCTGATGTTCAAAATCTCCTCCGCAATTCAACGTGCAGTGGAGTTTCGAGAGCGAGAAATACTTCGGAAGACGCGGCCTTGAGGTCAAGGAGACTAGGACCCTACAGCTCTTGCCGCCAGGAGCGAAGACGCAAGCCAGTGTTGGTCCAATCGCGGTTGATGATGTGTTGTCGTCAAGCTCAATGCTTCATGGCGTTGCCTAATTTGATTGATTGGATTCGACCGGAGCATTGTTAGTTTGTGATTGTTAGGCTAGAACTCAAGCTTTGCCAACAGGCCAATGCGGGATAACATTAAGGCAATATAAATAGTGACCTTATACGAAGAGCAGACGACCATCAAGCTCAACTCGATCGACCCAAAACCAGCCATTACGTCAAAATGACACAAAAGATTAACAAAGCTCCCCAAAATCAAGACAGAATCCTGAGTGGCTTATTGAGGGACTTGCGATCTGAAGCCTATGCCCTCTCGGGTCAGGGCGCAAATATCGCAATCGTCGTAAAGTGGAAGGGAAAGACTTGGGAACTCGATACAGATGCCGCATGGACACCAAAATTGGACGATGCTGCTCAACAACCTGAGTCTGATATGGACGGAAATGAAGAATCGGTCATGCCGGAAAGTTTGGTCTTCAATTCAGCTTCTCCAAACCTGCCACCACAGCCCTTAATGTCTCAAACCCTTGTGGAGAGCTCGGCACCCATGAGCGACCCAAACGTCCGAGAATCCCACACATCCTGTTTGCCGCCTCGTAAACTATTCTCTCGATACATAGTTCGGCCTCATACTAGACATAACAGTTCATCCCGAAATGTCGCAGATTGCTTAAGGAAGCGAAGCTGGTTTGACTGAGGAAAAATAGGGCGGCACCCTAGCCATGATGTATAATGACGATGGATTAGAGATGGGCAAATGTTTAGTGTCTTGTTTGTTGGTGAAGGAACTACAATCGAACTGCATTGCCAACGACTGTTATATAGACTATCTCGTTTTCTCGTGCATGCGACGCTATTTGAAACTGGACTTAGCCGACAATATCGGCTTTGCCGTTCTGTAATTGCACTGGACTACAATCCAGAGCCGATAGCTACAGGACACCAATGCAGATTGGGTAAATATGGACCATCAAGCTGAGGGCGCTATTACTCTTCATCGATCTATTTTCGATGCTGTTGCTAATCGCCCTAATCAGCATACGAACCACCTCGGTGCGGCGTGCCCAAGAACACGACAAGCTTCGTTCGACAAGCGTTCGATCGATGGATTGCATGTGGCATTGGTAAGCTCCTACTGCATCATAACCACCGTTGACACTCATCATTTCAAGCAGAAAGCACAGAAGTAAGAACATATGTCTTTGGCGATGATACCACCAACACTATGCGCCACAAACATGACGGGGTCTTGCGCTTCCGTCAGTCCGTTACTCCGACGTGATACATACACATCATTATCGCAGGAGACAGTTTGTATGTGGTTGTTGACTTCGCGCTTGAACTTGGCAGCTAGGTCTTGTCCGTCGTGTCGGCATCGGCATATTTCTTGCGGAAAGACAGCTTCAATGGATGTCGCTTGCTCGAAGATGCTTTGTCGTGAGTAGTGACATCTGCACCCTTCACTTCGTCCTCCCATGTCGATTGAGGATGGCCTCACAAGCCGTGGAGAAAGATGACACTATCAATACACCAAGTCACGTTGTATTCATAAGTTGCCAAGATGCATCTGTTTTCACAAATTCCCTGAGAAATCACATTATTAACCACTCACATAGCGTACGAAAATATTATAACTGGGGCCGACGGGGGCAGCCACTAAAGTACTCAGGCGGGCGGCCCTGCCTAGCAGCGACGTAACGTCCTATTCATTCTCCCAACTCTCAAGAACTGCACTCTGCTGCTGTATCAGTTCATCGTCCACGGTAATGTATACAGCGGTATGAGGAAGCTGGCCAGGCTGAGCACTGCTACGTCGCGATGAATCAAAGGTCAGCATGCATGACTGAGGCTCACTGCACTCTGCGTGTGACTTAAGGACGTGCGGCTGAGCCAGTGGCCAAACCCCGCAGTCTGCAGCCTCATGTAAGCCTGATCAGTCGTTTGCAATGACGGAGATGATGCCTGCTTCGATCCATGCGTTGCGATATTTCTGGGCTGACACGTGCTGCATCGACAAAGTCCGACATCATCGAGCTTCAGACGGCGATCAACAGCATGTTCCGATGGTACCGCGATGCCAAACGATGCTATATTTATTTGGCGGACGTCTCAAACAATTCGGTGTCTGGTATGCGACAAAATATACTGCCGTGGGAGGCGGCTTTTCGAAAGAGTAGATGGTTCACTCGTGGATGGACGCTTCAGGAGCATCTCGCCCCTAAGAAAGTCGGTTTTTGTTCAAAGGAAGGCACTTGGCTAGGCGATAAACGGTTGTTAGAGTCTTTGATACGCGACATTACAAGCGTTTCTGCGAGTGCTTTTCGTGGTACGCCTTTATCCGACTTTCCCGTCTGGGAACGAGAGGCATGGGTGCGCCGTCGTCAAACGAAATATGGCGTATTCGCTGCTGGGGATATTCAATGTCTATTTGCCGCTGATCTACGGCGAAGGGCGAGATAATGCACAAAGGCGGCTGCGGGAGGAAGTAGGAAAAGGCGTGAAGGGTAAGCCATCTCAATAACAATAGAGGTGGTTCTCGGTATCTTGTGCTCATAAAACCGAATTCGTTCTAATTTTTGTCTCTTCTTTTTTTTTGTCTTTGTTCACCTCACTTGTCGATCATCCATAACCTCCATCGTATAAGTACGTCAACAGCTTTGTGTTCATCATAGTGCTATCATCTTCACATGGGTTTGCATTATCCAAATCAGGATGAGCTCCACAGTCTCGAGTATCGTCAGATTGTTCTGTTTGCCAAAGACGTATGCTGACCAGGTATAGGCCCGTCCTCCACGAACAGGCCGTGCTACGTAAACTGAACGAGATGTCTGCCAAGCTCAGAAACGAGTGCAAGCTCCTCAAGTCGACTATCCATCGTAGGCGCGAGCGGAAAAGATCCCTTGAATGAGTTCACTGACACTAAAGTTGTAGAATCCAAGTATTGTAAAGTGTTTTGATTCCCTACCAAAACATAGAAATGTAACTATGGCTTACGAGTAGAGCATTCGACGTCCACGAAGGGTAAGCCTATGGTCTATGATAATGTTTTTGAAGATATGATAATCTGCTTACTATTGCAATACAGTTTCAAAAGGCAGAACGAGATTTTGGAGGAGATGGCAAATCGTATGGCACGGTTGGAGGAAGCATTGGTACTAGATCAGTCGTACGGTGTGGATGACCAGGTCATGAATTAAAGGTTACATACACAACGATATCCACTCGAGGCCGATGGGATCGTTAGGCAGGTCTCTAATTATATCTCGACATACCCTCCGTCGTCGTACTATTGAGTTGTACAATATACACCTGTCCACAGTGAAGAAGGCACTACGCGAATGCCCAGGGCAGATACATCTCGCATTTGATGGCGCGCGGAGCCGGAACCGGCACGCGTTATTCGGAGTTACGGCTGCATATCGAGATGTGAACAACAACTCCCAGAAAGTTGTATTGGGTGCTCCCGAAGTTATAGATCGACATACCGGAGGCAATATCGCAGCTGAGATTATCGACGTAATACGCACGTACGGAATTGAAGACAAGGTTGGATACTTCACACTCGATAACGCTACTAATAATGATGTCGCGATGGAGGCCATCGGGAAGGAGCTCGGTTTCAACGCTTTGGAGCGCCGAGTCCGCTGTATAGGCCATATCATTAACCTGGTCGTTAAGGCTCTGTTGTTTGGCTCGGATGCCGAAGCCTTCGAAGATACCGTCATAGAGGGCGAGTTGCTAGCCAGGGCGGCTCACGATGCGTGGATGAAAAAGGGCCCAGTCGGGAAGGCACACAACTTCGTTGTATGGTCAACCGCTCTGATATCTTCACGCAGATGCTTCAGAAGCTGCGCCTGGCCATCTTGTAGCGTAGACTGGAGCTTCTCGGCCGTGCGGAGCTTTGTCCCTTGAGGGCCGTCTAAAAGTTGGCGGACGCTCTCGATTACAGCGTTCAGATTCGTCACTTCCATATTGATTCGTCCGATATCGTCTCTCGCGTTCGAAACGTCTTTCCCGTACTGCGCACAAAGCTTGACGATCTTTGCTGCTAACTCGATAACGGCGAGAGCACTGGCCGCGGTACCGAACACTTCAGCCATCGAATCTTGACTGGTGTTTTGTTACGTGTCGGCTGCAACTAACGGTCGAAGAGAAGAATTGTCGAGGCTACATAGGCTGAGCCGTCCCTGCTGAACAGGAGTCCAGCACAAGACACACGTTGCGGCCATTGTCGGGGTAGATGCGTCGAGGCTGAACCAGTCACGAGATCTGCACGCCGTGCCAAACAAGTCGTTTTCCTGTGTCTGACGCTGGGGTGCGTATAGCGTTGTAATTGGTAGGTGCACATGGAGTTTTGCATGTCCGGTGGACAGTCTCTTTTTAGCGGACTCTTCAGTCAGGTATTAGGGGTTGTCGACTCATGGCGGGGCTTTTAGGCGTTAGGTGGCCTAAGCGTGCCTTTGTTCTTGTCCTTCTACCACAGTAAAACACCAAGAACAAAGACACTTGCCACCATCTACTCATCCGCCATCAAGGTGACAACAATGGCCCCAAACCTGGTAGAGCTACACACGAACGCGCCCAGGCCATGATTGAGAGTAATCAATTTACTAATAAACAGATTGCAGCCGCTGTTGGGTGTAATGCCCGTTCCATGCGTACGACCCGAGCGAACCTGCGATGCTTCGGCACCACTAAAGCGCCTTAAAGCGCCGTCGGACGACCTCGAACCATCTCGCCGCCGATGCTTGACGCTCCGTGGTTGCTTGATCGACAAGCCCGGTATATACTAGGATGAGATGGTGGCGTTTCTGGCGGCCGAATTCGACGTCCCGGTGACGAAGATGTACGTGAGCAAAGAAATTACCCGACGCGTAACCGAAGGATGGAATGCCGACCTACGCGACCCTTATAGCTATACTATATCCGAGTTCCGCTCTTACCACTTAGTGTATATTGGCGAATCGGGTTGCGACAAGCGTGCGGGATTTTGACGAACCGGATTGTCTCCTCAAGGCGTAGCGCCCGTACAAACTGCACGTATCAGATCCTGCCGGCCTATACATAAGGGTTTGCACATCTAGGTGGCCCACATTAGTACAAAACAAGCTTAGCGAAATATTTATTAAGCGCCCATCGTTCAGCCGCACGCATGTCTGGCTCAGGACGTATCAGAATCGATAAATAGCCCACGGTGCCATGACCTTCCACGTCGCACACCTGCGATCTCTAATTTCTGTGCAAATCATGCTACTCCAGTTTCCGAGCGTCTTTGGCGCGGACAAATATACGTATCGGACATTGGCTACCCGGCCTCGGGTCTTCCGCCTTGTTAAGCTCCTTTCTCCCGTAAAACATCTCTTGCCGACCTTTTCAGATATAGTACGTGTTGAGATAGTCGAAGCCGACCTGGACGATACCTCACTTACTCAGTATGAGACACTCTCTTATAACTGGGCCGTTCCCCCTGAAGCACAGCCAAATCGGCCGGTGATTGTCGACACAGCCGGCAAGCGCCATATTTTGTGGATTCATCGGCCACTTGAAGAAGCACTGCACAGCATATCCGCTAATCGATTGACTGATTTTCCCATGTTCATTGATCAAATATGCATTGATCAGTCGAATATGAATGAGAAGGCGGTTCTTGTCCCGCTCATGGGGGACATATACACACAATGTCGTCGAGTTATTATCTGGTTAGGTACCCCGACCATTCTATCTGACAAATTCTTCGATAACGTGAAGGAACTGAATCAGGAAGGCGTCATGTCCCGCTTGATAGGCCCGAACAAGTCCCACTGGATGGAAGTCTACGATGCGGTGACGGAACCCAACCCTGCCACCAAACTGACAGGGGTGAAGGAGGAGGATCAAGATGATCTTCTGCGACTGGTTAGCCTCTTCAAAGACCGATTCTCACACCAGATGTGGATTGACGTCCTCCAGAGGCCATGGTTCAATCGTCTTTGGATCATCCAGGAAGTCTGCCTTGCGCCGGACGTGACGTTCCTTTGCGGATCCAAAGCGCTGTGTTTCGAATGTTTCCGTTGTTCATGTGCCTTCTTTCCCATATACAATGGAACTTGGATGAAGACAGAGACTCGAGTCGTGTCTAAAGCGGAGTTCAATAGTGTAACACTCGTTTACGAGTTGCTGCAATCCTTCCACCGGATCTTTCGAGAACGAAAGGCCATTCATGAGGCAGGGCAGAAACATAACTATTACGACGTCGTGCTCAAGTACAATGTGATTTATCGAGACACTCAAGGCATCAAGATTGGTTGCTCGAAACCCGAGGATAGGCTTCTGGGGGTGATGGGTCTGGCTGACCGGGATGATGTTTATAGCCGACTCAAAGTACTCTGTTCCGAAGCTGAGGGCGACACGAGGCCCTGCGAGCATGTCTATGTCGACTTCGCTTCAATAGCAGTAAGTCAAAACACGGATCTACTATCATTCTCGCAATTTCCCAAGAGTGCTCTGAATTTGCCCTCTTGGGTGCCGGACTGGTCAGTCGATCTAAAGCTGCCTCACGGATATCTGAGCCTTACGCAGCCAGTCCATGCTGCTGGTGGATTAATGCCAGATATACCTCCTAGGATTGATAGAGCGACCAGACAGCTTTCAATTTCTGGCATTGTTATTGGGAAGATTTCACATGTTGGAAAGTGTGTGATCATTGAAGATATAGAGAGACCGCTTCATATAAGCCAGCTGGATTATACGTCGGTGAGGCGATTCTACAAAGAAGCAGATGAGATCTTGTCAAGAGCTGGCAGTATGGCTAACTGCCCATTTTCCAAATATTTAGAGGCAGCTTATCGCAATCAAGTTGCGGTGAGGCTCTCTGATTTCGGCCTTACCATGAGGTATATGGCTGACAAGTATGGATATGCCCCCGCTGTAGCTTGTTCTGAGCTCGAAAATATCTACGAACAAGTTTCCATCTGGGGCCAGAAGCTCATCGACATACAAGAGATTATTCAATCCTACTCCCTTCCGCGTATTATAAAGACGGTCGGTATAGCACCTTACTACTGGATTCCATCTAGCGAGACAGACGTGATCCATCTTTGTGCTACCGATCCCATTGCCGCGGCTAAGACCTGGCTGCTCGGTTTGTCAGATTTCGTTATGGACATCATTAGCGTCTGCATCAACTCTGTTCGCGTTCAGTGGACCGCCAGGTGGCTGTCCTTCATGCGCAGTAGACGTGGATTCACATTCGACAATCAGCCGAGTTCCGATGGCAGTAGTCGTGAAGAAACTGTGAAGAGAATGGGCGTGGACCCCGAGATTGTCTTCGGAACAGGATGGTCAGTCTACTCAGATTTTATGTTTCGGAATGCTGGTCGCAAGTTGTACATGACTGAAGACGGTTACGTTGGTGTTGGACCGGAAAATATGAAAGAAGGTGACTTTGTCGTCATCTTGCATGGTGCGACTGTGCCATATGTTTTGAGTCCAGAAGTTCCTTTCCGGAGTGCCAAGGATATGATTTGGGCTTATATAGGCGAGGCATATTGCGATGGAGTGATGGAGGGGCAGTTACTGCAGACAGAAAGAGAATCGGTTGTCTTCAGTATTCAATAGGGGCCGTGTCTAGCTGGCTCACGGTGGTGGTTGTTGGTCTAATCTCATGTCGCTACTTCGATTTTCTACAATGACTGTGAAAACCACATCTCCATAACCACCTGTAATTCTGAATTTCTTGGGGAAGCCATCTATCATTTCCAGTGTAACAATAGGTTGACTCACTCCTTCACGGTTTTCGAGGATAATGATGAGAACTAGTTGTAGGGACCTTGAAGCGGCCCTGTTGTACATGAATTCTGCAGTTCTTCAAAACGTTGTGATCAACTGGTTTCCCGGAAGTGCTTGTGTTTTATACGAGACGGGGCCCGATCTTGTGTGGAACGCCAATTCAAAAGTGTATTCTTATACCCGCGCTTAGATACGAGAGTCATCGCCCTTAAAGAGGAGCCAGTCAGGTGCATGGTAAGGTTATGAGCCCTGTCTTTGCGTTGATGACGTGGCAATCTCTTAATCATAACCGCTTAAGCTAGGCCGGTCGTGGCAAGCGATTCAAGGACAGATAACATCCAATTAGTCATAAGCTTCCTTCAAATCTCACTGGCCGAAAGCGATGGCGATAAAATGTGAGATAGCTGGAAGCTGTACTGTACGGCACATGAAATGATTTCAACCTTTACCAGACTCTTTCTTTAGAGGATTTCGTGGTTCGTCTAGTTATGCCTCACTACCCGCAAGATTCTGTCATGGCGTGGCTTGGGCAATCCGGGACGTGAGTAACTGCACCGGTGGAAGGCGTCCTTATTCGCAAGGTTCTGTCGTCTTACACACTACGTGTTCTATGTTATTGGAAAAACTCTCGAGAGCATAACAAAAGTAGGGTCAGCTCCAACGCCGTGTCCGCCATCTTTGGTTCATAAGACCAAGTCTAGCGGAGAATGACCCAAACTGTGGCAACACAAGAATAAATACCAATACTAAGCAGGAGTTGCCTTCCAGGCCGACAACGTAAGCAAATAGTGCCATTTGAGGCTGCAATGCTTGCGATCTCGATAAACGGAATCCTCTACATAATCTGTACGGAGAACGAGGCCCCGTTTTTATAAACAGTATTGTAGCGCCGTCCCTATACTATGCATCACTTGGCGGACTGTCACGTTGTGTTAAAGCGATGTTAATGGATGCGAAGACAAATGTCAACAATCGAGGGGGCGAGTTTGGCAACGCGCTACAGGCTGCTTCGTGGCGAGGACACAAAGAGATTGTGCAGATGTTGATCGATGCCAAGGCCGAAATTAATGCTCAGGGCGGCAAGTATGGCAACGCGCCCCAGGCTGCTTTGTTGGTAGGACACAAAGAGATTGTGCAGTTGTTGATAGATGCTAAGGCTGATGTCAATGCTCAGGGCGGTCTCTTTGACAACGCGCTACAGGCTGCGTCGTGGGTAGGAAACGAAGAGATTGTGCAGATGTTGATCGATGCCAAAGCCGAAGTTAATGCTTAGGGCGGCCAGTATGGCAACGCGCTACAGGCTGCTTCGTTTGAAGGACACAAAGAGATCGTTAAGCTGCTCCTTGGGAAAGGGGCCGAGCTGAGTGTCACTAATAAGGATGGAGATACGCCGCTTCAAAGAGTTTCACAAGGCGGACTGAATTCTGTGTTCATACTTCCATGGTCCACTATGTTGATCATGTCCGTCATGTGAATCAGTTCTGCATGGCATCCGTGCTTACTTGAAGTTTTCGACCTCGTCTCTTGAGGCTGCTCCCCGCAAGACTGCATTCGTTTCGCGAACATCAATGCCGATTGGTATCCGCTGATTTGGTTCGACTTCGGATTCTGTAGATCTATGCAACGAAGGTCCTTGGCCGCTACCCAATCGAGTAATGGCCTATTCGGAATCGCCATAAGGCCGTCCAGTGGGATGTCGAGCTCATTATCAAGATACAAGATAGAAACTTGCGATTTCTTGCTTTTTGCCCCTCGTTTTCGTAACCCTTTGCCCATCCCATGATAGTTCTCATCCGCTTGTTTACGTTGTAGCACGCCAGAATATGACTTTTCAGCCCGGTGTCAAAAATCGTATCTGTGATGCCCACACTTTCAAACGAGCCAGCTGGAAGTACGACAGTTGCATATTTATTTTGATCGTAGGGCCACTTTACCGAATAAACATTGCCGGGAACAGGATCTGTGATTGTCTCTCCATTTCCATCACAATCATCTTGTGTTCCGAGATCCGAATTCAATACCTCATGCTTTTGGATGTATGTTTCGTATGGTGGTCCTGCGCCTAAGGCCGGTTTATGCCAAGCTTTGTGGCATCTTCGTGCGTTCTTTCGGAGGTGCCGTGATTCGGAAGTCCGACTCACAGAAGGAGAAGTAGGAGCTCTTCGTGTCTTCCCCTGCTTTGAGCATGGCCTTGAAACCACTCGCTTCTGTAGTGGTCGACCAAGACCCTCCAGACTTTCGAAAGGCAAGGTGGATTCCATTGATACATTCTTAATGGACGGAATCGTTTCATCATGACTTAGGCATGCTGACTCTTCTACGGCTTAAGTTCTGCAAGCCTGCTTGATATGTATAATTAGACTCTCCCTTATCCCTGACCGTCCCCGGTGGCCCGGCTTAAGCCCGATAGAGAGGACTAGTTCTTCATCGTACGGCTTTCGACAACTTAAAGCATTAAACAATGATAGCCAATATGAACGTGACCTGAGCCTCCCAAACAAGACACATCTAACATCTTCCAACATTGGCGCTGGATATGCTTCATATGGGACTATTTCAAGTGGAGATTATTAGTGTGAATGACACTAATCAGCATTGAATGAGTGACAGGCTACGTACAACGATGCTGACGTCTAGCACTGCTGCAGCACGAAGTGCGCGGTTTCTCGTAGTTCTGTAATCATGAGGTCCTAGCTCCACTGTTGTTAGTGTACATCGTCTCAATGTACTCTCTCCGGCTATGACCGAGGTCAGCCACGCAGTCCGCGCCTATCTGCCACCATCTTCCCGGCCAGCAAACATATTGCATGATGCTTTTTTTCCCATGAATCACAAGATATTAGTACTATGCCCCTGCACTCGAATGCGGGTTTGTCTTTATGACACATTAGCACTTGACGCTGAATCTTTGCGACCGCGGAAGCAGGGAGACAAGCGATGCGGTAAGCGACACTATGTAACACATAAACCTACTCGTACTGTGTCTAATAAATAAAGACTAGGAAAGAGGCTGAGCGGAGTAGCGCGCAATCTCATCCGTCATTTGCCTGTTCCTCATTGTTTCCATGTGGGGACGTCACCGACGATCTTTAAGGTCGTTGGGGGCTAGATTGATATCAAGGCGTATAATTCAATTAACGACGGCCGCGATCCTTCGCCGAAGACGAGATCAAGTAATGTTGCATTTGTTGATTGTTGCCCTAAAAAAAGAAAACCAGAACTTCACCCTGAGGCCCCCAACCCCGCGAGTTCGATGATGTGTTACCCCCAAGTTCCTCATCGGCTGCAATCGTGACTATGCCTAATTTGCTGCCCATCCCCTCTACGCCGCCTGCAAAATTTTGGAGACTGTCACATATGAGCATGTTGTCTAACTTAGTTACAATTGGAACTTGAAATGCGCGATGGCGGGGATGTAATGTCTCGTACTATCGCGAAGGGCAATGCGATCATCACATTTCGTGATCGCCAGCCATTGATGGCATGAAAATAGCACAGGAATCCATCCTGGTCTAAGGCAAGAACTTGTAAAGTACGTGACATGGAAAGTATGGCCAACCGATTGAAGGACTGTTCAAAAAGCACTCACAGCAAAGTACCAATACTCTAACCTAGTCGCAGACCCCATCGTCCAATCTCGTACGTCTACAGGCTTCGTTGGTCTAAGGACATTCCGGTGTAACATAACTCAGCTACTGTACATATGATTGACTCAGTGAGTACAGTGTACGGAAGGGCACCATCCTAAGCCTCACAGAAAGGACTACTCTCAACCCAAAAAAAAAAAGCATAAGTTGGCGATGAATGAACAGTACTGCACAGTGAGGCTAGTGGGGTCGGTGGGGGTCTTCGGTTATGAGTTTGACTTTGGCCTGCGCTAGTTTGCGACTACGTCGTAGTCACTGCAGCGGATTTTCGGCTGCACGTCAGCCATGGATGTAGTACGCAATTCATATCTACGCAAGGAGCGCTGGTCCATCGAAGTACTTAGTCGTCTTTTATTAGCTGTGTTTTATGTAGACACGACTAGGCATCGATTTTCGACTACTACAGGTGTGTCAAGATTGAGGAAAACTTGCCATCGTTTTCAAAAGCAGAGTTACGGTCAGGAAAATCATGTACAAGAGTAGTAGAGGTGCACAAAAAAGGGATAACAAGCAGCCGGCTGGTTTCAACCTTTTTAGTATCGCTCTATGTGACGACCCTTACAAGGGAGCCCGATGCTTTTGATCGTGCTGCTAGGTTGATCTGGCTTGATCTCAACGACGATGAGGTGGATACCTTTATCAACCAGGCACCGACGAGGCTTTTAGAAGGCATGAGTGCACTTAACTGGTGGCCCTCTCCAGAGAGACGTCAGGAGTGGCCACGCCTATCACAAATGGCGATCGAAATATTGTCTATACCTGGGCTCTCTGACGAAGCTGAGCGCGTCTTTTCTGGAGGGAGAAGGACTTGTAGATGGGATAGAGCAGCACTAAGGGCCGCCTCCATTGAACGTGCAAAGTTTCTTAAGAGTGTATAGCGATTGGGGGTCACATTTGGTGATAGGATCATAGCTAAGTGAACAGTCTCCTAAGTTATAAAATTCTTGGCATTCGGAAGTCGACAGTCGACATACTATTCGACGGTCGATGAAATTTTAAAGTCGACTATCGGGTACAGGCCTGACCGTGACCATGGCGGGTCTGGAATCCTGATAAACGTAGTGTCTTATAGTCGAATAATTGCTTTTCCCAGGAATTATTAGTATGAACGTATATTGGTAAGCATTAGTCATACAAATCAGTGTAATATCTTTTCGAGCTTACCACCGCGGACCCAGCCGAAGATACTAAAAATGGCAGACGAATTAATTGAACCTCGTGATTAATTCATTTAAAATTTTAGGAGACGACGATTAAATTGATTAATTCTAAAACAGGCCAATTGAATTGATTGGAGGCCTGCTATGGACTCTTGTGTTGTTAATGGCCGTGGTAAGCGAGGTGGAAGGGAAGAGCTCCTAATCCTGTAGACTTGGGTCGTGTTAAGTAGGAAAATACTAGTTTTTCCCAGCCGCGTTGGAAGATCTTCTCTATGAAGGCTTCCTAGCAGCAGCAGTGCAAGCTGTGAGCATTCTCTGCTTGTTAATGGGTTTAGTGGCCGAGATACCTCGCCATTTCCCTGGCTTCTGGTAATAATGGTGTTTGAGAGAGGAGACCCAGATCTTATCAAGGGGCTGTAAAGCTTCGCTAGTATGGGTGGCACGTATACCAAGGCAATTCTTATCCAGAGGATGTAAGCATGAAGCGGGCTGTGAGGTGAGTGTTATGACCATCTAGTATTTGTATCATCCACGGCCTCGGCCTTTGCTTAGACTCCCGGGGATTTGGAAAGCATCGTCTATCCAGTATGCTAAGACGAGCAGACACAGCCACTAATGACAGGTACCTCGTTGCCCTGAAGCTGTACAGGCGAGGTTCAACCAAAAAATCTGACCGATAAATGCTACAAAATGCAGGAACGCAATCAATGCAAAGACTCCAATGTTATATGAACGACATTTCTCGATCGGTTCGTCATGTCCATTATCATCTTCCGTGTCTGATAGCAAACTGTGATCTTAAAGCTATCTTTGCTCCTCGGGCCGCACTTTATGGCCGTAGAACTCGCCTTTGCCTTCCAATGCCGTACAGGCGAGGCAAACGCCTCCTCCGTAGACGCGGATGTGCCGTTTCCAACCTGCCCCTGCGTTGTTTAAAACAGATATGATTTCTCCTTTGACATTAATCCCGTGAGTACGAAAGGACTTATGCGGCGTAAGTGGTAGGGTTGGAGTTAACGAAGGGAAAGAACTCGGCGAGGACGAAGTCACGCTTCCATCTTCCTCCAGCCCCGGCACCGGTTGAGGTGGTCCGAGAGGCAACGTTTTCGTATAAGACCTCCTCCTCGGCGTAGCAGGTGAATTAATGGGCTGTCTCAGGGCCGAAGAAGAAGATGAAGAAGTGTAGTCCGGGTTCGGTTGGCTGAAGAAGTTGTTGTCTAGGTCTCCCGTTGTTAATAATGCTATATGCACGCGTCGTTCCGCAAACGACACTACTTTTGTTGATAGTATTGGACGTGTTAATGGCGGTGGAGGCGGCGGACGAGCCCTTAGATGGTGCGTTAGCGCAACTTCAAATACATAATTCATAGCCTACATTGCGTCGTTCCCATTATAGAGCGGTTCGAGTGTAACCTCCACTCCGAGTTGAGCAGACGCCGGATGCTTGTTGGCTGACATGTCCGTCCTAACACTTTTGCTAAATGCACGTGACTTCGCCCCTTTCCCTGGTTTAGGTGTTACAGAAGGGAGTTTTCCTAGTCCACTAAGTCCGCTAGCCATCTTGTCAAATGACTTTCCTCTTATATCTTATGACAAATCGAAGTGCAAAAATGAACAAGAGCGCGGCGGTAGCAATGCTAATATTAGATAGGAGTCGTAACGGATCCCAGTGTGCTAGCGTAAGACGGGGTTGCAGCCTAAGAAATGATACCCACTATAGTTGTAGGGTATTCGGGCTGTTAGGGAAGATCTACGGGCCGAAGCTGTGTTGTGCAAGCACCCGCCTACCCCTAATCCAGTCTGGAGTCTAGTGGCGTCTCGAGTCTTTAGCTCTATTTTCTGAGACACTTGTGACAGTCTGCGTAGCTCGAGATAATAGAGACTCGCTTTCATTAGCACACAACATTTATCAATACGGGTTACTTACCATTGTCTCTAGTAAAAGAAAGAAACAGCTAGTAAGAGTCTTAAATGTTCCCCGTCGCTGGATCGCTGAAGCCGAATGACGAATTAGCCTCGCCAAGCGACTTGCATGGCCTTATTATGGCGGTAACACACGATGTGACTCGGTAAAGAAGTTAGGTGGTTAGGCCAGCACCGGACTGCAGGGTCAACCTGACCTTACTAGCGATGACCTTAAAAATGGCGATGTACATTAGTATTCCGTTATTATCTCTATGAGCTCTCTAACCTCTACGCTCGCTGACTTTTGGGCGAGTTAAAACCTATTAGGTGCGCCGGAGAGGCGTCGTTGCTATGGCGTATGCTTGCCGTATACGGCCAAGTAATCTGTATCCGTTTCAGACCTGATAATATGAGGTATATTAAGTAAGTGTTATTGTCCTTCTCAAGTGCTATGAGATGTACCTGCTAAGCCTACTGTCATGGCAATGCGCCGATATAAAGTCGCTGAGGAACCGTTAGGGGCGCTTAGCATGCCAGAATACTGCTTTAACAAGGCGTTAAGACCTCCGAGGCTGCGGTAAGTTCCTTGAGTATATGGCTTGGCTTCCAATAGTCAGTGACAAGGCTGAAGTTCCTAGGTTCGTAAAGTGCGGAGGTTTTAAGTAACGTGACATGAAAAGGGCAGGACGCTGTTAGATTATCAGTTATTATTAGTCATCTCTGATAATATGACAGGATAGGACGGTGCAACTTCTTACTAAGTAGAAACACTAGCGTTATAGTGTAACAACACGATTATAAACGGGCGAGACTTGGTAACGTGTCGTATCACTGGTGTTCCTTTTACAAGCTCGGAACTAAGAACTAATCAGAGATACTACACATCACTGATTTCTGGGAATATACTACCCCACTTTAGTCCTTCGGTTTGGGCAAGCTAGATATGAGGACTTTTGTGTGGAAGTTCCCATGGAATACGCATTTAATTTAACGCGTAGTAACTATAACCGGGTGGCTACCGCGGTAAATGAGGCCTCCCACTATGGAGGAGCAAGTTCTTAGTATCCGAAGCGTTTGTAAGGCTTAGTCGAGCTCTTTTAAAAAGGTTTGGTCTAAGCCGTCCAAGATGCGCACAATCTAGCCGCTAAAGGGTTAGGGGTTAAGCACGGAGGATCTCGGGAGATAGTTCTAAAATTAAGTAAATTAAAAATCAAGAAGCTAAAGAAAAGAAGAGATCGTAATTTACTACTACTTTATACCCTCTAAGTGTTTCCTAGTCGCTATTTAACCCGATATTTGATTAGAATTCGGCTCCGACAAGGATCGAAATCATTCCATTTAATTTATTACACCCTTGATATAGTGGATGGGCCAGAATTTACCGAATTGCCAGCCAAATGGATCCATTTTGTACTAAGATGGATGGATTCGTAATTAGGTGGGTTTATATGAATTAGCATTACGTGGCAAACCAAATCCCCGATTAGGAAATCGTGATAGGATCTATGGTCTTTTGCGGACTAATCCTAACTTCGTCTTATTTCGCTAAGCGTATATTTAGAATTCTGTACGCCGTTAATGTTACGCCGCTTTACCCCCACCTTAATCACTCGTTTACAGTTCTAGAAGCCAAGCTGGGTTCCTAAATATGGGCGAAGGCAGCGACTTATATTAATTATAACGTGACAGCCCCTAAATATCCTAGGCGGATATACCTTTCAATATTTATTATATCGAGATCAAAGTACTCTTAAAGGATAACAAGAGGTAGAATGGCCGTAATTTAAATTAACTTAGTATATAAAAGGTGTAAACAGAACTTGTGATACATAAGAGCGTGATAAGATAACAAGTCCAAGAAAGCGAAACGCGAAATCAGAAAGGGGTCCTTGGACAGGGCTGGCTAACTAGCTAGATACAGGCTCGCTAAGTAAGGCTAAACCTAGCCTAAATAATGGCCTACCTTTTGCGGCCGCTATCGCTGCTCCTTTGTAAGGCTATTCTGGCTAGACAGCCGATTCAATATAGCGCGTTACTGCGTGTGGAAGCTAAAACGGGGCGCGTAACACCTTAATCCACTCCTCGATTCTAATTGCCAGCTCTGCCTGGGACTGCTAATAAGTGTGAACCCATGATGTCCTCTCGTAGGTTCTATTTTAATTCACGGGATTTCCTAAGTCTAAATACGTGACAAAGCCGGTCTAATATAGCTCTCGTCACTCCTTTTTGAGATCTGTTATAACAGAAATTCAACCGATAAGTTTGAGCGACGCCTTAGGCGCGAGCTGGATGCATGGAAACTCGCTACCGAAGCGCCGTGTGGTTTTTTATTTAGGCTTGGTCGACCTTGCCACACATTGCCGATTCGCGTGGAATGGCTTCCAGCACCATGCGCAGCCGAGGTCGAAGGTGTTCTCCGTTATTCCTCCACGATTGCACAGTCTCTTTGCCAGGAAACAGTCATCCTCGGGGCATCTCAGCTACGGGTACCGTCCGCATACGACGAGCGACAAGGCACCCGTGTTGTTTCTGCATGGAATAGGTATCGATCTATGGCCACAGAGTTCGCAATCAATCAATTCAATCAATTATCCCAAATGGATTGAAGTGGTTGATTAAGGAAAATGCCGGATTGAATTGATCAATATATTGATTCGATTAATTGATTGTAAACCCTGTCGAGGATGTAGTCTTGTCTTGTGATGAAAAGGCGGTAGCAGGATACAGCAACTTGTATACAAGAATGAGATTGTAAGTGTCGAGATGGCTCGAGTGTTCCCAAAGTCAAAGTCACAAGATAAACGGTAACTGGGAGTCCTTGAGAAAAACGGGAAATCACTCCGAAGAGAGACCGCCGCTGGCCACTTGTCGGTCGCGTCCAATGCGCGTAGTCCTATGACCACTTTTCACCATTGCCAACAGCGCCGGCCGAAACGATACCTTTCTCCTCTTGATGGTGTCGAAAGTGGATTAACGCAAAAGCCATCATGGACAAATGAGGACCTAGAGCACCAATGTCCAGATCCAGCGCTGCCATAGGCATGGCTTAACGAGCGGGTCGAGCGAGCGAATCGAGCGAACGGGAGGATCAAGCGAACGAGAGGAACGAGCAGTCATAGCGCATGCAGACACTATGTCTAGTTGCTCGCGTGTTCTGACAGCACAAATGCGGCATTTATCCATTACTAACTAGGTCAGCCACGTACGGCATTCATTTGAGTTGTACAGAATGAGGTTGAACAAAAGGGCATGGAGGCTGCGAAGGCAACTATTATGGGTGTTTCAATTATACATATGCTATATTTATAGTGGATACTATATAGGCCCTGGATCGAGATCTAGGAGGTTGCGTCTCTACATCGGCTCTGCTCCGGATGGAACAGGTTCGTAGCCGGCATTACGTACATGTTATAGAATCTGTCTTCGCCGACCTTATCTCAGCTATCATATCCGAGGGAAGCGGTTGGTAACGCTGACCTGCTACAGCGGAAGTTCATCTCAGCTATCATGCTCGAGGGAAACGGGTGGTAACGCTGACCTGCTATAGCGGAATGTTTTTATATCTAGCAGGACATGGTTAACTGCTAGATGGACACGAGTGTGAAAAAGAAGAAAGGAAAGAAAAAGTCTAGGACAATCTGCGAAAAGCCAGGATTATATAGAAGAATCTGGGTGGGCCTAGTTATGTGATTGATGGGGTGCGTCTGGCCAGCCTCCATCTTTCGTGTTGTGCCAGAGGCGCATTTTCATCTCATTAGCATGATCGATGTAGTAGGCAAGAATCGGGTGGTGAGAAGCGGGAGCTGCAGCAGCTAGGTTGGCCACCCCGCACGATAATTTCCAAGCCAAGGCTAGCAAACGAATATTCCACAGCGGTTTATCCGCTATGTCAGGTACTGCTAGTGAAACGAAGTCATAAGCGGTTAAGCCTACCAAGCTACACAGAAGAAATATGAATTTAGGCATACTAGTATACCACCAAATATTCCGCTTCTTTTCTTTAAGAGATAGTGTCTTGGGGCTACCTGATAGCAGTGATCGGAATGGTCTGGTATGAATTGGTATTGGTATGGTAAATACCGCCAAGACTTGGTATGGTTTGGAGAATTCTTAATACCATGGTTTTACCGGTCTACCATGGCATACTAGTTAGGCTAAATGGGCTAAAAATAGGATAAGCTAATGGTGCTAGGCGGCTGGGTTCTGGACCAAAATGGCTAGCGCCTTAAGGTCAAGAATTTTCTCGGCTTTGACCTTACAATTCTACGACGCGTAGTTGGCCCGTTGGCGGTATTAGGGTATAACCTATGGAATCTCCAGCTCCAAGCTCGCCGTCCTCTTCGGCTACAGGCTTAACACCGTCACCCTTCAAGACTCCTACACTGTCGCCTGCTCCCACACTACCTCTCTCGACGCCATCACCTGCTCCCCTTCAGTATCCCGAACCTCTAAATGAATTTGCGCAAGACAATATCACGTACCTAAACCGCGAAAAGACCACAAATAAAGCAGCCCGTCTTGGCTCATCACATGTATGGAAGTATGGCCTTCGCTACATCCGAGACAGTGATAAGAAAGAGGTGTATTACTGTCACGAGTGTGCAGCCGGAAAACAAAAGCAAGAGCTTTTTGTCATTAATGGCACGTCTGGAGTGAGAAACCATCTTGAACAGAAACACTAGATCGACCCTTAGAGTGGTATTAAAAAGCGTAGTCGGACATAGAAGTCTGTCCTCGAGCAATAGAGGAGCGCGGCTGCTACCAATACCTTCTTTTGGAAAGACTCGATTGAAAAGTTTAAAGAGCTTCTGGTTCGTTGGATTGTGTATTGCTACATTGCTTTCTTTCAATTAGAAAACCAGTATTTCCGAGAGCTATTGTTCTTTTTGAATCCGGCACTCCTTAGTTATCTTCTAAAGGCAGCGAAAACTATCCGAAGCTGGGTTATGGATGCCTTCTAATCGAAAAAGCAACGGCTCAAAGAGGACCTTTGGCAGGCTAAGAGTAGAATCTCCATTTCCTTTGATCTTTGGACTTTACCAAATTCTTACGCTATTCTTGGGGTTGTCGCCATGTGGGTCGATGCGGCCGGCAAGCGACAAAATACTGTTCTGGGTATACGGCGCGTGCACGGCGAACATACTGGCGAGAACGTTGGGTCGGTGGTTCTCGAGTTGCTTAGAGAATATGATGTTGGCGGAGACCAGATCGGATACTTCATGCTAGATAATGCTTCGTCGAACGATACCGCCGTTGAGTTCATATTCAAGGATCTCTGCCCATGGATGACGCCTAAGCAGCGCCGCCATCGCCGGCTACGTTGCTTGGGCCATATCATCAATCTCTGTTGCCAGGCATTCCTTATGGGCCGGGACTGTGAAAAGTACCTAGCAAAGCTCGAGAAACACCATTAACGCGGAGACTATGCGAAGGTGGAAGAGCTCTGGAAAAAGTTTGGGTGCTTGGGTCGGCTTTACAACCTCGTACGATACATCAGGCTTACCCCGCAGCGCCGTGAGGAGTTTGCCGCAATAATTGTAGGCGGAGATCTCGCCGAATTCGATAGGCTCGAACTCATTCAAAATAACTCAACACGCTGGAATTCTTGGTATCATTCGATTACGCGGGCGTTAAATGTTCGTGAACGGCTGGAAATATTTTCAGCTCGTCATGTACCTGGGAAAGGCTCCTACGGGATTTCGAACTTTAAACTTGACGGACAGCACTGGTTCGAGCTTGAAAAGATTGAGCTTGCTCTGAAGGACTTTTATGTAACAACTTTGCTCTCTGAGGGGAAAGGGACATCGCTCGCAGACTGGTTTTCAACCTTGGACTGCCTTCTCCGAGAAATAGATGAAACAAAAGAGCATTATAATGCAATCGATACCGAAGACGATAATAACTTTATATGGAAGTACCTTTAGGGGTGCGCAGATGCTGCATGGTCGAAGTGTGAGGAGTACTACAACAACTAGCAGCTGAATTGGCAAAATCGATTCCCCGAAGATCCTGACCTTCCGCCAGCGTACTATGCAGCCCAGATACTTGACCCATATCGAAAGTGGGCATGGTTCAAGCAAGAATGGGTCCTCGAAGCCGGAAAGGAAAGACAGAGGTGGTTTGACAACGCACAATTTGCGGTGAAGCAGCTCTGGGAGACAGAGTATAAAGGAAGATACCCCGTTGAGATGTTACCGCCATAGTCAGAAAAGAGAGATATCTAGACCCAGCATTCGATCGCTAGAGGGAACACAAACGTATTCGGATAGACGCTCCGGTCTCTGCCGCTGATTTGTATGAACAATACATCTCCACTGACCGGCTCTATGACGACGAGGCAGGCTGCGACGAGGCCGTTGCGTACTGGCTATCCCGCTACGATTCCTAAAGAGATCTTGCTCGTTTCGCTCTGGACCTGTTTGCAATCTCGCCCATGTCGGATGAGTGTGAACGTCTTTTCAGCAGTGCAAAGCTCACCATAGTTGATCGCCGTGGTAGGCTAAAGGCGGACATTATAGAGGCGTGTGAGTGTCTCAGGGCTTGGTATGGAAAGCCCTAGGTTGAGGAGAATGATGATAGTGAGGACTGTGGGAACGACAACGATTGGGTTGCTAGCTAGTAGTATAACACACTTTTCTCCGCTCATTCTCAAAAAGTCTTGGCACCATCAATGGTATTATTGGTCTTACCGGTAATACCATACCGGTTATTATGTAAGCTCCTGGTATGGTTTGCTTCGACCCCCCATACCAGACCATACCAGACCATTCCGATCACTGCCTGACAGTGGATGCAATATTACTGCAATTTCGCTTAGAAAGATAAAAAGGAGCGGAAATGGAAATGGAAATTGGAAATGGAAATGGAAATGGAAATGGAAATGGAAATTCTTCGTGGGTTAGTGCACTATTGACACAAATTGCCCGAATGGTATACAGCTGATGCAAGGCATCTGGCACTATCCGCAGGTAGACTGGTCTACAACCAAGCAGTCTTGGTTCGAATGGATGTCTTTACTGTTTGCTGTCTCGTTAACGCTTGCTGCAATCCACAGACTTGGATACCAACATGAGAATTAGTAGAATAGATTGTACATTCGACACAGCCTGCGTCAGCCTATGCCACATCACAGAGTTATGCTGTTTTTTGAAATCTGTCAACATCAACAAAGCCAATCTTGAGATCAAGCCTTGACACATAACCCTTATCTATGCCTACTTTCTCATCACTTGGTTCACAATGTGCACGGGCATAATACCTCTGCATGTACATACTCAGCCTGTCTGACGGATCCTTGTCACTGCGCTTAGTATAAGTTATCACCTATTTCCCCAGAAACTGACCTGAAAGCTTTGGAAATATCAATTACGCCACAAACTCTTCCCAAATAAACCTGCTGTGGAAATTCTATCTGCTAGACACTAATCGTTTCTGCTGTGAATTGTCACTGACACTTATAGCAAGATCGACAATGTACGACTAACTTTGCCAAAGGCTGGCTGATATGAAGCCATGCCCATCTCAAAAAAAGCTGACCTGACTCCAGCATCCCGACCTGTCGACATGCTTGATATGAAAGAGCCCCAGCCACGCCCAGTTATAGCTGGGCCAGTAGGAGGAGGAGGAGGCGGCGGAGGAGTTGGTGGTGGTGGCATTATTGATCTCGATGAAATAGAGACTGAGAATGGGCCTCACGGAGTTGTCTGAGCTCACAGGTAGAGCCCAAAGAAGGGTTTGATCAAAATTTGGGTTTTTTTGTATATAGGAATGCTTCCTATCGTATTTTATCCTGAACAATCTATGTATTCTATGCTTTGGTGCAGACAATTCTCAAGACTTGCGGATATGTCACGAACTGTAATTGGCTTAGGCTCGGGCTCGGCAATATACTAATCCGCGCCGTTTTCTCAACGTCAGGGCCAGGACACGTTGATGTCTTTGTGCTCTTTTTTGCATGAAAGTTTCACAACGATCCATAGTAATACAACAGCGAATCACCATCCACGTGTCGTGACTTTAAAAAGGCACCATGTTTCGCTCTACACGCTTCTCAAAGATTTCCCCGTGACTAAGCACTACTCATCATGGCTTTGCTTCCCAACATAACTGAAGAACTACAAGACACCATCGCGGGCCTCGACTGGTCGAGCGACAATGAACCCTCACTGCCTCAACTTGGACAACCTGATATCCGCCAGATACCTTGGCGTTCTGGCTTCGACAGTGTGGTCGCTCAAGTAATAGACCAGGCAGTACATGTTTAACCTCTTTTTTGTCTGGAAGACACTAACATGTGCAGAGCCCTCTGCTCAAGGAGCATGAGCCGAAGCCCATGAATTATGTCCCAACTGCTCTATTAATTCAAACTGGAGGGTTGCTTGACTCGAGGGCCCGTTTTAGCATCATCGTCAAGCGGGATAAAGAGACTGCGGTCGATTTGAGACAACAAGGCCAGCACTTTACTACCACTTTGCCTCAGGTGTCCATCCTTGACCAACACGTAGGATTAGCCAAGGCAGAATCTCAAAACGGTTTGCTTTGCTTGTGGATACGATGCTATCTGAAGGAGCAATATATAGAGAAGTTCGGACCGGAAAGCTGGTCAGATAAGAAATGCTAGGTATATAGGACCGCCAGGGCCATTGTTGGTATTGAGGTCCAGATCCATAAAATCATTCCCATCGAAACATGTACAAGTCTGCCACTCCCTCGTGTTCTCCTTGCATTATCCCCGATATTGGTACGACGCCCTCCATACTGGTATGAGAAAGGAAAGGAGCATGCTGAGAAGTGCACTGCACGGTTGTCTGCATGTTCCAGTTTATGGCAGCCACCAAAAGCTGTGCGCCAAATGAAGCAGATGGGATGTCCGTCAAACGATAGTAAGCGTTGATGGCGGGCCATTGGGCACCAATACAATGAAATATTCAGAGCAAGTCACGGAAGGAATTGCAGTCCGCAGGTGCGAAGCCAGAAGCTCCCATTTCAGAGCTTTGCCGCATTAGGGTACTTGGAATCAGTATCCCAAAACGGCTTAGATTTGCCCAGCCGTGCACAACCTTGTCGGCCGCTTCTGCGTATACCACCAGATGCACCATTACTTTTTTGTGTTTTGTAGAAGCACCCCTTCTGTCTTACTGCACATATTTTGGTAGTGTTAGTTTGCCCTCTAGGGGAATAGCCCGGGCGTAATAAACTTGTGTGTGTGTGTGTGTGTGTGTGGGATCGATGAACGGGTCAACTCGAGGGATGTAGATACGCAAGGCTATCTGCGTAGCGCATCTGGAATCCTGTTGGAGTATCAATGAGGGTATCACGTGACCTGTGTTAGAAAGCAAATAATACAGACAATAGCCAACACATCACGGCCCTCAGAAAAAAGAAGAACGATCTAAAAGATGAATTGACTAGATGCACGCGAATGTCTGACACAAGACTACCACGACTAGTTCTACCGGCACAGCTGTCAGGGTGCACTTTCCAAGTAGTAAGGTTTCGATGGACTGGCAAGGTGGCGAATATGCAAACTACAAATTGTGCCATCGTATGGATGGAAGATTATACTTCTACTCTTTCCAAAGCTTTAGATGCTCGTCAATAGGATAGTCAGTTGAAACGTACATTGACTGCGCCTTTTACAACTACCAAGCACACACCTCAAAATATACGTTGTTTCCCTTCAAGCCCCACCGACTCCAATTATGACCTGGCGGCGGATTGGGACCCATGATGAGTACGATAGAAACTGGGGAACGGCAAGGCAAGTCCGTGTCTACTCTCCACTGCTATCTGATCACTTATTCCATCCTTTTGGCCTAACCATACCTCCCCATCCCTCGCTGCAAGATAGCCACCTCACCACCATCATAGAAAAAACGAACAGCCCGCTTGATGACGTACCAAATACATGGTCCGGATCAAACAGTCCATCCCAGATAGCCCTCATCAAAGCGCGGGGAACCACGACAAGCACAGCACAAGACCATCCTGTCCAAGCTGAGTTGACACGTTCCACTCCTTCATACCTCTGACAACTGGCCCGTCGCCACCAACTATCAACTTCACCTTCTTCATCACGGCTGTCCAGCCTGGAAGATCCTTCACTTCGAAATAGAGGGCCAAGTATTCTCCTAGCAGCGCCCAGTGGCCCCTCTCCACCCAGCTTGTCCCCTCCTGGTTCCAATACCAAGCCTCTCCCGCGGCATAACAAGCTATTAACCCAATCTCAAAAATGTTCCTCGTCGGAGGCAAGTGGAGGACTCGACCTCTGCTCTCCATGGGCGGGAAATATGACTTCTGGTTGTACACACTCCTGTCCATTTGAATGTTTGCCCTCAAATGCGGGGTCGTGGGAAAACGGCCACCCGATGGTCGCCCGCAACCAGTGCTGCCCCTCACTGGCAACAAACTGACAATTGGATTGACACCTCCATGTCTTGAAACTTCGAATGCGCGTGTTGTATAAATGAGCTCCTTGTTGGAAGGGTAAAAACCGTAGTGCAACTACTCCATGCCACCGGGTCGTCTCTGGTGTGCTGTGTGCAGTTCAGTGCTCGAGTGGAAATGCTGTGTGGTGCGCAATGCTGTTTGAGATCCAGTGAACATGATGGAGGAAGAATTGGTGCCGGCAACTGGCTTCCGTCCGCCAACCACATAACCTTCAGATCTGATTCTGATGCAGACCCACCACGACACTTTTGAATGTCGGTACTCTACATGACCCTCCCCAGAAAACGCATTTGGGCCACCACTGGGTCAAATACAGTACACGGCCACCATGGGTCCATGCCGTCGACCGCCCGAAATGAGCAGACCGGAAAACCATTGCATATATCGTCTGTTCATCAATGTCCCTTCGCTCATTTTGGATGCGTTCATTCTGATTCATGTTTTATGGAAGCAGAAACAGCTGTCTCCACGCTTGATCTACATTGCTAGCGGGCACCACAAAATCGGCTACTCTGGCTGTCTCCACAATCTGTCGGGTAGGCTTGCACTTATTAATTGCACTCCGGTTGTGTCCGTCGATACAACTGATGTACGAACTGGGGTGCAAAGAAGCTATAGTTCAGGGTCCCAAGTTGTTGGGAGTTGGAGGCGGGGCTTGAGTACATTAGTGGATGTTGCCGCTTTCCTCACTTACGTCAGTTTCCCTGGGCAAAGATTTGGTAAGATTGTTGATTTTAAAGTGCATTGGATGGTTGGAGTCATCGGAGTACCTGATCCAGCAGGGATCCCAGTTTTCAGTGAGCGAGCCGCCTCCAGTCATAGGGTATCTTATGGAGCACATAAGTAGCGTGCTCGCGATATGGACGTGTCATGGTTACTTATCGTTTTTGCATCCACATGGCTGATACTATAGTAATTGGATACCGACCTTCGGGCATGTATACTTGGTCCCACCAAGCCACGGCGACGTGACCGGAATGTAAGGCACAACCGGCTTTGAAGGCGGGGAAGTTTAACCAATGGATAGCGTGCTAGTGCGTTTATTGAGTCAGACACGTAAAAATTAAGATAACTCATAGCATATATAATGGGAAATTGACCGACATCCTTTTTGGGGTCGTTTTCTATAGTATTGTTGAGAAAAATGCCCCCCCCCCTCCCCCCTCTTTTTTTTTTTTTTTTAAAAAAAATTTACATCTTGGTTTTAAAAAAAATATTCTTTTCTTAAAAAGTTAAATATTTTTCTTTCCAAAGGTCGTGACTGGTGAGGTAAGCTAGACCCTGCGATCTGGTGCTGGCAAACTACTTGAGTTGCTTGAGGAGTTTGGTCGTGTTTGCCCGCCATGAATATGCCTCACTAGTCGCTTGGCGATGCAACTTCTTCAACAGTACAGAAACTCGGTAGGTACATTTGAGCTCCCGCCGGCCGTTCCAATATTTTAACTAGAGACAATTGAGTAGACCATAAATACCTATCGTGTTCTAATGAAAACAAAACTCCATTATCTCGTGCTACGCAAACTGTGACAAAGTGTGTCAGAAAATCGAGCCAAAGACTCAGGACGCCACGGGACGCCACTGGATTACACATATGATAGGGCCGCAGATCTACCCATTTATGATAGCCATTGAACAGCTTGCAGCTATAGTGTGCCCCATATCCTTAGCCGCTAAAAACAGGCCCTGTGCCATTGTTATTTTGTAGGTCACCCTGGTCCGCTTGGCAAGTACAAGCGAACGCCACAACTACCACAAGCGTTTATCACATCCAAGCTGGACCTTAAAGGGTCACCAACGCTAATACGCAGAGTGGCTTCCTGTGCTTCTGTCAAAATTCTTCGAGGCTATTATGTGTGCGACTAGATCTGAACTTTGGCACGAACATTTATATCCTGCAACATACATTAAGTACGGTTGGCTGTTGGGAGCAAATCATCTCGAGGTTTTACTTCTCCAAGTGTTCAAGTTCCTATGTCCGGCAGCTGTAGTGCGAACTGCTAGGTTAGTACCTGTGACTACACGTCGTTGTTGCAAAATATCTCCAAGTTATGGCGTTGATACACCCGCTTCCCTCCCTATCTTGAAGTATTTCAGTCTCCATGGCATATATAACAGTGTTAATTCCCGATTAATTGCTGTTTTATACGTCTAATTATTCATAAGCAGCACTGGGACCATAAATGCCGCCATGTTCTCCGTAAGGAAGTGATTATACTGGAATACATTGGCCATGGATGTTCGATGCATCTTTAATCCACGGTGTGAAGGAAAGCTCCGATATCAACGACGTAAGGTGTCGCAAAAATATTGACACGATCACGGAGTAGTTCGACAGTCATTTACCAAAAGTCAGAGGGTATCACGATTGAGAATATTAAAGGCGCGACCCCAAGCCCCTTCCGTTGTGGAAGTAGGAAAATATGTCAGCACTATTGGCTGATTCTAGAAGACATTCCTCCGAAACCAAGGTCACATACAACTAACCAACCCTAATGTCCAAGGGGTCCCGATGTAGGAACGAATTACTCTTCACTATTACAGAATTAAATTGGAATCTCCAGAGCTAAAGGTGAACACCAAAGTATGTTAGCTAGCATTAGAGTTATAAAGAGTTTAGCTAGTATCCGAAGCGTCTGTGAGGCTTGGTCTAGGCCCTCGAAAGAAGCTTAATGTAGCCACTAGAGGGGCTTGGGGTCAGGTACGGGAGGATCTTGACGAGATAGTTCTCAAATGGAAGAAAATTAAAAAATCGAAGCTGAAGGAAGCAGAGATCACAGATTTACCAAGTACCTTGTATCCTTTAAGCATTTCAGAGGTGCTGTTCAACCGGACGGTTGAGTCGAATTCGGTGCCAAAAGGGATCGCAACCAATTAATTCAATCCACTGCAACCCCGATGTATTGGATGTTCCTAAATCTACCGGATTACCAGCAGTTACCCCTCGGGACATCTTGACAGGATTTGTGGTCTTTGTCGACTCATCCTAACGTCCTCTTATTTCGTCAAGTGCATGTTGAGAGACACTGTACGCCGTTAGTAATTCGCCGCTTCGCATCCACCTTGACCACTCGACTGAAATTTCCATAAGACAAGGTGATAGCGATTTATCGTTGTTCGCTTTTCATTCCCCACCAGGCTGTACCCTTAAGAGACTGGGAGCGAGACAGCTAAGCCCACTCGAATGCTTCCCATTCCAATTAGCTTACCGACCATCTGTGCCTATCGATGCGTTGATGCCGTTGATCATCTAAGGGATTCGTACTTTACCTTCGGGTTCCTTCAAGCATACTGTCGCTCATTCTTTCACCCAGCCCGTGACCGACAAAACAGTTTCGTTGGAGTGATTTCTCTTCCTTCTTTATGAGCCCTCAGTTTCTGTTTATCATTTGGCTTGGAATTTGGGCACTCGAGCCGTCTCGATACCAGACTATCATTCTGTTATACAAGTTGCGGTATCCCATTATTGTCCTTCCACCACAAGACAAGACTACATCCTCGACACAGACGGAGTTCAGTCGAAGCAAAAACTGTGTATAACATCATCACCTGACTCAAAGTTTACTAGACAATCTTGTTACCCAACTCAAGGTTGCCTGCCGCCTATTCTTTTAGAACAGAACGGAACCCCCTATCATTAGGCCAACTGCCTATGAACTGTATACAACAAATACCATATTTAAATACAGGAGAAGGACTACGACTGTAGAGGGTAATTGAAATGTATTTATTGAATACACAGCAGGTCAGTTACCCCACGGGAATCATGAAACTCAAAGTCTCACATCTGCAGGATATGGATCCCAACATGATGGCATCGCAGGTTATGGCACCTGCTCAATTCTTCTACTGTAGCCCCGACCAAACATTGGGCAACCGACAGCATCGCCACTTAAGTCAACAACCTGCTATGCAGCATATGTCAATGTACCCTGTTGTGCCTACCCTCCCATCAACCTTGGTCTATTCAAAACCTAGTTCATCTTGCTCGCAGCCGGCGACGCAGCCCAAGATGCTGAGTGTCATTCCCTCTAACTTGACACCGATGGCTTCCCCCAAGCTTGCATATCAAGGGCCCACAATCATATTGCAGAATGGTGCTGCAAAGCTGATGCTGGAGACCGAAATGTACGACAACGAAAATAGCTACTACCCAGCAACACCAGCTTTGTGTACTGCTGGTAGTCACGTTGGTTACCCTGGCAGCAGCGATGACATGCTCGCAACTCTCATAAACCCTATGTTCTCTGGCTTCGACGGATTTGAAAATGTTAAGCCTGATGTGGTGGCATTGCCTGATGGTATGGAGGCACAAAACTGGACAAATTCTGTATCGCCTCCCATGACACCTAGTAAGCATAACACATTCACTGTTTCTCATTAGTAATTACCGCGTCAATTTATCGACCAGTGATATCAAGGTTGAAAAGTTGATGGCCTTAATTCACTCACCGGCTCGTTTTGGCCGGCGCGTGGCTACTCGAAAATTGGCAAATGTCAATTTAATAATCTGGAACCAACAGCAGTCTAACTTTTTCTTGCAGGCTACCTCTCGCAATCCCAAACCGGGCCAAGCTCTGTCACATCCGGGTGCATCAACCCTCGCGATATCCTTAGTGTTAGCGGTGTATCGACAACTAAGTTCACCTGCCTTGCAGCAATTGAGCAATTCAAGACGGACACCCTCAAGCCAACCGTGCTAGCCACTTTCGAGCTCAACCCTGTGCTTCACCACCGACTTCCCTCCTTTGACGAGCACTCTGATCTTGAATCTGAGGAAGATGTCTTTAGCGGCATCGTCAATCTGCACAAGAAATCTGCAAAGGACCTACAGCGATCTCGTTCAGCTACTTGCTCCACAATTTTGTTTCCTTTCGTTGGTGGGGTTGAAACCGCCTACGAGGACACCACATCAGTTGCCGTTACCAGAATTGCTACCCTTGGAAGCCCATCAGAAGACGAAGCTCGCCCCGCCAAGAAAGTTAAGTCCGATAAGGAATCAAATAAGCCCGTGATGAATGTTGCTGCTGATTCTCCTAAGGCTGGCAGCGCCCCTCAGCAACAATCTGCAGCTGAGGAGGAGTCTTCGAAAGCTCAAACCGTCGAGAACTCAAACGCCACAGATGCTGCCACACCTAACTTACCGACACCCGCCAAACGCCGCGGTCGCAAGCAGTCATTGACGGATGACCTTACCAAACCATTTGTTTGCGAGCTGTGCAGTCGCCGTTTCCGTCGCCAGGAGCATCTTAAGAGACACTGTATGTGCTGATGCAATGCTACTTCCTCGAAATTATAATCACTAACCTCTTCTCAGATCGATCGCTTCACATACAGGACAAGGCCTTTGAATGCAGTGACTGTGGCAAGAAGTTCTCACGAAACGACAACCTCGTTCAACATATCCGTACTCACGGTGATAGTACCATTGTCACAAATCTCATTAACGACGTAGGCGGAACCTACGACATGTTGGCACAGCCACGGCCGCTGACCCCGCAGGGCAAGCCTGACCATAACAGCTTCAGCAAGGTCCTGTTCCAGGTAGACAGTGAGGTCTCAGGCAGTAGTGGTAGCGAGTTCTCTTCAGATGAGTCCAACGTTAGACTCAGTGGCAAGAGGCGCAAACGGTCTGCGTAGAAGCTTCTCAAATCAGCCTCACACGAGATATAATCATTTCCAAGAATCAGCAATCTGTGCCGCTTACACTCGACATTCACGCATTGATCGACTCCAGGCCATTCTGCAGACGTGATGTTGGCTAGCGTCTCCCCTCTATGGTGGTTATGGTTACCTGAGCCCCAAGAAGCGTCGCCAGCGCTGAAATCACCCGCTATAACACATCCAACGGAAGGGATCCACTCCCCCCTAATTTGTCGGCCTGCTCCGGATCTGTGCTTGGCCTGCATACACTAACAAAAGTAATACCCCGCACATTGACCCACGTTACGTCCCTGGTCTTGTATGGCTGGAGCTGTTGGGCTTGAAGGTGCTTTCTCACATAGACCAGCGACCTTGGCCTGGTGGTATTGTTTTCCCAGCTATCTACCGGAGACAAGAAAAGACATAGCTGGGTTGTGTCTTGACCATCATACTCCTTCCCGGCGGAACACATCGTGATCATATAAGGCTTCCAAGCGCGCGAGACGATGGAAGCAGGTTCTCCCGATCATCTCAGCATAGGTTGACCCGGCCATAAGTAACAGCCCATCTCCCATTTCTCTCCAGACACTCTTCATCACCTTTCAAGTGTTACGGGCTATGGGCCGTGCATCAGTTGTCAGCCAAAGCCTCCAACCATGAGCGCGACCATGAAGCTCAACACGACTAGCTTATAGGCACGGCTGACGGCGTGCACTTTCCCTAAGCAATAAGGTTCGGACGGACTGGCGAGGTGGCGAATCTGCAACTACAAATTGTGCCATCATATGGATGAAAGATTGTGTTTCTATTCTTTTTCAAGCTTTAGATGCTCGTCAATAGGATAGTCAATTGAAACGTACATTGACTGCGCCCCTCGCATTAATAACGTAAAGAGTCCAATCTACATCTGGGCCCTGGCGTCCACGCCAAGGCTCCTTGCGACCCCAGTCCTTGGCATGCCGTTTATTAGAGAAAAAAGAGATAAATGGGAGAGATTCTCAACAGCTCCATGTGAATTGTTTTCTTATGGCTTGTTTGAATTCATTCAATTCATCATAACGGAAGGTTTTGGTAGTGTCCAAAGCAACAAAGCCTTGCTGGGATGAGAAAGATGTTCGGCTTCCAGCGTAGTGAACGCGGTAAAGCTCATTGGGAAGATCGCATCTGGAGCAGACGTATTCGTCCATGTTTATCAGGTCCTGTGAGTTGGTTTTATGAACGAGAATCGAAAGACTCAGAGTTGAGGAAAACTTTATTAAGCAAGGCTATATACGCTCAATGAAGAATTCTTGAAGTAGGAGTTCCCCGCTTTGGATCTGAATAAAGCTCTATGGGTACAATCCGGACGAAAACCTGGAAATGCGTGTGGTGTAAAATGTCACGCATGTGGCGTAGAAGGGACGTTTCTCGAACTTTCTATGGGCAGGTTGCGCGGTAGCACGCCTGGCCCATGTTGCAGCAGCAATATCCCTCGCCCTTGCCACACTGCCATCCCAACTAGAAGATCCAAGTTCTTCATAAAAGATTTGATAACCTGCCATTCATAGTTTTCTTCGTGTTATAAGCCTAATTTTTGTTTAGAACGTACATGACAATAATGTTGTAACGTTAGAAGCTTTGTGGGAGGTGCTGACAAAACAAAGTTTTTTATGCTGAACAGGAGAATTATTCAACCCAACCAATAATATTCATATCCGAGCTGGATCACCTGCAAATAGTTTAGTTGTAATTATTAGAAGACTTGGCGCACGAGATCAGAATGGGGTACGGGTATAACGGAGTTAGGACGTCCTAAGTACGACTTCAGATATTCTGTACCTAGACAGCACATAAACAGAAGCACTATGAACGCCTACAAGAGCCGCAAATAGAGCTGTTCTGGATTGCTTTTCCCATTGTAAACTTATCACTCTTAACCATTCACCCTTCCTATCATGGCCCCACTAGTCTGGCTCATCACTGGTAGCTCTTCTGGTTTCGGCCAAGAAATTGCCGTTCAGGCTCTCGAACGAGGGGACAAAGTCATAGCAGCGGCTCGTGACGTCTCCAAACTAGAGAAGCTCAAGGAAGTCGGCGCGGAAGTTATCGCACTCGATGTCACATCCGATGCCATACTTCTCAAGGAGACCGCAAGTACTGCCCACGGCTTCTATGGAAAGATAGATATTCTCGTCAACTGCGCTGGTTATAACGCAGCAGGTGTAGTCGAGGAGTGCAGGTGGGTTCAAATTCTGCCTCATTCCGGAAGCTCGATCGGAAATGTTGACCTTTTCCAGCCCGGACGAAGTCCTCGCCTCCTTCAACACCAACGTCTTTGGCCTCATGGCCGTCACCCGCGCCATCATCCCTTACATGCGCGCTCAGAAGTCCGGCACAATCGCAAACTTCTCCAGCACAATGGCCTGGACCGGCGCAGGTGGCCAAGCCCTCTATTCGGGCGTCAAGGCCGCCACCTCGGTGATCTCCGAATGCCTCTCCGCCGAACTCAAGCCTTGGAATATCAGCGTCATCTCCATAGAACCAGGTTCTTTCCGTACAGACTTCTTGGCAGGTGGCCATCTGACTCTGCCGAAGGCGCCGTTGAAGGAATATGATGGGACGCCGGCAAGGCAGGTTATTGAGTATATGGGATATTTCGATGGGAAGCAGCCGGGGGAAGTAGTGAAGGGGAGTAGGATTGTTGTGGACGTGTTGACAAAGAGTGGGAGTGCAGTGGGGAGGGAGATTCCAATGAGGCTGGCGTTAGGACCGGATGCGTATGATACTATAAAGGGGAAGTGTGAGCAGACGATGGTTTTGCTTGATGAGTGGAAGGTGATCTCGACGGCAACAAATCACGCTGATGTTGAAGGTCCATAGTCATAAGTCAAAAAATCATTTACAAGCGATTAAGAGACTTTTGAAGCTACCAAAATGAATTCTATTAATCATGGACAGCTACTCTTTTCTAAGTCTCTCAAACCCAGTTTTCGTAAGGCCAAGAACTAGTATGGAAAACAGTATGAATTGAGGCCCCGCCCACAGGATCGCTCTCTCGTCTCTTCCACATCACAATCGTGCTCGTCATCGTTGTGCTCGCTATCATCATGCCTTTATTCTGTCTCTTGGGTAGTTTTGCCTCTTATCGCCGTGTACGTCACCGTCGTGCTATGTTGTCGCCATCTCAACGTCTTTGCCAAGTCATCGTTGTCTTGCGTGCTGATACCGGGCTTCTCTCGGCAGTCTTTCAACCTTTATGGACTCTGTCATCCATATGGTCATATTCGAGTTCGTCAGCAATTTTGCAAGAGGAGAGGATTCCCTTGGGAGGCTTTGGATAAAAATCGAAGAGGTTCGTGCTAGGTGGAGCACAAAGAGAGAAAACGTGAAAAGTCGAAAGTGAAAAGTCGGAGATGGCGGAACTCAAACACCGCGGGATGAAGGGACCCGGGATAAGGAAGGCGGATGAGAGAATTCTGGTCTGGTGAAAGCGTCCACATCCTCTAGGATATGGCTGAAATAGGAGCGTTAGGTGAAGACACAGCCCGGTACAAGTTTTCGACTAGTGTAGACAATGCCGGCATAGCGCCCGGCATGTGTCTCGCTTCCGAGACGTTAAGCATCAATCAATCAATCAATTATTGTACCCATGGCGCTGGTTTGGACGCTTGGCATCCACAATCTCTTTCCATCACTGCCGTGGTGTGGCGCTAGTCAACGGCAATGTAGCTTATGCCCAAAATGTGCAACCTGAACTAATTAGCTACTACGAACCGCAGACGAGGGAGACATGGAATCAACGTCTTCTTGCCGTAGTTATTTGAGTCTACAATAATGCGGAGCGGCATAACTAAGTTCTTTAACCACTCTAGCACAGCCGACCCGTGGCCATGAAGTGGGAGCATTAACAACACCACATGCGGGTATGGTGTTGAGTGGATAATGATCGACCTCAGGGTAGCCGTTGTAAGTAATACCTATAGGGCCCACTTTTAAGAAGGAGAGAACCCTGCTCCATCGGCGAAAAAACAATAACTTCAGTCAGAACAGATTTTTGGAAATAACTCTGCTAAATCGACTCTAATCAGCTTATCCTTTATGTCACTGGAAATCCAAACAGCCCGCTCCATTTTAAGCCTACTCACGGCTCAATACGCTACCGGCGCGGCCTATAGTGGAGGAAAAGGATGTATCGGCGGCCATCGGCGCAATGGCAACGCGCCAACCGCTGAGAGTATTACGGCACATGCCCACCAACTCAACGAGGACGCTAGAGCCCTACAAGAGGCTATTCAGAACCGGCAGAAGAACAACAACGTGCCCGGAAGCAAGCTGTTGCCCTTTTGCAAGTCCGTTGAGGCTCTCGTCAAAAGATTTCTAGCGCAGACAGGGGTCCAAGCGTGGGAGACCCACCTGAACGAGATCAGCCACGCCCAGCAACAACAAGCCAAGCAAATCGAGGAACTCACCAAAGCAGTCACTATAGCGGCTATAACAGCCCAGAATAACACCACTGCCTCCGGCTCTTCGGGGCTGAAAGCAGTTCGCAGCTGGGCGAAAGTGGCCTCAGGGGAAGCCGAGCCTCCCCCGGCCACCCGGACCATCCGTTCATGGGTCTCAGCTTCAGGCAGCTCCTATCAAGAGTACGTTACAGGGTCTCAGGAGGGAGACATTAACTTCCATCTCAGTATTCCTGTCAGAGAAGTACATCAAGTTCCAAGTATTCTGATGTGCCTTCACATAAGTTCCTACAGCGCGTAAGGGGTCATCCGCAAAACGGAGATGATCCGGCATGTTTATTGCTCTAACAAGATGCGACAGCGCACCAATGGACGGGTCCTCGGTAGGGGTGGTACACCGACAGCAGAAATTTAGCGCGGTGCAACGAAACACAGACTGCCATCTTGTCAAACAGCTGTGACAGCCCTGACCTGCTTCCTGGGGCATCACGAGAAAGTTGTAATTTCTAAGGATACATATTTTGTCATTCGACCATACCACTTTTGATGCCGAGCAGTGTCATTAGTGATTTGTCCATTCGCGATCGATATAGGCACAGATGTGACATGTATCCTACCGTATCAGGAGGCGCCCGACTGCACCCCGTAAAGCTGGTCAGCCAAGTCGAAGCAGGAACGAATATGATTATAAGGTTTGATCCTGATCTTTTACCATACGACAATACTTCACTCCAGAATTTCCAAAGGACCATTCGGTGTGGTTTAGAACAGAACCCGTCCCAGAACCGTATTGGGGTCACTACCACCATTGTCTCTTGAGTGGGTCAAATCCAGAGTACAATCACTTTAGTACCAACGAAAGAAGAATGGCCGCATTTGAAGAACGATTGTAGGTCTCAATAGATGAAATTAGCTGCTGACGGAAGGGGCTCACTGTACCCAAATTGACCCTCTGTTTTAAGTAATCATGACGTTGGACAATCGCACCACAAGTGAGTCGCTTGGAAATTAACCCCCACCCTGAGGCTCTTACAGTATCTCCGCGGTTACTGTAACGTAGTCGTCTCTCATGGCGTGGTCCATGGACATGAATCGGAAATGCTCATTAGGACATCCTTGTTCCTGCAATAAATCATGGAGTATGATCTTTTGCTCGATTTATCTGCTTCTTCCCTTCTTCCGCAAGGAGCCAGATATTGGTCCACACCAGTTCCACAAGACACGATTGTGTGGAGAGGGACAAAATCGGCTGCTATAACAACTTTCGGGTACCTCGAAGCTATGCTCTTGCCTAACAACCATATCTGATTTGTCACACAAGCAAAACTAGCAATAAGCTAAAATCAGTACAAAGGTGACAGCAATCTGCGACCTTTTTCATGTGCATGATAGACTTGCAGGTCAATATCTAGCACGAGTTCCCATTCTGGTCGCCCTGGGACGAGCTCCCCTCCTTTTATAGACCTAGCATTGATCCACTCGTCCATTTCTGATGGATCCGTAATTTCAATTCCGTCCAGCAGGAATGCCCACAAAGCGACGCCTTTATAACAACGTTCCTTGCTGATCTCAATTCGAGCTACAGAAGTGTTCACGGTTATGGTCCAGGACGTGATCATACCCGCGGAACAGATCAGACATGGACTGCGTATGCATGGCATCCGCATCACCCCGCAGGATCTCACGAGGTGTGGTATGGAAGAGACCGATGGACCGCAAACATTCCCAGTGCTCGCGAAGCGTGAGTAGTCTGTCGAGCTGACCGGCGGCTATCGAATGGTTCGTTCGAGTCCGACTTTTCGTCTTTGCAGAACGTTTTTGATGGACCAGAAAAGTTCCTCGGGTGAGGTCCTACGCTGGAGGTGGGAGCCATGGTGTAAATCACCACTTGAGCTCAGCTGTATCACACCAGACCTCTTCAGGAAAACGTCTCCTGCAAAGATGAATACTAATTCATAACATAGTGCGCCGTGATGTCCGATATGCTCGTGAATTAGAGAAAAAACCATTGACAGGTTATTTCATCGAGGACCTCGAGAACTTCGATGCTGCGTTCTTTGGTATTTCTCCCATAGAGGCAGAGCAGATGGATCCGCATCAGCGCCTGGCGCTGGAGCTGAGTTGGGAGGCTCTCGAGAATGCCGGAGTTGATTCCAAAAGTCTTAGTGGGTTAGACACGGCCGTATTCCATTCATAGCCCATGCGCCTGTATCGTTTTCATGAGCTGATGAGCATGGGTCCGGCTCTACAGTTGTGAGCTGTCTATAAGGCACGTAACATTGAAGCAAGCCTCGTGGGAGCATTGCAAACATATGCCAGCAATGATGCTGTCGCATTGCTTGTGCTGAACACTTCCCCGCTTGTCGCCTTACCCCTCTTTCCGTGGTAGTCACCTAACCCGTGCCCACCCACTTTCGCACGCACCCCCTTTTGCACGCCGATTTACCGACGTTTCCTCCAACACACTGATAGATAGATACAACAACTGCCAGCCATAACACCATGAAATCAAGTCAAATAAACTATCTCTAGGTTATTTACGTGTCCGCTTTCGCGTGGAAGGTTGTATTTCGAGGAATGAGTTAATAGGGACTTGTTCATTGCGTTATAGCTTAGGCATCTTACTTTTCAGCTTGTCCTGCGCTGGTCTGATCTCTGCAACACTAGCAAAGACCTTATTCGGGTCTTTTCTGACTGTTTGACGTTTATCAGGCTTGTGATTATCTAGTTCAGCTTGCAAATTGAGGTTTGCTTGACGTGTTGTTGCTAGTTCTGCCAGCGTTATGTCAAGTGACTTAGCACATTTCCTAAGCAACTCCCTTACGTCTCTAGAAGTTTGCGAATGATTGATGGTAACGTCCCTAATTTGAAGTCGAAGGTCCTTACTATTATGAGGAGTAAACAGACCAATTTCAGCTAGATCTGACTCGTTTTGTGGTGTTGTAGGTTGAGTGTTAGGTGAAGGTGGGAAGAACTCAGGGTCACCTAACACCATTAATTCATTTAAGGGGTAAATACCCGTTTTGGCCCAGCCGCTTTCGATGATTTGTTTCGTAAAAGCAAGGGCACAAGCTTTATCATAAGCTTCAAGCATCCGTTGCTTGTTGACGGGCCCAGTAGCTTGGATACCACGGTATAGGCTTATTAGCCTATAGTAGTGGGACTTCAATGATGAGAAGACCGTCTTGTCAAGTGGTTGGAGCGCTTCGCTTGTGTGTGCTGGTAGGTATATTAAGGCAATCCTCTTCCTGAATGCCCTTAGCATGAACCCGGGTGTAACATGAGTACTATGGCCATCGAGGAGGAGCATCCTCCATGGGTTTGGGCAGTCTGGGGACTCTTGTGGTCTGGTTTCTGGCTCGAAGACCTCTAGCAACCATGATAGCGCCACTGCTGAGTTGGTCTAGCCCTTAGGGGTCGCTGTATACTCAGCTTCCTCATGATCCTCAGGTAACCATTGTGCTTGTAGTGTTGTTCCTTTTAGTATATACGTATTCGTTGTTTTCAACCCGATAGCGTTGATGCTATGGATAACTGACATCCATCCAGTTGCTGGGTTTTTCGCAACGCGTGAACGACGTGACCTAGACGTCCCGATGACTGTGCCTTGACTTTGTTCGGCTTCTTGTACACCTGTTTCATCCATATTGTAGATGTCCTTTGGTAGGATCTTATAAGTGACTTTGACCTGTGATATATACATGTAAAAGTCCTTTACGGTCTGTTTTTCAATGCCTTTAACCCTCTTAGCGTCAATTACACGTCCAACCTTAGTCTTCAAGTGTGGGTGGCGGCTAAGGAACTTGTATACCCAATTGTATCCAGGGGTGACCGTATCGTCGATTTCGCCGATACCAGTCATGATATTAGCCGCTATTTGTCGCACCATATTCGAGCCCGGAGAGCGCCCACACAGTTCCTCATGTAAAATCCATTGCTCAAGCTCCATTTCTTACAATTCAGATAGGTTCTTTGACGTTTCGTGGGCTGAGGAATGTGGTTGCGACCCGTTAAGTCGTCGCGACAAAGTAGACCGTACGATACCGAAAGCTTTGGCTGCGCGCGTTATCGTTTCGCCGTTTCGAACCAAACTAATTGCTTTTGCTACATCGCGTTCATTTGGTTTACCCATATTGAAAATATCAGATCGATAGGATTACAATTGGTTGAGTTTTGGCATTTACAAGAAAAGCGTGGTGTTGTTGACGCGTCGGAAGATCGGCGTGCAAAAGGGGGTGCGTGCGAAAGTGGGTGGGCACGGGTTAGACCTCTGCAAGACTACATCGTATGGGCAAAGGACTAGTAGAGCATGCCTGTTCAAACGTCAATTCGCGAGTTGAGTTTCGCGGATATGGTAGACTGGAAAACCTGATCTGGTAACGCAAAATGCGACCTCGACTATCCCGTGATACCTGCACGACTCTAACAATTTCGGGCCAGCCGCCCGAGCGCCACGCCTCCACGCCTTTGTGGAACGGATACAGAATATCACGGTTGTGAGTTTCCTACACACTAAACTATAGGTCAATACTATTATATTTATAAATGTGGGATTGTCTACTCGTGCCCTCACATTTCAAAGTAAATGCAGTAAATCTTAAATCGACGAGACGTTAGTATTATGCTAGGAAGATCAACTCCCATTTCCTGTTCTCAAGTTGGTCCCATACCGACTCCGGTGTGTACGTCACAAGCTTGGATCGGTACGAGACTCCGCTCGCGTCCTGTTCAACCAGGAGGAGGTTCAGCGTCACGTTCCCCCCATGCGACATGCGCGTTCGTTCCGTGCCAATAACGATGAACTTTCCCCGGCCACTTGGTTTGTAGTCCTCATTGTGCTCCCACGCGCTGTAGAAATTGACGTCGCCGTGTCGCAGGTTGATCGCAGGGCAGTGGTGGAAGTGGTTCTGGCCCTGATACGTCATTTCAAGGACCGCCGTGCTGGTCCAAAAGCACAAAACCGACAGAGCTCGTTTGTTTGAAAGAATGCTCGGCGTAATGTCCTCCCGCCTAACCAGTCTGTTGTCATAATGTATCGAGGCATGTGCGAGGTTTCTAGGCGTTCCGATCTGATCATGGAAGTCGTCATGCTTCATGTAGTCCTGCTTGGAAGAGTCTCGCTCGGCCCCGGTGAACGGGTTCTCATTGAGCACCACAGGCGTGCCATCCCTCCGCAGCGAGTAGAACATCAAGCCAAGCCTGCCGCCCAGCACGGCTCTGCTGACGGTAGGCATCGGGGCGGGGCCATGCCAGCCGAGCCACGACCAGGTCGGGAAGGGGCAGGACAGGATCTCGTCACCCGGGCCCATGAATTTACCTTCGCAGTCTCTTCTCGTATTGCGAGGGCTGGAAGCCCAGGAAAGCGCCATCTCCATGTGCACCTTGGGCATGCCCCAGAAGTAACCTTCCTCGTCGCTCCGGCGGAGCACCTGGAGGATGGCCTGCACAGCGCCCAGGCGGTCGCTTTCGGATGTGAATTCTCGCTTCGAGTATGCGTCCAGAACGTCTTTGTAGAGTTCTATCCAGTTCTCCTCGGTAGAATTAGTGAGCCGCTGGAGTATGTTCGATCCTGAGTAATGCCTATAGATGCTGTTGCTTGCGCTGTTCTCCCAATAGCTGTCCTCGCACCAAGAAGCCGTCTTGCACTGCCAGTACACCTGGTCTCTGCCGATGATCAGACAGCGTGGTGAGAGGAGTCCTTCTTGGAAGGTCCAGCCTCTGGTATTCCAGGTGCAGTTGTGGAGATAGCCCTCGTAGTATTTATGCGGGAGGTCGAGTGCCTCGACGAGCCAGAAGTCCTTCATACGGTGGACTTGCTGGGCTCGGCGCGGACGGCTTACCCCTGGCACTCCCAGGGCAACCTCTGAGTTCGCCGCATTGACGATGGTCACTGCTGCACGGGCGTAGATCGTGCCCATCGCAGCTATGTACATCAGCTTATCCTTGTCGTCATCCTGAATAATGCAGAGACTGTCGACCCAAAGGTATCGTTCCCCCAACTCCCGAGTCAGCGTCATCGCGTCTGCTATCCCTTGCGGGAGCAGCTCATCCAACAACGCTCCTGGCTGCTGGTAGAGGCGCAGGTTGGTAGTTTGGAGTGCGTGGAGCTGGGGGCCGCCCCAGCAGTAGCTCAATGCGGCCCAGGAGACAGCGTCGGGTGCGTGCTGCACAATACATCGCTCAACGACATCCACAAAACGGAGAGACTGGACTCGATGAGTCATGAATGTCTGGTCGCAAGTGCCGCCATGATCTTTCATGCAGCACTCTTTCCACCGTTTGAGAAGTCGATGATCGATATCTAACGGTCGTATCCGGCCAGCATATGGCTCACTCGCCGGCCAGTCGAGCGATTGCGTCTGCTCCAGCAGCGAAGAAAGGTGCTTTGGTTCCTGTTCGCATTTGGAGAACACTATGTTCCTCCGCTCGTATCCCGGGTAGTCCGCACCATAGGCATATGCAATACGGTCAATCTTCAGTGCCCCCTCGACGCTGCGTGACATGCTGATGGAGCGCCAGCTGACGTTTGCCTTGGTGAGGCGTAAGTCCGATAGCGTGCCGTTCTTAAGTAAATCCTCGGACCACGTGCCCACCACGATGGCCGCTAGCCACCCACAGTGCCAACATGCGTCTGATTTCGCGATGGCATCGAGCAAAGGGATGGAGACATTGGGCTGGCTGAGCTTACCCGAACTCTCGAGGCTTCTGACTCCGAAAGTAGTCCTATAGCTTTCGACGAGCTCCGCGCATTGCTCGCAAATGCGGTCTCCACCACCTGCCTGTGGTGCTGAAATTAGCTTGGCGCAAGAGTGCTCGATGGTAGATATATACTCTTCGGATGGCCTCTTCGTAGAAATCTGTCATGGTAGTTGTGGTACTAAGCGAACCTAGGCCCCTTAAGCGTGTATAGTAGATGGTGTTGAAGATGGATTCAATCACATTTCGAGTTGAACACACGCTCTTTGGCTAAGCTGAGAAGCTGAAAGTACCCGCCCCCCCCCCCCCCCCCCCCCCCCCGGTTTCAGCTCGAGCTTGGCGGTTGGCGCCACATCTAGAAATCTCCGCTCATATCAGTCATATATGTCTGGATGGAGTATACTCATTGTCAGGGAAAGAACCGAATGAGACTCTTACACCAATTATTTTGGTTTTTTAGGCATTTGTGTGCAAGTAGGATTTGGCATTACACGTACAGGTCCTGTAGCTCGCGCGTGCGTCTCGTCTTTATCGTTTCTACGTCACGGTTTATTTAGCCTGTCAGCTCCACACCATCAGCTGCATATATCATCTTACATAATCCGGAACACCTCAGGCGTGGCAGCCAGGATGATACCTTCGCCAAGACCACAAATGCCCGGTTCACCCTTCTTCGATAACCCCTCGATCAGTATGTTCCATTTGCGGGCGAACCGAAGATTGACGTCTAATCTTTTTTTGCATCGCGCTTGCTCTTCTAGACTTGCACCTGGGCATGTTCGCTCAGGGTACTCCTTGTGGGCTCTATTTCTAGCGGTGCCGCCGGGGAATCCACCGCCGGTTTGGCGCTCCTTAATTTCCTCGACTAGTTGTTCAAATCACTGCAGTGTGCGGTATTGCGCCACGGCCCGCCGCCAGGGTTGGAGGGCATCCGTCTTTCCTACCTGGTCCAGGACGTGATCATAGCCGCGAAACAGATCAGACATGGACTGCGTCTGCATCGCGTCCGCATCCCACCGCAGGATCTCACGAGGTGCGGTATGGAAGAGGCCGATGGACCGCAAACATTCCCAGTGCTCGCGAAGCGTGAGGAGTCTGTCAACTTGACGGGCGCCTACCGAATGGCTCGTTCGAGTCCGACATTTTGTCTTTGCAGAACGACCGGAACGAGTCGAACGCGTTCGGCTCTCAATGATGGGTTTAGGTGGGTTTCTATGTGAGGTCCTAGTTGATTTTCTAGAAGGGGTGGTAGATGCAGTTCCAGCAGAGGGTCCATCAGAGACTTTTGGTGCGGCCCCGAGGAAGGCATTGCAGTCATCTATCTTGTGCGCGCCTCCAGGCGTTGCTTCTCGTGTAACGTCTGTAACAAATGTAGCGTTTGAAGAATCTGTAGTGTTATCCAGATTATCCTTTGTAACGTCTGTTATGTCCGTCACTAAAGTATCAAGAGTTACCTTTGGCGCTGGAGAGCTGACCAGGTCTTTCACGTGAGACGCCAACGGCTCTTCTCTCAGGCCATCGTCGAGCAGATTATCAAGATCAAAATCGTCCTGCAACCATTCTTCTAGCGAGGGAAGGTCGTCATGATTGCTTGAAGGGTCCGGATGCTCCGTGAGACCGCCCGGACTACAGTACGACTCTTCCTGTACAACTTCTCTTGTGGGTTGTCCCGTGGCCTCTCCAACGGCTTCTCCAGTGGCGCCATGATCAGTAAACGTGAATGTATATGCCTCACTGTTGGTGTAAGGATCAATGTAGGGGTCGCTGGTGTCGGCATCGAGCTGCGCTACGGTTACATCAGTGGGTACTGCGGGGTAAACGCCAGCGTCTGTACCTGCATCCGTGCGGGCGGTGACTGCGCCATCAACTAGATGGATTGGTGCATCGCCTGTGCGCTGCATGCCGACACCAAAGTACGTCTGTCTCAGGGAATTGATAAGCCGGTCGGCCTCTACGCTCCCACACTCGGTAAGGAGCCTAAGAAAGATATCCTCGGCGCTCGCTATCAACTCTACGGGAATCATGATTCGAATACTGTCAATCAAGCGCGATACGAGAAAAGATATGCAGGAGGCAAAGGGAGAGAAGAGACAAGGGACAAGAAAAAAAGCACAGAGATGCGGAGCGGGAGACGGAAGGAAGTGGGATGGACAAGAGAAGGAAGAAAAGACAAGAGAAGGGAGAAAAGACAAGAGAGGGGAGAGGTACAGGGCGGCAGTCGCCTGACGGAGAGGCGGACAACCCTTTGTTCTTTTGGGCTCCCTTTGTTTGTTCGAGAGCCAGAAATGGACGTCGACATCTGACTTGTCCCAGAACCAGACAGTCTTGTGGATCCTAGCCGAACCAAGCATCAGAAGCAGAGACAGCATCAAGAATCGACTCAAAACCGCGAAGCAGCAAGACGGAGCGAAAAGCTCTCCTGTATCAAGTGCTGTATGTTCAGTGCTGCGAATAAAGTGCCCTCGACGCTTCGACACGGCGCTTCCACCTAAACGAGCCGACCAAAACGTTCAAAGTTTACGAAGCAATTGTTGCCGACTTGGCTAAAACGAAACCGAGTCAACAAGCAAGCAAGCGATCGAACCGGACGGACGAAGCAGTGTGCTCACCAGCAGTCGATGAGTCGTGCGTGAATCGAAACAAGCTCCATTACTCCGCGGCTGGCCGTGTCGGTAGACCAGTCACTACAGAATAAATGTATCGATCGAGAGGAGGAGAAGGAGGACGAGGGAGAGGAAGAGGAAGAGGAAGAGGAAGAGGAAGAGGAAGAGGAAGAGGAAGAGGAAGAGGAAGAGGAAGAGGAAGAGGAAGAGGAAGAGGAAGAGGAAGAGGAAGAGGAAGAGGAAGAGGAAGAGGAAGAGGAAGAGGAAGAGGAAGAGGAAGAGGAAGAGGAAGAGGGAGAGGAAGAGGAAGAGGAAGAAGAGGCAGGTGGACGACAAAGGCAGCAGCAGACACGACGGATCTGACAAACATGGACACAAGTGACGGAGAGCTCTACCGTCAGATCCGCCTGTCCCAGCAAGAAGGGAGGTCCGATGTTGAGCCAGAATGTCGATCTCAACTCAGCCCACATAAGAGGCGGTGTCTACAACAGCTACTAGAGCACGGGCGATTGCGAGAGGCTTTCGACGACCTTCTTGACATTCCGGTCTCTGGCACGATATGAAGCTGAGCATCATCAACAAGGTGATCAGCATGAAATGTGACGAGGTAGGCGCCGGGCAAATTCTCTGTAGCGAGTTGGCGGGTGAACTAACGACGGAGATAGGAGCTTTTGAGCTATTTGGGTCATGTTCGTACGATTTGGAGGAAGATCTTGGGCGGGAGCACTGTGGCGGTAGACAAGATAGATACCGAGACTGTGCAGGCCGTAGAGCTGACATGCCCGAGATATTCGAGCGCGGACCGGCGAAGACTGCGACTGCTCCTTGAAAAGGGGCAGATCTTCCGGGGTCTTGGCCATCAGGAGCGGGAAGGGGTCTGGGGAAATCTCATGTCGATAGACTGCATCGTTCCTTCCCTGCGCTCGTTCTTTGAGGATGCCATGTATCTCTGGCCTTGTGCGAACAACATCCGGCATGTCATTGGCCTTTACGGCCGTAGCGAGACAATCTACCATGCCCTGCAACAATGTTTTCGCCAAGAGGATGACGAGCATGGGAGCCGGTTGATAGTCGAGAATGGCGAAGCGGTCTTTGACACCAGGCCGGCGCCTTCGACTCCGGGAGAACTCTGCAGCCTTGGTCGGCGGCAGCTCTGGCTGTATGCGATGAGGCACCTTGCCCAGGTGGCGGCCCCGTTGACCAGCTCGGAGGAATGGCGTGTGGCCAATGTCGGACCAGAGAGAGCCGACGAAAGCGTCCTATGCGGCTTTGCTTCCCTGGCCTACCGGTTAGGGTTTCGGAACGATCATATTCTGGACTTCCAGCAGCGGTCTCCAGACGGGAGATGGCGCGTGCGGTTCTGCTACAGGCACGGAAACATGGCATGTATGAGTATGATGGTGATTCTTTCGAGTCGTACCTCGACCAGATCGAGAAGATGATGAACACTGCGAAACGGTGCAGGAGCGGGCCGCCGGACGAGACCCAAGCTTGGAGGGATGGTGTGGAAACCCAACACCGGTGCGGGTGGCCGGGCAGCAACGATCACCAGCTCGACAAGAAACACCCTTTCCTCGATACAATGGCACAATCACACGGTCCGGTACAAGGTGTCACATCGCTCTTTGTCCGAAGATGTGTCTTTCTGGCATTCTTCGGCAAGGACTTCATGCAGCAGGAAGCTACTGAAGCAGGCGTGCCTGGTATACGAAGCAATGGGGAACATCAGCAGACGGAACAGCAACATGACCATGCAAGGTCTACGAGGTCTACGGGCTCTGCGGAACTTGTGGAGCCTGTAGAGCGATGCCAACCGGTACAACTGGCACAACTGGTCAAAGAGTTGGGCGATGCTGATGACGATCTTAGTGTGGAGGTCGGACGCAGAAGAGAAACGAGGAAAAGAAGAAGGGGAAGAAACAGAAGCAGAAGAGGAAGAAGAGGCGGCACAAGAGATTGAAGAAGAGCAGGAAGATCCCGATGGCCCTTGGGTCGATATGGAACCCGATACTCCTGATACTGTCGAGGTCGGCACAAGCATGCCAACTCCCAGGCAGGTGGCGCACAATCCCGTAATCACCTTCGTCTCTCGTCAAGGCAGTGACTGGATAGTGGTCTCGCAGGTGACGAGCAACGATCGATCCGAAGTCGAACATGTGGCTGCGACATGGATGGCACATCGCCTGCGGCCCTTCTCTGTCGACATGCGGCCTCTGCTTCCTGAAACATGCTACGATGTGGCCATGTCCAAGCCGGGGCACGTGCTGGTTCTCATGCCCGAGGACGATGTACATGTGAGCCCCGAGCTGGCAGCTTCTGCTCGTCGGCTGCGGTTTGACGGTGCCACGCCGTGATGGAGTATGATTGTACACGAGCGGGCGCCCCTTGAGATAAGCAATGATTGGCAATGACGGGATTGGTCTGCTTGCAGCACGTTGCGCATGTGTTAAGTTTGAGTTCATTTCTATTTACGGTACTGTACTGTAATACACAGCCCTTGGTCGTGTGATGTCACATGCAGACCTCATCTCGCAGCATTACAGACGTGCAAAACCAAAACTGTACCATGAGCATACGTAATCTCAAACAAGAACATGATCTCAAGCCGATCTCATCGTAGGATGTACGGCTGAGCTTCTAGTGTACTGTACTGTACCGCTCTCCCATCTCCTCTCTCATCTCTCCTTCGGTCACAATCGGCTCGACCAGAAGACATGTATACATCCATTTCAAGCACGTACAAGTCGCCACCTAGCATCTTCAGACAATACCTGAAATGGAACTGTCATATCCATTCCAGTAGGAAACCAAACAAGATCAAGTCGTCCACTTGTTACTGTACCGTATGTACCACCCAAACGAAAAACGAAACATTGACCACGAATCCCTGGCTGGCATTAAGTGGGACTCCCTAAATGGGACAGGTACAATATATAAATCTGCCCAGTCACGTTCAGTATCCCTTGCATGTTTCTACTCTTCATTTATCTTAAATACTGTACCGATGTTCATCCCTTCCCCTTCCAGTTTTTATTCGTCATTGTTCCCATCGCCTTCCGTCCATCGCTTTTCCCAGTCATCCACTCGGCCATGGACGCGGCAAATCATGCAGACAAGCGTGTCACGCAGATCGGATAACTGTATGCTGCCAATGATTCTGCTCAGGCTACATCTACGAATGTCAGGAACAATCACCCCCAACAAGAGATTCCGATGACGCACAAGAGGCCCAATGCCCATGTCGACGGGATATCAAGCCAAAATGAGAAGCCTTCTAAGCTCATGAAGAAATCCCACCTTTTCAGAAGGCAAGACGGTCTACCTACGGCGTATTACGACATATCTCCAGTGAGGATAGAGTTGGGCGGGCTGGCCATGGTCGCTGTCACAAAGAACCCGCCATTCACTTGTGTGCACATCAGAGAGTTCCCTGCCCACGAGTCCGACAAAGTGCTACACTGGTGCCAACTGGCGTCTCCCGGAGCATGACTGTACATTGGCGCCGTAGTCCCCTTCCTTTGCCCATTCCATGATCGCTTGTTAGGCACGATATTGCCCAGCGGCTTCCGTCCTGCCTTGACGACAGAACGCTCAAAGTCAATCAGCATGAGCTCCCCGGTGTCGGTATTGCGTAGCACATTGGTACGACGCACATCCCAATGTACGACGCACGCCCGATGTATCGCCTGCAGACACCGTTTGACCTCACCAGCACGAGCCGCTTCGTCAATCGGACTGCCATGCGAGAGAAGCAACAGATATTCAATGTAGACCCGATGGTCGTAGTATGGTGTCGGGGTGTCCGGCATCGGAGGCGAGGACTCATCCGACGAAGACTCGTCGTCTCGGTCCCTGAATCTTGGCTGTACATCTGGACGGTCCTCTTCCTGCGCCCAGCGTTTGCGTCTTGTTCGAGGCACGCGCGGGGACCGGCTGATGCCTGCATAAGTCGTTGGCGCATACAGCGAGCTGGAGCTTGAGCTGCTCGGAGCGTATCGCTCGTCTCGGGGAATAGATCGCAATGTCGTCTCAAAGTCCTTTGCCCATCGCCTCAGTTCCAAGATCACACGCTGCCGCTCATCCTGCGATCGAACAGTGGGTGGGTTCACTGGCCGGCCGAGAGCCAGCAGGCTGAATGCCAGGTACTGGCCAACTGCGGTGCAAGCGTGGTGTTGCCCCGATTGCGCTGCCACCTCAAAAGCGGGCTCTGCTAGATGGTACAAGAGTGTGCCGGGTTCTCGCCAGTCTACTCGCAAGAATACAATGGTCTCGCCGGTAGTCAGCAAGCCGTACTCGAGACCCCCCTCGATCGTGTAGTTGTAGGTCTGTGTGATGGCCGCAGCGGTGAGCCTCTCGGCATGGTACTGGAATCGACCGTCGGGATCGGCCGCGGTAGGTATTGTTTTCTGATTGACCACGTCTTTGAAGATATCCATGTGATGCAGACCGACGCGCAGGTGTGGAGCGGTCAGCTTGTGCAGGGGCCTTGTATTCGGACACATACAGCATGGTACGCCGTGTGGAGAGCTCATCGTCAAACCGGTATACGCATATCTGGTCGGGGCGGATGTGTCCCGGATCTTTCCCTTGATCGGGCGTCTGTGGCGGTATCGATGAGGCCTGCCGGTCGACAACCTCCTCCGCAACATCGCTGATGACATTGGGGTGGTTCTCAAAGACAATGCCGTTACCGATCCCAAACTCGTGCGGCACTTGGTCCACATCCCGCGATTGATCGAAAATCTCTCGCACTGGATCTTCGACGCCGTTGTGCAGGAATACTCGAGCGTCTTTTCGCAAGATATCAGTCGCTTGGCAATTCGCTGGCCAAGGCCCGTCAAAGCCCCGAGATTCGAAACGCCGATCAGAGACTGGGAAGGTGCCGTAGAGGGCCCCTAGAGTGGTTCGCTGCTGCTCGAGAAAGTCGGACCATGGGCGTAGATTATTTGGACACAGCTTGTTGCGCGGGTTTGTGATGGGGCCCTTCGAGGTGAGCTCCTTGTCGGTCTCGACGGCAAACTGACCGGCTACGAGGCCATGAGCTGCGGCAATGTATTTCGTCCAAAGTTGTCCGTCGCGTCAACAGTTCAGCCTCTTGTTGTCGTTTCTCGGCTTCATCGGCATGTTGCTTCTCATCGTGCTCTCGATTCTCGGCATCGCATCATTCACGTTCGGCTTCATCAGCACGTCGCTTCTCATTTGTCGTGATACCAGCCGTCGTCCTTGTTGGAGGTCTGGCCCCGCTACGGTGCCGTGCAACTACGCGTTGTAATTTTGGTCGTCGTCGCGATAAGAGCCAGGCGACCCCACCACGATCCCCGCTACACGCGGTTGGCCATTCTAGCTCCTGCAATTCGCCTCGGCTAGATCTCCAACCACAACTTTCAACAACAAAAGAAGTCTAACCAAGAAGTTTCCAATACTGTATTCACAGCTATTTCTCTCTTACTGCTCGGTTAATACGGCAACACTTATAGTATGGACGCGCTTTGAACAGCGTATCGCACTAAGCACAGCTAGTGTGTGAACAGCCCCAGCCCGACTTCCCGGCGGTTATGTTCTCAGGAATGGCGCCTGGCCATTCTTGTTGCACTTCAAAGTGAGCAGCGTATACCGTGAACTGGACATGGCTGTTCAAGCGGTGGTGCGCCGCTGGGCATCTTTGGAACAGTTGGTCAGAATTGCTGGCCATGATTGTTTTTGACCCAGACCTCTCCCCGGCTGACGTAAAATCTTTCCGGCTTGTTTGCAAAGCATGTAAAGTCATAGCAGCGACCCGTTTGTTTCGTCGAGTTCGACTTTCTCGCCTGAATGTACATAAGGATGCGTTTATTCAGATCAGTTTGCATTCGAGTCTGGCGACTTATGTTAAAGAATTAGTTTGGTATGAGCTGGACCTAGAGGCATGGATGCCAATTGCGGCCGAATTTCATGGCGAATTTTCTGATAACGCGGAAGCCCAGAGTGTCGGCATTGAGTCCTTCACAGCGCTTATGTTGGCGGCCTCATATGATTCTGAGCTGTTCTGGATCCCATGTCAGTCGTCTACTAAGACCGCTGATAGCCTTAACGTGGCACAGGCAATGGCATCTCTGGTAGAAACCTCTGCTGGCCTGCGGGGTCTCAAGGGTCATGTTCTGAACGCAAGAGCGACTTTCCTCGCCACATTGCGACGTCTGCCGAGTCTGGCCACCTTTCATAATTGCCGTATGCCAGGCAACCAAGTAATGGAGTACCTTGGATACGAACTTTGCGCAGACTTGTTCTATAACCAGCAAAATAATAGCCTCCATTATAGTAACCAAGGCTTCTTTTCATTCCTACTACCAGCATTAAAGCAGTTAGGGACACAGATTCACAGTCTACATTATGCCGATGAATGGATGTATACTGGCCTCACGGGACTCACGGTCGGCGATGTCAGAGCTTTTCAATACATTACTTCACTCGATCTATCCATCTCTGGTACACCTCATGATGCCCCTGATAAGAGCTCTAGCGGCCTCCTCAGCGCTTTAACAAACATTACTGGGCTAGCCCAATTGAGACTTCGCATTGGTTACCTACACGCTTCTATCCGCAAGTTGCTACAAAAAGCAAGATGGCCTCGACTATTTCTCTTTGAACTAGCTGAAACTGTGGGCTATTCGCATGATTCACAGCTCCTGTCATTTTTGAAAGTACACGCAGCATCTCTTCGTCGACTAAGGCTCCTACACTGCAAAATGACCATGGGTCACATCATACAGATGAGAAAGGCAGGTTGCTTCAAGCTTAAGTCAATCGAAGTGGTCGATATGAATGCAGAGCAAACGTTTACAAAGGAAAGAATCTTGGCTTGTGTTAGCGGACGTTACGATTATGATCTACTCATCGCCCCGTGCCGCCCGCCGAAAACCACTGTAATTGCGACCTCAGATACTATGCCTGATTCCCATGTATGGTTAACTCCATCTTTTTCGGAATTTGAGAGCAGCGACTCTTACAAGCAAACGTTGGCAGACGAACATTAACATAGGGACGTGCACGAACCCTCCTATTGGAAGCTCGGGCGGTTTGGAGTGATGCACCTATTTTGGCTAGGCCAACTTATGAAAAGAAAGAAAGTCCTGACGGACAAATCTTAACTCCATACTACGTCTCGCATGGTATGGAGCGGCCGTGATCCTGAAAGCGTTGCAAGGAATACGCATGACTGTAGAAGACTTTTGATGCCCTATGAGTAAGCAAGCATCAAGGTCACACCTGCTAACTCTTTTGGTTTAGTATAAACACGTAGTCGCACATTGCTCTCGATCTGAGTTATTCGCATCTCATATCGAATTGGCTCGACACATCTCTTGTTTTCCGCTTACGAAGGCAGCCTCGAATGGAGAACAATACCAGCCCACTGAGCGGAGATTTACTTGCATGCATTAGGTGTATTGTCGCGTCGCCATACCATAGACAGGTTTCGAGCCGGACTTACCATAGCCAGGTTTCGAGCCGGACTTACCATAGCCTTCACAGGAGAATTTCGCAAACAAAAAACGCTGTAACCGATCAATTGACTCGGTATGGCGTAAGATTCTCGGATGCGTCGTTGGGAAAGCGATGCAGAACCACTAATAATCCAATCGTAAGTCGGTAATTTTCGTGCAATCCGGAGTAAACAAAGTAGTGAAGAGGAAAGATAGATAAACGTATATATTTTCTTGTAAATCTGCTTTTGTTTTGTAGTGAATTAACATATCTATACATTGTGGTCGCTTCGGAGACCAGTCGGCGATATACCCTAGCAGTTGGTGGAGATTTCAATAAGTAATGATCCTTTTTAGCGCACCGAACTGGCGGGTCTCATCCGTGGGTTTTCAGGTTTTTACTTTGTGGACTCGGAAAAACAATTCCAATGACCAATTAGTTCTTGTCTAGCGTTACTCACGGGCTCCCCAAGCCTCAGTATGTAACAGAAGCGGTTTGAATCGTTTAAGCATAGAGTCTTGTCACCTCAACCTAAGCTATGTATCAAGGGACCAGAACAACCTAGTTCAATATGCACGCCCGGATCCTAGAGGCCTTCCATTGGGGAAATTCTTGTTGTTTGTGTCTCTCAAAAACGCTGGATGCGGTTCTAGTTCCTAGCTGCACTAGTTTTCCCGGCGATAGCGTTGGAGAACATCTAAACCTTAATCCTAGCTTTAAGCTACCGGCCACAGCGATATATCTCGTCGTCCTTGTTCGGGGTGATCCGTTAGTCTCATCTCTCACGTTGTAGTAATACACCCTAGAATTGGTTCATCCGTTGTGATTGTCCATCGCAGTGTGGATAATCGCAGGCCTAGAAAGAGCCGCTGTAATGGTCGTGATCAATCGCGTATTACTATTACATTAATAGCGATGATGATCACATACTAATTTCTTGAACGTACATATCTTATTGCGTTCAAAAATTCAAGACGCTAAATGCCACCACGTCTTAGCTCCCGTTCAAACCATCCCGAGGCTGGGAAGGCGGGACAATTCACGTCCCACCTGAAAAAGTGATTATATCTACCTACAGATCTGCCCCCACTTCCCCACCACTTGGGATTTCCTGATTCCTTGGTGACACATGAACTTAACAAACGGCCATTGCGGTAACCCCAATGACTATAGGCTGAGTTGGGATAGAATTTCAAGTCTATGTTCTCGTAAATCCTCTTATGATCACATAACTTAGCCTTTGCCGTGCCTGCAATCATGGTGACAAAGGGCGGCGCCTTACATTCTCACGGTGATTTTCCAACTTAGGGGAGAAGCTGCAAGCAGTCTGAAAAGCCACCGAGAACAGTTGTATTACAAATACTATGTGGAATTTGTCTTTGACAGATTGAGACAGCTATTGAGATATTTTTTGTCCACTGCTCGATCGGGATCATACTTTCATTAGTGAATACGGCAAGTCCCGGGCCCATGAAACACGGTCACTATAGTAACGTTAAATCGGCGACCTCGATGTAGTACCAAGCAGCCACAAGTCTTCTAACAGGTCACTAGGCCCCTTTTCTATGACTTGATAACAGGCAAGAATAAACGGAAAGGGGTCAGGCGCTTCGCATGATCCTTATTAGTCAAGGAAAACATTTAACAGATGTGATTATAATCAAAAGATCTGAGAACATTGGCTTGGGCCTAACAACGACCCTATAATCTCAGAAATGGTTTCCGCATTTGTATCGAGATCTTGACGAAATTTACAGGATACATTGTTAGAGAGGGATCTGCATAGTCAGTGGAAATTGCGCCAGCCCTATAGTATTCGATCATTTGTTATGCCCTCTAACTTTTGACAACCTCTTAATCAATGCACTGCTCTCATCGAGAGCTAGTAGCCCTGGGTCTGCCTTCAGCTGAGAAGCGACAATGGTCAACCTTACATCTTGTACTCAGCGATATAAGCAGGCCCCCCTCTACTTTGAGTTTGAGCGGCAGTTGCGCCCTACTATTATCTGCATACTGAACTATGTCTTCCTCTTACAACCTTAATTATATGGTCGAGCCCTTGTCTTCCCGATCACCTTTGGCAACAGCACCCCACTTAGACGATAGGTTGCACCCTCTGTCGGCGAGGCTGGAAAATATCGCTGACTGGTATCCATACTATCAATCTTGTCAGAACCATTTTCTAGCAATTGCACAACACACCAACCATGTGCAAATCCTCGCGGCATCTATAAACATCCGGCTTCCCCTCCAGATTTTGCAACCGTTGAATGCTCGCGACATATTGACCATCTACATCCGCCGATTAGTGGCAACCGGCTTAGATACCCATAGCATCTTAAACCTTTTCTTCGGACACGACTGGCCTATAGACATAGGCCATATCCATGAAATCGAACGGAGACATTATTTACTTGCTGCAAAAAGCGCGAGTTGGTTAGAGGTTAAGTCATATTACGATATGGGAGACGGGCAGAGTATCCCATACCTTCGACCGATGTAGAACGTCACGGAAGAGGAAATCGTTGCCGCCGAATCGGCTTGGAGCGCATGGTTGGCAATGCAGGATTGGATGTTAGGACCCCGGTCGCCCTGGGCAAAGGATGCGATGGCAGCGGGGGAGGTCTACAGCCCTGGTTGCTGATCTTTACGTAGTTTAGATTATATCTCAGAATTTGGACGAGTTATAATTCAGCATCGATTCTTCCGGTCGGAATTGGACGTTTAGCCGGTGCACGCTACTGAAGGTGAAATAAGTGGGAATGCAAGCTATCGTTTGCTTTGTATCTGGGAAGTGCTCTAACACAAGGGCATTTCGTCGAGCTATTGTCGGATTTGGTGTGTTTAGTATATTATCTTTTGTTCTCTTCATGTTTCACACAGTTAGAATAAATTGTTAAGGCAAGGAAGTAGATCATGCCGGCTAAGCTACTTGCCTTGATGTAGTTGATTGAGATAGTAATGCACAACTGTTTGCCTAGTCGAGGTAGATAACTCCAACCATGTGATTGGGTTTTTAACACTTTCCAATCAATCTTCAGCTCGTCGAAGCGTTTTCGGACCTTCCTCTTGCCAATGGCGGAAACAATCACTTTGGTATCTTGTGCTTGATAAGACACACCCGGTGGCGTCTTCTGCTGAACGACAGACTCAAGTTTTCCCTTGAGCGTCGTCTCCCAGAACCTCTCAGGGGTGAGGATGATGTCCTCTTCTGTATCCTCGGCCTTGCCCCCACCATTGACAGTCAACTTCCACTCGATCGCGTACCCGAATACGATCTGGCTGTGCGACCATCATTGCCTTCAGCTTTATCAACTTCATTAGCTTCTCCTTCGGCCTGGTCGTCTGGACGTATCATTGACAGCTGGTCTACTTCGTTTTGTCCAGAGCACAATCTATCATGATTTGATTGAGAATCGGAGTAACCAGGGGCGCCTCTATAGCACTGGGAATCACCAGCTCCTGGAACAACGAGTCTAGGGACGGTGCGATGGACTCGGCATCACTTCGACTTGACGAGACATGGCCGGTAAGCGTAAACGATACATGAGTAATGCGTGGTGGTCAAGTTCAGCACAATGTCAATGCGTACTGCAAGTCATAATAGACGATCGTTACGAATGGGCATTAGCATCAGAGTAGGCTGTGGAATGTCCGTCTAGGCTCGTCTGGATACTGTATTGTTTGCTCCTAGGTTCCATTCTAGAGCAGTATGGGCGAGTGACTAAGGTTTGTCAAGAGCTCCAATCACTCAGGAAGACAGGCTCTGCGTACGCAGTCTATTCCGTACGTTTGATCCAAAACCGTCCTGGAATGTCGGGAAAATTTTTGCAACATTCCTGCCCACGGATGAGATGAAAATGAAAGAAGACTGCTTGCCGCGTTATCATGTCAGCCAGAAGTGGCCGTCACGTTTCCTTTCCAAGTGTATAGAGCGGGTCCTGAAGTGTGTGCCCATAAAACTGTACTATAGTGAACACGTATGGCATGCGATTTATTGTACAGCCTCTGTGGAACCCAGTTTAGTTCATGAACATTTACCTGACATAGATGAATATTTCATGGCTGCTCATCGTCGTGTAGGAACTCAGGAAGGCGACTAGAGATGATTAATGGTGGTTACGGTGCGCCCGACGCTGACTAACGAAAGAAGGGGCCTAAGACAGCGTTGTTAAGGTAGCCAAGGCCGTATAGTGGAACCAGAGTAGAATCTTTAGCTCGTTTTGTGGCCAGAGGGAATGATAGAGGAGCAAAACCAAGAAGGGCTACGATGTTTGCCATTCTTCATCGACAATTTGTTCTGGTATGCTCAGCAAGCTCATGTCCCAAGTGCATCGTGTGCAACCCTATCTCATACGAACGAGACAACTATGGTGGTTCGGTAACCGCTATGGCCAAGTCGGGGGCCGTGACGATATGGAAAGTGAAGCATGAAGATGCGTACGATGACAAGAGGACAACAAGGGCCAGAGAGTTACGGATTATGAGCTATGTAGAGAGTTGTCCAGAGAAGCAAGCCAAGAGTGATGTGTGATGCAGAGGACACCAAAGCGAGAGTGAGAAGAGTGAGAAGAGACAGGATGGGAAACGTCCACCACCGAGAGAGCACCTCCAACTTGATGCAAGCTCGTATACGGATCTGACCACAGAACACTTTGCTGTACCCTGCTGGCCCGTTTCGTCAAACAGACCAAAAGTGATGTAGTCCTGTACAGCACAGTATCCCGTCGAGGTCATGGCCAAATATGAACCCATCCACCGAACGTGAAATGGAACAACGGTGGATTTGGCGGCAGAACACGATTATGTCTAAACGACTGCTGTCTTGGCTCTAGAGTGGAGTCGCTGCCGGCTGTTGATGGTCAACCTGTCTGCGATCCATTTCCGTCTCGATGGGGCACGTCACCGACCTCCACCTGGTGGCAAGCGGTCCAAAACTGACACAACAGTAATAACTTCTGGCCATGTTCTTTCCACAATTGACTGACAGATCCAGATGCGCCTCTGGCACAACACGAAAGATGGAGGCTGGCCAGACGCACCCCATCAATCACATGACTAGGCCCACCCAGATTCTTCTGTATAAGCCTGTCTTTTCGCAGATTGTCCTGGACTTTTTCTTCTTTTTCACACTCGTGTCCATCTAGCAGTTAACCATGTCCTGCTAGATGTAAAAAAATTCCGCTGTGGCAGGTCAGCGTTACCAACCGCTCGGACATGATAGCTGAGATGAAGTCGGCGAAGACGGATTCTGCAACCTGTACGTGGTGCCGGCTACGAACCTATTCCATCCGGAGCAGAGCCGGTGCAGAGACGCAACCTCCTGGATCTCGATCCAGGGCCTATATAGTATCCAATGTAGATGTAGCATATGTGTAATTGAAACACCCATAATATTTGCCTTCGCAGCCTCCATGCCCTCTTGTCCAACCTCATTCTGTACAACTCAAATGGATGCCGTACGTGGCTGACCTAGTCAGTAATGGATGACTGCCGCATTTGTGCTGTCAGTACACGCGAGCAACTAGACATAGTGTCTGCATGCGCTGTGACTGCTCGTTCCTCTCGTTCGCTCGATCCTCCCGTTCGCTCGATTCGCTCGCTCGACCCGCTCGTTGAGCCATGCCGATGGCAGCGCTGGATTGGACATTGGTGCTCTAGATCCTCATTTGTCCATGATGGCTTTTGCGTCAATCCACTTTCGACACCGTCAAGAGGAGAAAGGTACGTTTCGGCCGGCGCTGCTGGCAGTGGTGAAAAGTGGTCATAGGACTACGCGCATTGGACGCGACCGACAAGTGGCCAGCGGCATACCATTCTGGTTGTGCCGAAAATGGCGACAGGCCCCGCGGGGCCCAAGTGACATGCATGGCTCAGGGTCAATTTTGGGTCAGCTTTTGGTTAATTCTGGCACTTGAAAGCTGGGGCCAGACACTATCGTGCTGGCGGGGTCAGAATTGACCAGTGCGGCTCCAGCGCAAATGAGGATCTGTTGTCGGCAGCCACTTTCGAGCCAGCCCATTTCCCATTTTGGACGGATAAGTATAGAAGAAGGGAGCAACAGTCAATTGGTCAGTGTAGATTCATAGATTTCACATACACTGCTGCAAGCAAAATGAGGGTCTGCCTTAGGTGACCACTTCTGGGCTGTCCCACTTTCTGTTCCCAGCAGCTGAGTACAGAAGAGGGCGTACAGACAGAATCAAAAATGGCTTCCTCTTTTTGTCTCTCTCTTCTCTTCTCTGAGCAAAGACAATCCATTTCTGGCTCCGGCATATATAAATGCCCTGGGTACTCTTTGGACCGCGTCAATTTTGATCCCAAGAGCGTGAGCTTTAGCCAGGCTCTCACAGTTATTGATCCATCCACTACTACAGAACAATCCAATGTTACCAAGGATATACTGAATATATGCATTTGTGGCCGAAAAGAGTACATTTGAGTTCGACAGATGTTCAAATGTGTACTTCCGGTGGGAGCCAGAATTGGACTGCCCCTTGCTCAAAGAGAAGAGAAGAGAAGAGAGACAGAAATAGGAAGCCGGTCTCGTTTCTGTTTGTATCACTCACTCAACTCGCTCTTGCAAGGAAATGAACTAATACAGAACGCGGCCTCTACCCACTTGACGCAACTGATAGGAAATAGAGCGACAAAGCGTCACACGGGTCAAAGAGGGATGGATGCAAGTGGGCTTCTGGAGGGGTCATCTAAGAGAATACAAAAGCGTCCCTGATGGGGTCCGAGCCGGAACCAGAATCAGAATCAGTGCACCGTCTCAACAGCTCTTTCGTCATTCCTGCTATTTATGCTTACTTCCTGAGTCGAGATACAACCACTCACAGAACCCTCTTGTAACGTCAACTTCCTTCATTTTTCCTCTCGTCATCTTGGTCCCATAATGTATGGGCATGTCATCGGACAATTATAAGATTTGATTGAGTTGCATATAGTTCCGGTGTCTAATGCTGAACCGTCATTTCGGTCTTCGGCTGAGCGGAGCCTGCCATAACGCTCGCTTTAATACTGGAAAGCCTGGAGTTTCTCATCGACTTTTGTTGAGCAAATCGAGGAACTATACGGTCTCTTCTCAGACATCGTCCCAATATTCTTCAACTAGTTCATCGTCCTCCGAACGGACATTCTTTTCCTCTTCCAAATTCTCGTATACATCACACTGTCCGAGTCCGAGAAGAGCGCATCGGCTGGTGTGTTCTTGTGCATGTAGCAGTGGACAGAAATGGAACGCGACGTGCGGCGGGACATGACGCGACAAAGCCCCCACGCGGCTCAAAGTGGGATGCAGGTGGGCTTTGGAACGGTCATCTACGAGAACACAAAAGCGTGTCTGAGGGTCCGAGCCTGAACCAGAAGTAGAGTCAGTGCCAGAATCAGAATCAGAACCAGAACCACAATCACACCAGAGCAGGCCTGAAGGATGTCTTTGAACAGCATACATTCTTTCGCTCATTCTGCATCGCCTGTATTCTGATTACACGAATGTACGTACCGAAGCAGAACTAGGTCTGCATTGGTGCAAAGTCTCCCCACTTGATCTACCTAGCTTGCAGGGACCACGAAATCGATCACCTGCTTGTTTTGCTATTTTCGTGCCTAGCAGCGATAAGATCGACGACTTTGTGTCCCCACCACAAGAGCAGCCGCGACGAAACCAGAATCGGCACAGATGACCAAGCTGCCATGGCTGACCAGAACTGTTCTGTGGCTACTTATAGAACCTATCGTGTGTCCGAAAGGGTGTGGCATGAGCGCAGGAAGCATCACTGCGGTAGATCTGTATCGCATGCATTCTTGCCGCTTCAGCGGACTCTTTCTCATCGTATGTGTTCTGTCCTGTCTCTTTTTGCGTCTGGGTCCCAGTCAAGCGCAATAACCACGGCCAAGCACAGTAGTGTACGGCGGCATCTGAAGGGAAAGAGAAAAGACGAATTTGCCCGCTGGTGGGCGGCGCAACGTGAAGCCAGTCAATGCATGATTGAAAGGCCAAGCGTTGTTCCTATTTTAGTCATTCACAAACACATAATCACAAAGCGATGTACCGATTCGATACGCAAATTGGCTTCAAAGATCAAGATGATATTTGGATGAATTTGGATTCGATCGATTCACAAAGAACATTACGATAGCCGAGAGTTAACACAAGAGAAGCTTGATCCTCTGAATAGTCAATCTAGTGCGCTCACAACGTAGTCTCTGGTTGAGTCAGGCCATACGAATCAGCTTTTAAACGCATGCGCTGACAATTGGGATGCCGATGCAACAGACGAGACCAGCCAGATAAATCGTATAAAGTACACAACCATGCTCACCCCCTTTTGCAACCACCCCCCACTGCAACGGCAGTTCCCCCTTGGAATTCACCGGACTTCAGCCAGCCATCTATATACCCTAGATAGTAATTAAGTAATATCTCAACAACGCTTCAATATAATCACTTGATATATTGAATATGGATTGGCAAAAGTGTCAAGATATGCGAGATGCAATTAAAATGGTCGAAAACGGTGAATCGCAAGCCGCTACAGCTCGGGGATACAATATCGTCAAATCCACTCTCTTGCGTCACTTACACGGGCAAGGGTTCCGCCCCGATTCCCAGGAAATGGACAAAATATTATCTTCTGAACAAGAGAAATTGCTAGAAGACTGTTTTTCAACGAGGAATTGTGTGGGAGAGCTTGTTCCCGGCTGGAACCACGAGCGATAGCCCAATATATCATTGATATAGCTGGTCCCTGAACGACCCGTTCATCATGTCGGCGAAAACTGGATCGATAAATTTGTTGATCACCATCCTAGGTTAAGCAATAAAGAGGGAGGATAGTCAGTCGTGAACGTATGGTTGCGAATGACCCCGAACACATCAAGCCGTTATTTTACACTATCAAAGTGGTCCGGAACCACTACTTAATTCTCCCTGAATATATAGCCAATGTGAACGAGACGTGTATAAGAGAAGGAGAGGCTGATGATATTAGAACAGTGATTGGCCACTCAGGATTACATAGGGTTAACGTTCAGGCACAGGGGCAACTGCTTGGGTCAGTATCTTACACTACATACCGCCGCCTGAATACATGGAACTTCATCCTTTATCTTCAGCGGTATGACGGTCCAATCCCAATCAATCGAACGGAAATTTTATAGACGATGAAGTCACAGCAACTCCAAAAGGGTGATCCAATGGTACGGTGGCGATGGAATGGCTTAAACGTGTCTATATGCCAGAAACAAAGCGCGGAACTCAGAGCAATGCAGCGTGTCAAACAAATCGAACGTTCGATTCGTTCGAACCTCTTTAGGGTTCGATTCGATAAAATTGCACACACCGGCTCTGGGTCTGATTTCGATCGTACGAAGGTTCGCGGGCGACTAATGTCTAAGCTATTGCTTTTGCCTCTAGGTCATTATTAAGCAAGTCTAGCCTCATCATAGACTAGTCCTAAATAATACAGGCGTGCTCCTGGGCACTGACTGCTGTCAACCGCGTTTAAATACTAAGAATGTGTCAAGTTTTCAGCCAAATATGTAACGTTTCGCTGTGGGGTAAATCGTGCTAGCTGCTGCTCCACTAACCTAGTGAAGTCACCCCACTGCATCTAGCGGAAGACGGTAGTTATGATGTAGGGGTTAGTTCGGTAATGGCTTTGGGGGCTCTTCGGCCGAGACCAAGGAGTTGAAGTTAGCCAATAAATACGTGGCCACGTTTCTAGTATTACTCTAGATATTCTAGGTTTAGCTGTATAGCTAGAGTGGCCCAAATTTTTTCTTTTTTTTACCTTTCCAAACCTTATGTCAGGCGACTGATCCACACAGGCCTTGCCAATTCCTGCAATAAAGATATTCGTCTTACGGTGGCTGTTCCAAGTCCGACTTCGCTAATAATTTCCGAGACCCCTTTGGCCATATTTTGATTAAAACCAATAATAACTGGGAGTTATCTGACAAAAAAGGAAAGATGACTAGCGACAACCTTGTACATGGGAAGGTGGAGTTGTTTTGCTGGCGAACACTACAGAGCCCAAGGGAAAACGTTGTGACCAGGTAGCAATGGTTCGAAGGACAAAATTAAAGTGTGCAGGCTATGAGATAGTTCGATTTGAAAAGCACAGTTGGCACAGGGCGTACCATGGGAAATCCCGCACTTCAATGTGAGCATACTGCAGTAAAGCTTATGCTATCTTTGATGTTACAAATCGATTTTGCCTTGAGTCTGTCACTGTTTCGAGCTGTGCGCTGACCCCGGTCTAAGGAGTGGTTTCGACCTGAGGAACCGACCTTAAGGCCCTGAGCTCTCAGTCGGATCAATGCTCCTCAGCCCTCTGCCGCATTAACGCAGTGCACAACAAGTGTCCACGTCGTGTCTCTCCGATCCGAGCACTTAGCCTTCAGCCGTGGTACGGGTGTACGTATTAGCAGATATGAATATGACGTCCCATTATGATAACCTTTGGAACAGACCTCGGCCGCTCGGTACCCGAAGTTTATCTTGGTTCGGTCCACTCATTTCGATTTGCGAGACAAATCTATACTCTTACGACTTTGACACCCGCGGGCCGTATCTCATGTTGTCCGGGACTTTTGGGCCTACGAATGAGCAATCTCCGCTTCTACAATGGACGGTGCGTAATCTCGGCAGTCTCACGATATATGTAAGGTTCAGACCTGCGGTCGTTCATAGTTAACATTGGGTCTCATCTCGGACGTATCCTTGTGAAAAAGCCACTAGTCTCCACACACCGCGCCCATTACACACTCTTCTCCCTCAAATATTGTGGGAATGTCGTTCTCCCCGTTGTTTCGTTCCAGCGTGGCCCTTCGCAATGCGCTTGCCTTGTCTAGCTTATCTCGAAGATTCTATTACCGGCTATGATTGGGGGCGAGTTCTAGCCCCGCCGTCATCTTGTGCCAAGATATGATCTTGAACAGATCGTTCGGGCTTTTGGCTCCGTTAATCACACCCCGCCAATACTCCCTCTTAGCCTTCCTTACAACGCGGCGGAAATCTTTTCTTGCGGCTTTCTTGTCCTCTTGACTCGTAGTACTTTTTGCTGCGCTTCTGTATTCTTCAACCGCGGTTCTGCATTCATCGTTTTTTCATGTTGATGTAATGGATTAGTTATACATCAATTACATTTTGGTGGACCAAATGGTGTAGTAGTTTCGCACCTTGAACGGGCGTACGCCACTAGTACACCACCGGCATGACGCCAGCTCTGAGAGCTCAGCTTGTAGCCGGACGACTTGCCATTCTGGGGAGTCATTACTGACTCTCCGGTATTCGCCAAGTCTCAAACATCCTAGCCACATGTATGTGTGAGTCTCGGTATGACTAGCCGAGAGGGTGGTACAACTGGGTGCGCTGGCCTGATGAAAATTGGGGAGGAGATACGGCTTAACTTCTTTGTTATCCCGCACCACAACTTGGTTTTCCGAAAGCTAGAGAGTAAAACTAGCGAAGCAAAAATCGCTTGGGCGGGACAATAGGTTGGATGAATCTTTATCCCACTACCACGTGCCAGCTTTCTTTCTGATTTGTTCAACATCATACCCCAACCTACTAAGCGCCCTGTTTTCGAGTAATCATTCATTTTGTAGCTAGCAGCAAACCAAGGTGGGATCCAAACCGTCCGTCTCAAGGTCAGCGACACGCACTCTCGAGAGCCTGACGATATTCCGCCAATGGGAATGACAGATAAGTCGCGTATAGAAAGAGGATAATATTTTTTCTAGCTTCTCGTCGTGGTTGTAGTGGAAACAAGAACTCTGGAACTCTGTCTCAACCCTAACCACATGTAAGTTAGTTACATGCGACTAACTTTCACCTTCTTAAAAAGTGGGCCTTATAGGTATTACTTACAACGGCTACCCTGAGGTCGATCATTATCCACTCAACACCATACCCGCATGTGGTGTTGTTAATGCTCCCACTTCATGGCCACGCGTCGGCTGCGCTAGGGTGGTTAAAGAACTAGCTATGCCGCTCCGCATTATTGTACACTCAAATAACCTACGGCAAGAAGATGTTGATTCCATGTCTCCCTTGTCTGCGGTTCGTGGTAGCTAATGAGTTCAGGTTTCACATTTTGGGCATAAGCTACATTGTCGTTGACTAGCGCCACACCACGGCAGTGATTGTGGATGCCAAGCGTCCTAACCAGCGTCATGGGTACAATAATTGCTGTCAGAGGTCGTGTTCTTTCCGTGGATCATCGTACCCTGTAGACTATTGCTTTGACTGCGCCGGGCGTTTGGATGGATGCCCCAGACCGTGGTAGCAAAGCAGGGACAGGCCGGCGGCAAGTATCCCAAGCTACGGCATCGCGTATTTGAGGTCTCAGAGTTCCTACTTGTGCAAGACATCGTCATTGTGATGCACCCTAAGCGAACAAAAAAACACCGGCAGGTTTTTCCACTGGATCATTGTCCGATGCTGCGTGCAACGTTGATATCTGTCTCTACGGCCGTACTGTACTCATGTTACAGGGTGAAACACCCGACCGGGCTGAGAATAAATGTGGCTGGGCGCGCTAGTATTGGCTGGGCAGTCGCTGCGCGCAGCTTACAAAATCAGGATTGGTGGCGACCAATGAGACTGCGCGAGTTAGGCACTAATGCAAATACTACATTAGCACCCAAGTTTTTGTTCTGTTGACGGCTATGGCTCGTCAAAGTTCCGTCCATCTCTGTTGGCTCATACTACCCAAGTTGCCATGGACCGCAATTGAGTCTAACGGACTAGTATCTGCATGGTCGGACTCGCTGGAGCCTTGCCCTTGGAGCTTCGCAGTTCCTTTCGGTGACATGATCCAGTATGTACAGAATACTGCTTCGGGTAATCAACTTCACTAAGACGGAAATATTGTTAGCCTGCACATCTCTCCCAAGATTAGCCACACCCAGTTTCTACCACTGCCCCTGATTTTCATTCCGGCCTTCCGTCAGACATGCCTCGGGTTCTTGCGATTCGGTAGCGGAAGGAACCTTCATGCCTAAACAAGCACTTTAGACAAGCAATATTCACATACACCCGTAGTAACAGAACCTTCGGCGCTTACCTCTGCCGGTTCTCGTGCCCTCGAGAAACATAATATTCTCACCGGCTCAGCCATTAGGGTATTGCGCCAACCGCTTACAAGCTTATTGTTAGCGCCATTCACGATTTTATGTCTCACGTTTCCGTCGCAATAATTCTCCTGGACATTTGCTTGCATCTCACGACTCCGGACCTGATCCCCTTCAGGCCACCCGAACGCTTCTGCTGCTGGTCAGCTCAAATGATGGAAGGACACCCACCTTTGAGTTCACCGAACAATCACCTGGTACAAGAGGTTTCCAACGGTTTCTTCCACGGGGCTGCTCGCGAAGAAAGTCAAACGAGCTTCACTCATGGATCTAGCTCAAGCAATTTGGTCTTTCAGCAACAGTGCCAGCATCACTTTGATTCCTCTCAGAATCCGTTCTCGGCACAATTCGATGACACAACCGGAAGACCCCGGCTACGGGGCTTCCCATGGCCCTTACAACATGACCATCATGGTGAATGCACTGCTGTCCCAGTCTGCATTCAGACCTGACGTGGCCCATGCCGGACAAGCACGATACAGCACCAACGGCTCATCTGGTGTAGTACAGCAGATGACCCCATATGCTGGACAGTCTCATAAGAACCACCTTGCCAGTCAGCAGTACTACATGGCCCAGAGTGCGCATGTGTCTGCTTATTACAACGCGCAACTACTACCTTCACAGCAACAAGCTAATCTGTTGCCGATATACAGTGCGCAGCAACTACCAGTCGCCGGTTATTACTACCCTTCTGCAAACCACTATCCCAGCTCTGACTCAGCCATGACCGGAAATGTGATATCCACCCAATATTTACCGTATGATCCACGTCGGAACTCACGCGCAATGTACCAAGGTCAAGCTGGCGCCGGTGGATCTGCTGCTTGGGACGGTGGGTGCATGAGGATGACACGCTGCTGAACACGACCAAATACTTACAATGACGCCCAGGTACTTACAATGGGCGGGCCAGTTCGAATGTTGTTCGTGGCCCTCCGCGAAAGCCTCGACAAAGTGGTAGGTCACTACAGTTCAGCAGGATTGCTTTCTTTACCGCAAATACTTCTAGCATACTTACAATATATAAAGGTTGCGCTATTTGGATAGGGAATCTGCCGCCGCAAACCGATCTGATGAGCCTGGTCCATCACGTGTGCAACGAAGCTTCTAGTCTCGAGTCGTTGTTTCTCATCTTGAAGAGTAATTGCGCTTTCGCGAATTTCAAGGACGACGAAAGCTGCATTCGCGCGCAGCAAAAGCTTCATAACTCCAAGTTCCAGTCTGCTCGATTAGTCAGTCACTTGCGTAAGAACACGGTCGAGGGAGCAACCGGAAAACCTGCGCATACAGGACCTTCAGCAACATCGCCTGGGGCGCCGAGTGTGTCACCTGAGCCTCTTAAAAGTCAACAAACACCGATGGGGCCTGCGACACAGGAAGCTGTAATGGGTCAAGAGAAGGAAAGAGATTTAAGAACTGCGCCTATCGGCGGGGCCGCGCAGCAGAAAGATAGATTCTTTGTTCTCAAAAGTTTGACTGTGGAGGACTTGGATCTCAGCGTAAGGAATGGCGTATGGGCAACACAACCCCACAACGAAGGATCTCTTAACGATGCTTTTAAGGTAAGCTTGCTGTTTCTAGCTACTTGTTCTTGGGTTTTTCTTACAAAGTTTCCACGCAGATGGCCGACAATGTGTACCTCGTCTTTTCCGCAAACAAATCCGGCGAGTATTTCGGGTATGCCAGGATGGTGTCATCTATAAACAACGATCCGGCTGCAGCTATCAAATTTGGCCTGAAAGCACAAGCCACAAGCGATATACACTTCCCCGAGGCTATCCCTATAGAAGCTACCGGCAATTGCCCGCGAGGCAACATAATTGATGACTCAGCACGAGGAACAGTATTCTGGGAAGTCGAGCAAGAGGATGTTGATACAATACCAACAGGAACTGATTTGAAACATTCTGCGAGTGCGCGCAGTGGATTGAATGGTGAACAAGACACCAAAACCTGCGGGAAGCTTTTCAAGTTAGAATGGCTATCTACAGCACGGCTGCCGTTTTATAGAGTAAGAGGATTGAGAAACCCATGGAATGCGAATAGGGAGGTTAAGATCGCTCGCGACGGGACAGAACTAGAACCGTCAGTTGGAAGACGACTTATCAGACTCTTCAATCCTGTGCAGAGCCCAGCGCCGCCGATTTCTATGGACATGCGACAATGTATCACAGTGGTCACCGGAAACCTGTGCTTCACACAAGGGGCATGCCGTAACAGCGGATCTACTTATCAAGACATTGCCAATATTGCCACCGAATAAGATAGGCGGGATTCCCTACACTATGTTGCAGAGCAATGCTGACAGAACTGTCGCCAGAGTCTGGAAGTACAATTTAGTTTCTGTCGGCTCCACAAGGCCTTGATGTTTCCAGACGTGATGAAGAAGGAGCGGAGCTGTATACATTGCTTTTGTAAAGCCACAACCAACGATTGTCACTGCATTGAGAGCTGGTCTGTGACCACCATAATGTTGCGGCAGACCTGACTGATCGTCTCAAATTTACTCCGTGGCTGCCAGCACTGCAGCCGTTACTGAAGCCGTTGCCTCAGTTTATCGTCGGCCATCCACGGTGCTGCGTCGACAAGTAACGCAAAAGACTACCAAGCGTTAGGTTGCCAGACAGGCATGCTTTTGCCCCAACCGATGGAATTAAGATCCACAAGACATCTTATGGTAAAGATAGTCAGGAGTCCATCTCGTAGCGAGGGACCATTTAGGAAGAAACGGACGTCCACGTCAGCCATACTTTGGCACAATCAGCTATGTCCAAGACCAGAAGACTATCTGCTTCACCTAATAGGGTATGCATACGTGTTTGGGAAAGAGAGGCATGTAGTTTTTAATGCTCCCGTTTGTCTTCTAAAATGATTGAGGCTTTCTTTGATATGCAGGTTTTAATTGATCATGAACGGTCAAAATCATGACCGGCTATGATATACACAAATCCTAATTGGCGAATATTTTTCATAACACATCCATTCATGAACATGTGAGTACTTGGGTGGACTTCCTCTGCATTTGGCTACACGTAAGACGGATAGATTTCCCCGCTCAGAAGCGTAGATAAATCGATTTTGTAGCTAATGGTGTGCCATCGATACCAATTACTCCCATGCCGCCAAAGAGTTCTAACTGTTTTAGTCGTGGTGCATGCGTGGAAGATGTTGCTCATTTGACATTAAAGATGATGCTGTTGGGACCTCTTGTCGGTCTTGGCAAACGAATGGCTACTCTTTGCGCTTGGGATTTGTTTCTTATCGCCATACATGTGGCAGCAACTCGGGGTATTCGTTACCTTCTGCTAAAACTTACAGCGTTTGATAGCGAGCTTACTGCCTATAATGATGTCTTTTCAGGCTGTGCCAAGGTCGTGGACAGATTAGAGGTTTTCTGGTAAACATCTTAAGGCTTGAGAGAAGCAACGCCACTGGAGATAACTCGTTGAAGACTAGGACCATATATGTACAGTTGTTCTCATCAGGCCTGTCTCAAGGCGGTGCAATCCCTATATCTCTGGGAAAAGTTAATAACTGTAACTTGATTGCGTCCTCCACCAACTTCGCAATACACCACTGTCGATGCCTCAGTTACATTACTTGGCGGCGAATCAGCGAGTCGACGAAGAAATTGTGTAAGATCGGGGGTGAAGAGTTTCATGTGCGAAACATAGAAGTAGAAACGTGGCATCTGTTGCTCGAAATGTTGATAGAAATGTACGAGCCACGTTAGTCACTGCGAAGAAGCGAAGGCCTAACAGGGTGAGTTCGAAGTTCGCGACATAATAATCGAGGATAAAAACACGAGGGGATATGGTGTGCAGGGTTTTCAATTATTATACTCCCGTAATCTAGAGGCTGTACCTACATTGACATCCAAGTACTATTTGCCAAAGCTCGTGGAAGTTGTGCAAATTCCGACTACTTGGAGCTTGTATCCTGGCGATGACGTCGTTGCCATCGAATGCAAAACCGACCACACCATGATCGACATATATTCCAGGGTGTATAATAAGCCCCATATACAAGGGATGCACATGTCGGTGTGATTGATGATGGTTCCACCTCCGGACGTGCGATTTCAAGATCAGTAATATTGGCCTCTCTTTGATATTATATGTATGGTGTTCGAATGGCTTCCAGAAAGCCATAGGAGGACTTGTGTTCAAGGACTGATGCTCAAAATATGTAACAATATGCTTTGGTCTCATTACAACAAGGAGTCACTTATGTCTGACGGAAGTCTGCCCGCGCTAAACCATTTTAATCTGAGTTTGATGACCCCAGTGTCTCTTTTCCCTCTCCTTATGCCCGACCGTTCGGCCTGATGACTCTCAGGTTGCCGTCAACTCCGATCCTGCTTCCAAGTTGTAGGAACTTGAGGCTGGCGGGCATTTGCGTCATGATTGTTTGTTTTGTTTGTTTGTTTCTATTTAATGTGGGACCGTCCCTTACTAGGGCAAACCACGCCTCCCAGAGCCATACATCGCAGGGTTTTGGAGGTATCAGTATCTACATACATTCCAGCTGCGCACGTGCCAATCCACACTGTTGCAGGCCTGAGTTAGAGTAGTCAGTCTGTCAGCGTCGTGATTGTTTCGTCCGCAGTAGCATACCAATAATCTCACTTCATTGAGCGATTTGTACCTACATCTAGTCCCGTCACTTTGGCCACGGAGCGACTATGGCACATATCACCCAAGCTGTGACAAAAATTTGGATGAAGTCTATCAATATGCCCTTTAACCAGGTCCCCTGGGAGGATCTCGTCGCAATGATCACATTTAGCTCTTTCTCAGAAGGTGGAACCTTAGACGTGGATGGAATTATTTCTTGATGTATAGTGTCAATTCTATCTCCAGCTAACTTCATGACTGTAAAACCTCAGAGGGGAAGACCCCAACGTGCTTCCGGAGTGTCACTAATCCGCTTGCCCCCTTATTACGTGCGTGGAACTTATGGTTACATGTGGCTCTTATGCGCCATGTGTTAGAATAGGTGCTGACCAATCTTCAGAATGTCGTACACTCCTGTCTAATTTAGTGCTGCGATACAATTATTACTCAATGCCGCCCTTTGTAGAAGTTAATGTGGAAGCGCCCATTTACCGAGCAAATGTCCTGATGGCCATGGTAGTCATCAATATATGCCTTTGCGTATCCAAGCTTGCCTGCCAGCCAGTCCCTCGAGGCCTTATTGACAATCGCCGGATCAGTGCGACTTTCTGTCTCCATAATCACTACTGCGCCGGAGCCAGCTTTCTGCTTATAGGATCCAGTGGGAGCATTACTAAGTACATTGTCGCTAAAGCCTGTCTTGGCACCGTTCTCGTCGAGGGCCACCATGTCCACGGCCCCGTCACAGCCTTTGATCAGTGAAACGTCGGCCCATCCCGTCCCATCCGTATCCCACGAAAACTCCACCCATGTCCCTAGCAAATGGTATTTGCCGTTAAGGTTTGCGGACTCTGTGCCGCGAGTCATGCGTCCTTGGAAGCCGGCGGAAAATGAGACGAACCTCATGTCATTGCCGGGAATTGTAATATACTTGACAGGCATGCAGTCGCAGTTATTTTTATACACAAAGTATGTATGAGAAACAATGTCCTTGTTCTGAACGACGAGGCCTCTGCTCCTTCCGTCGTCTTTGTCGTCAGTGAGCTTCTGGGCTATAGTTGGGCAGGTGTTACCGGAAGGATAGTAACACGCCCCGCTGACTTCGACAGGAATAGCGAGATTGCTGGCGCAGGTTACTGCGATGCTAGTTTCCTGGACTACCGGGAAGGTGGACCCAGTAATCACTAAGATAGTGAAGGTGAAGATGGATCTCAACATATTTCAAAATGTATTGCTGAGTATGCTGGCTAGTTCTTGTGAGCGATTGGTTCTGATTTGAAGAAACACTTTGTAGGTCTACTGTTTTGTGTAGAATAAAGGACAATCATACTGTCTTCTTAGTTCGGCTGGCCATATATACCATGCATTATTGGGCTTCGGGGGACTGGAAAATGTGATATGGTGTAAGGCAAACCAATTACAACCTAGTCCGTATCGAGGGGCTGGTGAATATTGCGCACTGATTAGCTCCGAGTTCATACGGTATCTTTTTGCACCTAACTACCTGCATATACCCCAGAGGCAATTATGGTCCCCTTATTCATCGCGATGATCGTAGCAGGGCTCGGTCTTGGCTGTCTTTGCTGTTCCTTATGGTTGGTAGGAGTGGTACTCCAGGCTTTGGCTACAGATTCAAATTATTTTCGCACTCATGGATGTCTACTCTATGGCAGTCTGGATTCGTTAATTTTCAGTACCCTTCCGCCATGTGCCGGCGGAATCACCCCAGATTGTAAACCGTAAAAGCTTATCATAGCATTTTGCACCTGTAGTGGCATCGTATCTTTGGTTGCGTGCATAGTTTTTTAAAGAGCAACACTAATTTAAGTTCCCGTGTAGTTAAGAGGCGCTTTGGCACGTCGCCGCGTGTCTAGGTTATAATCTCACCACAAAAGCTATGGAGACAGATCCCAATCTAATCAGGTATTGCAGAGTGTATTGTACGCCTGTGATCATTGAGTACCAGCCAATCCAGCTGTACCTATTTGAGGCATATTCGATTGGAATCAATCTTAAATGAGAATGAGACATGCCTACCCGATTAGGCAAAGCGGTGTCTAAAATAGGACCCGCCAAGGGTGGTCTAGGTGTGCTAGTGCATTGGGCGCTCACGGTGTCACGAGCTCTTTTTGAGGAGCTTACTGGAACAAGTGTTGGAAGATCGAGAGCAGGACCAACCTGCGATATGTGGGGGGAGTAACTACTAATATAATCTTGTCCGGGCACTACTATTTGAACCGAACTGGGTCAGTTTGTTTAGGCGTGAACTGGAGCATAACCACTTAACTGTTATGCGATGAACCCTTAGCAATAAGACTCAGGGGCCACGGCCCCATCATAGGACCCACATAACCTACTAGTCGCTCCTTGAGGTTGTATAGAAGGAGGAAGGACAAGTGTATGAGAGCGTACATTCATACGATAGCTAAGAGGATCCTTCTCTCCTCAGAGAAGTCTTCTTGTTCATAGAGATAATAGACGTCATAGTGTAGCGTTCGGTCTAGACCCATTACACTAACCATGGGTTTTCCTTACTAGATATGCTCATATTAGAATCCTGCAACTCGGTTGCAGTCAATTGATCTGAGTGATCTTGAAGGAATCCCATCGGTCCCAAGTTTGTCCATTCTTTCTAAGAGGATATAATGTTTTACATTATGAACAGACTTGAGATATAACAATAGAGGAACTAACATAAGCGATTAGTAAATCATTTTCTAACAGTTCTACTGATATGACGCCTCGCCACAATATAACCTTGTAATTATCGTCCAGTCACTAAGCTCACGAGCATATTACCCATCGTGTGTTCTTCTGCTACACTATTGGGCCTGCTCGAATGTATGAATTGCATTGAAGACCCACGCATTCATATCAAATATACTCGTGTAAATGCCGCTTTGTTATTCTGATCCCTCATCTTGTTCAAGCCATGTCAATCTCATCTGGTTCCTGAGTATAAGGTCCTCTAAATACCAAGTGCCTATTGGCTTCTTAGCCGGTAGATTGATTGCTTGATTGATTGTATTTACGTGCGGGACGTCCCTTATTAAGGCAAACCACGCCTCCCAGAGCCATACATCGCAGGGATGTGGAGGTGTCAGTGTAACTATGTACATGTCAGAGCCGCTCACGTGCCGATCCACGCTATTGCGGTATCATGCTGGCGCTGCCAGATGGGTTTTAGTCAGTATCGAACCTCGATTCCGTCGGAAAACATCCCCGTCCATTGCTATCCGACCCATCAGTCCGCAGTCCTCCGGTTTGGACATCGTCCCAGTAGCCGTTCGATGTCCGTCGAATTGGTGAGGGTGAAAGCAGGTGATGTTGCTTCCGCCGGCGGGGAAAAACCACCGAGGTGGGAAAACCCGCCCGTATAAGATATGTGAGGAAAGACTCTTTGGTCATCGGGCTCTGCGATAGAGCCCATCGCACTGTCATGTGCCTGTTGACGACTAGCACAAGCCGGTTAAGGGGACAGTAGTGGGATTCAAACCCACTTGCTCTCGTCGCCCGCCGCAACAACGAGAGCACTGCCAGGCGCACTTAACCATTGCGCCATAGGGGCGGCCAAGACGGCTTGTAAGGATTACCGCCTGCTCAAGATGGGAATTTGAAAAGTTCAACGGAAACCAATTGACTAATTAAGAACTAATTATGTCGTTGCTAGAAGTATCTCATGAACGAGGTCCGGAATAGAAACTCAGAAATACCCGGAAAACAATTTTTTATTGCTCATGTAGATGTTGGTACAATAATACATTGCGGACTTGTTTCAAGGGAAGGAAGGCCAAGCTATCCAGATCCAAGCAACAATGTTTCCATGCACAAAGTTGTGAGCTTGGTCTATCACTTGTAACACTTCTATTTTCTAGAGAGTACATGGTTCAATTTACGAAATTTCAAGATAATTGTATGCATTATCTTCGGGTTCAATCGATAAGAGGCAAGGTTTAATGTGCCAAATCGAACTCAACATCCTTGAAGGATGGAATACCGTTGACGACACCTCCCTAGTCTCAAACGTTATTTTCGCACATCCGTTAACGATGCGGTGACTGCATTCCAGCGTTTCCGATCAGTCCTTAAGAATGAATAACCCGCCAAGGATCAATCATCATGATAAGTTAGTCCTAATTCCACAATCTGGCCAATCATTTTTGCAATTCAAAACATTCTCTTCTCTTCGGCCGGCGATGGTAGATTTAAGTTCTCCTGACTCCAAGTTATTGACAAATTAAGCTTCCCAACACACGGAGTTTCATCAGCGTTAGTGCGCATTTGGGAAACTAGCGTTGGGTCGATCCCAAGCAAAAGCCCAGAATGCGAAGAACTAAGGTTTATTAGACTCCCCAACTTCTGCGAGCTCCCCAATCAAGGCAGTGAGTACAAGGAACCCTTGTAACCGGTATATTTAACTGCAAACATGAACAGTGATATTTCCATAACTCTGTTTGATTAATCACGTAAGGAAATGATGTATTAGCTTCGAAATGGTGTGCAAGGTCGCACAGCTGTAAGTTGGCTGGTCTGGAGCGACCATGTGCCCCAGCTTGCCCAATAGTCTGGCCCACAAGACCACAACTTCCAGCTTCCCTGGCGTTCTTGAACGTTCACGTCTGAAAGTCTGGGACGACCTTCAACGTCGAAAACCCTATCCGAGGTCATTACTGGTTTTCTAATCACCATCTCATATTGGATTTGTTGGTCGCGACTTCAAAATGACTAGAACACTATTGTTCTTTATCGACGGATTCAAGGGCGCCGATGACACTTTCAGACATTTCCTCAGCACTTGAATACCCAACTCGGGAAGAAACTACCAGACCATAATCTCCAGGCGGTTGTGTATCCAAAGTTTGAGATGAAACGAGAGTTATCGCAATCTACAGAACAGTTTCATTCATGGTGCGTACCCGCAAAATGTAAGAAGAGCGCAAGAAGCTGACGACAAAAGGTTGAAAGAAAGAGTAATGAATGTGCGCAAGCCGCATAACGAGAAGCCTTGGCACCACATGGTCGCGATGTCGGTGTAATCTTGGTTGCGTATTCAATGGGGTAAGTTTAAGGCCCTAACATGAGCCCACTCGGAATCAAGCATACATACAACAGCGGTTTCATGGCAGTTGACGCGCTATTCTCGGTTCTAAATGACAGAATGAACAACAAGATTTATGAAATTAACCCAACGTTTCCACTCATCCAAGGTATCCTACCATATGATACCCCGTACAACGGCCTGGCGCGCTCCATGCTTGTCTAGGGCTCTTTATCCCATTACCAGAAGGTGAGCAGTATCTTCAATGCCATGACAGCGATTTCCGTGGCAGCGCCATCACAGCTCAGCAAGCTCGCTCTTAAAACGCGGGGCCACATATGTGGTCTCAGCTCGTGGCCGGAATCCGGCTTGTAAGACCTGGCAGCTTATCGCCGTAGGAGTGGTACCGTTGGAGCCACTGTGGCATTAGGCGTCGCTGCGTACATGCACCGCAATCAAATCAGGTGAGGGGCAAAAAACGGATCGTCTGTGCTCAAAGAGATTCAGTCTGTACATGATCCATTAGTGCTCATATATGTATGTGTTTATGGCCGGAAAGAGTATGTACTCAGCTATCGCGGTACTGTATCCCAGAGGTTCAAAAGTATACTTCTACGGTATACTTCTACGTGGAAGCCAGAAGTACACTGTACGTGCTTAAAGAGGGGTGAAGAGACAAACAGAGGAAGCCAATTTCGATCGTGTTTGCACACGAAGGCCGTCCATTCTTTTCTTTGCGCCGAACCATACAGTATTTGAATGCGGAATGAAATTCCAGTAGTGGACTCTCATTGAACGTGCTCCTGCAGTGATTGACCCGACTATTTTTGTAATACTCTGTACTGATCATATATTGCTCGCGGCTGTCTCCATTTGTGCGTATTATCATTATCAAAACCGTAACAGAGACCATCCATCTGCCACAGTTTCTTGACATTGAACATTGCACGAGATCTTGGAAAGGCCAGTTCTTCAAGTATCATTTAATCGCGCAGTACTCAGGGACTATTGTAATTATGAATACTCCTTTTCGGTTGTACATCCTCTTATTGGGCTTGGTCACCCTCTCCAACTCAATGCCGGCAGGTAGTAATACAGCATCGAATCTACCTGGTTGTGCAGTTAGTATTCCAGCCGGACTTTATTTTGGAGAAACAAGAATAACCTTACAGCAGTCCTGCATTCAGGAAAGTCTCCAGACTTCGGAATGCGATATCATGAACATAAACTGCCAGTGTAGTGACGCAGACTTTATCTCCAGTTCCGAAGACTGTGTGCTGAGTCAATGCACAATGGAACAAAGCCTAGGTCAGACACAAAAAAGCAGGCCATATTTATATGTTATGCTGACTGATAGGCACAGTCACGAAGAACATAACTCAAACCCTGTGCGGTGTGACACCGCGTGATAAAATCCGCGAGTATAACTGGATATCATACATCCTAGTTACTCTATCCTGCTGCATCGTCAGTGCCCGTTTGGTTTACAGAAAATTATCCTATCCCAAGACTCTCAGTGTAGATGATTGGTTTATCCTATTGACTATGGTCGTATCTATCCCCTCTGCCATCGTCAACGTGAGGGTCTTCACTTCGAATGGCTTGGGCAGAAACATATGGACTTTGAGGCCCGAGGAGATCACAAATTTCGCAAGAGGCTTTTACATCATTGCGATACTCTATCTCAAGAGGGTTTTTTTTCTTAAAGATGTCCATTTTATTCTTTTATCGTCGTATCTTCCCAGGGAGAATGGTCCAACGCCTGCTCGTACTGATAGCCGCCTTCGACACGTTATTCGGTTTTGCATTTGTGGCGACAGAAATCTTCCAGTCTCGTCCCATCAGGTATAACTGGACGAAATGGAGACAGGAGGGTGAACGGTATTGCTTGAATGTCAACGCTATCGCCTGGGCCAACGCTGCGATCAGTATCCTGGTATACACCTCACCGGCCTCACGCCTGTCTGAACTTCCGCCTCATTGGCGACGGCCGTTTCGTCGATCTCGACGGTGAGGCCCTCTGCTGTCATGACTTTTCCTGGACAGTCCCGCAGCTTGTAGTGGTGCCACACAACATGCTCCTCAATTTCTCTGCTTTGAGGATGTCAATAATCTCGCTCTGGAGGGCCAAGAGCTTTGTCTGTGTTGCCTTATCTCGCGGGTGCAACGTGAAACCGGAAGTGCATCAGGTGACCTCTCGGAGTTCTTGATAGTTGAGTCCTAGTCTTCGCACGAGGTTGGACTTGACGCCATATGGTTCGAGTCGGGAGTTGTCCATGCGTAGAAATATGCGGCTATCTTCTTGCTCTTCTGGAGTGGCCGGCCCTTGGGGTCGATAACCCTTTTATCGGCAGCTCCGTTTTGCTGCGTTCTGTACAACGGAGTGGAAGTGCTCCTGGAGGCAGCCACCTGGGCGGACGATGGTTTTACATGCTGTCCTATCGACGCAACATGATTGTTCTTCTCTAGTGCGTCCTATGCTCTATAAGCCATTCACCAAGCCGGTCGGCGAAGAAGGAGCGAAATTCTGTGGCATGGAGGTAAAGGTCGGTGCCCGCTTTCTGGAGAACCTTGACAATTGCATTCACACATCCTGAAACATTCTTATCTCGCCTGCTGAATGCGCATGTCTTGGTCCAGAACCGAGGCGACTTGGTTTTGGCAGTCGGTAGGACTGGTTCTGCCCTCGCCATTATGGACAGTGTGTCTCTATCAGCAACCTTGGCGGTGATTTCTTCAAACCGCGGGCTTTTAGCGCTGATGATGCTGTTGAATATGCCAGTACTGTTCCGGCTATGGGCCGTGTACCAGTTGTCAGCTAAAGCCTTCAACTATGAGCGCGACCATGAAGCTCAAACCCGACTAGCTTATAGGCATGGCTGCCGGCGCGCACATAAGGTTTCGACGGACTGGCGAAGTGGCGAATCTGCAACTACAAATTGTGCCATCATATGGATGAAAGATTGTGATTCTCTTCTTTTTCAAGCTTTAGATGCTCGTCAATAGGATAGTCAATTGAAACATACATTGACTGCGCCTCTCACAAGTACCGCCTCTAGTGTTTTAGGGGAAGGACGGTGTGTAGTCAGTTTCAGTGATCTGTGATGGGCTGCTGGCGATGTCACTAAGCGGGACTTGGCGGAGCCTGCTCGGGGGAGTGGGGCCGCTTGGCTTTCTCGCATATAGCCCCCGGGGCGGCAGCGGGTGTGCCAGGCGGCGCACCTATAGACGATGTCATTCGGATCGAAAAGATTTCAAATGCCAAGATATATTAGGGGTGTACTCTAAAGCGTCACTAAATAGCCATATTTCCTGGTTGCGCCCTAACAGCGGAGCGCCAAGAAAAGTAGTTGTAGAATTTGGGTGCTTAGTGGGCATCTTCTCTGCTCCAGGCCTCAAACCAAACAATCGAATCAATCGACGCTAAGGTTTTAGTGCAAGTACAATCAGCTGTTGAGCCGTGCACGCGTTCACGTGGCATCAACATAGCCCGCGTAGTCTTAGCGTCGATTGCATCAATTGATTGATATCGAGTCTACTCACGCGCACCCTACCGACAACACTGTCTGGCTTCTCCCATACCCTGAGCAAACAATACTGCCCGTCTCATCATAGACCGGACCTACAGGAGCGAAGCGACTCTTCCCTGTGATACCGGATCTGAACGTTCCGCGCTAGAGATAGCTTTTCCGCTCCTTGGCTTCAGCGTCTTGAGTGAAAATTGCCGCGCCAAGGAGGGTCTTCACGCGGCCGCCGATTCTGCCGTCGCCGCACGAGCCAGAAGATTCCGAGAGAGGTTGCGGGACACGGTTCACGGCTTTCAGAGAAGCGGAGGTTTGTGAATGGACGGAAATACGTTATTGCTGTCACACATTGTCACCCATGGCGCATTCATGAAGTGTCTTTGTGAAGATGTGACGATTGATCTTCCTAAGGCAGGCTGGAGGGCCTTTACAATTGCCGATGGGGTTGGTGGTGAAGCTGTATTGAAGCCTATTGAATAAACTATGGTTGATCCTCTGTGTGAGGGGGCGCAGCCAATGTGCGTTTCAATTGACTCCATATTGACGAGCATCTAAAGCTTGAAAAAGAATAGAAACACAATTTTTGATCCATATGATGACATAGCTTTTTTTGCATATTCGCCACTTCGCCAGTCCGTCGAAACCTTATTGCTTGGGGAAAGCGCACGCCGCCAGCCGTGCCTATAAGCTAGTCGGGTTGAGCTTCATGGTCGCGCTCATTATTGAAGGCTTTGGCTGACAACTGATACACGGCCATAGCCCGTAACACTCTGATCGAATTGGTGGATCATATGTATCGCTGTCTATGAAGTAATCGCAGCAAGCTGGCTTGACTCGAACCAGTAACCCTAAGCATAAGTCGTCATAAAAACAATAACCCCAAGCTTTAGTGCCTGACGTGTTTCTGCTCGTTTACTAGGACGCTGTGCCTCAGTAGAGTATGACTCCAGCAAATCTAGCCCTATATTTCGTATAGCCTTTTTTTACCTGGACTTTAGAGATCACGACACTTGCAGCTGCCAAGAACGATCTAAAGATCTCGCGGCCGTGAGTCAAATCTTTTCCGGGTTGTCACTCCCTCGGCTTGATTGGTGCTCGATGGATTAAACTACCGGGCTGGGAGCAGCTAAAAAATCAGGAACGCCCACATACTCTGTTTGGAGTTAATGGTTGGTGCCACTGCACCCCTAACTCCCGTGGTTACTACCCTGAAATAATATTTTTATATTGAGATAGAAGCTGCTCGCTCAGTGGTTTCTCTAACTTTGTTTGCTTGTAATGTACACTCTGCAGTGATAATTTCAGGATGACATCCGGTCCGGGAAGGTCTGGGGAGGCTGGCAACTTGTCAACCTGAAGCCCAAGCTTTGGAATACCATCAGCACCAATTACCATCTCGGTTTCACATCCTTCGGAGGCCCCCCAGTGCATTTCAAGATCGTGAGTACTGGCTTCTTTCGACGATTCGCACCTGGCGGTGCAACTACGCATTGCCACATGACAAGCGCTAACAATACCCCGCCCCTGCCTTAGTTCCAAGACAAATTCGTCGAGAAGCTGCAATGGATCGACATTCAAGTGGTAGGCAAATATTTTACTGGTGTAATTGCGAGAAGCATAGCAGCGCTGATTAAGATACAGTATCAGGAGCTCTTCAGTATCTGCCAAGCTTTCTCTGGCCCTGGCAGCACCAAGATGCACTTCTGCATTAACCAAATTCATGATGGTTTTCTCCCTGCTTTACTAAGCTTCTTCATCACGAGGTAGGGAACTATATTCACTGAGACACTCTCCTTGAAGCAGTAATTGATTCCCTTCTTAGCTTGCCCGGGGCCCTGGGAATGTATGGCCTCCCTATCGGCGTCTCCAATATTGGGGACACTCTCCCTGGACCCGCTTACGCACTCCTCTCCGAGCTCAACGCCTCATCTGTGGGTATTATCGCAGTTGCTGCCGTTCAATTGTCAGAGAAGGCCATCACCGACAAGATAACTCGAATACTCGTCTTGCTTGGAGGTGCGGCTGGGATTTTATACAATGCGCTGTGGTACTTTCCGCTTCTGATGTTCGTGGCCGGCTGTGCAACCGTCGTCCCATGACTATCGCTGGCTTCATGGCCCCATCACGACTATAGTCGACTTGGTGAAAACCCCCACAAAACGGCTCAGAGTACAAGAGCCGGAGTCTGTCGAGCTTTCGCAACCACAATCCGCCGAGCGGGACGATAATGCCACCACCACTGCTGCCTCTTTCGGCACTGCTAGGGAACTAAATGATGCGGTGGTCTGCGTGAGCCGAGAAAATAATGCGCAGACTCTTCCAGTCGCTGAGAACTCACGTCCAGAGGTCGAATCAGAAGCGCGCGTTGTCCCATCAGAACGATCCCTCAAATTTACCTGGCCCTTTGGCCTTAGCATTATAGTCTTCTTTCTCATCACGTTTATTGTGATATCTTCCACCAGGAAGCTCGCAAGTCACCAAGAGATTGTGATCGAAATGGTAACGTCCTTACGTAATTCTTTGGCCGAATGCTCAACTGCTTCTTGAACAAATATTAAAGAAGTTGTACCTACAACTATCGGAGATCAACCACTGTTCGTAACCGGTCAAAGTAGAGAATAAATGGCGCCGCAAGAGGTCACGATGCAAAGAACATGGCAAACCGACTAGGTCGAGTCGATTGCATTGGTGGTTGATTTACCTCTTAATAACGCGTTACAATACAGAAGAAACATGGGAAGCATACCGCACCTCGAGAAATAAAAAGGGAGTGCCATCCAAAGAGCGCTCCGGCGTAGTCAACGAGACAGGGCGGAAAAGCCTCGGAGTCGCCGAATCGCTCTGGAGCGCTGCGATATTGGGCTAGGACAAGGAAAGAACAAGTACTAACAGTCACGCCTGCATTGAAGGATCCAAAATCATCACATGTAGCAATAGAGCCGGAAGATAAAGCGAAGCTTCTGAAAGAGATATTTTTCGGAAGCCCCCGGAAGCGAACCTAGAGGACGTAGAGAGCGCTATATATAACGACTAAATAGATCTTCCCTTTATCTCGGAACGAGAGGCGGTGGATGTGGTCGAGGATTTTGCTGTACGTTCGAATGCTGTAACAGAGATACCTACGGGAGGGAATTAAGCGGCAGAGATTGCCGACTTGCGGGCATACAAATGTCCCAATCACGGCAATGACGTATTGCGACGATCTATCGGCCTAAAAACATGTAGTTGACTCTTGGCTGGTAAGTCAAGCTTCCGCCGCAGGAGACCAGAGTCCATTTACCACATCGACTGACACAATCTTGGATCAGAGGAATTGTTCGAACACTATTCGGTACTGTAGCTGAGCGTACTCCATTGCAGTGACTTGGTTAATATCTTCGGCAGATATATGACAGACATGGGCGAGAACCGCAGATCGAAATCGATACTTCTAACATCATCCGCGATTATCTCTTAACGTTCGTCAAGTGTGACAATACTGCGAATACGACAGTGTTCTGCGCGGGATTTGATGCCAATGCGACCGACGGAGTACGATTCTTGAGTTCAGGAAGGATCTACCAGCGCAAAACCTTAATGTTGACGCTTCATGCTGAAAGACCTCTGCGACATTTCCATATTTTAGGTAACTAACCTTACATACGGAATACTAACATAAGATCTGATGCTTGTAGTGTTAATCAAGATTTCAGTCATCCTGCGGCTGTCATGCACCCAACTTCGGTATTGACAGCTTGCTCGGCGATTGTATGATGCGCCACCACGCCCAACCACCTCCCTTCAACATGCGCCCAAACGAAGGAGTCCACAGCACTTCGCTGCCCGTGCTCTATTGTGCACAGTGTAATGATCGCGGATGTACTATTGGTTTTCTTCTCGGCGAATGCCCGAAGGCCCAATCAAAGCCATACAACTGTTTCGCTGCAAGGCATGCCCACATGATCACGATATCGTAAGAATCAACTCCAAGTGGTCCCACAAGTCGGGTTACCGTGAACTCTAAAGTCATGCACATTGGCACGGCAAATCCCCGCTTGACTGTGCAACAGGAACTAGTTGGGTATTTTGTATCCAAAGCCTACTGACTTTTCTATCGCCGCTTCTAACCCCAAAGGGTAGCATCCAGGATCTGGAATATCTGTTCTGGTGAGGGCTCTAGACGAATCCGGCCGGCGCCAGAAGCCACGCCCGGCCCAATTTTCCGATGTGCTTGTATCTCGGGACACTAAGACACTAAGCTATTCAGCATCTGAAAGTACCTTGTTGCGATAAGGTTATTTGTGTGATACAGCTGAGATCGACGTGGTATGGCCTCGCAGATATCGTGGGTTATCATGAAGAGGTTAGCACGGCTCGTGTTCCGAGCTACAACTCATTTATGAGATGATAAAGTAACGAACATGCACTTTTGTCTTGACATGGTTCATAATTTCAAGTAGTCCATTCATTCGTTCAGCTGTGCGATGCGTGCTTTGGCTATTTTGGCTACCCTTCTGGGCCTTGAATCTTTTGTCCACGCACGGTATGTGATGAACCCAGTCACAATACCAGATGCACTCTCCATACGGGAATCATCGTCAACACCCAATGCATTTCCAACACCAAAGACGCTGGCACCAGACGCAAGTTCTTGCGTGAATACAGCAACATCGCGGAGTTGCTGGGGAAGTTACAGTATCGATACTGATTACTATGTGACGACACCTTACACGGGCGTGACGAGAGAGGTATGCGAGGACGAATGACATTTACATGGCCGTTTAACTAAACCAGTAGTAAAGTATTGGTTAACTGCGGAATCGACCACACTTGCGCCGGATGGATACGAGCGCGAAGTATTAGTCTTCAATGGCTCGATGCCAGGTCCGACAATTGAAGCAGACTGGGGAGACGAGGTTGTCGTCCATATCACAAATGGCATACCTGATAATGGGTGAGCAAGCGCTTCAACCAACCTTATTCGCTGGTGATCTAGCATTAACAAACGAAAACAACTAGCACCTCAGTGCACTGGCATGGTGTCAGGCAGCTTAACAGCGTCGCTAGCGACGGTAAGTGCGCATGCAATCCCTGGAGCAAAATCAAGCTGACCCAGGCATAGGCGTACCAGGAGTGACTCAGTGTCCCATAGCGCATGGCCAGACGAAGACCTATAGATGGCGCGCGGCGCAATACGGAACCTCGTGGTACCATTCGCACTTCAGTTTACAACTCGGCGAAGGCCTCCTTGGTCCGATTATCATTCACGGGCCAGCAACTGCAGACTACGATATTGACGCTGGCCCAATCGTTTTGCAAGACTGGACCCATACCAGCGTCTTCACCATATGGGAAAACCTGCAGAGAAATGCGGCTGACGTCCAACCGATTGGCGAAAATGGCCTCATCAACGGGCTGAATCCGTATGACTGCAGCCAATCCAGTGACCCGGCCTGTATTGGCACGGCTGAACGATTTGAGCTCAACTTTCAGAAGGGAAAGAAATATCGACTTCGTATCATAGGCACCCAGATTGACGGTTGGTTCAAGTTCACTATTGACGGCCACAAGCTCAGGGTGATCGCAAATGATTTTGTACCAATCGAGCCATATGAGACCGACAACATCATCTTATCTGGTGGAGAGCGGTATGACGTTATTGTCGAGGCTGATCAACCAGTGGGGAACTACTGGCTTCGTTCGATTTACCAGACTGCCTGCAATAGGAACGATAATCTCAATAAGAACAATATTCGAGGTATCGTGCGATACGTCGGTGCGGATACCGATAAGACTCCGACCACATGCGTCAGCAAGACGATCACGAACTCGTGTGGAGACGAGCCTTACGAGAGCCTAGTGCCCTGGGTATCCCATAATGTAGGTAGCAGTGACTTCGAAGATACATTAGGGATGGCCATTTATATGGAGCCGGACCTTACCTTCAAGTGGACGCTCCGCACCAAGACGCAGATCGTCGATTGGCAGAACCCTACTCTATTGGACATATACAGAGGCGACACCAGACTCCCTCCTGAGAGTAATGTAGTGACAGTGGAAGCAACCAACGAATGGGTGTATTGGATCCTTGAGGACCAGACCGGACGAGATATTTGGCATCCTATGCATCTTCACGGTCATGACTTTTACATTCTGGCCCAAGGTTCAACAGCATACGACTCTAGCGTGAAGCTAAACACCAAGAACCCGCCGCGAAGAGATACGGTGACATTATATGGTAGTGGATACCTAGTGATTGCTTTCAAGACAGACAACCCTGGGTAAGGCATCTCTGCTATCAACACCCGACGGAACATACTAATAGGTACAGCTTATGGCTCATTCATTGCCACATTGCCTTTCACGCAAGTCAAGGCCTCGCTTTGCAGCTTGTCGAGAGACCTGCAGAGATACCCGACCTGATTGCAGCAGATGTCGACCAACTAAACAATACGTGCAAGACCTGGGCGCCGTTCTACAACTCACTAGCTCAAGCACATTATAAACAGGATGACTCGGGTATCTAATTGTCATTTGGCTGGAGTGCAGTTTGTCCAGATTTTGGGCTTGGAGACTCGTTGTAGACCTTGAGGCGATGACACTGCAGCTGTATTGCTGCATGAGGTGCTTATACCACACATTTGTTCGCTCAGGACAGTGAAGTGTATATTTGAATATTCAGACCAGCGAATCAACATTACTGTAGCACGGCTGTGTTGTGGCGCAGCCTATGAGAACGACAACCCAGTTAGCGACTTCGCATAATTTGGTTATTCTTGACACAACGCTCCCAGCATTTCTGCGCCAAGCGTCATGGATTCATGCGATTGCCTCCTTTCCACTCCAACACAGTTGGGGTCTCTGTGGCCCAAAGACAGCAAATGTGCATATGTGGCCCTGGCTGGCAGGCAGCCTCGCTTCTATTATACTGGCCAAGTTTCTAGGTGGCCCTGCTGCAGCAACCCTCACAGTCCGGCGGGACTCCGCTGCTTCTCAATGTCTATTTGGAGGACCCATTGCTCACAAAACAACCGAAGCGGGCTAGCGGGACCTGATAGAAGCTCGTAGTCAACAGCTTGGCAAAAGAGATTGTCGATGAATCGTTTATAAGCGACTTTGTAATAGGCCTCGAGGATATCGTTAATATTTGCTCTGGTATGTGCAGCGGTCGCTCTTGTTGCTGAATGCTTCTGTGACGTCATTCAAATTAGCCACAAGATGGGCCCCAAATTGCGTCGTCTTTTCCTTTCGAGCATGGGGCTTCAGAGTCTCCTTTAATCGAGCACCGTAGCTCCTTCTAGTAGTTATGGTTAAAAAATAGTGGTTCAGCGTGTACAGCTTCAAATCCCGCTCTACAGCCACTAGAAAAGTTGCGCGCATCATTCCGTCCTCATACCTGGTAAGAAGCTCGCTCAAATGGCGGATGCAAGTTTTTCACGTACGTGGACGTCCTTGCACGCGACCTCCAGATTGATGAGAATGAATCTGTGGACAAACACTGAATCGATCTTGCATCACAACAAGCAAAGGTGACAAATTGCCCGAAAGTGCCACTTTTTCTTGATTCTGCTGGAAATCCGGCATTTCGTCAATCTTCGTGTGTAATTGATCAATTACTTGTTGCAGGTGGGTATTGCGGTGTCGGACGCCTTCCATATACGCTTCGTAGTGGTGTAGAATGCCAGCAAATTCTTGGATCGCCAAGTGATGAACAGACATAGGCACCATAAGTGTATGAGAATCGGTGGGATTATGAATCGTTGAAGCCATGATGAAGTTGATGGTAGCTAGGTAGCCGTGTGATTCTTGGAGCCTCGGTTGAGTTCCCGTTGCTCGATATTTTAGTTTGTCTATTGGTTTTCATTTATACTATTAGCAGTCTGAATGGCCATGGGCCCTCATTTTGGAGTTTGTTGGTGGCCGAACTAAGATAACTTTGTACCAAAGACCTTTCTGGATCTTAGCTGGGGAAGTGCTCTTTCGGACAGTGAGACTAGGAAGTTCAACGAAGCTTTGTAGCCACAAACAGCTCGCATCCTGGCATCTCAAGAAACGAGCACCTAAGAGTACGTTACAAGACGGAGTATACAGGCAGAATCAAAATCGGCTACAATACAGTGCCTAGCGAAAGTTGTCTCCTAACCTACTCTCTTTCATGCCTTACTTTCAGACCCACTCTAGTGAGGCCGAAGCTGACTTATTGTACCTTGCCATGCTTATAGGTACTGCGTCGCTTTTAGGCTTACCGAGAGTACTTTTTATGCATACATCCTTTTCTTATTCCTTTCACCTTGTGTACGCAACTGACTATTCGCCTTGAGCGCCGTTTTACTCCACGGAACATTTCCGATTAGGCGCAGAATGCGACAACTGTCCTCCTAAAACATCTCACAGCAGTAAAAAACTCAAGTACTCTGATGAGGATATCACATTCAAGGTGCTTGCTCAAGACGCCAACGGATCTGTAAAGAATCCTTGGAATGACACCTATTATCCCTCACAAGGTTGTCTAGTTATGAAGGGAGAATATCTGGACGGAGGCAATAAACAGTACGCCATCTTCCCGGATATAGTGCTCAACGGTCCCGCACGCAAATATCGATTCTGTATCACCGCGACCAAGAACTACGGTACCGAGACGGTGGACATTTGCGATCATACAGTGGAGTCGAATCCTGAGTTCCAGGTGACAAATCACCCCACGGACACTGAACGAGGCTGTAGATTGATTGATTGATTGATTGATTGATTGAATGTATTGAACGTGGGGACCGTCCCTTATTAGGGCAAACCACGCCTCCCAGAGCTATACGTCGCAGGGTTGTGGAGGTGTCAGTGTATGTATATACATGTCAGAGCCGCTCACGTGCCGATCCACGCTATTGCGGTATCATGCTGGCGCTGCCAGATGAATTTAGTCAGTATCCAACCCCGATTCCGTCGGAAAACATCCCTGTCCATTGCTATCCGACCCATGAGTCCGCAGTCCTCCGGTTTGAATATTGTCCCAGTAACCGTTCGATGTCCGTCGGATTGGTGAGGGTGAAAGCAGGTGATGTTGCTTCCGCCGGCGGGGAAAAACCACCGACGTGGAAAAATCCGCCCGTATTAGATGTGTGAGGAAAGACGCTTTGATCATCGGGCTCTGCGATAGAGCTCTGCATAGAGCCCAACTCACTGTCGTGTGCCCGTTGACGACTGGCACAAGCCGGGTTAAGGGGACCGTAGCGGGATTCGAACCCACTTGCTCTCGTCGTCCACCGCAACAACGAGAGCACTGCCAGGCGCACTTAACCATTGCGCCATACGGGTGTATGTAAGTATAGAACAACACAAAGAACTGATCGCGACGTTTCACCCACTGAAAGAGAATTCACAGTTGTGTACAGTACTGTAGTTAGTTTCTGCTAATACACACGCATTCACTGGGAGAATTTCGATGCTCGCAAAGCATCGAAGGCAGAGGTGGTCTAGTGAATCGTGAGCTCTGGGCTCTGGAAATTGGGGGTTGCGTATTGGCAGGCCCGTGCTTGGTCTCAATTACGGTGCGACCATGTGGAGATGGCTTTCCCGTACAGGTAATCTGAGATGAAAATGAGCGCAAGTACATCGGACTTGATGAGATGTGCAGGAAGTTCATGGTTATCCGGCACGAGGGGATGGTTACATTACTGATATCTCCGTCAAATTTAACTGCCCCAAGAATCGTGGACACGAAGTTGATTCCGTCAGCATCAAAATTCCTTGCTAAACGCGCCGAAATTTTTCGCGCCCATCTCTCGCTTCCTTGTCGGGATCCGGGAGTTGACACGAGACCGCCGAACTGTAAAACACCATGGAGTATATCAACCCCCCAATATTAGGGTAGTTCATCGATTTCTTAGCCAATATAAGCTCATTTACCATGGTTCTATATGCAATCGCTAGAGATTTTAGTAGTGTGTATACCAGGCTTTTTACCTTGGGCACTACTTTGATCCGCCTGGACATGGACTTGATCACGGACTACGATGCGGCCAAAACGGGGGCGAAAGACATCCTATTGAATGAAGGCTACGAACAGAGCCTTTTCAAGGATTTGATGAAAATGAAAGGAAGCATAAATGGGAACACACCAACAATATGGCCAATATACGCGGAGGGGCTCTCTAATGTAAAGTTCAAGGTTGAGATCGGAACGATTTCCAATAATGCCAAAGCGGAAGGAGACGACAACCCCACTTTTACTATGTACTTCAAACAGTCGTGCGTAACACCGAGGATGAGACTGGGTGTGATGTGGACAGTAGATAAAGAGTCGCATTGGACTCGGAAGCTGGCTCGAGCCGCTATATCTTCAGTTCTCTTCGACGAGAACACGAGTAAGGACGATTTCGTCGAATATGCAGAGTATGTGGATGCATGAACGGGCTTAAGGGTCCAGATCTCATGGGACCATGGGGCCGGGATGTTAGGATTCGTGCGGTTAAGGAGAGCGGTGAAACCAATCTCGTGTCCATCAAATCCTGCGACTGACAACGTAGGAAAGAGCACCATCAAAAAGGACATACTAATGGCCTCGAGTTTAGGTTTGGAGCAAGTTTCGGAAGACTTTAAAAGCGAGGATGAATTGCATCCGGATACAACTCCTCGCAAACGTAACCAACGTATCAAACGGGCCTCGCATGGTTATGGCACTGTCTTCTTACGTGCAGAACCCCGCATTACCGCCTTTTAACTTCACTAACTAGCTCCTTGCCAGCTTGCTTAGCTTAATCCTTGCCATCCGCAGAATGGACCCAGTCCAATTGAGGGCCTCCGTTGCCAAGACGAGCCCGGTGGAGATGAGGGCCTTGTTGGTGGCAACGAAGCCCTGGCCGCCGACCTGCTTCACCTCGGAGTTGTAGACGCTGAACAGGTGATCGGTAATCTCCTTGATCTTGACGAAGGGGTGAAAGACGACCTGCTTTCCCTTGGCCTGAATGCTCTCGGTCGACTCTTTCAGGATCGGGATCTTCTCATCGATCTTGGTGAGGGCGCCGGCACCGAAGCTGTCGGCGTTTTTGACGTAGGGTGATATGTACTCGTATGGCTTGGCCAGGTAGGGTACAATGGGCTTCGCAAATGTCTGGTAAGCTGAGTCGCCTAGCTCGAGCGACTTCTTCCCGTAAGGATTGCTCTTGTAGTGTGACAGGGCGTGGTGGACAACAGGGTAACTGGTGATGTGCTGTAGGCAAGATGTTAGTCAGATAATTCGGAGCGACAAGAGTGGAAGTTGACTGACTGTCAGTGTTGCAGAGGATGGATGCGGCTCACCGTTGACTTGAGCTGTCATTGCGAGGGTGTGTTCTGAGTAGAGTAAGAGCTTGATGTAAACTTATATCGAGTAGTCTGTTAGCGGAAAGATGAGATAAGTTAAGCAAGAGGTCGTCGCTTACGGAGAGTCGCGATGCTGTTACAGATAAGAGTCAAATACCGGTGGGAAAAAAACTGTATGTATCAGACGAAGAGAGAGTTGGAGGAGAAATTTGGTTGGAATGCTAGAGCTCTTTAGGTTGGAAGGGCAAGACTGGTGGTCACTACGTTTGGCAGGCATGCGAGTGCAATGCACTTATCGAAGCTTGGGAGCAATGACATCGACCCTATTGGAGGTTACGCCATACCAAGTAGCAAAAGGAAGTTACATAGGGAGAGAGGACGATTAGCATACGCTTAGTTATTCGTTCCTGGCGTATATTTACCTTCGGCTATATCGGACTTCTAGTAAGCCACAAACCTTTTGAATATATATAGGCCTGACGTAGCGCACAGGTTCGACTATCAGCCATCGAACACCTTATCATGCATAAGCTTCCTCAACCAACCTAACGGTTCAGTCAATGACATGCAAGACGCTCATAACGAAATAAATGTATTAGACTTCACCATACATAAGGTGTCGCTTGATGGACTTCTGGGTGCCAGAAACGAAGCAATATTTCCCCCTTGCCGGTCGCCTTCGTTTCGCAACGCAAATAGAGCAAACCCAAAGGTGCCTTATTTGAGGCAATTCTCTACTTATTGACTAATACCCATACTTGCTAACGCTTAGCTCACACTTGGGAGACCAACTCCATCGTATCGGTGTCCACGAACCGTAATCTAGGGTAGTATCAAACCTCGCTCTGATCGTCATCGAAGTCTGGATGAGGTGTAGACGCTAGATATACTCGCATGTTGACTCGATCCAAAGCGTTGATGAATATAGGAAGTTCAAGTACCGTGTAACCGTTGTCCCCATAGCCTGACATAATGCGCTGGACACAGAACTCGGTGTACCTTGCTGACTGGTTCTTCAGGGACTCCGCTTCGGCGCTTTCCGGGGGCCTACCCTTGAAGCGCATGAAAATCATTTGCACAACGTCGCGAAAAATGCCGGGGCAATTCCCGCTTTGCCGACACCGAGCTTGATAATGATACAACCCGCCATGAAGAGGAGTGCAAAGGATTACAAGAATTGTTCTGTCCCAGAAGAGCCTTGAGTACTGTCAATGTACACACTCCCCTATGTGGAAAGCTCGTCAAGCTGCAAAAGATGATAGAACCCGCTCAGGATGAATTGTAATACTAACACCACAAAGGCAGTATTTCAACTGCTCTAAACCATGCGATGCCCACGCGCAACGCGAGCATACCAGCTGGGAGAGGATCAGTCAAGGCATGAATATGGACAGGATCAACTTACGCAATCAAACCTCTGATACATTATGGAGATCTGCATTCGTGAATTCTCTCCGACAAGCGCCACAATGCCCCTCATATAGAGTCGTATCCTTGGATTGAAGGACTTGTTCAATCTTATCGAAGGTGCTTTCCAGCACATCCAAGACCGCCAGCCTCAAGTGCTCCACCACTTCCGTGGGCTGTTCTCTACCAAAGCCTCCAAGGACACCCTTCCATTAACCCATCACGCTACTGTACAGTACCAGCACAGCCAGGAAGAACCCATCCAAGTGTTTGCCTACCAGCATACTCATTAGACCACTGGATGTTACAGAGAGAATCAAAGCCGCCTTCCTCCTTTTGTCTCTCTTTTCTCTTTTCTAAGCATAAACGATCCGTTTCTGGCTCTGACCTATACGTATGCTGCAAGTACTCTTTCGGACCGTGTCAATTTTGGTTCCACGAGCGTGAGCTTCAACCAGGCTCTTTCGCATTTATTGATTTATCCACTACTACAAGGAAATTGAACGTTACCGAGGATAGATTTTTGACACTGAATATATGCGTTCATGCCCCGAAAAGATGTGCTTTCAAGTTCCATGGTACCAGTGAGGTTCAAAAGTTTACTTCTGCTTGGGAGCCAGAACTGGACTGTCCATGCTCAAATAGAAGAGAAGAGAGAGAAGGATAGGAAGCCGATTTTGATTCTCTCTGTACTGTACTGTACGGCACTGCACCCTTTCGTCTAATGGACCAAAAGGGATGCAGCACAGTACCCCATCCAAGGCCATGGCCGCATATGTACCGCCCAGCGAGCACGAAATGGAACAATGGCGGCGTGGGTAGCAGAGAACAGTTCTTGGTACAAACGATTCTTGTATTGGCCGAAGCTGGGTCGCTACTGATGTTCGAGCGGTCTGCGATCCATTTACGTACAGTACCTGGATCAGACTGATCATCGTAGAGTTCCACATGACGGTAGGAGTCCAAAATTGACAGTACATGACACCTGCCATCTTTTTTTCCAGAATCGGACGGGCAGGTCCAGATGCAACTCTAGCCAAAACACGAAAGACCACAGCTCGGTCGCATGAATCATATGAATCACATGGCTCGATCCACCCAGACTCATCTATATAAGCTGTCCTCGCCCAGATTGTCTTGAACCTTTTCTTTCCTTTCTTCTTCACACTCGGTCCATCTGCCAGGTAACCATGCCCTACCAGATGTAAACTCTCTTCGCTGTGAAAGGCCAGCGTTACCACCCGCTTCCCCCGGACATAATCGCTGGGATGAGGTCGGCGAAGACGGATTCTGCAACCTGTACGTGGTGCCGGCTACGAACCTGCTCCAAACGGAGCAGAGCCGATGCAGAGACGCAATTCCTGGATCTTGGTCCATGGCCTACATAGCATATCTACATAGCGCATACAAATGAAATGCCCATAATCTGTCTTTCGCAAGCTCCATGTGTTATTGTTCAACCTCATTCTGTAGAACTCAAATGGGTGCCGCATGTGGTTGGCCAGATCAATAGCCGTAACATTTGTGCTCCCTCAGTAATGCGAGCAATTAGATGTCGTTGTGACTATATGCGCCTGCGTCCGCTTCGTTGGTTTCGTACTTTTCGTTCGTTCGACAGCAGATGGCTTCTGGGGTTGGGCTGAGGGCCAGCTTTGGATTCAACAATGGCAAGCAGTAGTCAGCATTGAGCCCAATCAACGGCTGATCGGATCTTGAAACCGTTATTTCAGATTCTGCTTTTGTTCATGACAGCTGCCAAGCATGTCCATTTTTCGACAGCATCGAAAGGGGGAAGGCATTGTTCAGACAGTTGCTGCTGTGTAGTGGTGAAAAGTGGTCATGCGATTGCGCGCATTTGACGCGACCGACCTGTCGCTAACACCGTCCCCAATTTGGTGGTGCTGAAAATGGCGACAGGCTCCACGCGGCTCAAAATGACATGGGTTCGATAACCGGGGACAGATTAAAGAGCGGACCGATAGCCAGGCCCATAAAACGTTTCAGGCCACCTCTTACTAATATGGCCCGTGCCAGCGCAATGTGCGTTGCCCTTGTAGGAGCAACGCGGGCATATCCTTGCTGCAGCAATCGATCTCCCCAAAAGGCCCACACAAAAGCACCATCGGCCGAGTATTGGCTGGTTACTTTACATCACTGCATTTGTAACGGAGAGCCTCAAGTACCTATAAGCACTGCAATTTTAACCCTCACGAAGGCGACGAACACTGCAAGACCGGACGAATTGATTGGCGTGGTTGGAGGATCAGCCGACGCGAGGTGCGGGAGCTAAAATGGCTTCCGACGTGGAGGCGGAAATCGTGGTGGGGGTGTCAGACTCTATCGCGACGACGGCCAGACGTGTGACGCGGGCGACGACAGCCACTACAACGGCAGCGAGAACGACAAGACGAACTGCATCTGGCACTACGACAAACGACGACCCGATTGGAACTCGCGAAGATGGCGACCGGGTCACCGGGGGACTTGCCCCCCAGAAAATGCTGGATATGCTGGTACTCTCAGCGCGACAAGGGAAAGAGATGAAGGCGATGGTTATGCATCTGTCCAAAAGTATCGAAGAAAGCAGCGACCGGCACAGGCAGGAGCTTAGCGCAATGAAAAATCTGGTGGAACAGTTAACGACCGAACTGAAAAGCGTGCGGGAGGAACTGGAAGAGATCAAGGCCGGCCAGGCATTGATCGCAAGCACGCAAAAGAGCCCGCAAGCATCGTATGCAGACGTCGCACGTACGCCACCGACAAGCCAACCCACGAACGTGCGCTCCCTAGGCACAGGAAACACGACCCCTTCCAACTTCACGGACACACTATATTGCACGATCGACACCACAAGAGTAAGCGCGGACAATGCGAACACATGGAACGCTGGAACGACTAGGGCAGCGGTAGAGAAAGAGATCCGATCGATGGAAGATCACAAGGAGTGGAGATGCCGAGCGGTGACGATGGACCCAAAAAGGCCACAGAGAATCAAGATCGTATGCCGAGACGAAAGCGAGCACGAGCTCGTGAAGAGAACCGCCGAGAAGATCGTGACCGGCGGAGCAAGAGTGCTAAGAGATGAGCTGTATCCGATCAAGGTGGACAGCGTCAACCGGACTGCCGTGCTAGACGAGAACGGGAACATCCGCCAAGGGGCGGTAGAAGCGATTGGACAAGAGAACGAAGCAACAGTGGCCAAGATCTCTTGGTTGAGCAAGAAAGAAGTGCCCAAAGCGTATGGTTCCATGGTAGTCTACCTGACCAAAGCAGCAGACGCCCGAAGGATGTTGGAGGAAGGCTTCTTCCACGCCGGAGGAGAGTCGGGCTACACGAGCGTATTTGAACGCCGCGAAGGTCCTGCCCAGTGCTATACCTGCCAGCAGATTGGACACAAGTCATTCCAGTGCAAGAACAGCCGGGTCTGCGGAAGGTGCGCCAAGGAAGGCCATGTGCACAGGGAGTGCACCGAAGCGGTGCTCAGATGTGTGCCATGTGGTGGTCCGCACGAGTCCTTTAGCAGAAACTGTCCGAAGCTCTACCCGGTCCGCCATGACTAGAGAGCTCCGGGTGGTGCAGCTGAATGTGGGCCGACAGGCAACGGTGCAA